ACAACGAGCGATAAACCTTTATCATCCGCCTTAGTGCGGACGAAGCTTCTCTCTCTCTCTCTCTCTCTCTCTCTCTCTCTCTCTCTCTCTCTCTCTCTCTCTCTCTCTTTCTTTTTGTGTAAACGCGTATGCGTGTGCCGGAAAGGACAATTTATAACGTGCTGCGCAAGATGCGACGCAACATGGCGGAAATCCACAACGAAGTTGCACATGAAAATGCATGTAATGGAAAAAATTATAAAAATACTTTTTGAAATATTACCAGACGAAAATTTAAACACAAGTCTGTTGTTGTTTTAGACGAACAAAACATTGGTACAAAATCGGAGGTTTTAATTTCAAAATCCTCATATCTTGAACATTTTCATAAAATTGAGAATTTCTAGAAAATACACGTCAATTTTTACATTTGTCCTTTAAAGCAACATCAATAATCGAGCTGAGAGCTTTTATCCAAAAAGAATACATTTTCTTGTTAAAACGAAGAGGATAAAAAAGAACTGAGTTTTTCGGAGTGTTCTGCGAATTAATAATCAAAATTGCATAACGGACTTTTATTGTCTGATCAGAATTTTTAATCGATTCGAAACTGTGATAATACGCAGTATAATTTTGACACTTCGCTTACTATCACTTACTAAAGTTATATATGTTTATAAATTGTGTGAATCAACACCGTCAAAATTACGTTTATGTAGAAATTAGTAGATCATCGGAATAATCGGTGGCTATGCCTCAATGTCTGAGAGAACTCCGCATCGAGATCCGAAGTGGAATTCAAGTTAACGACGGTACTAACTCACCCTCTATAGCACATTATACGCATTATTAAAGTGGTCATTAACTAGCATTCGAGCAACAGTACGGCATTCTCCGATCATTATCTAATTGACGAGTCTAATCACAATTCACGCCTGTTTAATAACAATTCTATGATAAAAGTGAATAAAAAGGGAATCGAATTAAAATCGATTTCAATCTCGTCGATTAGCATTAACGGTAAACAGAAATGAAGAGAAATACAAGGAAAGAAATAATTCGACCAAAATAAATAGTATCTTCATTTGCAATCAACAAGTAATGGAATTGTCGTGGAAAGATGCATTATATTATTTAATACCATATACGTTATCGATTGCTTCGATTATCTTCTCAGAAATTTTTATCTCCAAGAAGAAATCACATGATAGTATATTTTTTATCTCTATATAGCTCAAAGTACATGCATGAAAGATATGTACACCGTTGATAATTCACCGCGGTCGTGTCTGGAAAATCAGTTAGTCGCGCCGCAGATAATCTATTCGATTATTAGCCGCTTAATAAGCCGCGACGGTTCGATTATGGTCGCCTTCTGGACACGCACGTCACGTCATGGATTCGGCCGAATTATAACGCGGGTAATTGTTCCACGCTAAATGCCACGTGTACCTCATCGCCGAGAAATAGTATCCGCGTGTTCGACTTCGCGTGTGACACAGCATGCACAGCATGTCACGCTGTGAACATTCCTCTTACGTTTCTATCTTTAGCGCGGCCATTGAAACATTGCACTATATATTCGAAAAAGCTGGACAATCTTAAAGAAAGAGAGAGAAGAAAAAAGAAAAAGAAAGAGAGGAATATTCGTTGTATTTATTTGGACGTGTGTCGCATAGTAAGGCTAATGTAGTAATCCACTAATCGAAGTCTTTCTCTAATCAATTTTTCTCCAACGACAGAATCACGGATGTCCGATTCGAGTGACATTGCATCTCATCGATCAACTTCGCCGCGCATTTCGGTCGATTTACACGTAGACTTCTAACGTAATAACAACGTGATTAAATATTTCGCAAAAAAAGACCGGCGATGGAGAAGTGTACGCGCTAACGACGGGAGGAATCACGCGTAAGACATTATTGACGTTACAAACAGGACCATTGCACACTCATATCAACTTCCGAACTAATCTTGGCTTTCATGAGATACTTCCACGTATACAGGTCGACGAGCGTCACTTCAAACAGAATCAAAGCTCGCGTTTCTCGAGTTTCGTTGCGCCGACCGCTCGCGGTCGAAGTCGATGCAATATCATATGCGAATGGTGCGAATCCAGATTAACCCTTCACTCCTCCCTCTCTCCCCAGCGAGATAAGCTCAGATAACTTTCTGTATTTTTAGGTTGTATTTACATGTCAAACATCATCGTGCTTGCAACAGGCGGCGATGGGAAATCCTAATCGTAGAGGAAACGCGAGGAGACGTTGCGAGCGCAAATGAGAGGACACTTCGTGAGCGATTCTCCTTCTTTTATCCTTAGATCTTCATGAGTTCTCCGGAAAAAAATAAATATTTGTCAATTTTGTCGAAAATTATTTACAAATTCGACTCGAAAAATAATAAAAAATAATGAAAAATAAGATGAGGGAAGCCGCCAGTCATATATATCATTTCGAACATAAATCTCATTTAGAATATAAAAGCTGTAAATGTGCTGCAGGCGGAAGTGAAGATTTTCCTTTATCGCATCTCATACGCATGTTGAACTTTGCACATTGATATTTATTTTCTTTACGTGTCATATGTAGACTTCTCTTTAGCGCGCGATTTATATTACGAATGGTTTACACGGCGACGTTACACGAGCATAGCAATCAGAAACTTGCAAGATGGAATCTTGCGAGAAATGTAAGTGTGATTTCTTCAGAGAACCGTGTCACGCCGTATTACATTAATATGTTACGCGTTATAATCGATCACTCGAGTTATTCATTCATTGAGATATGAACTTTGGACATTTCACGCGCGACCACCGTTCCGTGGTCTCCAACTTTGCCGGAGGAGAAAAGTTGGTCGATCTCAATAACGCATGATGAAAAACAGGTATCGATGAAAAATACATATTGGCGAATCAAGACGGGGGAGGATTAAGACGAAAGAACGGGGATGCAAAGAGCGATTTTGTTTATATCGAACTGTCAGAGCCGAGAGCATATTGTCGATGCGGAACAATCGCGGCGCGTTCTCCACGCACGATTACTCGAGAGGTTCGCGTTATCCCGGCCAATCTCCGTCTCATCGTCCTCGTGTACATCCTATACGAATGGAAAATCGATCGTTCGATGTTCAAAACTTTCGACGATAGAGTCCCGCCGGACAGTTGTCGTCGATCGTAGATCCATAGATGCCGGTGTGCGATCGGAATTCGAAAGAAATTCAATTAACGCTGCGGCACAGTGCCTCTCGTTTGGAAACGTCATCCGCTCGAGCGATTATACGAATTGCCGCGATACACGATATTCCATGCATCCCTTGGAGTGATAGATAGGTAGGTAGGTAGATAGATAGATAGATAGACATGCCGGCGATCCTGATGAAATAAATCTGAAAAATTCCGATAAAAGCGTGACAGTTTCGCGTGCACGTCAGCGATCATGGTTACGCCAGCCGGTTTCGTTGGCCACAAATTCGTGTTCGGTTTCAAGTACGACGAATTGGATATTTTCAATAGCAACCGCACATAACTATACTTCGATATATGCAATAAGTCATAAAAATTTTGCACCCGATGAAAATGTGCCACGAAAGATAGATGATTATATAAGTGGGTATTTTTATCGCATTACTTTATAATGGCTGGATTAATGACTCAATTTATATGAGAATTTATATGAGAATATCTAAGCGTGTCTCGTGCGTTACAAAAAACTGAATTTGCCGTAGATCGAGTCACTTATTATTAATCAAACTCTCGTATAACGTCAAACTGCGACAATTTTTTGACGAGTTGGATAAGCTCTCTCTTCACTTAATAAATGAACTTAACATCCGTCCCATGATATCGTGTTTCTGCTATATTGAAGAAACTTTCTAAGCCTATATATACATATATATACACACACACACACACACACACAGAGCATCCAGCCGAAAATCTCACGGGGATGAACTTTTCAAAGTTATTGGTATCGTCAAACTGTCAGAAAGTTTGATCAAATAATAAAGAGGATACAAGAAGAGTTCTTGTGAATCCCCAATTTTTTCCTTCGCAATCATTATGTCCAATGAGACGGCAGTAATTCGTAACAAGCACACTTTCATATTCTGCCGATAAATGTTCTGATCGATGATCACCCTTTAATACGATCGCACGGCAAATTCTATCATATTTATTTAGCGCATCGACGTGCCCACAAGAGATGTACATAAACCGAATTATATTTTCATCAAAATAATCTCCCCCTATTGCAAGAGCGCGATAATAATTCACCGACTACCATCAGAACAATTAAGAGCGCAATATACATGACTCTTGAAATTTAATACAACTTCATTAACATTAGCGATGATGATAGTGGAATTGTCGTCAAAGCAAACTATTATTTATAACAGATGCATAATACTCATTATTAACGATAATGAATCATTAGTAATAATAATAATTATTATTATTGATCATAATTTATGATTATAATGATGCCACAAAATGATCATAACTCCGCCGCGAGCGGAGAGGCTACTTTATATTTACATATTTATCCCGAGATCATAATTAACTTTTAGACAATTAATCTGAAGTGAGTAAAGTAGTCGTCCCGCGGTTAAATCAGTAATCAGAAACGTGATCCGTTTATGTTATCCGTCAATGTGTTGTTTAAATGTGTTATTTAAATATCGCGCATCTTCCGGAACATCGCGTTTCGTACTCCCCGATCGTCGCGTAAACACAAGAGAGCTTCCCTTTCTTACAATGTGACTAGATACCCCGATTAATCGGTAATAGCGTTTACCGGCCTGCGGCGTTAATTAGTCGATATCACAGGACAATCGCGCGCTCTTTGTACCCCACAAAATTTCCTGTGTACATTTTTAGCTGCGATCGCGTGCGTGCGTTGGCGGGATGTAATCAGTGTGTTGCAAAACATAACCGACGAAAGTTTAATGAATCTGACGGTGCGCGTCAGCGAGCAGGGATATTTACAACGGCGAATAATAGCGTAAGCATACTGCGCGCGTACCTGCGTCGCCGACGTTCTCTCCAGCTTGTGTGTCCAATGTCCCGGCAGTGTATGCACCCTAGCTCGATTTAACACATAAATCAGGATTAGAGCGCGCAGCGCTGAATTATCATCAGCCGCCGGGCCGGCACGCGGCGAGTAACGCGAATACAGACTGAATTTTGCATGAGAACGCGCGGATAACGCGGTTTAACGGATTATCGCATATCGATCGTCCGCGCATATTCGAACTTTATTATTGATACCGCACGATTAAAACGTCCAGTTGATGGTGAAGCGAGCACACGACGACGGCAACGACGACGACGAGTCTCCTGTTCCGTTTAGCAACCCGCTGTGAAGTCGCGAGTCGTCGCGAGGCGACAGTAAAGACATTTCTGGATAACTGAATTATCATCCCTTTAAACTATCCACAGAGCACTATGACCGGCTTTTGTATGAGCGTTCTCGTCGGTTTAATCAAAACGCACTGCGGCATTGCGGGTCGCTCCGTGTGAACAAACTGGCGGGATTGGCACGCGAGGAACGTGCGTTTCGCGAATGCACACCGAGTGAAACGCACAGAGAAATCGACGGAAATTCTTCCTTCGCAATGTCGCCTCCGACACTGAACGAGTGATTAAAAGACCGAAGAAACACGAACAGAGTGAAAGAAGGACAAGCAGATTTTGATGTTCGTATTTCCCGAGAGCGCGCCAACACTCAAATTTCGTTGCCCCGCCGGCGGAAGAAAGAGCTCGGTCCACGAGGAGCGCCGACTTACTTGTTGAATTTGCGTTGCCTCCTTCTCGTCTCCTTCGAAAATCGAGCTCGGGCAGAGCCCTCGAGCTTGCGATTATTCATACGATTTGATCGAGAAGAGGAACGACAGGGCTCGACGGGACCCAGAGAGAACAGAATCATTTTTTCTTTCACTCTCTTTCTCTATCGCTCTTTCTTTCTTTCTTTCTTTCTTTCTTTCTTTCTTTCTTTCTCGGAACGCAAAGATCACGGACGTCAGGGTGCGAAGAGCGCGCGCAATATCGCCGACACCGGCTGATGACTTCCGGTCTCTGGATCTCCTCGATCATCGTCGACGACGTTCACGCGTCTACGAACCGAACATCCGGATTTTCGACGAGAGAGACGACTCGATGGTGGGTAATCAGCCAATGACGAGGATAACGGTACCTGGGGGATCGGTCGCTCCGCCTTTAACAGGTGGCACACGACGGTGGAGAGTTCCTCACTGTCCAGAGTACTAACGACGTGTGACGTCGACGCCTCGGTGCGAGAGGGCTTTTATAGTCGATCGTACCGTCGACGTCGACTCGACTCGACCCGTCTCGACTCAACTCGGCCTTCCTGCTTGCCTGCTTGCCTGGCTAGAGACTCTTGGCCCTATCAACTGATTTGTCGTTACACCTTCCACTCCCGCCGCGAGGGGGCCACCACCCGCTCTCGCACCCTTCGCACCGTTCATTCCACCGGGGTTGGAAGGGGTAGCTTTCGTAAAGTGGATGTGCGATTTCGTTTTATCAGTGCACGGTTGCCCGAAAGCGCCCAGCACCGTTTGCTCGTAGTTCTCGTGATTTCGTCGCCTGATTACGGAGGGACCGAATATTTCTCTTCTCGCCGATAATTTCAAGTGTTTTCTCTTTTTCTTTCGACGGCGTGAAGGGTGGAAGCTAATTTGAATCAGTGGCGGACGTTGATGCATGACCTCGAGAACAGTGATACTTGCGATAACAATAAAATCTTGGTTGAAATCATTTTCGACCGATGTGACGAATAATATGTGAATGAGTGTACTATCTTTGTTTTCCAAAGAAATTTCTAGAAACATCGGAAAGCGATAGCTAATAAGAGAGGGATCCGTGGGAAAAAGAGTAAACACATTAGGAATTGTTAGATCGTGCGACGAATCTACAAAAACATTAAAGCGCGAGAGGAATGTCTCAAAAACACGCGGGCTCCCGTCGCCTTTATAAAAATTTCGCTTGAAATTGCTTTCTCTCTGTGAACCTCGTTACACTTATTATCGCTCTCGTTTCGACGAAACGTTCCTTAACGCGAAGGAAAGCTCGGAGACGCGCCGTGTCCTTCTCGTTATATTTATTTCTCTCGCTATTTTTATTAACCGTTTAACGACGATGTCCTCGCGAGAGGCTGGCCACACAGTAAAGTCATTGCAATTTCCTCCCGACGTATTTTCGCGCCCGTGTACCATGTTTATTCGCGCACGAACGCGCGACTAAACAATGATTATGAAAATGCGGCATCTGCGCGAGCACGAAACTTCCAGTAATGAAGTTAACGGGGGTCATGTTGCAAAGTATCGTTACGTTTAGATATTATTTTCTTGTTCTATTCAGAACCCGATAATAGGAAGCGAGTATTTCGTTTTTGCGCGAGCAGATTTTGCAACTTAAAATATTCCATTATGCGTGTGTATGTCCTTCGAAAAAGAAAAAGAAAGCGAAAGGAACTGAAAGGAAGATATAAATAAATATTATATTTACGCGACGTTACAGCGCGTCGAAAACATAACATGACGATATCTTCCGTTGGTATGTGAAATAGAATAAATATAAACATGAAAGTGCGTGCAATTTTTGCGCACACATATGTATTCTACAATATTTTCTGACTCTTTATAGAGTCCGAATCGTATCGAATAAAACGTTTATATTGCTTTCGTGCGTCGGTTCTGTAAAAACGATACTATTTATCATGAGTCATATAATGGTAATATACACAAATATTTGTAAATTTCTAAATATCTAAATAATAAAATACGACAAAGATATCCGTCGGTACGTAATCTTGCTGGCAAATAAAGATAATAAAAAAATGAAGAAAACAACTAGGCAAGACATCATTATTTAAACATACGCGAAAATCGTTATTGTTGCCGGCGTGTCGTACGAACTAATTATGACATTAATCTGAAGATGAACATTATGAAACTAGTGGACGAGCAGAATTAATTATAACGCGTCGTATAAGTGCAATATATCGCGCGATCGCGCGAGCGAACAAAGAAATTGGAAGAGAGACGTTCGTCTGGCGTCTACGATTCAGCAGGCTAATTCACCGTTAATCCAATGGACGACGATAAGACCCACTTAATGCTACGCCAACGATATATCGTCGAAACCACTCGCCATCATGAAATTCCACCCTAAAGTAATTAAACAGCGCGTCATCGAAGCGCAACTTTATCGTGCATAGTGTCGCCCTGGCTATCTCTGCCATTAGCGTCCTGAACGTTTGTGCCTAAAGCCGTCGATATGGACACCCGAGTATCGATACCGACGACTATACGGTAAGGCAAGGAGTATCGTCGCGCGACGTAAATTCTCCTTCAGCTAGAGGCCCAATGTAATTGTCCGAAACGTCGAATGTGAGAAGGAATAAATTTCACGTGCTCGCTTCGAGATAAAATGGTCTGTCGTTGTTACACGTACATATCGCCAATAAAGTTCATTCTTCAAGAAAAAATTGAGTTCTAATTTTAAATCAATACCGACGAGAATTAAACAACACGTAAGCTCCGCTCGAGTACGCTTTTCCATGTCATGTAAATTCGACAACAACGAGACATACTAGTCGACGTAAACATTATTATTACTTCCCGTTGAGAAAAGCATTTCCACCTGAAAAGTTCTCGACTCGCTATCAACAAGAAATAAAAAGAGAAATAAAAAGTGATTTTCCGAAAAAGAAAAAGAAACAAAAACGAGTGCTTTCACTTGCATATGCCTCAGTTCTGTCGCAAGTACAGATTTTTGTCATCGACAGGACACATCTACACGCTGATTAATGTAAAAAACGAACGCTGACATGCGTGTTGTGCCATCCATATCCGAAAGATCCGCCACATTTCGTGTACGCGTTCGAGAGCACGCACGAACGCGTGGACATGCATAACATCCGGTCTCGAAACGCATCGGTCTGGTAACGACGCGTAATGGGAATGAAGTACAAGTGGATCGATTCGATCGATAGACGCAATCGGTTCGAGATGCGAGAACTGCTTCATAGCCGTGCCCGAATTAATTGTTCCGACGAAGCCGGGTTTCGACGCGGAGGGTAGTCTCCTGATAGATTTTTTTCACCGAAAGCGTAGCTAAACTCGTCCCGGATAAAGTTCCAGATGCATTGGGAAATTTCATTAAACTCATTTAAGATTTAGACACCGAAGAAAGATGTTCTCCCATATGTTCGTGAATGAACGAAACGCGAATTTTATTTCGCGCTTATGTATCACGTGTATCACATCGAAATGCATTTCATCGAAATTATATAACAGTTTCCAGCTGTTCAGAGAGACATTCAGCGTGCGCTTTGCGAAAAAATTAATTAAAAATTCACGCAGTATAAAAAAAGTTATAAAGGTTCGCCGTGCACCATAAAGAAACTGCGTTCCTAGTTAATAATCGGAGTTGTAAAAATGTAGCCAGCCGAGAGATACAAGTGCGGGAAAAAAATTTGCGTTTTCGAGAAACGTATAATCTCCGTGCAGAAAATGTTCGTTTCGTAAAATAATGTAAACAAAAATATGTCTTTTAAAAATATGTATGTGTTGACGTTAAACGAAGTCACTTGATATGCGCAAACATATGTTATACATTCCTCTGTCTCTTCCCCCTTATTTAAATCATTTCGTATAAATCTCTAATCTCTTTACGCTCTGTATCGCTTCTATCTTTCCACTCACAAGAAATGAACCCATTGCCGCCCGTTAACGGAGTGAGATATCAAATAAGGGATACAGTGGGGAGGAAGAGGAATTACAAACGAGCCTCGTCACTACGTATTTGAAATTCACGGAGACATGTCGCGCCGACGATATGTCGGAGGTTAAATCACGTTTGTACTTAACGACGACGTTAGATTCCGACGTGAGCGGCTGTTTTTCCAGCTGTGAAAAGTAAATGGCATTACGCGTGCCAGCATGATTATCGACACACTGTTATTTCGTGTCGCTCACGAGCAGTGTTTAAATGATGACGTATGTAATATATTCGGAAGAAATTGTGATTGCTCGGTCGGCGCCCCTGAAAGTGCGCGACAGTTATAAATGCGAGTACACGCATAAGTACACACAGCGAGAGAGAGAGAGAGAGAGAAAAAGAGAGAACTAGTCGTCCGCCATATAATTACACGTGCTAATGCCGAGTTTAGCGAGAATCGTGGGAGGAAAACATGCTTTCGCAGCGACAGATGGTACTTTCATAATGGGGTCGCTTGAAAAGAGATAAAAGACATCACTTTAGGCAGATTTAGCTAATATAAAATATATAGCTAACATAAAAACCTACACAAACATCGTATCTATCAGACGCAAGAAGCGATGTTTGACTATCGGTGAAATGAAGTGCTGACGATCAACTCAAGTCATGGAATATCGGAGAAGTGATCTTCACGATCCAATTATTGCAAATGCATAGTTAATTATTTGACTGCGTTTTACAACGTACGCTGATACATTATTTTTATTGTGGTCTATATAGCATCAAGATAGCATAAGAGATAATCCACTTATATCCTGATGATAACAAGCGTATATACATATGTGACGATACAAATCGTTCCGGAACAACGAGATTTTCATCGTTTCCCGGCCTTTTAATTCCCGGCCACTGAGAAAATTATTACTGTAAATTACAGTTGCAGATTGCAACTCCCGCGCGATCACATTCCCGTTAATTACGTTAGAGTGCTGACTTGCATTCGGTTTAATGAGGTAAAGACTCGAAATTCTCTGACGTACGAAATTATCTAGACGACGACATATTAAATAACTGACGCGAGCCAATGTCAAACATGAATAAAAATGGTTTGATTCATCATCGTGTCTCCCTTCCAACCCCACGAATAGCCACGTTAATTACTCGATAGAAGTCGGGAAGAAGTTGCGCTTCGGATTTGAATTATAAAGCGTCTACTTTCTCGGATATTGCCGTTATTCATCAGTTGTGGATGGAACAAACAAATTGAAAGGTAGACGTGCGTTTTCTTTCACGACAGGGACACGAATGTTAAATTGGAAGGCCGATCTTGCGATGGGGCGCGACGAGAGTGCAATTATGCAATTGCTTGATTGGACTTTATCAATTCTTATTCGCCACGTACGCGCGCGCAATGACGATTCGTATCGATACTTCACACACAGAGGCTACTCCCTCCTTCGTTTCCCTATCTTACTTTCACGTCGAATAATTATACAAGAAACTAAATTTAGCAGTAGCCAGAAGTAGTATAATAGTAGCGAATTAAATTTGATAAAATTCTATATTAAAGGAAAGAGTGAGACACGCTGCAAGCAGAGTTTGCGCATGCGATAAAGGTTTCACCTTAAAATCAAGCTTTCTTGGTGAAGATAACTATGTTACTAGCGATATAATCTAATTAAAGTTAAAGCGAATGTAACTTTCTCAATTAGTACAACTATCGGCTTACCACTTCGTCGAAACCAGCATTCGATTTGCGTCTTGTTCGGCATCATCCATTTTCCGCTTGTCGAATCACTCCTGAATCGTTCCTTTCCCTGTTATATGTTTTACATTCTGGCTACTGAAAACAAAAATAAAATAAGAAATCTCTTCAGTGGTCAAAGACAAAATCACCGAAAAAGTCACAATATTGATATGCGAAAGATAAAGCGCGATAAGCCGAAAGATATAATTCGAAAGTAGGCTAAAATCGAGTCAGTCTCCCCAAAATATTAAAAAAATCATAATTATATTATTGCTAAATGAACAAATATCCTGAGAATCGCAGAAATATCTTGAAAAACTGTGTGTCGTGTTAGTCGCCATAATTGTCGAAAGACGCAAAGAGGTGGACAAAAACGAATTCAAAGAAATAACCTTAAATATCAATGTTTTCTCTCACCTTAAGCTATGCGTTTCACCAATGATGAAAACTGAGACAAGACCAACTTTCAATGCTGCGAGAATAGAAGAATATATTTGACACGTTGATTATCCCAATTCGTCGTAACTTATCATGAATAAACGTGCAACACATCCTCACCGCCAAAGAAAAATCGTTGAAATCTAAACTCGTGGGAATGCTACCGATTTCAAATGCCGATCGTGAAATTGCGGAAAGGATTCGTGGCGCCCTCGGGTGAGCATCTTTCAAATTAAACGCGCCGCTCACCACGTTGATAACTAAACTTATCCGTCTTTTTCATCGACCCCGTATCGTATATCCTTAGCACGAAATAGACGCATATTTAATATTTGAAAGCAGGAATATCTTGAAGATATTTCAAAGACGTTAAGGCAATTAACATATCTTTTAGACATCTCTGAAATGTCTTTTAAACATTTATGCTATATATAAGTATATTTAACTTTGGAAGCAGCCGGTAATCGATGATTATCTAGTCAGGTAGTGAACATACCGTCACTCGGCTTATGTATTCGAGCCGCCAGATACTTAGATTCGTTGTGACAGATTGGTGATTCACGAAGCGCCTCATCTTTGCGGTGAATAACATTCGTATTTTCGCACGATGCCGATGCTTCGGTCGTATTTTCGATTATTTCGTTAATTACGCTATTGTGATTCCGCGTGTTGTTATTCCAGAACGGTGTTTTATTTTCAATACCGGCAATACAAATATGGCTGAATGCACAGTCTATGAACTATCAGAACTTGAGAGAAAGCAGAAGACAATCGACAGGGCACCTTTTCGAAACTTGTCCATCAATAATACCACAATACTAGACACGATAGAGGGTAGAATGCCCTGCGAGAGATGTTATGCTTCGCGGAAGTACTTTTGCTACCATTGTTACTTGCCAGTTATTGATCAGGTGTACTTTCCACGAGTGAAGGTACGTTGCTATGATTAATATAATTTGGGATTTTTAAATAAAAAGAGAAAGATAATTTATGGTGAGTTCCTTATTTTTGTAATTTTCAGTTGCCCATTAAAATTGACATAGTCAAACACCATCGTGAAATAGCTGGCAAAAGCACAGCTATTCATGCTGTGATACTGGCACCAGAGGATGTGAAAATCTACACATATCCACAAATCCCTGAGATATTAGACAAAGAAAAAGTATGAGAGAGTAATAATATATTTCTTCAGTCTTAGCTAATTCTTGAGAATGCTTGCTAACCTAAGGGATATAATCCCTCAGACTGTTTTAATTTTTCCTAGCAAAATCGCCATAGGAGTGAAGGATCTTTTTAAAAAAGAAGAAGCAGAAGATGAGAGAGGACAAAATTCTACTACAGTCAAGAAGATAAAAAATATGCTTCCCATAAGAAGAGCTATTTTTATTGATAGTACATGGCAGCAAACCAAAGAGATATATAAAGATGCTAGATTACGTGGTATGTGAGAAAAACATTATAGTCATGTATAATTACTGCAACATTTTTCTATCATTTATGCAATGAGACTCAATTTTTGTAGAACTACGCTGTGTGATTTTGAAGTCAAGAATTTCTCAGTTTTGGCGAAATCAGAAGAACTGTCCAAGATGGTATTTAGCTACTATTGAAGCGATTCATCAGTTTTTAGTGGAATTGCATACATGTGCCTTTGGTATAATAGAGAATTATGCTGATTTAGATGATTCAACAGTAAATAGAGAAGAGAGCTTCATAATTCCCAATGAAGAATACTTAGAAACGTATTTAGCAACAGATCTCAGATATAACGGACAGTATGATAATCTTTTATATTTTTTTAAGTATATGTATAATAAGATTCATACCATATATGATCATGATAAATTATTAGCTTACAAAAGGCCACTTTTGTAATTGTTTAATTACTCTTATATAATCTTGTGATAAAAATAACTGATTAAAATAATTTTGTATACAAATTGTTTCTTTTGTATTTGCATATTGGAAATAAAAGCTGAAATTGTTATTTTCCACTGCAAAAAAAATAATAAAGTATTCAAAAATGACATTTTACAAATTTAAAAAATTTATCATACAAGTTGTTTATAATTTCACATAATAAAAGCGATTATTTTAATTCTGTCATTCATATTGTTAGCATCGAGCGACGCGATTACATAACAAGTCATCAATTATAGTCGGTTCTGTCAGAATTTTTTGTCAAAGCATTTCTGTCAAAGTAAAATTCACGTAAAGAATATTTACCATATTCTTATTTATTTCTCAAGGAACATAATCAGATTTTAAGACTGCGATCGCATTCCACTTCATCTTGTCTCCCAATCTCGCATAGCTCGTAAATATTAGTGAAATAAACAATAACAAAAATAACCCACGCCAAAGAGGTACGAAATATCATCGACATGTAAAGAGCAGGAGGAGGAGAAGGATGAGGAGGAGGAGAGTGCACGGCGCACAGAATGTTCCTAAACAAGCGGGAGGCGGCACGCCGCGCAACTCGAACGCGAGCAGTAGCGCGATCTGACGTCACACACACTGCACTTCACCCCGTCCTTCCTCGCGTCCGTTGTGCGCGGCCGTAGCGCTCGCAGCAATCGCGGCCGTCTGCGATGAGTTTAGTTTTGAAAACAAGGGGCCGCCTGCCGCTCGCCATAGCACGTCGTCGTCGTCGTCGCGCTCGCTTCGCGTAGACGAGGCGTTCGGTCAGACGCATCGTGGACGGATCGACCGTGAGTGGATTGCCGGGGATCGTGTCGTGTCGTGTTGTATATGTTTATCGCTCTTCCGTCCTTTCCTGCACACATACGTACATAAATCCGTCCCTCCGTTCACTCACTCACGCTCGTCCGTTCATTCCTTTTTCTCTCTCTCTCTCTCTCTCTCTCTCTCTCTCTCTCTCTCTCTCTCTCTCTTTCTTTCTTTCTCTCTCTCTCTCTCTCTCTCTCCCTCCCTCCTTATCCCACTGTGCCCCCTCATCTGTGTCCCTGTCTCCCTGATCGCCGCCACCTCCCACACTCCCCGCGTAACCCTTCGTGTCTACGTCGAACGAAACGTGACCGATACAAAAAATGGACGCCCTACGGGAGCAGGTGATGATCAATCAGTTCGTGTTGGCCGCGGGATGCGCCAGGGAGCAGGCGAAGCAATTGCTACAAGCGGCGCATTGGCAATTTGAGGTAAGAAAACAAGACGGACAACGAGAAAGAGAGAGAGAAATTATATATATGTGTGTATGTGTGTGTGTGTATATATACGTGTATGTATGTGTGCAACGAAGGAAAAGACGAAGAACGAGAATGAGAGAAAAACAGGACGAAAGAGTGCAGGTCTTTAGCGATCTAACGCACACACATACGTGGCAACATAATAAAGCGCGTGATACACTCTCTCGCCTGGACGCCGCTACGTAAACAAAGCGATGAAAATGGCCGATCACCATCCGCCGCTGGCTCCGCTCTATTTGACTATTTTCCTACGTCGTTCGTTCGTGAATCGGCGAGATAACGTGATAATTCGTTGCGGTTCAGCGAGCACTCATGGCCTCCCCAAATCGATGTCGATTTCGACGACGTCGTCGTCGTCGTCGAGCAACATCGCGACGTCGCCGTCGCCGCTGCCGCATTCGACGTCAAGTGAGCACGCGGCGTAGCCGCTCCTGTTCGTTTCATTCATAAAAATCGTAATCGTCGTAACTCATAACGCAACGCGTTAATAGCCGCGCTTAAATCTCCGTGCCGTTTTCCCGTGCGCGATGTGAAAAGAAGACCGTTGTCTAATCGTGGAAGTATTCGTAACACGTAATCTCGTGTTACGTCGCATTACCTTATCAGATCACCAGCGCCACAATCGCGGTAAACCATAACGCATCGTGCGAAACTGCGAATGTAAATAATAGTGCCGTGCATGCGTATGTCCTTACCGTCATCGTCGTCGTCGTCGACGGTTATCGGTTTCATTGTGCGGTGCGAACGGTGTACTCTTGCCGGCGCGATTTCGCCGCGTTCGATTTCCGATGTGGCCGGCCACGCGAAACCGGCCTTTAGGCCTATTGCCGTTTTGTTTGTCGCAAATAGATATAGGAATGCCGTTGCGAGAGAGATATATAAGGCTGCTTCTTATATAATATATATCATGAATAATTATGAGAATGTGTACAGTGGGATAGGGAGAAAGGAAAAGATAACGCGCTACGACGGCCTCATGCATCATCATGATCTGAACTCGTGGAATCTTTTTGTGCGCTTTGACCACAATGTAAACAATGCGGCAACGTGTATTTATATACACGCATGGAACGTGTACGCCTGTCTCACCTTCTTCGTAGCGCGATATGTAGCGCTTCGTAACCGATGGATGGATGGATGGATATATCCAATAAAGTAACGATTTTACAACAAAGACAGACACCTAAACTAACAATTTAGAATAAACTTTATTCGCGGTTTTCTCTTATTCGGATAATAACGTTTGCTGAGAAAAAGGAGAGAATGATGAAGATTAAAGAATCACGGGTCTAGGAAATTAAAATATTGGCGTTGGCCTTTCTTTTTTTATGTATTTTTTTTTTATCTGTCTCGCGCGTACCAGGCAATCTCGCGATCTCTCTTGTTCCTTTATACTTTTATCTCGCTTCTCGAATAGAAAGTGCAAGTAAATACAACTGAAAAGAAAACGTACACAGTAGTAAACCCACCTTCGCTCGTTTGTTATCCCTGCTACAGCGCGTCTCTCCGCCCGACCGAAATACGAAACGCGTTCCTATGTCGTGCCGACCTATTACATTCTTATGTTAATACTTATGTCAATGTATCCGAATCGTGTGTCACCGCGTTTGAATTAAACGCCGCCGGTTGAATGTCAGCGCAACAGTGTTGCGTAACACGCGTTTACCTTGTTACAATAAAACAAGTATCGAACTGTTTCGTCGTCGATGTTTTGCCGCCTGTAATTCATGCGACGCCGCATTATGAGAGAGTTTAAGTTATTCTTATCGGTTATTATCGAGCGAATATCAGCGTATCGATAAATAATTACATCCCGGAAAAAAAGAAAACAGGATATATAAATGCAAATGCAGAATGCAGATATCTCTTTAATCGCTGCGTGACACAGATAATTTATTGTGACTTAATATCGATAAAGATACATTATACACACAAGTCTGTTTACTCGAGCCGTGTTCAATTACTCTCGACCGCTGATTTACGCGTAAAATACCAAGATTTCCTCCTAGCCGAGATCGTCCTAGCGTTCGATCTAATAAAGATCTAACAAAGCTTGCTGATTCGGGCGACTTGTTCGTACATATGTAAACAATCCATCCTGATAATCACCAATAATCGGTGAACTGTTAATACTAAACGCTCTCATGTGTTATGGCGGTTATCAGCGATTATCGATATTGGTTCTCGCGAGCGTATATATGTGTATGTATAGATATTCGATACGGGCTGAGCATAAGCATTGGATATCAATACTGTTAAACAACACGGTAAAGAAGCAACTCTCGCATACAGGACGTTCGAAAGGTTACGACAGGCGCATTAGTGACACATTTGGCAGAGAGAGAGGGGGAGAGAGAGAGAGAGAGAGAGAGAGAGAGTTGTCTGGTTTAACTCGATTACGTCGTCGTGCGCGTTGTTCCTAATCATAGACGACTCATACACGGTCCATTGTATTCCATCAAGGTCGGTTTACCGAGCTTGCGGATATGAAAACGATATCGATATTATGCGTTGCAATATTTAAGGAGAGAGTCACACACAGAAAGTCGTTTCCAAGGCTATTTTTACGCTTTAATTTTTCTAACAGGAACGGTAAGGACTTGAAATTTTTACAGTGTATTCATTAATGTTCAAAGTATAAAATAAATTTTATTGAATCACAGGAACCGATCCAATTTGTAATTATAGATAAAATGCAGTCATCCGTTTGCGAGCTCTATGTTTGCTGTCGACATAATCCCGAGCCTCTCACTACTCTGAAACCAAAAAATGAGAAAGATTTTTAAAATATACGGTTGCTATTATAGCGCCCGTACCAAAATGAAGGCAGTGAAGTCAAGTTTGAAAAAATAATGACTGTACAAAAAAAAGTATCAAAAATGAAACTTTTTCAACTTCATGTTTAATCATGTTTAAAAAAATGAATAAAATAAAATGTAACTGTTCAAGTTATTCGGTTCAGCAGTTTTTGCCTGATCGTGTCGACAGTTTAAGAAAACGGTGTTTCCAGATAAACGCGTTTAAAGTTTTATGTGCGCTTTCCATATAGATAGCATCAGATTTATTTTATACTTTGAACATTAAGGAATACACCGTGAAAAATTCAAATTCGTTGATCCTACCGTTTCTGTTAAAAAAATTCGTAAAAATAGCCTTGAAAACGGCCTGCTCCGTTTATATCCGGATACATATTGCGTTCTTCCGATATATAAGATATATCTACGTTTTTTACATCGATCTCCGTTGAGGATGCAAAATTTCCTCCGCAGCTGCAAAATCGATGTACGGTTGAATCGATGAAATATGTACGGTTTCCGTAGCGGAGATTTTCTTACACCTTATTTGCGTGGTCGCAGTGATCGCGCGAGAGTAGGAGCGCGCACGCGAACTCGTTTCTAATCGAGCAATTTTAACAAGCGTGCTTTCTCTCTTTGCAGACCGCTCTCAGCATTTTCTTCCAAGAGGCGGCGATACCTTCGTGCGCGCAAGGAGCCGGCACCCATTTCGGCCAAGTAAGTTTACTTCCGGCATTATTACCGCCGTTACGAAACACGTAACGCGCAGAGCGCGCGTTTATATCCGCGGCCGCCGCGCAATCGATGAGTTCTATTTTTGCGCGTTAGTGAGTGAGTAAGTGATGAGTCGTCGTCGTCGTCGTCGTCGTCGTCGTCGTCGTCGTCTTCGTCTCTCCGCTCCGTCTCTCTTCTTCTTGTTCTTGTTCCTCTTCTTCTTCTTCTTCTTCTTCTTCTTTGCAGACGTGAGAAGGGAAGTCAGGACCTAGGGAAACGACGGGACGAAGTCGCCGTCGGTGGATCTGTCGTCTCGAGAGCGTCATATCAAGAAAGATGTATAACGCCTGATGTATAACGCGAGATGATCGCTCGTGAGTCCGAGACGCAACGGGACAGTCCAAAAGTACGATATCATCCCGGTCGTTTTTCTCATTCTCGAGCCGCACGTAATCTGACGTAAGGCGTGGAGTCGCGTACTAAACTTTCGGCGAACCCGGCGAGCGGCATGCGTGGGCTATCGTGTATGTTCTCATCCTCTATTGATTATTCAAAAGTAGGTTCCGCGCGGAGAGAGATCGGAGTGAATAGAGACCAGCAGAGGCGGCGGCCGGTCTTCAGAATCTATCCTCGTCGTCGTCGTTGTTATCGTCGTCATTCGTTCTTCCGTTTGTTTCCGTTGCCGGCGAGATTCATGAAATCACTTCTTTCAACGACCCGGTGTGGCCGCACTCGTGTCCTAATGCGCATATAGCATAACGGGAGGAGTATACGGGAGAAAATCGATCGCAGCGCGTGTCTGACCTTCACGCGTGCTTTCCACCCCTTCCGCAACTATTTATGTAACGTCGTGTTGTGTCTGATTAATTATTCGCTCTCGCGTGCGCTGCGACCAGCGGAGAAGCCTGCTCGCTCTCATTCTCTCTCTCTCTCTCTCTCTCTCTCTCTCTCTCTCTCTCTCTCTCTCTCTCTCTCTCTCTCTCTCTCTCTCTCTCTCTCACTCTCTCTTTCTCTCTCTCTCTCTCTCTCTCTCTCTCTCTCTCTCTTCTTTCTCTCTCTCTCTCTCTCTCTCTTCGTCCCGCTTTTTGTAATTTCAGGATCGTCATGGACAAGGTCGACGTGTGTGTATAACGTCCGTGACGCTGCTTCTTTAGTCCGACGCGACGTTCGAATTCGGACGGACGAACACGTCCGGGAGGGAATTCGATTATTTCTCATTCGCTCGCTGCTGCTCTCTTCGATTCCGACTCCGACTCTGACTTCGACTCCGGAGAGAAGAGCCGCACGTGAATCCGCGATTTATCGTGGTTTATTCCGGCGAATACCGAGCGACCCGACCAATCTGCCATTGAGCTCTCTCCGCGTGCGTTACTTGCCTTTTTGCACGCGTGATCTGGCTTGTGATCAGGCTGCGAGAGAAGATCCGACGTTCTATACGAAGCGTCCGGTAATAGACGCACGTGGTGGCGACGTTCCTTGTCGGAAACTAAAACGATCTGTCCTGCGGAGAGAAACGCTTGAGACGCGAATAGTTCTCGGCCGACTGTGGGATGCCGATCGAACGGAAGTTGTTAACGCGATACGAAGGATGCAGGAATTTATAAACGGGCTCCTGCGTGTTATTCTCTTTGGCTAATCTTATCTCGGTTTGCGTTTTGCAAAACGCGGAAAAACACGGCGGTGGCCGTTTCTCGATGGAACGTCTCTCAACGTCTCTCATGGAAAAATTGCGCGCGAGTTTTCGCCAAGGAAAATAACGTTCCGTTCACCAAATGCAACGATTATAACACTCTGTCTGTATGTCTCAGCTTCGACATTCTCTGGCGAAGTTTACCGCTCCCCGTTGCCGCTGCCGTTTGCCGCATTCTAGCTCTCGAGCGTGTTTTCTTTCTCTGGTTTCTAAGGCGGGCTCGCCAGGCTAAATGAAAAGCGAGAAAGTGGGTCAATGTCAATGATTTTTTTCGAGCGTAACGACGCGCCTCGTAATTCATAACGAGGAAACCTCTACGTTACAGCGAGGTATTTACAAAGCAGATTTATCGAACTTGATTGATCGAGTTGAGTTACGAAATGAATCTTCCGTCTCTTTCTCTCTCTCTCTCTCTCTCTCTCTCTCTCTCTCTCTCTCTCTCTCTCTCTCTCTCTCTCTCTCTCTCTCTCTCTCGTTCGAACTCGTTTTCATACTTATACTAAAGAACTTTGTATCAAAACCTAATTTGACGATATCTATTTTTGTTATTAATGATGACAATGTTCAATTCTCATTAGGCGGATTTCTCACGAGTATTTCCTCGCACAAAGCTTGATCGAGCGGACACGATCGAGCGCATAATAGATAGTCGGAAATTCGTTTTGAATGAACGCAAGGTCGAGCCGTGGAAACCGGTTCGAAAGGTCCCGGTTGTAAAGGGCTCGCGTCGCTCGTATGGCGCCGGTAGCAGGTGTCAATAGCGGTATTTCGTGCTATCGTGTTTACGACGTTTATCGGCGTCTTGCGACGTGTGCGTGAAGAGAAAAAAAGAACATTGAATAACAACAACAATCCGATAAGACATTGCACGTAGCGATTGCTAAAAATATATACAGAGAACATATTAGTGCGTTATCGTGAAATAACGTTTCTTCTTTCTTTTCTTTCTTTTTTTTGTCTTGTCTTTTTGTGATATACATCGTCGACGAACATCGTCGATGCGTAATTTGCAAGATGATCGTGCTGGATTATCGCGCGTCCCGCTCGTCGGACGAAGGGCGAGGATGGTGTTCTCACGACAGGATACACACAGGAGAGCCGCCGCCGCCGCCGTCACTGACAGACGGAGAAACAGTCGTCGAGCGCGTTACTATTCTCGGTCGGCGGCGGCGGCGGCGGCACATTCCGATAAGTCGTGTGCCAAATCCCGGTCGCAGACTGGACACGCGCCGCGACAACACCATCACCTTCTATACGCACACGGTTTCTTTTTTTATGACTCTTGCGGTATCGCTACGGTATAAGGAACAAGTCACGACGCCATTGGTTTCTATGTGTGGTCGCGCGCGTGTGTGTGCAAATCCCGGCTTTATTCGCACCTGTCTTCGGTGGTCGATTCCTTGTAATCTTCAGATCTTCCCTCGCCTCGCATTCGTACGCAATCCATGGGAATGAAGGTATCAAAATTTCAAGCGAAACGATCCCCGATCGTTATCTCAGCGTTCATCGATAAATCTCTTTCGCATGAGCGTTTCATTCACAAGAGCGAAGGTGCCACGAAATCCGTTTTATGGTAGACCGTACATCGACAGTGCAGTAATGGAGAGTGCTATTATCGCTATTTAATTACCCGCTTATCGTCGGTGAGTTATCGCGCTGCTGCTTGTTGTGTCACGCTAATACACATGTGCGCCCGCGTGTATTGTTTGGTCGTTGCCTTTGTCGTCGTCGTATTCGTTTACCTGGTGGCCTAGACATCACGTGCGGCAGCAGGTTCGACGACCTCGCTACATCGTTACCTAACAGTCGCCTCTCGATCTAGCGTATCCAGCCGATTTCCGTCAGCTCATCGACGTGACGAACTTTTCCCCGCGGTATTAATCTTTCCTCAACTCTCGACCAACGTTTCTTCTCTTCGTACTTTCCGCCTGAAATATCATTCAACTTGGAGGAAATAAGATTACCCCAGAAATGAGATTGCCGCATGTAATTATAAAGGGCAATGATGAAGCTCTATATTTAAAAATTTAAATACTTTTGAGGCTGATTGAAAGATTAGGAGATTAAAAAAAAAGAAAAAGAGACGCGATCGACAACCGACGTCTCCTATCTCGTCGTTTTCATACGAGATAAAAAAGATTATTTCATGATTATAAGAGTGATTTCTTGCATTTTTTTACAGATTACGCCATGCAACACGCCAGCCACTCCGCCGAATTTTCCGGACGCTCTGCTGGCATTTTCGAAAATGTCAGCCGGTGACAAAACTCCTTCTGGTAAGTACATTGATTGTAACGTTAATATGTGAAAGCGACTGTAGAAGATCGACGAAATGTGTGTACGTATATATGTCGTGAGAGCTCTCTCAAATGTGATATCAATATTGTAGGTATGTCACCGAGCCAGAACGGATTGCAAACGAACTCGGCGACGTCTGTGGCGGCAGGCATGCAGCACCATGCCGCCGCTGGCCGTTGTAGCGTATCTGGAAACACGCAACAACAAACGACGCAGCCCCAGCAGCAGTTCGGCTTGGGAGAGCCGCAGAGATAAAAGTGACCTGGTCCTAGTCGGCGATGCGCGAGCACGAAACCACGTAGTAGACGCGCGCGATAATATTTCCGAGGGGAGAGTCGCGCGTTCCGATACAGCGAGATGAAATACTAAGGAGGAGAGAAACGTACACACACGAAAGAAGGAAGAACGGCTGAAGAGACGGAAGAGGAGGAGACGACGCGCCGAGTCGCATGACTCGTTCTTTGAGGAGAGACGCGTCGTTTCCCAGAGAAGGAGAGGACGAAAGAAAAAAAAGAGCGTGTCCGCGAAAAGACATCTCTATGAATTGAAGACTACTACGTTAGCCACGCACAATAATAACGACGTTTGTAGTGTGCATGTCCACTATCTGTGCATGTATGTGTGCATCATGTATGTACGAACGCGCGATAGTATCCAAGTGTCGATTTTCTTCTATGACGATGACAACGACGACGACGATGACAATGATGATGATGATGATGATGATGCCGCCGCCGCCGCCGCCTGTCGTTCAACGCGATGACATATGTGTCTCGATCGCTGTTTATTTCCTCCTCGGCTACCTCGAGAGACAATACAGAGAAGGACTACGGATGACACGGACATCGCAGTGGTTCGCTATACATAGTTTATCCGGTAAAAGCACTTGAGAGGCGAGAGACAGGGGATGAAGATCACTTTACAGAATCGTCGAAATCTGTTTTGTCCCTCAGTCTCCGTCCTCCGTTTCGGATTTTCTCGCCTTCTCTCATTGAAATGTAGATCCAAAAAGTCGGTCGAAGAACGAAGACACATCGAGGTATCCCTGTGAAAATGATTGGCCGTTGAATATACGGCTGTTCTATTCTGCGATCCGACTTGTAATCCCTTGTCGCTATGCTAAACATACGACTGATTCTCCAGGATTTGCTGTGCCACAAACACATACACGCATACATACGCACACACGTATACATGTCCTTCGTTTTCGGATCGAGTGTGACAAACTTTTGCTATCACTTCCACGCTACAGTACAAAAGAGCTCCGCTACTACGCGAGGCATGTACACACACGCGCGCGCGCGCGCGCACGTGTGTGTGTGTATACACGTATAGTTTTCTTTTAATTTTCTTATCTCATTTTTGGAAATGATTGTAGTATTCTTTTCTCTCGCGGAGGATGATAGCAAAGTGCGCTTATTTTGCACGCAAAATATATCGCAAATAACCCGCTCTGTTGCTGCTGCATTACTCGGAAAGAGTATTCATTCGCTACCATAATGCTTGCTTAGTCTGTTTCAATTAATTATTCATCTGTTTGCTGTTTACTTATATAACAATGCTCGCGGCAGGTGCATTATTATTGTTGATACGTTGAACGAATTTCGTTTTCGTACGTAGAAACGTATGTATTTTGATGGTATAAAATATACGAGGCTAAATATAATTAAACGGAGATCTTTATCGTGTAAAAATTTGTAAAAAGATTCCCCTTGAATTATATAACGTTTATCTAAGAGTTTTACATACTAATAATTGAGATCCGAGAGATTGCGTGAATAAAAAAAAATAAATGAACAACAGAGAGAAAAAAAAGAAAGAAAGATGTACTCATCGAAAATAATATACCCGGTGTCTCTTTCCTCGTTCCCACTATCGTGACGAATAGCGAAGACTTCTCAGTTGAATTAATGTATATTTCATCGAGACTAGTTGCGATAATATACACATATTGACATATGCGCGACTAGAGAATATGAGCTACCTGTTTTACGTAAACTAGACTTCTTTACGATGTTCACAAACACTCGTCTGGCAGCTGACGATACAATTCTACCTGAAACAGTATATCGAATCGCTCCATATCGTTCGTTATATTTATCCTAACATAGACAAGCAGTCATTTGTTACTACAGATATTTGTACTTGTTTCTATATATTTATGTTACGTAGCAGTGAATTTTTTTACACTTCTTTAACGTTGGGTGTTTCCTGTAATAAGTGGTATAGAGATTGTTTTCTTTCTCTTCACTGACGTCTGACGTTTGTAAAGTGTTTTTAAACAGTATGATGTCCGATCTTTTCATACGTAGTCGTAATAATAGTCTCGAAGGGAGTTGATAAGGGTCATGAGAGTCCAAACTGGACTCTTCTTACTTTACGATCATGCAATAGTTCCAGATTATCCAGATGTCGCATACAGCTTCGTCATTGTGAAATCGTTTTTATGTAAATAATAGTAGATATTAAGTATAAGGAAAATACTTTATGAGTATGAGATATTTTTTCCACGCTTTAAATACCTTCCTTATGTTTGTAACATTTAGACTATTTAAGATAGATGCGAAAGAGGGAGAGAAAGGAAGAAAGAAATATGAACTACTATGTTGAAATTATAATATTACTATTATTGTTTATTTGACTATTAAAGACAAATAAAATGTTCATGTACATAATTTTGAAGAATTAAATAAAATATTAATAATGATGCTTTTTCTTAGCCTTGCAGTTTAGTTTAGTTTCACTTGAACCTTTGTATTTTAGTTTGGAAACAGTCGTTTCAAAAAAAGTATGTTATATAAAAAAATTTACTATATACATTTATACATAACACGTAAAATTTAAGGGATCACATTTTTTGTAATCACGAAAAATAGTTTGAATTTAATGGGTTGTTACTTCCATAAAAACAAGTTATTCAATAAGAATCGAGTAAAACGCGCTTAACATCCAGAGTGTTGAATCGTGCTACTTATAACTAAAAAAATCCCCAGACTTGCTGTTAAATCGTAATAAAAATAAAGATATACATATGTAACTTTAAGTGTAATGCAACGTGTATATCTGATGCATGATCTGCCCAAAAAGTTCATAGATCATTTTTACAAAGTATATATTTAATTATCAGGTACATCAAGTGCATCTCAAAATACTTTTTTCGTGAAATTGCACAATTATTCCAACATTTCTTCCACTAAATTTCTGGAATTTTTCAGCTGCTATTCCTTTCAGAACACGCGTCAGTTTCTTCTTAATGATTTTCCGGTTTCCAGACAGAAACGTTAATCGAAAGGAATATTTTGATAAATAACGATAACTGCTATCGAGTTCAAACATACATACATACATACATACATACATATATATATATATATATATATACCATTACTTTTAACAAAACAAAATAAATATATACGAACTTATTGGACAGATGGCATATCCTGCGAACAACCACGAAAATTACTCCAATGTGCAAACAATTACGATATAATAATTAAATGTAACTTTAGTAATATAACTTTCACGTAATAATAAGTCGCAGAGTATTAAGAACTGGTAACTACCGTATCACTTTTTGTACTCGCGCGAGCACGTTTTCTTTTATCACGTATTAAGGTATAAAGTATTAAATTATAATAGCTACATACGCAATATGCGATCTGTTTTATCGTTATAATATATATGTGTAGAAAATGTATATATATCATACATCGATATATACATCGATTACGTGATGGAACGTTTTGTATATACGTTTTGTATTTGTATATACGTGTAAAATCGCGTATCCTTAATCTTTGAGAATAGTATTCAAGACGTTGTCTCGACACCTTTTCCTAGACCTGACCATCTATCTGGCACCGGTAAGAAATAACGGTGCATAGCGGCTATGAATCTGGCGCGATATTCCTCCGGTGATATTATAGTCGGCAATTTACCCTGACCACCTAATATGCCGGACTTCTTTACCATGGTCTCGAGCTTCTTGTCCCAGGTGAATGTTCTTATGTAGTCTACGGATTGAGATAACAAGTAAAAGGCTAATATCGACCAACGTGAATGAAACTACGTTTGAGTTATTCCTCCATAAGAATTTGATTGGCACAGTTCTTATACAGAGCCGCACTTACCTATTATACCGAGCACAAGTTCGTCGGAACTTGGTTCCAAGCCCACCAACAAGGAATAATCCATTACAGAGTTGTCCGCCAAAAACTTGGTATCTTGTTCGATCGCTCGGTTCAACACCGCTTTGGAATGCGAGCGAATATACAGGGGAGAGTCGCAGCTCACTGCAGAATTCGCACTTATGAACAACATGGACCCACAGGTACGCGCGCATCTCGTCTGAAGACGGACGAATACATACTGTTCAGCAGATTCTCGTCGAGCAGGACGAGTTCGCCCTCGTGGCACGTCTCGTCTGGATTCACCAGACGATTCCGCATAGATCCCTTCAAGTCGAACTTGTCGGTGATGATCCGGTTATAGAACAAATTTTCCATTACCAACACACTGGTACGAAGCGCCGCATTAGTTGTATTGTTTTTAAACGATACTCTGTACACGCCGACTATTTTGCCCAACAACGTCGGCTGCTTAGTTTGCTGGCACTTTTCCATGTAGGCGAAATAATTCGGTGCGAAGTCGAGGAAGATTTGCATTTCCAGTCGGGACATCTCCTTTATGATGAACCTATCGTCTGCGACAGAAAACAGGTATCGATGTGAAGTAAGTAAAGACCACGAACAAAAGCCAGACTGTACTCTTCGTCGTTTTTACCTCTGGTTTTGCAGAAAGCGCTGCCGCTCTTGCCACCTTTTGCCGCCCATTGTACGCTGCGACTTAAACTCCTCGTGTAGCCGTCCTCGCCGCACGGCAAAACGTTCTCCCGCAAAGCGGCGAATTGCGCGGCGAAATATATCCTGCAGAAGAAATTGGTGGTAGCATCATTGAACTGCACCTCGATGTAGTTCTGTTGCTTAATTGTCCTCTTGTCATCATCAGCGACGACGGGCTCGGCGATGCCGGCGACGGCGTTACTCGACTCCACTCCCGATACATTCTTATCGGACTCGATGGGACTGTTGGCTAGATTGGGACTGTTGCCGCGGAAAAAGGATAATACAGACGGTCGCTTGAACTCGTTTGATTGCACAAGATCGAGCGAGCTGTCCCTACCCTCTGGCAACTTGCGCCTGCTCGGCTGTGGACTGGAATTGAACTCTGACCCTTTCGTCGTTCTCAATAACTCCTGCAACGCGTGCTTGTAGTCGTGCGAGTCTAGTGCGTATGCGATTATGGACGAGGGTTCGGACTCGTAAACAACTATAGGCACGACCGAACTGCAACACAGAGAAACGCCAATTATTTTATATACAAAATTCGTCGAGCAGAATGCTCGTTCGGATTATCTTCAATCTGCTAAAAAAAAAATAAAACCATCAACTACTTATTAAATATTTATCAAAATTATATCTCTCACGAATGAAAAAATAAAGTTTGCAGAGTGACCATCTCAGCAACGAAAACAATTAAAATGTTATATAAAATATGACAAAAGATCATGCTGTGTACCCAAGTGGTAGAAGATAGTGCTCCAAAGGTCCCAGAGGATTCATTATCGTATGATTCACGGAAACGGACGGCAGCAATTGAGATAAGATCGTTTTCTTCTTCTTCTTCTTGTCGGATATGTCATCCGATGAGAGCGGCAACACGTCGGAGTGCGATCTTTGATGGATTTTCGGCGAACCTTGATTTCCGGCGATGGCCTCGTCAGGATTGTTTGCGGACTCGTTGTCGGAGTGCTCGGTCCCAACCAACTCGGTCGACGCCTGGAAGTCGGCCTGCATGGCTGCGATCGCGTCCACAGCGTTGTAGTCGGCCGACATCGGACTCAGGTCCTCAAGCTGCGACTCCGATGCGGTATCCTCGGTGATGTAGTCGTCGGTGTCGACCATGTTATTGCTGCCTGCGGTTAAGGAACGCTCGGTGAATCTGCGTGGTCGTTCGTCCTTCCTCTTGGTGGATATCTCTGACAGTTTGCTGTTCCAGGTGAACACAGCTTCGGAGATGAGTCGTTTGAGTATCACGATACCGTCCTCGATTCGGAACATGAGCGCTTGCACTTGTCTCTCCGAGGTCTTGCCTTCGAGCCGCTTGTTCTCCAATGTGGGCGATGTCAGCTTCAGCTGGATCTCCTCGATCTTGTTCTTGAAATACTGCTGCTCCTTGGTTAGCTGCTGCTTGGCGATATTTAAACTCTCCAGGTCCGCCTGCAGAACCTGCGCGAACTTCTCTCGGATCGCCGAGAACACTTCGTCGCCCTTCAGCGCCAGGCTCTTCATCTCCTCGATCACATTCGCGTGCTGTTTCGGATCATAAATAATGTTTATAAGCGGCGGCGGCAACGAGATCTCCCACTGGGAGATTCGCGTGAACTTGAACACGGCGAGCATGTTCTTGCGCGTGAAATACTGATAATGGTCGTGGTGCAACGAGTGCTGACACGCATCCATGCCACGTCTGGTATATACTCCGCCATAGAAGCGCAGCTCAAGGTACTTGGCGAACGACAGGCACCACGTATCGCCGGACATCGGCACCACGGGTGACACGCTTTTGCAGCGCACGCATTTGCTCCACACGAGGATCTGGTCGTCGTTCTCTTGGACGAACGGCTCGGAGTTCATCTCGCTCAGGCTGATATGCACGCAGCCGCCGTCGTGCGCGAAACGACGCACATGTTGGGAGATTTGCGCGCGGCATGCCTGCGCCGGACATTTGTATTCGGTAGTGAGGCAATAACGTTCGAGAAATCGGCCAAGTGCGATGTCGTTCTGCCCGTACATGTCCATGTTGACGACCCAGGGATTCACGCAGAACGCCGGGGTGTCGTTGCCAGTGTGCGAGAAGCTGCAGAACAGCACGGACAGGCGCTGATGACTGCTGGGGTCCAAGCAGTCGGGGCAAACGTTCACAGCACCGTTGGTGACACCGTTACCGGTTACAGCGTTCTGTTCGTTGTTACTCTCGACCGGTGTAATCGACGAGGGCTGTTGCTGCAGCACGTTGTGCGTCGGATAGAGCCGGCTGCCGCACGCGCGGAAATTCGCCAGCATGTTTTGCACGTCACGACTATCGTAGCTGGTGAGTCGTGCCTGCACAAACGGATGCTGAGGCTTGAGTCGCATGTTCGCCCGCGGATTTTCCGACGTGTACTGCTCATTCATGCCCACGCTGTTCGTGCGGATCTCCTTCATCTTATCGAGGAATTGTGCGGAGTAATAGATCTCCCGCGGGAAAAAGCTTCTCAGCAGGCAGTTCCTGCCAAGCTCAGTCTCCAAGTATGGTATGGAGAACTTGAGGTACGGCGACACGCTCAGTACTGTGCCCTCAAGCGACTTCTTGAACTTGTTGAACAGCGGAAAGTCAGCCACGCTCAAGCATTGGCCGTTCGGACTGGTGCGATCTAGCATGTTCCCCTCTTCGTCCTCTTCGTTGAGGTACTGGTGCAATGGATCGCTCCAGTCGCTTATCGATTCCCCGTAGATACGCTTCTCCTCGGACAATAATCTGTCTTTTATTAATTTGCTTCTGTCGAATGACTCTTCGATTTTGTGTTCGGCGCACGGTTCCTTGTTTCCGAACAATTCTGCGGTATTATCGTGTTCCTCCGTGGTATTGTCTGTAATGAAAGCGAACGTGTCGTCCTTGATTTTGCTGTCGTTACGTGGAGTGACATTCTCGCGCGTCGTTGACGTCGACGCGGTTTCCTTCGAGTCGTGCGGAATTGCTTGTTTACATTTCGTCTTGAACAACTTTAAAGTATCATAAGGATCGGAATCCTCTGACAGCATCGACGATACTTCTCGCAAGGAGTCGGAAGCTAATATATTCTCAGAGGAATAAATGCTGCTCTCGTCTTTTGCAACCGTGTTCTGATTAGTCGCATGAGCATTTCGTGTGCTTTGTTGCCCATCGTCAAACGCGCTGTCGACGTATTCCTCGTTTATTTCCGACGATATTTTTGTCTCCACCATCTGAATTTGGTGCTCGTCGACAACGTAATTTTCAATTTCCTCGGTCTGCTCCAGTTTCGGCGAAACATCTTTCTGCGACGTCTCATCCAGAAAGGAATTGTCCTTTGGTGACGGTGGTTTAGCAAATTCGTCCATAAGAAATGATTTCTCGAGACGCCACGAGTAAACCGCGAAAATCATCATCGAAGTGACGCTTTTCACTTTTTTTAATTCAACTTGAGAGCCACCTCGCAGCAGAATCGTCGCACCCAAATGTGGATTTGCGCAACTTTCGAAGTACATTAAGGTCTTGACACCTCCTGAAGATCAAAATCAAACGGTTAATAAAATCGACAGAATTCTCGTACAATCTACTCAATAAAATTTTCTCGATGCGTTTATCTCAAAAACTTTTCAGTATAATAATTCACTCACTTCGCTCATCCGGGAACTCCCTCAAATAAAACTTCTTGCATGTACCAAGCATGTACCTGGCACTTATGTGCGCATCTATAGTGTTTACGATACTAGCACCAGTGCAACGCGCGACTCTCTTGAGCACACTAAGTTTCACATTCAATACTAAAGTTACGCCGCATTCCCTCAGCCTATCCTGGGCGAGTCTGGACACAGATCGATGCACGAGCACCACATCTGGACCCAGAGCAGTGATTCTCGCTACGGTATGTCCCAAGTATTCGCTTTCCTGAGGTTAATTTAAGATTATAATGACATATATGACGATTATTCTGTTCCTGATTTAATATTCATCAGGTACATTTGAAATAAACTGAAATAATTGGAGAAAATACATAAAAAATACAAGTACGATAAGAAGGTAGAGAACTCAGTATCTTTGAAAATTACTCACCTGCATCATTACAGGCTCCAAGCTCAATAACTTGCCTTCCACACGCTGATACATCAGTCCGCATTGCAGCAATAAGATTTTTGGATGTGCGATCATGGCGTTCATGCCGCGATGAGCGATATTCTTGCTGCAAACCACGCCGGACACAATCTCGCAGTCGTCTCTACTACCACCGGGACATTTCTTAAACTGCACGTATTGTCGAATGTCTATATTGTCGGCGTCATGATTCAAATCTGGACGAACGTGGTCGACGATCTGATGCGCGACAGACAAAATCGTGTTAGACCACGTCTGCGACAAGCCCTCCTTGCTAAGCAGCTGCTTGATAAGAGAATCTTCATGCGCTTTGTATGCGGACCTGCGCATAAAAAAATATTGCTCATATATTTTTCTCCTCCGCATTTATTAATTATTAATTATATTAAACAAAATAATTATTATTAATTATATTAAACAAAATAATAATAAGTGCTTATAGTTTAATTTTAATAGAATACTATTTTATTCTCGCTATATATAGAAGAGTCTAAGATTAAAATTTATCTAGAAGATCTAGAAGAATACTTTTACTAAATCATTTTCTCGTCGATTAATTCTACAACAATAACTTACGTTAAGCATTCGTAGGCGTTCAACTCGCCGAAAACTGTCCTCAAGTTGGTCGCTCTATGCCAACCGTTCTTTTCCTTGAATTCGTGCACCTGAAGCGTATCGCTTAAAAGATCGTCACACATCTTGAGGTTGCAATCGTGCGTTTTTGTGAAACTAATTTCTTTTTGCTCAACTATTCCGTCGCTACTGTCTATGGAAATCGTGGTCAGGTCTTCCGAGGTCGGTCTCTTCAAAGTAACTGTGGATGCCTCCAAGTTCAAATCTAAATAAAAGCTTGAACTGGACGAAGGTAAACGACCAAAAGTCGATTGTGCGATATTCGAAGGTACACGACCAAAGGGTATCGAAGTCGTCGGTTTTGTTTCGCTTTCGGAATCTATAAACGAATGATTTTCGTCTAATGATCTATATATCATCGACAATTTCAAATTGGTAACATTACCGGTAGTGGAATCATGCTGAGGAATAGTCTTCACCCATGCTGGTTCTTGAGCATCGCACGTCGTTTGCTTCTCTGTTAACAGATCTATACTTTGTAGAGAAGATAATTGTACCGGTTTAAATATTGTTGCTGTATCGCTAAATACATTATCAGCGACGACCGGCTCGATAAAACCAGCTTCTAGTAATGCTTGACCAATCGCTGTTGCCTGCACACTAAAAAAAGTTAGTTACTTTTTTAGTATCAGTAAATCATAATTTTAACTAGAATTACAACGAGATTATAACTGAAACAATTTATTGTTCGAAGGTTAAAGTTAGCAATAATTAGACTAAAATTAACAGCTTATCCATCTATTGATAAGTATATATACCGCGTGGCTGCTTTATTCTGAGCTATCATCCAATTCACCAGCTCGTTCGCCAGGAAACAATTGTGATAACTTTTCAGTCGGATCCTATGTGTTTGTAAAGGAATAGCTTGACCAGATCGGAATAATTCCTCACAGATCATCCGTAAGGAAGCCGAATTTTGTAATACGAGACTACGTTCGTGCGACGTTAAATAACTGTTACCTGATCTGTGACAAATGAGAAAACGTATAGCAATATTATTATTGGAAGAAAAAGGAAAATGCAATATTTACAGATAGATGAATATTTATAGATAATTGGATAAAAAGTCCCCTCAAATAATATATATATGTATGTATAAATTAATTTATACCGTCCGATCGCATAATTTTCCTCCATATATCCCACGCTTGGTTTTCGAGATATCAACGTTTCGTCTCCCATCGATTCATTCGTATGCTTCCGAGTTAACAGCGGCGAATTATTTCCATATTTCACTTGAAGATCTTCCTGCAGTGCTTTCAAATCCGCTGATAAATCGCTTCTCATGTCTGACGACTGCAGATAAGAAAGGACCACTTTACAGCAATATGTACAAACTCTGAGATCTCCTGTAACATTCAGGCATGATGAATTATACATCATATCATTATAGATTATATTCATATAGTCACTTCTGTATATATAGCATGTTAAGAAAATGTATCTATGTTTTTTTACCAGTGCATCCCATGATTTTCCCTGGTATTTGATCAGAGCAGCATTTGGAGCAGAAAATTTGGCCACACACACGACAGTGATGTCTTCTTCGAAAAGTAGTAAATCTTTCACCGCACTCATAGCACTGCTTGCTCACACTGTCTGGCATCCAATAGCTTCTTAACTGAGAATCTTTATACGAACGTAGGTTCTTCAACCCAGAATGATTTAAACATTCTTAATAAGTCATAGTGTATTACGAAAGTTGTTGTAGTTGTAAAACAAAATTGATACTTACATTGCTCTTTAATGCTACTATATTGCTGATACGTTTCAGGACATTTGGTAAACTACGACCCTCGTGAGTATCTAAAGGAAAATTTATTATGCTGGTGCTATCATCATCAGGAGTCCGTTCTGTACTTTCTGATTGCTTCCATGATTCAGAGTCAGAAGAGCTACGTTCATCGTTATTCGAGGATACTGTAGGATCATTGATGCCCGATGAATCTAAACATTAATTTTAAAGCATTAATAACTGAGCAATATAATTAAGTACTGAATAATACACTTATTTGATTGATATATTGAAATATGACTAATAGCAATAATTTACCAACAGAATAATTGACACATAATAATTATAATATGTAAAAATTGATATATTATACATATTTATGTGTGCATACATGATATGCAAATACAGTAACATAATCTTTACCTAAATAACTAATTAATTACATAAATAATCGAAAATTAAATAAGTAAATCATGGACAATAATTAACAAGTACTGACTTCTAGCAAAGTTGAAGAACCTGGAAAAGAGGGACGCTACGACAGGTTGGCTCTCCTCGGGACTCAACGGAGCGAACTCCGTGAGTTTTGACGGCGAGTTCATGTTTTTGTTCATTTTATGCCGATACTATCTACAGATGAACATCTTGAAAATATGGTTAATACTACTCGTACATCTAAAGACACATTCCTGCTCTAAAAACCACTGTCGAGTTTATACGATCTGTCACATAAGTAAGACAGACCGCCGGAAATAGAGTTTGTCAGATGTCTGATGCTTCGTAAAGTAGAAAAATAGCGTGAGACAATTCGCACATGCGTATGCGCAGTAACATAAACGTTAGCAGACGCTCTCGTGCTCAGCGTGCACACATTTACATACGTCAGATGACGTTCAAGCAGTGCTGCGAAAATGTGCCTGAGCACACCGTAACGTGCGAGGGGAAGCATCCCCTCCACGCGCCTTCTCCGCTCTCTTTCTCGCTCGGCGAGGCGACGCGCCTTCACACCGATAGACGGAGCAGTAGCATTGAGTGCGAAGAAGGCGCACCGTAGCGTGCGAAGGGGACGCTTCCCTTCGCAACACATTTTCGCAGCACTGCGTTCCAGCAATATGAATTCTCCAATAGAATTTGACAGATGTCTCAGGTAGTTGCATAGATGTCGCTAAAAACGGTGTTAGCGTTTATTAGATATCCACGACAGATGGCACTGTCAAGAAAAACCGTTGGCTCTTTCATTTGATTTTAACTGCAATATGGACGAGGTACGTGTCGTTAGAATTAACAACTTGCTGCGGATACCGAGATGGTTAGTCTATAATGAGATATTGATTTTATAATTTATTATTATCCGGAGACATTTTGTAGATGAGTGCATATATCTGTGGCGCGGTAATATGGACTTTCGCAAAACTGCATCTCTCTCTCTCTCTCTCTCTCGCTCGCACACGCATACATACATACACTCATACTATCTCTCTTCCTCCATGTTAGGTTTGAATGAACTGTGAAATCTTTTTCTAAGTTTTAGGTTTTTTTTAGGTTTAGGCTGATAGTTTTTACAGTATTTTGTTGATCAGCTTCCGCAAATTTATTTTTTTCGTGCTCCTTTCCTCTCAAAGCTTGAACATACAATTGTTTTATCTATTTTCATATCGTCGCAAGCTACCACGATGGCCCAAGTAAAATTCGCACAGGTACTTATTTTACTCTATTATATAGATTATTATGTAAGTACAATATATTCCAAATTTATGCATCTGTAATACTCGCGTCGAGATCCTAAAATTTTTAAGAGATTGTTCGAGCAATGTCACTTCCATTTGCAAGCCATATTCAGCAGACGCAATGCAACCCATTCTGGTACTTTTATTCCTTAAAAGGTCAGTTTTGTTTATTTGAAAAAAATTTGCTTCTATTATTTAGGAAAACTGTGAAGAGGAAGCAGAGAAATCAGCAAGTGATGCCATTCAGAGATAATGGTGTTAATCACTCGTAAATTCGCCCAACTCACACCGAGCAGCCTCGGCGTTCGCCCCTTAGCCGACTATCCTATTTACCACCCTGCCGACCGGAGGCGGTGAGTGCAGCAACCTCGCAGCTGCGCAGGTGTATCGCACCCGGCACCTGCCTTCTTATCAACATCTCCGAAAAGTTCTCCAGTCACGCCAAAGGGAAGGTCCGGCTCGGCTACCATCCTCTGTATTCTCGTCTGACCTCACCCTACTCTCGTTCCTGGCGCAACTTTGCCGTCCGGAGAGACGAATTTCCTGCGCTCTCTTGTTACTGTTGCACCTTCTCGCACCACCTGCATCCATCGGCAGGCGAGCTACCGCCGTTGTTGGGCAGGACGATGCGATGGGCGAGGGCAGAAGCGACCGTTCCGGCAAAAGGTAACGTTTCGCGCGCCGTACCGCGCCGCTCCTTTAGCCAGCAATCGCCGCTCGAATCTGCGTATATCGAGAGCTCTCGCGAGCGATTCGATCGCACATACGTGAGATGTAAACTGCTTTATACGCTGTTTCAAATTAAAACTTTGACCAATGTCTCGAAGATCCTGATAGTCTGAAATTCATTTGTGAAATTCATTTACGTCTACGTACAGATAACAGGTATATAGTTAATTATGTATAGACGTATGCAGAAAACATATATAGCTACGTATACAGCTTGTACTATGATATAGTTGTGACTTTTTTGGTTTTCAAAATATTTGAAACTTTCAACACATTCGAGGTTCTCGAAATATTTAAAAAAGTCAAGGGACTCTTAAATTTTTGTCAAAATTTACTTTTCTTCCTCTCTGCTTTTCTGACCATTTATACAGGACACAACAATTGGATCGGGCTTTAGAAAGAAAATTGTATCTTTGTTGTTTTTTCTAAAAATTAATTTTTGTATTAATAAACTCTATTAGAGGAAGCAAGTTTCACTATTTACACCTCTTAAATTTTCACTCCTTTTGGACTCGTTTTCCTCGAAAGATCTCGTTTCGTAGTGATATAGCCTTTCGAAAAAAATCGATTCAATTGCCAAATAATGTTTGTATAATATGGCAACTTATTTGATAAATAGTAGATAAAATCATGCCGCTAATAACACTTTCTAAGATATACGTATATTAAAGCATTCTACTTATTATGCGTCTTATGTTACACAACTGCTCGTAATGAGACGATTACTCTTAACGATCTGCCGCAAATTGATATTGAAGACCACTTATCGGTATCAATATATACGAACTTAATTTCCTGTCTGCGCGCGGAAGATTTTCAATATTCCTTCTAATTTGATGAATGGCGAGCACTTTACGGTCGCGGAGGGGCTTTTAACTAAATTATCATCGCTAGCAATCGTTTAACCCCATTTAGCCCAATCGTTGATCACACCTTTGCGCAATGGTACAATCATCTGCTAAATTTGTCGATACTGTTTATCGCGCCCACTTTTCCAATTTAATGACAACGCCCAATTAATCCTTTTTAGAAATTCGGCGTCTCTTTCAACGTGATCCAATGTCAATATGTCCATCAATTAGACATATTTGTATACGGAAGAAAGTTCGAAAACTGACAAAAACAATTCTACAGTTCGTCAACTCGAGAAACTCGGTGATGAGGGACGAGATGAGTGAAGGACTTTTTATGACTACCTGGCCTGGATTTCCTAATATGAGATGGTTTGCGTGCAAATACCGGCGGTTCGGTAAAATGCGTTGAGATTGAATCACGCACGACCGCGGAACAACTGACCGAAGCGACAGTGCGCTCAGTTGTAAACTGGCGTGTGTGCGTGCGACCACGTGGCGCAGACATTAATTTAGCCGCGCTGCTATAGAAATTCGCTGTGCCAAGTGGTTAGGACACGCGCGAGGGTCTGTGTATACACACACACACACACACACACACACACACATATATATATATGCATGAGTTCATAGCTAAAATCGGGGTCTTTGGGTCAAACGGAACTTCGGCATTACGAATCGACCGAGAAGAGCAAATCAACGGGCGGTAACCCGAGTGAGTAAGGGCGAGACGAAGAAAGAAAATCAATGGGATTCGCGAAGAAAGTAGTCGTCGGCCGCGACTCAAATTAACAACATTATCGCGGTTTCGCACGCACGGCTGAGGAAAGGGATTGTAAGGGGAAAGAAAAAAACTTGGCAGCGGTGGGATTCGAACCCACGCCTCCGAAGAGACTGGTGCCTTAAACCAGCGCCTTAGACCGCTCGGCCACGCTACCACACGCGATTCGATGAGTCCTCATACGAGTATACAAGGGTCACTCTGTTGATTGAGAAATGTTTGAGCTTTCTCTCACTCATGTCTAGTTATGATCTATATAATAGAAATAGAGATTTAGGGAGAGATATAGGATGTCTGCATAAATAAAGATTCTACTTGAAATAGTACGTTTCCGACTTTTTTTTTTCATGTGGAATCATCAGCTGTACCGGTTGTACTATCTTCAGCTATGGAACAATCTGTTGTCATTGACTTGTTACGTTATGTTAGTATGTTACTTTTTCTTTTATATATTATTACATGTGTTGCATTTTTGTCGAAACGATTATATTATGTTAATTTATTGTATATTATTTTAGAAAACGTTATCTTGTATAAATTGCCAAAGAATGGCGCAGACTGTTTGTGATTATTATCATGCATTGAAACAGGGATATCTCCACTCCGTTCCTTCTCTTCATGTCCGAGAGTCTTCATGTTTCGATAATCTATAAGTATTTATGAAATATCTAACTTATTTCTGTTCTCTCTCTCTCTCTCTCTCTCTCTCTCGGGTATTCTTTTTCCCGGTTTCGACCGCAGGCATCGAGCTACAACTACATCGTCGGAGACGATGTTTCACAGATATCACGCTTGTCCTCGAAGTAATTCGCGAAGGTTGACGTGCGCGCGAGCCATTAGACTGGGAGGAGATTTATTTTTCGAGCTTTACGTTCTCTCTGCAGATCGATTCGTCGCGTCTGGGAGAGCCGTTGTAATGGCATGCACGTACCTTCGTACCACTCTCTTCCTGTTTCTCGTCCTCCCTATGCCCTCCTCGCCGTTCGCCGACCCGCCCTCTTACATCCCTAATTCGCCTTCCAACATTCCCTTCAGGCGTCTCTCATCGCTATCGGAAGATGTTCAGTAAGCTTAGGTCGTCCATCCACATCACATCGCGAGATCGTTTTGCTTGTTTCGTACGTGAGTCTTGTACCCTTGATCGTCAGTACAAGCTCCGCCGAAGCTAATAATTCTTTTTGATCAAAGTGTAATAAGAAACCTATCATTATGCAAATTATCTGACAAATGGAAAATATTAGAAATGACACTTATCGGTATAATTATTGAACAAAACGAAACTCGCAGATATATAAAATTAAATGTTAAGCGCGCTACGCTACCATTTTATTTAATTAAAAATTAAATGAAGATCCAAAGTACAGTCTCACGAATTCCGCGAAAGGAAAATGAAAGGGTACCACGACTGAATGAGTGAAACGTATCTAACTAACGTCGGGGCGAAAATTAAGCCCGTGAGATTACCATTAAACACCTCTAATTAATACCGTTCTCTTATCTAAATCTCAAACAGGCAAAGGTCCTCCTCCACCCGCGGCATCGGCGAGTCTTCCTCGGATTCCGAGATAGCGCGCGGCAAAGGAGGCAAGGGTAAAGCACGCAAGAGCAAGGTCAAGGAAAGATGGCCGTTCCTCGAAGGGCTGACAGTCGACGAATTGGCTCGATACCGACGAAGACGCGTACACGACCGGCCGAAGGACAATCTCCAACCTTATCCAGAACTGTCACCGGTGGTTATCCAGGACCCCGCGTCTGAGTATCAGCGCGCATTCGGTATGACCGTCGAGGAACCGTCTAAGGTATTTGCAAGTTGTAACGCTCCTGCAATACTCTTCTTGGTACTCTGCGATTTTTCTCTAATTCTTTATTCGTATCATAAATTTATATCTGAAATCGTTTCATCCTAATCATAAACAGATACGAGATTTTGTGAGTTTCTCGTGTTCTCAAAAAAAAAAAATGTTAAAGACGAAAATTGTTCGTCCTAAATATGTACGAGCGTTTTTACGTCATAATTAATTATTAGTTATGATTTATAGATAATCAGTATTAAGAGCGTATACCCGTATAATAGGAAAATGTCTGGCCAATAAAAGGTAACGAATCTGAGGATTATCCGCGTGTAGAAAGGACCATCGAGGATGCGCGATCTTCACGTCGCATGGCTCTCAGCGAACGCGAAGCGATCGAGGATCGATCTGTTGCAAAGAGGACTGCTCCCCCTCATGATCACGAAACGATGGATGCCTCGAAATTTGAGACTTCGATCAAACGTTCGTCTCCTATTAGGAGGTAGTTATCGATTAATCTTGCCATGTTTATTGTTTATGAATACTATTATCTACGAATGAGTTGGCTGGCATTAATGATTTTAATAAATAATTCATTGCTACAAATTAATCACGAAGATAATAATAATAATAATACTCGTAATAAACATGATATAAATAATCGCTCCAATATAACATGCAACATATAAAATTATATTGAATTATTGCAACTGTAAAATTTTACATAGTTATCTCGATGATACAAGATATAATTGAATGAAAAATACGTATGTCATGAAAATTTTCAGAGGGTGGAAACTTGTGTAGTTGAAACGTCGTTATAGCAATTGTTGTCGCAAATTGTTATACGATCATTCGATCGTTTATTTAGCTAATTTCGCGAGGACTACTAATCTTTTCCTGCCATGTATCCGCAAGTTCAGGACACGACATATATCAAAACTGTTCCGAGACACGCGAGTTCGCAAGCATTGCGGAAGTATAAGACAAACTGTCATATTGCTATAATGTGATTGTCTGTCATGCACTAAATCGCCAGCGGAATTGCCTTGCCGCTTTCTTTTGCTTTCTTATTGGTCCGTCGTGACATCTATCTACTAAAGTATCGGTGTATACTTTATTTAAAGCTGCGCATTCGGACGAACGAATACGTAATGACGATTCGATCTTTCAACCCGGTGCACGTAGAGAGAAATAAATCCGATGTGATAAACACGATGTAGAGTGAAAATTGTTCAAAAGTGTCATCTCACAAATCATGTTACGAACAGGGGCACCAGCTTGAAATGCGGCGGTGATTTCTACACGGATACGGAAACATACACGGCGTACGTACCTTATGAAGGTCAGCACCGAGCCGAGCTCGCGCGCCGACCCACGTCCTTAAGGATGGAGGGTGAGCTGGATACCATGACGGAGAAGTGCGAGAAGTTCATCGAGTGGCTAAACGTCAGTCGACCGGAGCTCATGCGTATACCCACCCACCTGAAGATGGAGGGCGAACTGGAAACATCGACGGAGAATCACGATAAATACGTCCCGTTCGTAGGCGCGCGAAGACCTGAACTGCTGAGACGAAGTACGAATCTAAAGCTCGAGGGAGATACGTACTTTCTGCCGGAATATACGGACGTGTTCAGGGACTACAGCATCAAAGGTGATGAACGTTAAGCTCGTTGCGTTCGACAAAACGTTTGGGCTTTGCTTTAAATTTTGATATGTTCGACGAGAGAAATTCAAGTTCGAAGTTAAAAATCACCTATAGAAAGTTCAAAGAAACTTTGTAAAATTATGTCCACGTTATGTATATTGCAGATAGACTGCAGCCCAAAAAGCCTCAGACGCACTTAAAAGCCAGTGGAGATTTTTTCCAAGACACGGAAAACACGGAGAATTTCGTCCACCCTCGTGTTAAGCAGGCACAGCAGCAGGCTAAACTAGTTAGAGATGATGACAATGATGAGGAAGACAACAGACGGATGAGATCTCTCGAGCGGAAGGAGGACCGAAAGAAGGACGAAGAGATGAGAATGTTAGTGTCGAAGTTGGAAGATCTCAATGGCCGACCGCTTGATATCCCGGAATATCGAGACGCTTATAAGGTATTTAAGGCATTTAAGATTCTATCTGCGACTATTCGACTACAGCAATTTGTATATAACAACCTTTAGTATGTATTTAAAATTTTTCTCCGTTAGCTCTTTTTTCATTTATCATATAAAAAATGATTTCGGAGTTAATGATTGTCATGATCACAGGACTTCCCACGCGAACGGCCGAAGATCTCGAAACCGGACGACGAGATAGGTCGTGCCGACGGCTCAAAAGTATCCTCGCCGTCACGCTCTAAGTTTTCCACGAAGATAGATCAAGACCCGGAATACAAATCCAAGTATCTAGAATATCCGCGGGATCGTCCCATATATCGGAAACCGCCAACGATGCTGCGACCGACGATGGCAACCTCTCCTACGCGTGGTAGCGCTTGTTTCTTTAACAGGATCCAGCCGATTCACCAGGAGTGCCGCGCATTCGAATACGAACCCATTAGCGAAGTGAGGTCGCAGTATGTTCCATATGGACACGTGCCACGGGTCGAGACATTGAAGATGCCGGCGAATTTACGGCCGGAAGGTAACATCGACCTTCAGCCAGAATACAGAAATGCCTATTGCGCGCGATATGATCGTCAAGATGGCGGCTTAGAATCCCGAGCATATGGCAGAGCTGATCGTAGTCCAAACGCCTCAAGAAGAGGTGAGAATTATTGGTTGAATGACAACAATAACAACGATTATCAGTGCGACAGGACGCCTCAGGATCAAGACGCGTTTCGAGTGTTGAACACTCGGATTCTCGAGGACAACGTCATTGGGAAGCCACCGCCCGCCAGTAGAAGGTACATTTAATTGATTGAACGTTTATAATATTAACTTGTTTAACGCATGCCTTTGCAACGCATTATAATTGCTTTTATCAATCTTACGATCTATGCAGAAGTTCCAAGCTCTCCCAGGCTACGGCGCCAAGACTAGCGCAGCCGACAGAGCTGACGGATCGCGCGGTTACGAGAATGCGATCTCCTAGTCCAACGTATCGACTTCACGTGTGCGACGTGGACAACGAACCACGAGGCTTCGGTCAGTCAGCCAGACAGTCTTCCGAAAGGATACGTAGCCCCTCGGCCGACCGTATAAGTCGCAATGACGTTACCAGGCCATATTCACCTAGTTTCGGTAGAACAGACATCAATAGGCAGGATCGTCGCGTCGACGATCAACCATTCGTCGTTTTGGATCAAGCCTTGAAAACCACCTCGGCTAGGAGACGGAATGTCGATGTCGCAGTACCGATCTCCCGAAGCAGGCCTAGAACACCGACCAGGTGGATGCCACCGTGGTACGACAATACGAATACGATTTAGAGTGCAAGAATTCGTCGAAGAAGTATGGTCGAACTGCCTGAAATTTTAAAAGCCATAATCCTACATTCGACAGCGTTAATGAACGACTAACAAATGATTTTTGCGTTAGACGTCTTAACATCTAACTGACTCTTAGTACCTAAACGTAGACGTCAAGCAAATGCCAGAAAGTATATGTGCGAAAAATTCTCTCGTGTCAACTTTCGTAGGCGAAAAATAGAATTAATAATAAATAAACACTGCCTATGTAACTACGTATGTATTACTGAGAGATCAACTGGGAGATGTTTGAATATACGTTCTACTATATAGTGTAAGAATATTGGAGGTCAGTATGTTATATATATATATTACCTGTTGTAGTTGCAATAAGTGATAAAGTAATATCTCGTACTACTGCCAATCTTTTTTTATACTTCTTTACTGCTAAATGTAACCTTACAGGTTCACAAAAAAAATTTGATTTCCGATACATCCTGGAAAAGAACTAAAAAACAGTTATCTTTGCCTTATAGTGATAAACAAAATTCGAAGGTATTAACATACTTATCGGATTATTAAAATCTATATCCATCTGTATTATTTTTTAAACATTATCGACCGCGTCCTTTTATCCTTCGCTTTAAGATTATATTTAGATTGCATTATATTCTGCCTTTTTATCTTGTTGGATAAATAAATAAACAAATAATTGAGTAGAAGTTGTATACAAAAGAGAGAGAGAGAGAAAGAGATAAAACACATGGAAAATTAAATGGAATTAAATTAACTAAAAGGAATAAGCCATGAAATATCTTCTGATTTTAGCAGGAAAGAAAATCTGATTCAATGATGTTATTAAGATGAATTTGCAGCTGACTTTACGAACACACGTCAGTTCGTCGAGTAAACACGTCAGGTGCGCAGTGGTCTGTCCACGTCAGTTCGTCGTTTCGTGTATGGATGTTTCGTGACATAACCTATAAAGTGGTCTGTCTTCGAAACACCGTAGCGAGACGTTCACGCAGATGACAAGTTATTTGCACATTCCCTAGCATAAATAAGGTACTTGTTTAAATTCTATACATATCGAGTCAACTAAATTATATCGAGTATGTAAAAACTCCGAATACGATAAGATGCGGTAACGATAATCAATAACAATAATTTTGATATCAGTGAGTAACATATGCTATCCTTCGAACAGAGTGCAGCGAAATGCATTGGATGTTGTGTGCATTGATCATCGGATCATTCGGATGCAAATACATACATGCTCAAGCGCAAAGAGTCGCGCCGGGCGTGCCGCCACAGCATTATCAGCAGGTAGGTTATGTTTTTGATAGTATCAGCAAACATATGGTGCTGATACTCTGTATTGCACCAGTATGTATGACGTGGTAGTTATTTTGAACTATTTATATTTTATCGTAATGTTGATTTATCCCTTGATTTATTCCTTGATTCGTTTGTTTTAGCCTGTTCAAGCGCCACCACCACAACACATTCCACAACAGCAACAAGTAAATTCATGATCATAATTTGGTCTTTCAAATATTTATTAATAACGTCATCCCTTTTATACTGTAATAACTTTCGTATTTATTATTAATGTTAAAAATGACTTGAAATCTTATTAAAGTTATTAATAATTTCTGTTCAAGTATCAACAAGTACCCATGCAACAACAGCAAGTACCTATGCAACAGCAGCAGGTTCCTGTTCAGCAAGTACCCATGCAACAAGTACCTATGCAACAACAGGTACCTATGCAACAAGTACCTGTTCAACAGCAGCCACCAGTTCAACAAGGACATGGACATGGGCATGGGCATGGGCCTGGACAAGGGCAACCTCAAATACTTAATGCTGCTAATATAGCTCATGAGAAAGAGTAGGTAACAATTGGAGAGAAATTTAAAAGATTGGTAACCAATTCAACAACTTGTTGATTTTTAATTCATATTGAAGTAATCAGAATTAGAATTAATAAATATAAAATACGCTTAGAGGACATAAATGTGTGAGATTTTTATGCATTTTCAAATTTTGAACATTTATGTTGTAAGACTATTTTTTCTTTTCTAGACACATCGCAGAACATGCTGATGTACCAATAGATACAAGCAAGATGACAGATCAGGAGTTACAGTTCCACTATTTTAAAATGCATGACGCGGATAACAACAATAAGTTGGATGGTTGCGAACTGATCAAGTCTCTTATTCATTGGCATGGTATATAAAATTTAATCATTTTTGCTGTGTTTTGTTTTTGCTGATATCATAAATTCATATGTATTATATTTATAGAACAAGGGAATACAGAGTCTGGTGGAATTCAAGGTCATAAAATATTCACTGATGATGAGTTAGTACAATTGATAGATCCAATACTTAACATGGATGATGCTAATAATGATGGCTACATCGATTATCCTGAATTTATTCAAGCCCAACAGAATGCTGCGGCTAACTCGCGTGTATAATGGTACAATCCGTGTGAACTGGAAACTTAAAGAACTTTTGTAAAGACTATATAATGAGGAATCTCATTATATTATTAATGTTCTGCGATGCTCATTTGTCATATCGTTATTATACATTTATATATGTATGATAATGCATATATTACGTCGAATTCTGTTGGTATTTGTGATAATCTTTTCACTCACTCGATTATAATTATACATAATAAGAAAAAGGAAAAACTTAGATTTTTTATGTAATATCGATAACAGATATATTCGCACGAAACTGTCATATAAAATATAATTAAAAACGATTTAGAATATCCTAAAATTCTCCTTGGTTATTTATAATATTTAATGAAATTAATTTCACGATGACAGTATTTACCGTGCATTATTATAACACAAAATGTAATATTCTCTAGAGCATTATTAAATTGGGTTTTTGATATAACGACTATTTTTATAAAGATGAAAATATTTTATAGATTCTTGTTAATAAATAAGAAATCATTTATTAGTTTTTACTGTTGTTTATAATTGAAATATATAAAATAATATAGAATTTGGATTATGATAGATGTTTTACTAGCGGTTTCTACATACAACATAAACTATGAACAATCTCTTGTATCCATATAGTAATGTATATATTATCTTCAATATTTTTGAATGAAAAAATGTGTAACAATTTAAGTTGTTTTTATCGATCACACTGCACAATGTTCCTATAAGAATTCAATTTTTATTTAGATAACAATTATTTAGATAAAAAGTAGGAATTTGACAAATATACAAAAGAATCGATAGAGCTACTTTATGTAAGATATTTATCATTTGTTATATTCTTATATTAAAAGATACTATTGTCAGTAACCTCACAAGCACGGAAACATTTATAATTTTATACGACGTAAGTAAGCATGTCATAATCTAATTACATTTATTTTACTCAAGGAATGTTATTTTACTCAAGCGCAAATATCGGTAAAAATTTCACCATTCTAGAGCATAGTCATGGAAATACTTACAATAGTGTAAAAATATGATAAACATGCTCAAACTAGATTATAACTAGATTCTTTTAAGACTAGATTCTTTTAAGACTAGATTCTTTTAAGACTAGATTCCTCCTTATTTACTTATAAATACATTCCATTGACCAAGTAATCGGCATCATGCGCATAAGGTCCGTGCCCGCATCTTCCACGCCGTCTCCTCACTACCCTAAAACCGCAACTAATTAAGAAAACCGCGATAACGGTTGCTATAAGTCCCAACGTTAATGACACCATGGCTCCTTTAGGGTCGTTTTCGATTATTTGAACACGTTCCGAGATAATGTCAGTTCTCTCATGTGTTCTAGCATGCTCCTCGATCACAATTACACTCTTCTGATCTATAGAAAATATAAATCATTGTTTCATAATAAAATGTTAAACAAGTCTGTGGTACTAAATGAAAAGTATTGTATCTGTAATTCGCCAGGATAATTATTCGTATCTTAATTTTTTCAGTGTGTAAATCTATTATACTTTTACCTTTAGAGTCTTTTGAATGACTATGTTTAGTAACATAGTCATTGTTTGCTGATAAATTTGGTTTTCCAGTCACTTGTTTGCTCACATGCTTTGTGTGAGCTAAATGTGTATCTACTTCTTTTTTCTTATCGAATTCTGTATTTTGTGTCAATTCACTTTTATGCTCCTCAGAAGTCTAGTAATGAGATTGTTGTACAAACACTCAAATATATATTATCAAGATTACAATGATTCAAATTATCAACTTATGCTTACCTCACAGACAGATATCGTTGTAGTTTTTGCAATGTTTTCTGCATTATCGATTTGCTTGTTTTCAAAATTTGCTGCAGGAGATGCAGACGGTGACAACAGCATCTGATTCTCTTGCCAAGTCCCTTTGTTTGGGGGTGGGAAACGCGAGTTATACAGATGTTTGGAATCCATGTAAAGACCTCTAATGTAAAATTATATTACAAGGCAGTGAAGGTTTAGTGATGTTTAATTTAATAAACAATAGGTTAATACTTTGTATTACCTATCCGCTTCACTGTTTCCTAAAACGCTCGAGCCTTTATGATTAAATATATGTGATTGCTCTGAAAAAAAAAAAAAAAATAAAGTATAAACACACGAGTGTTCACACAATATATACACATATTCATATAAATGATTAAATATTTATACAATACTTTTTCAGGAAGTTTAAATATTCTTTCAATATTATACAATAAAAATCTAGAATCAATTTTTCTGTCGCGAAAATGATGCAAAAAATAACACTTGTGACAACTCTCACAGAGAATCCATCATTAAAAAAACAGAGACATTTTGAAACATACCGGATATTATAAAAGCATTATATACATATTACATTTTACGTACGTTCGTAAGGATTTATATTCTGTTCTTGGAATGAATTTACAGGAATATACGACTCTTTGTTTTGCTCGTACAATGGCTGGTAATCCCACTGATAACCTGGTGACCCGTAATTCTTACGCATTTGCGTTTGTATCTCTACTGGCTGACCGGGATATAACATATTCTGTGGTTGTGACATTTTATGGGCCATATTGCCAGGTATCTCCCAAGTTTTAGAATTAATCTCAGATCCAGCAGGATAGAAAGGGACAAAGGGTGGCGGCTTGTGCTGATCGATAATCTGTTGATATCTTATAATATCAGCAGGTGGCTGTGGTGCTTGTATCATTGAAGGCATCACCACTGGTTTCTCCGTGGGACATATGAGATCGGCTGCTTCATCGGAGCCGTCTGCACATTGCGGAATACCGTCGCAAACATTGTATATAGCTATACAGTCTCCAGATGAACGACATTCATATTGATTCCTGCTACAAGCTATCAATGATATTTATGCTATGAATCTAGCTTATATTGTTATATCTAGCTTTTATATATAAGTAAATTAATACACAAGTAAATTAAGATAGAAATCTCAATATGTAGTTATATATATTAGTGTATTTAATTGAATTTATTATAAAATTTGAAACATTAGATAAGGATACCTGATTTAATCGGCGGAGGAGTAGTTAATATTATTTTTGGTATCTGTGTAACTATAGATTTGATGGAAGCCTCTGTAAATCCATAATCTGAAGTAATATCATTATTTTTTCTGCAAGATATGAGAGAAATTAAAACGCTACACGATTAGAAAGCTGATGAATATGAAAATTCAAAAGGAGAATCTCCTTAGTGATTATATAAATACCTAAGTGATTTTAACTCATGTTCTTGTTGAGATATTCTAATTTCTTCTTCTGCTTGTATATTCTGTATGGGATAACTGGTACGTACAGCACTGGTATAATTAGCATGTCTTGTAAATTTGCATTTAAAGTCATGAAGTGGACCACATTCAAAGAGATAGCAACTACCAGGTTTCTATAAAATAAAGTAAAATATAATGGGGTCTGCTTTAATTTCTTTAATATCGTATCTAAATTTATCATTATTCTATTCTCTGTTACATGTAGTATCTACAAATGCTTACCTTTTCTTCAAAAATGAACACATCACACCGTTCAGTTTCACAGCAATATCTCAGACAATCCAATTGGGAATCAACGTCCATCACATTCAAATGCTTAGCACCCATTTTACGAGAGTCCTGGGTTTTGATAATCTTGTCTTTATGAATGTCAAAACTTTCGAGGCACATTTGGTAGTTACTCGCGCCGACATGTCTTTTCCCATACTTCTTGATCGCTTCATTGTCACCACATACACAGTAGATAATAGCAACAAAAATTAATAAAATAAGTTGCGCTCTGCGAAACATCGTTCCTCTTCACGTGTCACACAAGTGTCTCAATTACACACGTTCGTTGCGTTGCGATGCGTCTACGAAAGTCGATCGATAGTTCAATCCCAAACAAAAGAGATTATCGCATCTTATGTCTTTTGCAATTGGATGAACGATGATTTTCTTTAATATTCTTTTCACACACGGGGAAATATATTTTCTATATAATTAATAATTTACTTATTGATTTATACTTACATATATAAATTTGTTTCATTTTTCAGTCGTATAATAACATCCGCGCAGCTCTGCAGTACATAACCTTATTGAGAGCTTGACCAAGCTGACCAATATAGAGTCATTAAAAATATGATCATTGTTTGTGAGGCCCTCTGAAATGATATCTTATGAAGTGAAACTAGAAATTAACATGGCGTCTCTCATCAGAGATAAATGAAAAGGTGAAGCGTGAAGAATTCTTCTCAAAGTTACATGATAGTTGTTTGATGTTAAATTATTCGACTGGAAAATGAAAATTTAATCAAGACACACTTCGATAGTATAACGTCAAGAAGATCGGGACATTTTTATAAAAAGGAAAAAGAGGAATTGAATATTAATTCATTCAAGTTGAATAGCATTTCCTATTATTTATTATGCATTGTAGTGCATAAACACAGAAACGTACAAATGATTTGCTTGTACAAAATAGAGAAGTCTAATTATATTTGAAATGCTCTTTGGATGAACATTAAAATACTTGTACAACATGTCCTTGTATGATGATTTTGATAAGCATCGAACCTCTGAAAAAGTTGCAGGATGGTCTTCTGGTATTAAATTATTACAATCTCAGTTACAACTAAAAAAAGCTGCCACAACACAGGTAAATTCATCATTTACAGATAAAATCACATATTACAATTACTTCTTTTAAATATAAATTTAAGATTTAGTCTTAGGAAATAACAATTTTTTTGTGGTTTTATATATATAGCCAAAACGTGAACAGTATAGAAAGGCTTCTGCGGTACTAGCACCTGTAATAGATTTAAAATCAAAAACTAATCGTGACTTAGACAGAGAAGATGATGTTACCCATAATAATCCACTATCAACTAGTAGTGTAAGTGGGATAGGAGTTGGTAGTGAATTTGACTGGAATGTCGTGAATGAATATGATCCTATATGGCCCAATGAATATGAGAAAGTTGTGAAAGAACTACGTGATATGAGAGACAGGGAACATGATCAGGAGACGGAAATGCGTAAACGTAGGAGAGATAATACACGTTTTGAGGATAATCAGGTAATATGTGATGATATAATACAATTAGTTTCAAATAGTTTTAATTAATATATATTTTTTTAATAGACTATTCTAAACAAAATATTATTTGTAACAATCTTGTAAGTTATATAACTAATCCTGTGAGATGAAACAAAAAACAACTATTATATTTACACAAGTGTATTTCCAAAAGATCAAGCTTGAATATTAAAATATTTTCTCAAGATATTTAAATATCTCTGTTGGAAAACCCAAATAAAAAGTGAATCACATATATACATATATAACATTATTGACATAAATCACATGTAGTTATGATACAAATATAAGTTTATTGATAATAACATTAATTATTAATAAGATAATAAAATTTTGTGAATATTAGGCTTCTGGAAGTAACAGCACCATGATACCTCCTGAAAGGGATGAGGAAAGAACACCTTCCTCACGAGGTATGATTGGAGGTGCTGCTATTGCTCCACCACCTTCTCTGCAAGAATCTTCAGAATTACCACCCCCCTCGCCACGATCGCAGCAATCTAGTCTGGGCTATGCCACATCATCTGTGGCTGCAAAGATAATGGCCAAGTATGGCTTCAAGGAGGGACAGGGTCTCGGAAAAAAAGAGCAAGGCATGTCGGTAGCGTTACAAGTAGAGAAGACGAGTAAACGTGGTGGTAGAATAGTTGGAGAAAGGGAGCAGCTCATGCCACCACCACCACCTCTTACAGCTTCACCGCCACAAACACAACAACCACTTGTGCAACAGCAACCTGCAGAAGAGCCTAGCATTACTGAGATAATGAAGTGTCCTAGTAAGGTCAGTATATTAATTCGCCGAGATGCAATTTATAAATAACACGATCATTTGTACGATTTCATTTTAGAATGAAATTCAACGAGAAACGAAGTTAGATAGAGTCAATTCTATCCAATGAGTTTCATTAAAATAGCCCCACGTATGCAATTCTATTTTTTTTTTTGTATATTGTTACTGATCCTTTCGGACTTTTTCCATTTCAGGTCGTACTTCTACGAAATATGGTCGGTCCTGGAGAGGTGGATGACGATCTTGAACCAGAAGTGAAAGATGAATGCAACACGAAATACGGTGATGTTGCACGTGTCATTATTCACGAAGTAATGGAAGCAGCTGCAGAAGAAGCTGTTCGAATTTTTGTGGAGTTTAAAAGAATAGAGAGCGCTATTAAAGCCGTAGTAGATTTAAATGGACGCTTTTTCGGTGGCAGACAAGTTAAAGCGGGATTTTATTCCAGTGAAAAACTTGATAATCTACAATTAATGGACTAGAAATGAGCTATGTGAAAGACTTTTTCATACATTAGTTTAACATCTTCCTTCATAGATAATATATTTTTTAAACAAAGTGTAAACAGCGAATGGAACACTTTACACATTGTTTAAATATTCAAAAGCCTTGTTCTCCATTGATTGTATATTTTTACATTTATGCAATGTTATTTACATTATATGGCGCTCAATGACTATAAAAATAACTATAAAAATTAATTTTTCATTTATAATCCGTATAATTTTTATTTTTTTTTCAGTGTCATTTACAATTATAATTTATTTTTAACAATCGATTATACATGCAACATTTAATTAAAGAACGACTTATATTACATTATCTAATAACACAATAATAATTATAATTTATAACTTATATAAAACTAACAAGTTTTAAATATTTCATACATAGAAATGAATAATCTTTGATTCTTTCATTGGACTCTATTAAATCTCAACGTTTTAAGCGTATATTTTATTTACGAAGTTTACTCATATTTATATTTTTTGTATTTTCATTTATTGTCAGTATTTTTACCATATATAATATAATCATTCTGTTTCCTTCAACTGTTCGTTAGAGCTATTTAAATGACCAAAGAAAGTTTTGAATCTCATTGTGAGAAAAAAGGTAAAATTAAAAAGAGATATGTGAAGATAGATGGAAGATTAAATTGGAGAGATAACTTATAAACATTTAGTAAGAAATGCAAATTTCAGTCGGATACTTAATCGATACAGGTTGCTAAAAATATTCCATAAAAACAATCATTCTCTTATCCCCTTTTCCTAGTACCATTTTCGATAATCATTCAAGATATATTTGATATTGTGCAAAAGTCAAGAATACCGTGAATATTTATTCGGATAGCACTTTCATTGTTACTTTACTTTCTTGTTAATTAAGTCCTCTATTGCCTTATTCAATTTAGCGCTGAATGCGGCGAAACTGAAAATCTTTAGAAACCTGTCTCTACCAGATTTTCCGAAATTTTCTGTGCGATCTGGGTTTGTGATCAGGAAGGCTATTTTCGAGGCAAATGCCTGACCGGATAAGTCGACTAAAAAACCGGTCTCTCCAGACACTATTGATTCCATCGGACCGCCAGAATTATGAGCGATTACTGGTTTGCCTATATACATTGCTTCCAGCGGCACAATGCCGAAATGCTCATTTGGTGGTGTATATATTACAATTTTGCAATGATGAAGTATAGAGACTTTATCTATGTCAGAAGGCGAACGTAAGAACATTACTTTGTCTGTCACATGTAACTCGTCAGCGAGTCCTATTAATTCCAAATGATATTCCACATTCTCCTCAACTCTCTTGTCATACCCACCAGCTATAATCAAGTACACTCGTTTGTATATTTCTTTTGTCAGAAGATTCTCTAACTCTGCTAGAGCTTCTAAAGCAAGAGATAAATTCTTTTTGCGCTCATATCTGTTGATAGATAACAGTATAATACTATCATCTGATAATTTTCTATCCAGTACCCTTTCTATAGACACTATTCTTGTTTTGTCAAAAAAATCAGTATTAATAGAGGGATATAAGACTTCCAGTTCAGTGTGTAATCGCTTGAATGTGTTTCTAAACACATTGCCTGTATAAATACTATTTACAAATATTTTATGAGCCATGCCTGTAGTAATTTCTTCCAAATAATTTAGAGGCATACGATACAGCTGTTTACTGTAGCCTCCAGGCTGTGAGAGCAGCTGATCTGGATGGTGACAATAAAATACCACATATGGAATTCGCAGTCGAAGAACAGGAATGCATACAGATACCAGGTCACAAAAGACAACTTCTGGTCGTTGGTTAGAAAATATTATGTAAGTGGCTGCATATATCTGTAAAAATGAATATATAAAAACATATTATTAAATATGTTACCAATTAATGGTTATCAAATGGAAATTATTTTTTACAAATGTACAAAATACATTTGTAAATTTCTATGAAAGTATACATGTTTAATATATTCTTTTATTAAAATTTATTTTAATTGGTAATTTCTACAAAACAAATTTTTCTTTTCATTATTTGTTATTAATAGGAAATATATAACTTTTATAATACTTCATATTTATCTTTTTCTTAATCTTAGGTATGGCAAAAATTGTTTAATATTCCGTCCAAATATATCCTACGTACCATGCGTAAATAGGTGCAAAGTGCGTAGAACCTGCCCAGAATATGCCTGGGTAACCAGTTGCCCACAACAGTGACAGAAAATGTGCCATCCCTGGTCTCAGTGAAACAGTGTTCCGGGTCGTGATGAGTTGTCACGAAATTTACGTCGTGACCGTTTTTGCGCAAAGCAAGGGCTGCATCGACAACCAGTCTCTCCGCACCGCCAATTCCGAGATCAGGATGAAGGAAAGTAATACGCGTCATCATCGATGCTTTCACGATTCTGTGCTCAGCAGTTTACGATAAGTTACGCATTTATCCGTACGAAATTACCGTGATGCGAATAACTGTTTATTGTATCTTATCGGTCATTACCGGCTAAACCCCTCTGCTACAGCAACGAGTGCATCATGAAACTATAGCTGTGTGTCAAACACTATATTGTCTGTAAAGTCATCAGACTATACTACCGATTTTCAGTAAACTAATAACAGTGAGGCAAACGGCTGATTGGAAAGTATCTAGGAATTTCAAGAAAGAAAATATTGGAACCCTAACTTATGTATAATGGAGTCGTACTTCTATGTACAGATGTATTTAATCTATGATTTACGGTTTGACTGATCAAACTGTCAAGTGTCATCTTTTCTTATCTGTCTCATATTTGATTATAAATAGTTTAATTTTTACTCTTAACGAGTGACATTTCTAGAAACGAGGACGACCCGTTAGAGAGCTAAAAGCTGCTATTTTAAAAAAATAGGTAGGTTCTTACTGCCTGTTGATATTAAGATATACATATTTATTATATTCGCCGTGCGCATTGGTTATGTTTATTAATGTTTCTTGTTTTAGGCGATAATGTGGAATTTTTAATTAGGAACGGCAATTGATTAAGCACGTTCTTGATATCTTGTATTCACTGTCGTTGGATGTCAATTGAATAAAGTGACAATGAATTTTGGAGTTGATTGGGACGCGGAGCATCGGCGCGTCCTGTTAGACGGCAATGCGGCGTTGGAACGTTCAGCACAGTCGGTCGCAAGATCGCAAGCGATCGCAGCGGAAAGTGAACAAATAGGGACCGAGGTGATCTCTGAACTGGGTGAACAGAGAGAACGTTTGCTGCGAGCTAAGCGGAGGTTGTCGCAGACAGATGAGGAACTGAACAGAACGCGGAAAATTCTGAATATCATGCGATTAAGGGTTTTGACGAATAAAATTGTGCTGATCCTTATTATATTATTAGAAGTGGCTATACTTAGCATTATTGTATATTTAAAGTTTTTTCATTAATAAGCAGAATCAAATTAAGGATTAGGATTGTATACATACATATAACATATATAAATATTATAGTTGATAATGCACATAATTACAAAATTATCTGCAAATATTGTATAATGTATAATAAACAAGCTACTTAATGGATTTTTTTGCGGATAATATTGTTTATATGCTAATAACTGAATGATTTTATTTTTAGTTTTATATACAATTCATATATATATATGTATTTCTATTATATGTTATTGAACAATTTTGAAATATCCAACATGAATATAGGAATAGTATGGAATACAAATTCTTTTGCTGCATATTCAGGATAGACTTCATTTATTTCTTGTTTGTTCTTTTTCTTGTATTAACTTATCATTATTTGAGCGCAGAGGTATATTATTTTAAAAATGGTTATTGTACACGACGAGGAATATTATCGGAGCAGAGTGCCTGAGCCAGACTTGGGACCATTCAGGAATTTCATGCGATTCGTTTGGAATCCCAACTTGAGGATGATACTTGGCAGAACTGGAAAAGAATGGGGTTGGTCGGCCATTCAAATATCTCTTGTAATCTCCAAATTTGTAGATGTAAAAACAAACTTGTGGTTTAATAGTTCAGATCCGAAAGTGATTTGTTATGGATTAATCTAATGATTTATGATTTGTGTGTGAAACAGGCTTGTTAGGAGTTTTCTATTTGTGCTTCTTCAGTGTATTGGGCTCCATCTTCGCGTTGCAGATGTGGGTCAGTATCGACTATATCTCGAAATTGGATAAGCCATTTTTCCTCTACAGTGGTTTAGCATCAAGATCCTATTTCGGTAACAACTTTCCTCTTTTTCGTCAGTTGGATTTTGGCAGTCCAGGTATGATATATGTACAATATATGTATGTTTAAATATGTGCAGAGTGATTCTTCCAATGCTTTAATGTAAACAATCTTCATTTTTATTGACATTTGATAACATCACATCTGTTTGATATATATTATAGAATAAGATACCTTGTATCTTATTCTGTATAGGAATTAGTTTCAAACCAAATAATTTATTGTCCACTGCATCACCCATTATTTGGGTGGACGAATCAAATGCGAATGCTCGTCCGGCAAGATATATAGAGGCTTTAACTGAATTTTTGCAAGGTACAAGTCCAAATATTTTCAGTAAAAAATTATATTTATTATATGATAATGTTAAGAAAAGAGGTATGTAAAGTTGGTATCTTTTTTTTCAGAGTACAATAAAAGCAGAGATAATTACAAGACAACTGCGGAATGCAGTGATGAGGCACTGAACATATCTGATGTGAAACCATGTTTCTTTGATATCGAGAGCCTCGGCGTTTGCGGAAAACCTCCTTATGGATATACGAATCCGTTGCAGCCGTGTATTCTCATAAAGTTTAACAAGGTAAATCGAGATCTTACCTTCGCGTAGTTGACACAGAGGAGAATTTCAACGCTTGACTTGAACTCAATTATATTTTCGCGATAATAAATGTATGAATCGGCTAAGCTGTTTTGCGTGAAAATAAAATGGAGTAAGATAAAGTTTCTCAACTAATTCCTTTATAGAGATTTGATTGGATACCGATGCATTACAATAAATCTTCTCAATTACCTATAAACATACCACCTGCTTTAGAAGAAACTATCCGATTTTCGAACAAAGTTCAGGTTTGGTTGTCGTGCGATGGAGCGAACGGCGTCGATAAAGAACACGTCGGTGAGATTGAATATATACCGAGTGCTGGCTTTCCTGTAAAATATTTTCCGTTCGTGGGACAACCGGATTATTTGTCGCCAATGGTAGCGTTGCAATTCAAAAATATTACGCGTAAGTTATCAGGATGTATAATGTTAGAGGTTATTCGAGTGACAGAGAGTGTATTTTATTTTAATACATTATATTCTTTTCCATTTGTTATAGCTGGCAGATTAGTGACGGTGGAATGTACCTTGTGGGCACTTAATATCAACATAGGCCAGCAGAACGCGTTGGATTTTCAAATAATACTGGGCGAATCGTAACACTACGGTGAGTCAACAACGGTATTTATCTTTCTTAGGTATTTATCAACGAGATTATGTGTTTCATAAAATGTTAAAGTAGCACCACGAAAAATAATTTTTCTTTAGAGGTTCTTATAATTAGTTTCTAATATATATTCTAAAACTACGAGTAATATTCTCGTCACCAATGATTCTTTTATTATGTTGTACCGTGTTATATTTACAACACAATCGAATGTATTTTCCGGATACAGAACATCGTGAACAGAGAACGTAATATATCTGAGATATATATATCTATAAAAAATGGAGTTAATATTTTAGAATATATTAGAGAACAATTTTTGCAAATTTAGTCGACGCTACATTGTATGAACGCATATCCGGATTCCGAGACAGTGAAAAACATAACATGTTCCTCTCGGGTTCGTCTTTACGAAATATCTCAAGTAAATCAAGAGTGCTGACTCACGCTCTCGATTCCACCGGCGGAATAGCAGATCGAAATCAGAGCGTACAGTTTTATTAATACTTTTATTACATGAACGATAAAATAGCAAATGAAGCTTCGTTTATCGACGGACATGCGGTTCAACGTTTGAGAGAATTGTGCTAAATAGAAGTAAAATCGATTGTACTTCTCGTGTTCGTTCTTTCTTCAAATTGGCAGTTTTCTCCAGAAGTTAGATAGTAGTGAGGAAAATGAGAAAAACAGAGGGAAAAAGAATGAGAAAGAAGGAAGAAGAAAAATATAGAAATAAATAAAAAAGATATAGAAAGAGTAGAGAAAAAAGATAAAAGGAGAACAATAGAGCTAAATACAGAGAAATATAGAAAAAGGAACAGGAGAAAAGAAGTAGGCAGAGATATATTCTAAGAAGAAATTAAACAGAAATACAAAGTTTAAAAGAGATAGAGAAGTATATAGAGAAATAGTGGTTGAAAATGATAATCAGAGACAGAGAGAGAGAGGGGGAGGGAGGAGAAAGAGAGAACGAGGAAGAGAGAGTGAATGAAAGAGAAAGTGAGAGAGAAAAAGTGATAGTCAGAGAGAGAGAGAGAGAGAGAGAGAGAGAGAGAGAGAGAGAGAGAGAGAGAGAGAGAGAGAGTAAGAGAGAGAAAGAAAGAAAAAGAGAGAGAGCAAGCTTAAGAAAGAATTATTTAATTCAAATAAGAGATAGATAGATAAAAATAGATAGATAGGTAGAGAGGAGGAAAGAAAAATTAAATATAAATATATCTGTCTTCTTTTGATTGAAGCAAGCTACGCGAGTCTGACGTTAAAACGAGGCTTCATAATCGAGGAACGTTTTCTTCTTGGTGAGATACAATTTCATCTGATCTTATTCTTCCTCCTCTTCGCCCGTGCCGGTCAACATGGCAATTAAACTCGGAGTATCGATGAAACCCTTATCGTCGATGAACATCTGATCGAAAGCGTCGTCTATTTCCTTGGGCGTAAATTTGTCACCCCATGTCATCAAAGCATGCCTTAACCTGATGTGCAGAAATATAAAAATCATTATATACACTATATGCCATATGGGTGCATCCGTGCATCTTAATAAAAAAATGTTCGAGTATTGTCCGTACCTTTCACCATCGATTTTGCCATTATCGTCGAATGTCTTAAAAGCATTGATTACAACGTCGTCGTCATCAGCACCTATTAAAGCGATTAATCATCAATCGATCTTCGAAGTTCGTATATTTTATATAAACGCCGATATTGAAGCATTTACCTGATCCTGACATACGAACAGCAAACAGGTTTAATAACTGAGTGAAGTTGATGGGCGCTGGTGCCTCATTCAGCATCTCCTCGAGTTCCTTGTCGGTCGCGAGTCTGCCAACGGAATCGAAGGCTGCGCGAAGATCGTTCTTACCGATGATACCGTCTTTATCCGCGTCCATCAGCTGGAATGCCTGCGTACATATCCATAAAATATTCACTTCAACGCACTTTTCTCACTTGATTATCATCAACTCAGTTTGATTTTTTTATTCGAGTCTCTTATTCGATATAGATTAACATTGTTAATTTTCTTGTTGATTTTTATGTATTTTTTCCTAGTTTAGCGATACACCGTGCGAGATGGCGCTCCTTTCTTAATAAAATATAAGATCACGAATTTTATATTTTTCAAAGAGTCTACAAGAAACGGACGTGTACGATATACATATAGTGCCGTACCTCCTTGAACTCGGCCACCTGTTTTTGTGAGAACATGGAGAAGACGCTGGAGCCACTGCGTTTAGCTTTGCGACTGCCGCGGCTGCTTGCCCTAGCGGAACCAGATTCCTTCGGTGTGCCCGTAGGAGTTGCTGGTTTCTCTTCCGCGGGCTCAGGTTCAGGCGCTGGAGCCTCCTCCTTCTTCTTGGTCTTCTTCTTCTTTTCCTTATCCGCCTGTGTGGTATTGATATAATTTAGTTCTGTGTGATACTTCTTCCACTTATTTCACAATTGAAATGTTTATCTTTATAAATGTATTTCCAAGCTTATTTTGTGAGCTTTTTGTAGTTTCGCACAATATAATTGCTCACTTGTTAAAAATGGATGGATTTGTAACTGTTTGGAAATTAATTTCTTGATTATTAAAAAATGTTGTAAGTGCGTCGATAATATTTCTGACTTCCGATAGTTTTATTTTATAAAATTAAATTAAGAATCGACTGAAAAATTTTGATCTCTTCTTCCTAAACTGCTTAAATATTTAATATACAATTATACTAATCTGTGAGAAATCAATCATAAAACGTGGAACTCTTGATCAATATAAGCGAATTTTTCAGAAATTACATTTATATTTAACAAGCAAAAATTTATTTTTATATTTTGCAAATAATTATAAAATTTGATGAAAAATCATGTGAAAAACATGAATTTCTTGTATATCAAACATTTTTGTGAAAAATAAAATGAATTGATTTAAAATATAAAGAAAAAGTCGAAAAAAAAACGAAATTTCTGCATATAGAGAATATATTATTTCTATTGACAATCGTTACCATGCCGATTGATTTTGACAAAAACTCGACGAAAAGTGAGTCGATAACCCGGCTCAATTACCAAACGAGAAAATTTGCGACTCGTCGTAACTCGTTGGTTTACTAAAAATAGAGTCGTCCTATGTGAGTCACGGAAAAGCTGCCAGGACATATATAGAGTGACTGTCCGGTTACTGCACCGCCTCTCGAATTACCTTTGTTACGTAATTATTGTATCATTAGATTCGGGTAATTTATTTGACCGGTCGGAAGATTGTCTGTCGCACGCGAAACATGTTATAATCCTCTCTTTCTTTTTTTAGATATCAAGAAAAGTATTATATAAGCCACTGAGAGATACTTCTTTTACCCCTTGTACATTGAAATTTCGAATGGCTGAGAAGAGACCTGACGAAGAAGATCACTGTCGCACTCTGCCGTCACAAATCCACAATATCAACAGTGCTTTGACAGCACTTTTATTATTAACTCATCATCATCGTCTTCATCATCATCATCATCATCATCATCATCATCATCATCATCATCATCATCATCATCACCATCATCATCATCATCATCACCATCATCATCATCATCATCATCATCATCATCATCATCATCATCATCATCATTATCATCATCATCACTTGTTGTCATTTCCTCGAATACACTGCGTGTAGTCCAACACACGTAATCCACCATCGTACGATGTGCCGCCGCGTGCGATTTGGCAGTGTTCCTGTTCCGTGGTTGTCCCGACCCGATCACATGATTTTCTCGTTTCCCGCACCCGGCGAACGGATGATCGACATGTATAGAGTCTCGTCTCTGTAGTAGCCGCAGTTAGCCGCGAGATCGACTGGTGTATAGTGACCGAACGCGAAGGTGTCTCTCAATGGAAACAAGACGTCGATACTTACCATATCTACGAGTGGTTTCTACGAGGAGACGGTACGAGATGGTCACGACGAACCAACTGTCCGAATCATAGAGCTGAACTTGTCTAAGTAACTTTTGTGGATCTCCCCCACCAGAGACCCGGTCGGTCCGAGCAGGGGTGCGCTGCCCGGGTACAACGCCACAACGTCTGTCTGACCATATTTAGTGCGAGTCGCCTCAAAATAGCGTCCCTTTCGACGTTTCGACTAAAACAGTTTGCCGGGGAGAGTGTAGAACTGCCACCGCCACCGTCGCCGTCGTTGTGATTGAAACCATGATTCCCTCCAACTTCTCTCATTATTGTGATACCGATTATCAAAGTACCGATCGTAAATCAATTGTACGCTCGTCCTCGTGAACAGGTCCCATTTGGTACAACAATCGTCGTTGTGGTGATTACGATCTTTTTCTCCTTTCCTTCGTATAACACTATAAAGCGTGTCAAGTAACGAGGCGATAAGGTTGCGCTTTCATTTCGACCTTATGATCACTGGCACTGTATTAATCCTGCTAAAACAATTTACAGGTCTATTTGATTCATTCCTATCTCTATATTTTACGGCAATTCTGTATCTGTTACTCCAAACATGTTAATACATCTTACAACTGGATGTAAATGTTCTATTTATAGCTATATAAAAAGACGTTTATATAATACAAAAAAGAATAAATACTTGATTAAAATATCATATAGAACACGTAAGTGTATAATTTAAAGATTCAAATATTCAAAAATTTTACAAGGGAAGATCACTTATTAAAAACTTGGAAAACCAACAGGTCGATTCAAGTCGAATGCAGATGAAAATTAATAATAATCAATTGTCAATAGAAGTACTTTGACCATGTACTGTGATATCATAATTATGGTTTCCTGTGTACCAATTTGTCGAGCATACCTCGATCACTATTCGTGGTCGAGCTTGCAGTTCGTACCGTGATATCGGAAGCACGTGGATGCTGAAAATAACTGCCCGACATATTCAAGAATGCATATAGTATGTCCGTACATATCATGCGCTACAATACAGTGCGCTACAAAACGTATTTACAGTAATAAAACGTGTTTATAGTACTTCTTTTCCATTATATCTTTAATTGTAAATTTCTTTACAGACACGGCCGTCTTGGCATAATATCTCTGTATATGATGGGACATATATATATATATATATATATATGATATATACGAGCAAACATCGAAAACATTTAACGATGCAATTTACGTACATCTATTTATGTACAAGTAAATAATCTATTTAAATACAGATTCGAATATCGCAATACATCGACATTCGTATTACGTTACACACTTGATTGGATCTCTATAAGAACAGTAATCTAATGAATCGCAATAATGTGCATGACGTAATTAACACGTAATTTAAAAGTTTTTTATTAAGAAAAGAGCGCTTTAATTTCATGCGACGAATTTATGTAGTTTCATTTTTTTAAATTAATTTAATCTGATTATTACTGACTTTTTTTAATTGCTTGGTAATTGTTACATAATAAAGTCGATTGTCCATCCAATTACTCTAACTTTTATGTCATGTCTATTTCAAGAAAATCACATACTTATGAAATAAACTTCATTTATATTTTCGATTCTTCTAAAATTCTTCAAATATACAAAATTATTATTAGAATTTATATAAAAATTAGGATTATCGACAATAGAAATATTTTCGGTAGCGGCGTGTTGGATGCGCTACGATAAATATTGAAATCTACAATAAATATGTTTAATTATTTTTAGGTCGATATATAGTTTGATTTCACATATGATAAAAATTAAGCGACGTTACCTTTATCATTCGGATCACGTACGCCACATTGTCGATGTCCTAAGGTACTTTTCCTTTTTGTCGCTATGTATCCTGGAATATATAAACTGGGAGCATCGAGCTTACCGGTGGATATGAGTTTGCTGAAATCTTGCTCTAATATATTGGCAATTGGACCTGTATAAATGAAGTCATTATTAAGTGAAGTAAAGATGAAATTATAATCAAATTGTACGTTTGTAACAAGTCATGAAGTTACATGTCATCGTAGATATTTACCTTTGAAATGTAGAAGAAATTGAATGCATGCGCCATTGTGCAATGTTCTGGTTTTTCTATTGTCGATAGACAGCATCCATTCGGGAATACCCATCACTTTCCTCACGTCTTCCAAAAATTGCGCCCTACGTGAAAGATTTCAATCAACGAATGCATTTATCGTTAAATTCATGATAAATTTTGTATCCGATAACTTATATTCTTTTTTTGAACACCTGTAAAAAAAATAACTTACACCACAAAACGCGGTGGTTTTCTGATATTCGCGTACTTCACGATATCGTTGTCGGGCTCGATATTCGCGCAGGAATACCTATTGGTGCCAAAATCCTTGTCGAAAATGACGATGGACCTACCCAACGCGGAAATTGGTCCACCCAGAGGGAAATTTTGATCCGTGAATACTTGTCGTTTCTCTCCGATATTAATGGGCCCTAGACGAGACGATATATCACCAACATAACATCGTAGTGGTAAATCCGGACCGCACTCTTGTCTGTACAGATCATCCTGATCAACCATTAAAAATAATTATTATACGTACAAAATGTTTAATGCGTTTAAATGCAGTGTAGATTAGTAATAGTTTATCCAACGGATAATAGCTTTGCATTACTTACATTTAACGGATCAGCTAATTGAGTAAAGTAGGGATTCCATGTGTATCCACCTGCCACGCATCGAGTATTTTCCACTTTCACCGCGGCGTCCACGCCCACAGGATTTACGTATATCGCCCAATTATGATTTCTCGTCTAAAATCAAATATATGTAATTAACAAATACATAATGCCCGTAATACAAGAGATTTGTTTCTTAGAAATTCACGCTTACAATATTGCGATCGTGTTTGCCGGGGTGACGTAGATTCACTTCGATTACCGTCTCGCTTTGACTGCCATCCTTATATACGAGCTGCGTCTGCAACCGGTAATAGCGCATTAATATGAATTTTTATTGTGTGTTCTCGGTAAGATTTGCACAATTATGATCGAGCTACCATTTTTATGTAACCGTACAAAAAGCCGTGCGGATGATGGAACGATGCAATAGCACGTAATTCACTAGCATCGTTCGGGGAATATCCTCTCTCTACGGTAGAACATGCCCATCTGAATGCAAACATAAAAAATTTATTGGAATGTGTCAATTGTTCGAAGTAACATGGAGATAGAGAGATTGTACGAAGAAAGAATAAATGATTTTTTCTTAATTTTAATATATAGATACACAAATATACGGATTATAAATCGGTTACCTCAAATTCTTTTCTTTCTTATGAATCACTACACTACGTCCCAGAATGCTTCTCGGCCCAAACAGGGGTAACATCGTATCGTTGAATATTGATACATATTTCTTCTTGTTATCCAAAGGACCAAATTTTCCGCTCAAATCACCTATCTCATATTGATCCAGCGTACCCTCCTCCGCCGCTAGTACGTTGCTCATATTAACATCTAACGGATTCCAGTGCCCGTAGAGCGATGTTCCCTCGCATGGAAATTCCAAATCGTACTCTACAGGTGTCTAAATATAAACGAACATTTATAATTTACACTCAAATCGATAAAAAAAACTTTCCCAAAAATTTACAGAAAGAAAGAGGAAAAGAATCTGCGAATGAATGGTAGCGCAAGATCTTAATCAATTTTAGGAGATTTTAAATTACCATGTGTATGTGATAACCGCTCATTTTTCCAGCAAGGCCTTCAAGCGACACTTCCACATTCGTGATGTCGTATTCGGTTTGTTGTAAGAGCTCTAATTTTCCTTTCAGAGATATTTGTTCGCCGTTTCCAAACCAATCTCTAACTACTGCTTTACGTCGATAAACTCCACCAATACTAAAAACATAATCACATTTTTAACGTGACAAAATTTAACATATTGATCTATTCTTATTTATTACACAAGTACATGGAACAAGCCAATCGGTCTCCTCGTGCAACCGGACCGTGGTCGTCGTAAATAACTAAACTCTTGCCAAACAATGTATGAGCTCCTGATAAAGGCAGCATCGTGTCCGTGAAAAGTCGTCGAGTCAATTTCGAGGCGTAGAGCTTTCTACCAGCAATTTCGAGCGTACCGTGTCTTGTTAAATCACCTAAGCGACATAAAGACATTTCCGAAATCGAACAAGGTTTATCTGGATTCCAGTCCACCTGAAATATATTTATTTTTTCATAAATAACAGATTCAAGTCTCACATACGTACCCGAGAGACTTTAAGAAAATGACTCGAAATAAAAAATGATAAAGTTTGTTATTTTAAGACCAATGCACGTTGATTATCATAACTAAATTTCCAAGAAATTATGAGAGAGAAAATCGAAATTATAAATTAATTTAATTCAATCGGTAATTATTCACACCTTATATGGATTATAGGATAATCCAGTACTCAAACACCGACCAGTCCAATTGTAGAAGTCTTTTCCTGGTGAATTGTCGTGCACCATCCATCTGAATGGACACATTTTCAACGTTAATTCTATTATCTTCATCAGTATAAAATCATTTTTTCATTTGTTTTATTAAAACTATAAATTTACCTGTGTCCTGCAGAGTTGTTTACGGCATTGCCATCTGCATGAACAAGATTCTCTATTATTATAGTGGTGTCCATTTCGATATCGTTCTTGGGCTGTCGAAAAAGTATTCGCCCAACTATGGGATATCTGAATACCACTTCCGCCGTGTACATCGGTATTTGCCAATCCGTATGCGGTATATAATGCGCAAATGTACCACATACCCATGGGATCACGCCCTTGTTATCGGTCTCATTGTATCTAATAATGAAAATTCCCTTTTTCAACATCAATCAACGTGATATAAAAGCACTGTGTGATGTTACAAATAGAATATGATTTGATAAATATATAAGTACAAGTGATTCGTGTGTATTTTATCATAATAAGTGATTACTTGTAAAGAACCAAAGATCTGTGAACAATGCTGTGAATTCCGGAGAGCGGTAAATACGTGTCCCAGTAGATTCCGCTGAGTTTGGCGCTTCCGGGCAAGATATCGTTATGATAAGAACCTTCCTTTCGTCCTTGCAGCTTACCAGACAGATCACCGATGGCATATTGATCCTGAGAACCAAAACCTGTTGTTCCATTGAAACAATAGAGAGTTTGAAAATTATTTTCGTTATTGTCATGTGTTTCTCATAATTTCAACTTTTATTATTTGTTTAATTTAATTTCTTTAATTTATTAATTTAACTCTTATGCTATTTCCTGGTACATATCTTATTTTTAGATCGTTGTAACTGTATTACCTGCCGGTGGAGTAGTCTTTTCATCGATGTTCAAAGGATTATACAGTTTCTTGGTAGTCAAACACGGATCAACAGTAATTCTCACGCTTCGCGCTGGTTCTGGAGGTAATTCGTGTATTCTATAAGACGCCACTTTAGTGGCATACCGTAGTCTGGTCTCTAGATCGTTGATGGTTGTCAAAGAAACATTAACCCATGTTGGATCGAACGATGTTTCTTGGATCGCCGTTATCTCCCCTTTAATCCCATGTGAATTGATCACGGTCCTAGATATTTTTGATCAGAAATTTCACATATATTTACATGTAAAATCATATACTGTATAATAAAATCGAAGCGCAAGTCTTGTCTTACTTGACATGTATCGGTTTGCGATGATTGATTTTAGCACAGGCTAAGAACGAATCTTCGTGCACAGGATGAAAGATAACTAGATATAAGTGACGATGCGGACCGAGCAGATCCGTCGGCAATAGAGATAATTCAGGATCTCTGTAGAAAGTTTTGTATTTTCCCTGCATATTAGCGGCGACTTTTACTTTGCCCAAACGCACGTCGATGTCTCCGATAGACTTTCCAATGCCGAAGTTATTTGGATCGAATACGTTTTGAAGGATATTACAGTTGTTTTTGTCTAAATAGCAAGAATTTTCAGTGAAACAGCGATAGACGTAATCGAAATGCGATCGATCGTTATTAATCACGATGATGCTGACGATTACGAATACTGACCTTTGCCGGTCTCGAAGATGTCGGTGACATATATTTTCCAATAATGCTCGGTGTAATTTAACGTTTGCAATTTTTGTTTGTACACGTGATGCAAGTTCGTATGAATAATCGTATCGGTGGACTCGTCGCCCACCTGACCACCCAACCATCGGAACAAAACTGTTCCTGCTACGGGACCGTAAAAACGTGCTTGGGCGAACTTCTCAATATTTTTCTCGAGTACCTGAAAGAGGTTCACGCAACCATATAATGGAATAATAAAAAATAAATATCCATTATTATAATAATAGCTATTCATAAATTACCGTAATCGAAGCGCATATTGTCCTCGGTGAATAAGTATCTTTCAACACTAAACCTTTTCCCCACAAACCCGTTTCTCCAGTTAAAGACAAATCCGCGACTTCTATCGAGCCTGTTTGATTCAATGGTAATTCGAGAGGCCCGACTTTTTCCGTCAAGTCGATTATACTGTATATAAAAGAAGAAGAAGAGCAAAGCAATCATGATCTTCTAGATCTCAAGAAATCTTTTCTTCAGCAACACACATATTCTTTAACATTATTTTTATTATTCTAACATCCGGTACTGTTTCTGTACGTTACCTTTCCCCGATGTGTCGCGTGTCGCATCTGCCTTCGATAATTGTATAATCGACTGGGAACTGAGTGACAGACCAAAGCCATTGCTGATCCGGATATTCCAAGGTTGCTTTCAGAGAATATCGTATTCGTACCGAGGATTCCGCGGTTTTCTCAAATCGTATCTCGCCGTGAAGACCACCGGACGATATGTACGCGGCAAGTCGAAGCGAATTCACGATAGTCACTACACACAATATCCTACTATATTCTTTCAATTAACACTTTGTCATTTAATTATTTATTCGCAATTATTCTAATTTAAACTCGATAGATTTGTTGTTTTCCTCAAACATTCGGAACTTATACTTCCTTCCCATTAAGATTCGAAGGCAATTTTGTCTTAATGAAAATATCTATATATATATATATATATATTCCAATAATAATAATATATATTCCAAATAAATTTAAATTTAAAAAAATATCGAGTAAAAGTATGGGAATTTTTATTAAAATTAATTAAACACATTAAAAACTAAATTTTAGAGTTGCAAATATATAAGAAAAGAAAATATATATTCTCCATTAACTCATTAACTCGCTAATTTCTTTACTCTTTACTGTCATTTTTTTATTTCTAAATATATTACAATAAAACAATTCAACTTTTCCGGCTATTCTTCCTCCTTTCAATATTTAGATATTATATATATTGTTTCCGCGTGGTACACCGATGGAATCGAAAACGTGCTTTCACTTACCACAGTAATAGAATGAAATAAGCCATCGCATCGCTCTTAATAAACATCAGAAGATGCTTAATTTTTCTTTGCTTTTCAAGTCACATTAATTTAAGTAAAACAGATGTGAATATCATCAGCGCGTGTTGAAATCTGCACATTAAGAAATCGCTGTCGAACAAACGACGAAACAACTGGCCGACTAGCTGAAGTAACACGGCCCGTTACTTTCTTATTCCTTGAGCAAAACTGGTGGGAATGTAGGAGTGGAAGAGAACGATGACCTCTCTCTCTCTCTCTCTCTGAAAATGAAAGTATCGATAATCAAGAATGGAAACTGATACAATTTCGATAAGCTCAATTCTTGACTAGAGGTGAGTGAAAAGAGCTTGCATTAATTATCGTGCTTCATTTATCTGCCTGCCTCTCCATTATTTTGTCTAACAAGTTATATATATGTGTGCGTGTACGCGCGCACATTTTGTATGTATGTGTGTTTCTTTAATTTTAGTTTTTCCTCAAATACGATAATAGAGATTAATGATGCACTTTTTTTAGTAATGATGTCTTAACATTTTTACATCTTAATGTTAAAAAAATATTGTTGAGTGTAACAATAAAAATAACATTGTTTTATATTTAATTTACACTTAATTACAATTATACTTACATTGTATTTATTAGATAGTATACGAAGCATATATATTGTTACTTCTCGCAATCTTGGACGTTTTTAAATATTCTGATGTTAAAATTATATGGTTAGATGAAATATTCCCGCTCTGTAACCTATTTTACGAAAAGAACCAGTGTGGCCACTTTTAAATTCTATTTTGTTCCTAACCAGAAGTCGGCCATTGGTCTTCACCGATTGGTTCTTCCCTTAACCATTGACCAATCAACACGTATCACAATTGTAACACTTATTTTGATTCACTTGTAGGTACACTGTCTTACTTATACGTACTCTATGGTCTTACTTATACGTACTCTATGGTCATTTAATAACGAAAGAAATGCAATCATGGCGGATGCTGCGGCTCGTCAATTGCAATACGAATATAAAGCGGTTTGTATTTTGCGCATTTGTCATTAATCTTCCAACATAATTGTTTTTTCTAATTTTTTCAATCATATTTTATATATTAATTAACTGTGTTAACGATATATATGCACTCTATTCCATTATCACGCTCATGACAAGTGGTATGGTGTTCTTAAGTTTACGTTAATGCTTTCAGAATTCTAATCTTGTTTTACAAGCTGACGTCCGGTTGATAGAGAGACGCAGCAGAGATGAAGCCACCGGCGAAGTTATGTCCCTCGTTGGGAAGTTGGATGGTACACGTATGGGCGATAGAGCTCAACGTACCAAGCCAGGAAAGGCGGAAGAACGAAAAGTGAAGTGAGTTAAATTAGTTATTTGTAATTTGTATTATTCTTTTTACAAAGATTTAACAGATTTGGTTTTTAATAATGTAACTTGTAGAAGGTTAGAGGTATATACAAATCTAAGGTAATAAAATATTTATAATGCTCTATACAGACGTCAAAAACGAGACGAAGCGCAGTATGACTTCACACGTATGAAAGGTGCAACATTACTGTCTGAAGGTGTTGATGAAATGGTTGGTATTGTATATCGTCCAAAAACACAAGAGACACGTCAGACTTATGAGGTATTGCTCAGTTTCATACAAGAAGCTCTGGGTGACCAGCCACGTGATATCCTTTGTGGGGCGGCTGATGAAGTATTGGCTGTGTTGAAAAATGACCGTCTTAAAGAAAAAGAGAAGAAAAAAGAGACAGAACTCTTGTTGGGTTTGTTAGCAGAAGAGAGATTTGCTCTGCTTGTAAATCTAGGGAAAAAGATTACAGACTTTGGCAGTGATGAAAAAAGTACAGCGAACGATGAGAATATTGATGAAACATATGGGATTAATGTACAATTTGAAGAAAGTAGTGAAGAGGACGACGAAGATGTGTATGGAGAAGTCCGAGAGAACGACGACGAAGGAGATGAAGGTGAGGAGGCTAATGATGACAGAGCTATTCATGCGGAAAATGTAAGTATATATTATAATTTATTATTAATACTAATCAGTCTCGAATAATATTGTGCATTTATCATGATTTATGTCATCTTTCAGTTGGGTGGAACAGAAGAGATGAAGAAAGAAAAACCACTACATCCTCTAGACATTGACGCATACTGGTTGCAAAGAAGATTAAGCAGGATATACGACGATGCGATGGTTTCACAAGCGAGAGCTGCCGAGGTGTTGGCAGTTTTAAAGGATGCTGGCGATGATCGCGATTGTGAAAACCAACTTGTGTTGCTGTTGGGCTATGATTGCTTTGACTTCATTAAACAACTCAAGAAATATAGGCACACAGGTGAGTAAATTGCATTTATTGAAATTGATATTAAATTTTTAAATGTTCCTCTCTCTCGAATATGATATTTGTTAATTAAAATACTTTCAAATATTCTTTGGATTGTTAATATTCCTTAAATGTGTTTTCCTTTTTTTTTATTTACAGTTGCTTACTGTACGATGCTGGCGTCGTCGCAGTCCGAATCAGAAAGACAAAAGATCCGTAACAAGATGAACGACGACCCAATGTTGGCGAAGATCCTGCGTCAATTAGATACGGGTAAGGGCGAAGATGACGTCGATGAAACTATGGAAGCAAGATCGCAACGTAAGAGGAGAGAAGAGAACGAGGATACGGGCGGACCTGGTGGTCAAGTTCAAGGCACGAGAAACTTGATAGACTTGGAAGATCTGATCTTCGCGCAGGGGAGTCACTTCATGGCGAACAAACGATGTCAGCTGCCAGACGGGAGTTTCCGCAAACAGCGAAAAGGGTAAATATTCTGACGTCTAAGTGTGATATTTATCGCTTATGTTGTTCCTTCAATTGATATCGAATGTTATAAGATATAATTTTTATATCATATATATTTTTCGTATTTATATCGTATTTTATATCGTATTATATTATTTTGATATATCGTTTAAATATCCACAGATATGAGGAAGTTCACGTACCCGCTCTGAAGCCGAAACCTTTCGCGGAGAATGAAAAGCTGCATCCGATCGATCAGTTGCCGAAATACGTGCAACCAGCATTCGAAGGTTTCAAAACGTTGAATCGCATACAGAGTCGTCTGTATCAAACAGCTTTGGAGAGCGACGAGAACTTGTTACTGTGCGCGCCAACGGGAGCCGGCAAGACCAATGTAGCTCTGCTGTGCATGATGCGAGAGATCGGCAAGCACATAAACGCCGACGGTACGATCAATGCCGACGAGTTCAAAGTGATCTACGTTGCACCGATGCGTTCGCTGGTGCAAGAGATGGTCGGCAATTTCCGGAAGCGTTTGTCGACCTACAATCTCACTGTCTCCGAGTTAACAGGAGATCACCAATTAACGCGAGAGCAGATCGCCGCTACCCAGGTGATAGTGTGCACTCCGGAAAAGTGGGATATCATAACCAGAAAAGGCGGTGAGAAAACCTTTACATCGTTAGTGCGGCTGATCATTATCGACGAGATTCACTTGCTCCACGACGAAAGAGGGCCTGTTCTCGAAGCATTGGTCGCGAGAACGATTCGCAACATCGAGACCACGCAAGAAGACGTGCGACTCGTCGGCCTGTCGGCCACGTTGCCCAATTATCAGGATGTCGCGGCGTTCTTGCGTATTAAACCGGAAACCGGATTGTTCTACTTCGACAATAGTTTCCGACCGGTGGCATTAGAGCAACAGTACATCGGTGTTACCGAGAAGAAGGCGCTCAAACGTTTCCAGGTGATGAACGAAATCGTCTACGAAAAAACTATGGAGCACGCGGGTCGTAATCAGGTTCTGATATTCGTGCATTCACGTAAAGAGACCGGCAAAACGGCGCGCGCCATTAGAGACATGTGTTTGGAGAAGGACACGTTGGGTCAGTTTCTTCGGGAGGGTTCCGCGTCGATGGAAGTGTTGCGAACAGAAGCGGAGCAAGTGAAGAATCAAGAGCTTAAGGACCTGTTGCCGTACGGCTTCGCGATTCATCACGCTGGCATGACTCGCGTCGATCGTACTTTAGTGGAGGATCTCTTCGCCGACAGGCATATACAGGTGCTTGTATCTACGGCAACCTTGGCCTGGGGTGTTAACCTGCCGGCACACACGGTCATCATCAAAGGCACGCAAGTGTACAACCCGGAGAAAGGCAGATGGGTGGAGCTGGGCGCGTTAGACGTGCTGCAGATGTTGGGTCGTGCGGGTCGACCGCAGTACGACACGAAGGGTGAAGGTATCCTTATCACCAATCACAGCGAGCTGCAGTATTACTTATCATTGTTGAATCAGCAACTACCGATCGAATCTCAGCTGATCAGCAAGATGTCCGACATGCTGAACGCGGAGGTGGTGTTGGGTACGATTCAGAACATCCGGGATGCGGTTACTTGGATCGGCTACACTTACCTCTACATCCGGATGCTGCGTTGCCCGAATTTGTACGGGATCAGTCACGACAAGCTGAAGCAGGATTCGTTGTTGGAGCTACACCGGGCTGACCTCATTCATTCAGCGGCCGTCGGGTTGGATCGCAGCGGCCTGATCAAGTATGACCGCAAATCCGGCAATTTCCAAGCGACCGAATTAGGCAGAATAGCGTCTCACTATTACTGCACACATGAGACCATGGCGACATACAATCAGTTGCTAAAACGCACGTTGAGCGAGATCGAGCTGTTCCGCGTGTTCTCGCTATCCGGCGAGTTCAAGAACATAAACGTGCGCGAGGAGGAGAAGCTGGAACTGCAGAAGCTGATGGAACGGGTGCCGATCCCAGTGAAGGAGAGTATTGAAGAGCCGAGCGCGAAGGTAAACGTGCTCCTACAGGCGTACATCTCGCAGTTGAAGCTCGAGGGCTTCGCTCTCATGTCAGACATGGTGTTCGTCACGCAGTCCGCTTCGCGTCTCATGAGAGCCATCTTCGAGATAGTGCTGTTCCGTGGCTGGGCGCAGTTGGCCGATAAGTGCCTGTCCCTGTGCAAGATGATCGATCGACGAATGTGGCAGTCGATGTCGCCGTTGCGACAATTTCGCAAGATGCCGGAGGAGATCGTGAAGAAGATCGAGAAAAAGAATTTCCCGTGGGAGCGACTGTACGATCTCGGGCCTAACGAGATCGGCGAGCTGATACGTGTGCCGAAGCTCGGCAAGACCATATACAAATACGTCCATCAGTTTCCCAAGTTGGGTTTATCCACACACATACAACCGATCACACGTTCTACCCTGCGTGTCGTCCTAACCATTTCTCCGGACTTTCAATGGGATGAAAAGGTGCACGGCATGTCGGAGGCGTTTTGGATATTGGTGGAAGACGTGGACTCGGAGGTGATACTGCATCACGAGTATTTTCTGCTGAAAGCCAAGTATGCGGTTGACGAGCATGTAATTAAATTTTTCGTGCCGGTGTTCGAGCCATTGCCGCCGCAATACTTCCTGCGCGTCGTGTCCGACCGATGGATTGGCGCCGAAACACAGTTACCTGTGAGCTTCCGGCACCTGATACTGCCGGAGAAGAATCTACCGCCCACGGAGCTGCTGGATCTGCAACCGTTGCCAATCACAGCGCTGCGAAACGCCAAGTTTGAAAACATCTACGCGGACCGCTTTCCTCAGTTCAACCCGATTCAGACGCAGGTGTTCAACGCGGTCTACAACTCCGACGACAATGTCTTCGTCGGCGCACCCACCGGCTCCGGCAAGACCACCATCGCGGAGTTCGCGGTGCTGCGTTTATTGACACAGAATTCGGATGGCAGGTGCGTCTACATGGTCAGCAAAGAGGCCTTGGCGGAGCTGGTGTACGCCGACTGGGCGATGAAATTTAACCAACAGCTGGGACGCAAGGTCGTTCTTCTCACCGGTGAAACTGGCACGGATCTGAAGCTGCTGGCCAAGGGACAGATTATTATCACTACGGCAGACAAGTGGGACGTGCTGTCGCGTCGATGGAAGCAACGAAAGAACGTGCAGAACATTCAACTGTTCATCGTTGACGAACTCCAACTGATCGGCGGCGAGGAGGGTCCGGTACTCGAAGTGGCGTGCTCACGAGCGCGTTACATCTCCTCGCAATTGGAAAAGCCCACCCGGATTATAGCTCTGTCGGCTTCGCTGGCCGATGCTAAGGACGCTGCGCAATGGTTAGGCGCGCCAGCTGCGGCCACCTTCAACTTTCATCCGTCTGTACGGCCGGTGCCGCTAGAGTTGCACGTGCAGGGTATAAACGTGACGCACAACGCGTCACGATTGGCCGCCATGGCAAAGCCGGTATACAATGCGATATTGCGCCACGCGTCGCATAAACCGGTGATCGTGTTCGTACCCACTCGTCGGCAAGCGAGATTAACGGCTATCGACCTACTGACATTTACAGCGGCGGAAGGTCAACCGTCGCGGTTCTTCCACGCGGAAGAAGCCGACATAAAGCCGTTCCTCGATCGTATGGTCGACAAGACGTTGAAGGAGACCTTGTCACAAGGCGTCGCTTACCTTCACGAAGGTTTGTCGGCCGACGACCGTCGTCTAGTCGAGCAATTGTTTGACAGTGGCGCCATTCAAGTGGCAGTTGCCACAAGGGACCTTTGCTGGGGTCTGTCTATTAGCTCACATCTTGTTGTGGTGATGGACACACAGTGCTACAATGGCAAAACTCACGCTTATGAGGACTACCCGATCACGGACGTGTTGCAGATGGTGGCGCGTGCCAATCGCCCGCTGGAGGACGACGACGCCAAATGCGTGCTCCTGTGTCAGAGTTCGAAGAAAGACTTCTTCAAGAAGTTCCTGAACGAACCGTTGCCGGTAGAGAGTCATTTGGATCGCAGACTGCACGACCACTTCAATGCGGAGATCGTGACCAAGACGATCGAAAATAAGCAAGACGCAGTTGACTATCTCACATGGACCTTCTTGTATCGACGACTCACACAAAATCCCAATTATTACGGCCTACAAGGCGTCACACATCGTCACCTGTCGGACCACCTGTCCGAATTGGTCGAGAGCACGTTAGCCGACTTGGAGCAAGCCAAGTGCGTTGCTGTGGAAGACGAGATGGATACATTACCTCTCAATCTCGGTATGATCGCCGCTTATTACTACATCAATTACGCTACCATCGAGCTGTTCAGTCTGTCACTGAACAATAAGACGAAGATCCGAGGCTTGTTGGAGATTATTTCTGCAGCAGCGGAATACGAGAGCGTGCCAGTGCGACAAAGAGAAGAGAATCTGCTGAGGAGTCTGGCGGCGCGACTGCCGCACGCACCGCAAGTTGCCAGGATGGCTGATCCTCATGTAAAGGCACAGCTCCTGCTTCAAGCGCACCTGTCTAGAATACAACTTGGTCCAGAGCTGCAGAAAGACACCGAATTGGTGTTGGGTAAAGCTGTAAGGCTGATTCAAGCGTGCGTGGACGTGTTAAGCTCCTCCGGATGGTTGGCACCCGCCGTCGCTGCTATGGAATTGGCACAAATGGTGACGCAAGCCATGTGGTCCAAGGACTCATATCTGAAGCAACTTCCGCACTTTAACGCGGACACCATCAAACGCTGCACCGACAAGGGTGTGGAGACCGTATTCGACGTAATGGAACTCGAAGATGACGACCGTAATCGGCTGCTGCAATTATCCGACGTACAAATGGCGGACGTGGCCAAGTTTTGCAACCGTTATCCTAACATTGAGATGTCATACGAAGTACAGGATAAGGAAAAGCTGCACAGCGGCGGAACCGTCAACGTAATCGTGCAGTTGGAACGTGAAGACGAAGTCACCGGGCCGGTAGTCGCGCCCTTCTTCCCTCAAAAACGAGAGGAGGGTTGGTGGGTGGTAATAGGCGATCCAAAGAGCAATTCTCTGTTATCTATCAAGCGATTGACGTTGCAACAGAAAGCCAAGATCAAGCTCGATTTCGTCGCACCTGCACCCGGCCAACATTCCTACACGTTGTACTTTATGAGTGACGCTTATCTTGGCTGCGATCAGGAATATAAGTTCAGCATCAACGTCGGCGAGTACGAATCAGACGCTAGCTCCGGTTCTGATTCTGATTAAATCTTAATATTTAAAGACTTGATACGTCCTTCCTTTTTCCTCCTCTTGAAAGTTTTATTATTATAAGAAATTCTAATATCGGAATATACTCATTCCTTCACATTTCATCAGATTCAGCACATCCTATTTCTTGTGTTTGTGTTGTATTATTAAGAACAATCGACATTGGAGCACAGTCATCAAGATTGTATGTATCTTAAAATTCGTTAAGCAGTAGTGATTTTATAGACAGCTGAAATGTCACGGCAATTATTGTTAGATAATAAAAAATAAAATTTATATTTAAATACAACATATACGCTGTTTTTTGGTATGTATACCTTTAATGTTACGTTTCTTTTATTGTCATGTTGCAAAAGTAGGAAAACAGACATTACTTTTTATACTGTCGAACAAACGTTGATTATATTTTCATCTTATTTAAGATTTCTGTCGTCGCAGGATTAATTAGAACAGTTATTGCAATGAAAATTAAAGTAATATAGTATTTTTCTTTTTATATAATATTTAAATAAACAATCTGCCTAGCGCGCCATCTATATATTGGTTAAAATGGTTTGAGTTTTGGCTATGTGATATTGATTTTAGTTCAAAAGTTTCCACTACGAGCCTCCACTGTAATTAAGAATTTGAAATCGTAATACGAAGTAATATAAGTCAAAACTTTCTTCTGGAATAAAATAACTATTGTCATATGTATTTTCCATTACATGAAACATAAGCAAATTCGACAGACGGTAATTTTTATAAAAATAATAATAACGAAATAGTTCTTATAAAGTATTTTGAAACTTGAAATTTTTATTTTTTTTAAATATATTTTTCGAAATATTGCAAGAATATTTATAATGTGACCATCGTTTATCGCAGACTGCTTAACTTTTTATCTCATTTTTCAACTTATCTGTTCTATGTTGAAAATTGGTTTTTATTATAAAAATATAATAAAATGCATTTTAAGAGAAAATTTTAAACTTTCTATTCATCGTTCAGCTAGTGTTGTACACCGCTTTATTCTTTTGTGACGGATCAAAGATATTTTTACTTCAACATTGAATAACTGATAGAAAAAAAAATTCATTGCAAACTGCGTATAGATAAATTAAAACGGAAGGTTTGCACTTTCTAATAATGTCAACATCGTTTGTATGCGACTTTTAGTTTACGCGGTACAATTTGATGAACATAAAAAATTTAGTTATTTGACGAATCTCGATTTATGTTCATATAGCATCGTGATAAACAAACATTATATTGGAGAATGTATTTGAAAATTATAGATCTTGCGTTACAAAATGCTTCTTAAACCATCTCTCTTTATTTTTTCAAAAGTTACAGTTCATTGAATTTCATCTATTTACTGCGGTCAAAAAAAGTAATACTGAAAAGTAATATCGGACGCAAGTAAATACTCCGTAACGTGGCGCTGCAAATGTAAGAATCTCACACTACTCGTGAACCTTAACCTAAACCTAAACCTGAACGTCGTTGTCAACATGTTCCACGGGTGTGTATCTTCATTTAAAAGTGTTATATTTTTTAACTTTGTTGCGACGATTTCCATTTCCTTTGTTCAACGACTATATTCGATCAATCCGGATTCATTTATTATACTAGAATCAAAATTACTCGTTACTTCAAAGTTGTTTACCTGAGTATATACTGATCGAACGTATTATCACAGATGCAAGAGGCTTTGTACCAGCGGCTTGAGATTATCGGCATCATCACGATGTACCGGGATGTTGTCGAAGGCAGAGGCGAGGAAACGGAGATGTCAATTGTTCGAAGAGGAGAAACAGAGGCAACGCTCTGAATTAGGTAGAATCGAAAAAATAGAAGTGAAGTACCAGTCGGTGGAGGACGAGGTAGTGCTGGTAATGAACCGCAATATTTCCACACCGCACGACTGCGCCAAGCACATCTCTGAGAGCATCACCAAGATGTCTGCAATTGCCTTCGTCGACGGTCAGATTTGGGATATGCACAAGCCATTCACAGGCAACTGTGAGCTACAACTAGTGACTATGCAAACTCCACGATCAGGCATGATTAATAATGCCTTTTGGCGAACGTGTTCGTTGATTCTGGGTGCTGTGGCAGAAAATGCATTCAAAGATAACGTGAACGTGCACCTACATAGCTTTCCTTATCCTGTAATTCGTTCTGGCAGTTTTGTGTATGATGTATTTATCGATCTGCCAAGCTGGCAACCAACCGATTCTGAATTACGTGCTATGTCAGCATTATTTGTCAAGTTTATAAATCGTGAACTGTTATTAGAAAGACTTGAAGTGCCATGCAGCATTGCTCAACACATGTTTGAGGTAGGGAATTGAATGGAAAATACATAATGAAATTAGTAGACGTTCATGATATTCACTTACTCATGACATTAATATATTAATTTAAGATTCTCTGATGATAAAATTCTGTTTAAATGTAAAGTTGATATTATGACTGATTTTATTATAAAATATTCATATACAATAGTATACAATATATATAGTCTAACATTTATATTAGCATAATTTATATCTAATTATTGTAAATCTAGATTATTAATCATTTGATTTGTTGCTTACAGGATAATCCATTCAAATACCAACAAATACCTCAAATCGCCAAAGATAATGATGACGACAAGGTGACATTATATCAGTTAGGTGATCATATAGATATTAGCAAAGGACCTATGATAAGTAACAGCGGCTTGATAGGGCGTGTCACTGTAACAGCAGTTCATCGACTTACAAACGGGCCTGTGGATGGCTTGTATCGCTTCCAAGGTGTTGCCTTGCCCAAAGGAATTATGCTCAATCATTTTGCTTACAGTATCTTGGAGAATCGTGCAAAGAAATTGAATACAGTTACATGGCAGCCGCATATAGTAGAACACGAAATGATGAATAACGTAACAGCGTCTGCAAATTAAAGAACACTCGTCTCACAATCTAGGTGAGCTTTTGTGTAAATAAATGCATCTTTTAGTTATTACTCCGACTTAATTCTACGTCGTTCTTTGACTCTTAATCATGGGAGACGGATTATGAGTCGTAATTTATCATAAATGCCTTGTAGTCCAATAACTTACTCGAAATAAAAATCTGGATGTTTTTTTACTCAATTTCAATAATGTGTCGTATTGCGTTATGTTCAATTGATTCTTGACATCAAGGTTCTCAAATCAATTATCGCTTCTATATCGTCAACACAAATTACGCAATACGAATGAATTCGAATAAGATATGCTTGAAATATTTTATTTTATGTTCGAATGTACAATACGAAAAATTGTTATAGTTACTAAGGCAAATATCATATATTACACACAAGAATATACACAGGGTATCTTGCAATAATCACCTAACTAGTACGCAGAAAGCATGTGACTCAACTATATTGTGAGCGAATCCGCCGTGGATCACACACCTCCCAAACGAAGACACCAGGCAATCTGTTTGCTTTCGACGTTGCGCATTTCATATTCAATTTCAGATACAACTCCTGACTTGAGTTGGTATTGTAATTCTCGAGATCGTCACACTTTAAATGTGCCCTCGCTGCCAGTGGTGCTAGTTCTGACGAGCATCTAAACGAATAATGAAAACAAGAAAACCGATTTTATGCGTATTATTCGAGAGCACAAAATTGTTGAAAAGTTATTCTTTTAATTAGAAAAGTCCTTCGACTTCTGATCTCTACAATTGATCGTTAGTTGGATTACCTCAATTCGATAGTAATGACCAAGTCGAACTGAGGTGGTCGATTCGTTTCTTGTTCAAGTTCGCTGCCGATATTTTCTACGTTGTTGAGTCTCACATGCTTAAACTTGTACTCGTAGGCGTATTTGCTCATGGTACCATAGTAGAAAAATCGACCACCGTATTCGCCGTATCCTGAGTATATGCAGGCCGGTAGTAGTTTCCGAGATGGTACCGACGGTAGCTAAGATACAAATCAGTTTATGAAAAATTATTAATTTTTAGTCACAATTTAAAAAGGACATGTATAACTTTCCTATTATTTTTTTATCTTCACAATTATACATTTCCAAAGTGAATTTCATACGTTATATTCTATGTAAAAATTACGTTTTGAAATTCACAAACCATCACTCGAAGATCAAGCTTGCGCTCGTAATGCAGCTTATAGAAGAGTTGCTTGTTGAAGCTACTAACTAGCCGGCGCAATCTTAAATACATGTAACGTTGTTTGTCTCGCCAGCAATGCTCATTGTTCGCGTTAGGCACCTGCAAGCACGTGAACCACGTGCGTTTCAGCACGTATCTGAGTTGCATGCTAACCTGGAAGCAAGATTTAACAAGATGGGATTACAGAAAGATAGAATGATACAGGAAAAGTTTTATGATATGTGATATCCAATAGAATATCTCGGTTTGGATCTCTACGCTGCCACGACTTTTGTTTGAAACGTCCAATTCGCAAAATTTATTTTCAAGAGCAAGGGATAATATTGAAGCATCCCTTACCACATGAGTACCTGTTCTTGACGAGGTCCTGAAGGATAGCAACTGTCGTCCTTCCCCAAGACAATCTAATACGTCAATGATCTTGCATCCCGAAATTAACGCAGATCTGTTGGCGATTTTTATTACTAGCTATTAATTAACTGAATACAGATGGAGATTAATTGGATTGATGATTATATTAACCATTGGTCAGAGGCTAAAATAATATCGACAACTAGTCGACTACTGTTAACAGATGATAAATTAACGGAAAGGGCAACATGTTACCTGTTCACCCTACGCTCAGTAACCTTCTCGAAATGATCCATGAAGTTTTCGCAGCTACGTGCGAAGATCTGTAAGTCAGTACAGAAGACGATCGAGAATCCTTGACAAGGATCCAGAACCGTCTGTAACAAGTAGTTGAGATTGTCGAGGACTCTGCCACCGTAGAAGCAGGAGACGGGTGAACTGTGGGACCTTCACATGGGTAGAATAAACTCCAAGAGAGAGAGAAAAAATTGTCTTCTTAAATATATCTACATAGGTATTCTTGTGTGAGAAAGTATCGATAATGTTAGAAATATTGAAAAATTTCCAAGTATCTAAATTATTCGAAAAAGAGATGAAATTGAATAATTTTGGAAACCTTGGATGTGTGTATCGCCACGTAACTGCCTTCAACATGCGATACTGCGATCGAATAAGCTCCAGAGCGTTGAAAGTTTTGCTGTAGTTCAGCATCTCAATGTCGGTCTTTACATTATTTACGAGATCCTTCGTGCGCTTCATCGCAACCTCCAGCTTGATGCCTGCTACCAAGAACTCGCTATTCAGCACTGTCGCGGCAATATCATACCAATGTCTGCAGAAAAAGGTTTAAAGGAAAGAAATGAGAAGAGGGTTCAAGGCTTTTGTAGAAACATGAATCCCCAGGAAGTTGAGTCTCAAACTGAGTATCCAAGATAGATCAATGATCAGTTTTGAAATTTGAGAATTTAAAACAAGAGAATTTAATTCTTGAAGTTCCAAAATATTGAAGGATTTCGAAAGTTTAAAATCTACAAAATGCACGAGATTCAATTAATAAAACGAGTTCATAACTTTACAAGTAATAAAAATAGTAATAATATAGTAATAAAAATAAAAATTTGTAAATATTTTACGATTTATATTTTATTTATTAATATTTATTTTATTCATATTCGAATAACTTCAGCAATATTTCACGATTATCAAACTAAAATTTATCATAAATTACTCTTATTGTACTGATTAGAACCTACCTGGAGACCAGACGAATGGTACAAGCAACATCGTGCAAAGATAGCATCTTCAAGATGATGCCTAGAATTTCTGGTGGCAGAATGTCTAACGTGCATCGTGTGTCCTTGTATTCCTGCGCGTTCTGAATGCATTGCAAGGACACTCTTCGTCGTTTCGCGCACATTTAGCTCCTCTTGGATGTAATTCTATCCTTGAAATCCACGATCGAGACTAATTATAAACTGATAGCGAATATTCACGAAGATTACATGTTTTCGTATAGCGATTACAACCAATGGGATTTCCTATTACTCGAAAAAAAAAGTAATTCCTGAAATTTTGTGGCTCTTTGGAGAAATGGACTTCTCAAATTTACGCAAAACAAAGAAGTCACCTCCTCTTGCAATCTCTTCATTAAGATAGCTTCAGAATGCTGAAGACAAACGAGAAGCTGTATTTACCAAATGGAGATTTAACCCGTTCTTTTTTGTTTCAAATATGAATGAATATGTTAACTCTTTGATTGTTTCTCCAACTTTTATATAGCTGGGACTGACTTTTCATGACAACGTGAGATTTTAAATTCATATAAACAATATTGCATCAACCGTATGATATATTAGTTACTTTAAGCTATTTTCATTCTTCTTTATTAATAATCTCTCTTCTGAATTATTTTCTAAAAATTATATTTATCTTAAATCTAAAGAAATTGGATAAAGGTACGGAGACAAAAAAATTGAAGACTTCTTTTTATGGAATACCTCATGTTATTTGCAAATTACGCAAACACAAAATAATAGCATTACTTATCCAAGATTTATTTTTTTCGACATTTCTCGCGAAGTATAGAATAGCAGATCAAATATAGTCAACACAATAACTAGCTTCACTTATCCTTATTAAAGTATATTGAATATTTCATGATCGAATTTGGAGATTTGTCATCGTTATCGGCAAGTTATCACTTTTTGGTTGCATAAGATCAGCAAAATTATAAACATCTAAAGATTCGAGTTCCAAGATCCAAAATTCCAGGCTATTAAAGTCTCAGAAATTTAAGATTCTGAAGCTCCGAGAATCCGTTTATAAAACTGAAAGTTTTGAATACACAAAGTCTTAGCAAACACACAATCTCGAGGATCTTAAATTCCAAACAATCAAAATCAAGAATTCGACACCCTAAAAATTTGAGGTTTCGAAGATCCGATTTTCCAAACATTCCACAAAGATCTAAGAAATTAAATTTTTTCAAAGACTTAAAGTTATAAAAAGATGCAATGTTCCAAAAATTTGGAGTTTCACAGATAAAGGATTTTCAAAGGATCAAATATTCCTTGAGAATTCGAAGTTGAAAGATTCCAAGCAAGCTCTGAAAGAGACGAAGGCCTGTTCTTTTTTTATGCTTTATGCGCTGAAGTTCACCGGCATTAGCAAGGTAAACTTGGCTTGATCGATGTTCGCTTCATCGGTCCCGCAAGGTCCAATGCTATCCAACAAGCTTTGTATCGCGTTCTGATTATTCGAGTGCTTCCTCTTAGTGTGCTCACGACGATGCTTGAGTTCTTTGAATGTCTTGCCGCACTGCTCGCAGACATAGGGTCTCGCTGCCTCGTGAGAGCGCACGTGACCCTCAAAATGACTCTTCCTAACAAACTTTTTGCCACATTGGCCGCAATCAAACTGGAAACGACCTTCGTGAGCGGCCACGTGCGAGCTGAGAGTCCATTTGGTCTTGAAGGTCTTCGAGCAGTAATCGCATCTGATCTTCGAGTCACCTTTATCTGATCTTCGAGGTTCCTTCTTCAGTAACAGCATCTCTTCCAACAAAAAATCATCTGCATCAGTGGGGTGGTCCTTCGGCATCGCGGACTTGTCCATGGACATTTGACCCTGTAGCAGGGCTTTAGCTTGATCCTCAAATTTTATATGGCCATTTCTCGGTGATGGCTGGAAAAGTAACGGCATATGCATATATAAGAAAAGCAATAGATAGAAAATAAAATAAAAATATAATATTTAAATTTCATTTCTCTTAATATTGTAATGTTCCATTTCTATTACCTCAAATATAAATAAAGAGCTTATTTTATTTATATAACTTCGGAGTAAAACATACTATCAAATATATGATATCAAATAAATCACACCTTATAGTGCGAGGCCAAATGTGCCCTGAGTTTATCTTCGTCGTTGTATCTCCTCTTGCAACGTGGGCAGGGATAGCCGCTCTTGTCGTCTATACCGCGTAAAAGAGCACTTCGAAGGGTAGCGTCGTTTGTAATGTTTTCCACGTCAATTTTGTGCTCATCCGTCTGCTGTAGCTTTTCTTTGCGCATTGCATGTCGGATAATGTGCCGTTTCAGATCGTGCGCTCTTGAGAACGCTCGCCCATATCGCGAGCATGTAGGATAGGGACAGCCCTTTGTTCTATCGTTTCTCGGACTAAGGAAGAAAAAGAATCATTAAAATTTAACTTTCTATATTCTTGAACATCACTAAAATCAAATAAAAACAATCTTAGGCAAAATCACTGGAAAAAATGGAAAGAGAAGATTAAACTTAATGAAAGATTGCTATATTGGAAACTACTAAAGTATTGATAATCTTGAAATATCAACATTAAGAAAATCCTAATTATTCAAAGATCTACAATCACGGTGAATACAAGATCTCGCCCGATCCAGGAATATTATTATAAAAAAAAAAAAAAAAAGAAAATATATTTAATCCAGAATATATACTAAGCAAAATAATACGTAAATTATAAATCACATGGAGTAATCTAGAATCTTTGGGGAGTTTTACGATTAACATATCTCGAGGAAAATTTTCTTCGAGAGTAAATCTTGTACCTTCGAGTGGTATTAGCGGCGGCGGTTGTTTGTTTTGGATCCTTGCTGCAATCTTTGGGATTTTTGTTGATCTTTTGACCAGCCATTGTGGTCAGTTGTGCCGATAACGGTATCACGATAGAGATTGTCTCGTTAGTTCCGGGCGTGACGATGGGTCCGACGCGGATTGCCGGCGGAGTCACCAGCGATAAATTGTTCTCGTTGCCTCTGCTCATGCTTGTTCTGCTGGTAAACAAATTATTAAAAACGGTAAATGGCTGTGTTTTTCTAAAATAAATGTACACATTCATTTATATAATATTACACTTTACTATCATGTTCCTGAAAATATTCTGTCCTCCAAGTTGGTACTTAATAAGAAAACATTATTATTATTTATTAGTATACTATATATATTATTTAGTATACTATATATATTATTTATTACTATACTATATATAGATATTATATATGCTTGTTTTTGTTATAAATTGTTATATTAAGTAGTTATAAATTGCTAACTTCAAGAATTAACAATATGTAACAAAAAAGTTTAAATCGAAAAATTACATTGCGAATAGTAATGATACATTAATTATATAAATGCCAACTTATTCAATTCAAGCTCCATTAGTAGATTGTAAACACAAGATGGGTTAAAAAACACATATTTAATTAATGTACATGATATACATAATATATATAATTATAAGAACTAATATATATAATTATAAGAACAGACTTCGTTAAACTATACTTTTCTAGAAAAGACTATATAACTATCTGAAAAAAAAAAATTTGAAGTTGTAAAGGCAACTGATAATCTTAATGATGTTACATAATACTGTAATAATTCAATATAAGGATCTCTAATTATAGGTACGTACACATTATCTAAGTATATTCGTAAAGTAAAACAATCGATTCCAAATAATCGATTATAAGTATAACTTTGCAATTATATTGAGCAGAATACAGGGAGATCCGTCTTTACGAGACACCGTGTATGTACACCGCAAGTTTCGGAAGGGTTAGGACAAACCGCGATCGATGGTCGGTCGTCTATCCACGCGTATATCAGTGTGACGCATTAATTCCGAAAACAAAATGAAACAGCCATGAATTGAGATCGATGTAATTCTAAATGAGTTCAGATTTCCTGATCCTACGAATAAGGGAAGAAATAATCTTTACGTTTTTTTTTTTACAGAACAACAAAGGAACGACCGTTGGCGTGAAGTACGCTCTCTCTCTTGTAGTCGACGGCGTCAGAAATGCGAACTCGCTGAAATTATTACATCGGCGTCACCAGTCGCGACTCTGAGACGGCATTCTCGTGACGCATCACGGACGTCACGGAAACGTTGCCGATGTTTCGTCGAGGTATTTCCTCGAGAGCGCGCGATCGCACGAGGACGCGTTTGTAACCGGCTTGAAAACGCGATGCGCGGGAGAGACCACGGGAAGCGTACAGAGGAATAGTATCGATGCAATATTTACCGAAATGTCACCGTAGTGTCGCAGTAACCTGGTGATTCACCGATGCTGAAAGGCTTCACCACATAACCACAAAAGAGCACGCTCAGGAGTGGCCTGTAACCTTATGCCTCGAGGGAAACGTTGAGACTACCAGGAGAGACCTCAGTCACGTTGAACCGTCACCGATGTCTTGCTGACGCCGTAAATTCGAGCACAAACGCTTCGCGCTTTTCTCGACCCTCCAGTGAACGAGCAAGCTCCGAGGTTTGCGCGCGATTATCCGAGGTTGATACGACGTTGATGGCAGAGAGAGTATTAAATTCACCGTTACGCTCACGACGATTCTCAATCTTGCAGAAATCACGCGAACGTGCCAAACGGACTACGTGGCGACGTAATGTCTCTTCATGATACGCACGCGACACGAGGAGCGGCCATCTTGAAGCGAGTTTCGCGTTCCACCTCCCTCGTATCGGTCGCGCCGACTAATGACGCCCGTGTCGCGATCGCTGCGCTCAGTTCCGAAAGGTCGATCTTCGTTACATAAAACCGCCGTGTTTCTCGGCTACTCGGTTTTCTTTACAATCTTTTCTTCCTTAATTTCGCCTCCGATATCTAAATTATGATACTTGGATACAATAGACGCGACACCTTTTTCAGAAGAAGACAAAGAAAATTAGCGCGTGCCGCGCGTTTTCTGATGCGAATAAATAGAATGGATTTAACGAAAATTTAAATATGCATATATGAATTATCGTTCCATAAATGAATACAATTAATTACGGGAATTTGATATCTTTACATGATATCTTGAGAATATGGTATATTTTTAAAAGTCGATGTTACAACGACGAGAAGATTCGACGAGTTGCTCGTCATGAAATCTTCTATTTAACGGTTCGAAAATGGCGCCACCTTTTCGGCCGAAATGGCGGTCACCCGAGTCTTTTTTTCTTTCTCTAGTCACTCGGCCAGACTCCTTTGCTTTTCACGACGCGATGAAAGCTACTAATCGTGTAGGCCGATCCGAATAGGATGACGAAAAAGTCAGGGGAAGCGGGAGTAAACGCAGAAAATATGGGCGAAGTGCGCGCGCAGACGATGATTCACTCGCAAGGGTGTTGCATCCCTCACAGAGGATGATTCTTTTTTTATTTTGTATGATTTTACGATTTGACGATAAAGAATTTGAATGAAAAGAACGTGAAAATGGAAATGCGTTCGAATACCGAAAGAAATCCCAAAATGCGTAGCGAAAAAGAAATTATCAAGATGCATAGTTGATGCGTGAAAGTGAATCGAATATACTTAGCAAATCGCTACGGACAACGGTTATTAATTAGTAATTACATTAGAGATACAAAGGTGCATATTGTTATGAACGTATACAGAACGTATATGCAAATAAAACAACAAAAGGTCTTCAAAAAATGTACACGGGTAATATAATGCTATCACATAATCCTATCATTATATTACCCATGTACAAATTTTCTTGTTTTATAATATCTTGCATAAACATTAGCAATATTTTGTTTCTTCGACCATTGAATCTATTTTGAAAATATACTTGAAAATGTACGTTGAAAATATACTTTTTGGATATATAATTAATACCATAACAATTGAACTTTTATGTGTAATTTTTCTACAATTATCTTGCTATATACTCTTCTCAAGGTACATGTAAAAGCAAAGTGGCATTTCCGATACGTTCTGGTCTCACCTAACGCACGTGGCGGCCTTGTTTCGTCATTGCGTTATCAGAGCGAATAGAAATACATATAGAGAGATGCGCACTGAAAGTTGGAAAGAAAAGCTATTCGCCGCACGAGAACGGATACCGAGAGGATATCTACATTTATATAAGGATCCCTCTCGATCTTGAAGTGTGTGCTTCTGCTATTGCATAACTATGTCGAATGATATATTGAACGTATATCCGCCGAACGTTGGCGTTTTCCAGATTTATCTTGAAATTATACGTCGATGAATTCTAGATTCTTGGAAATCCTCAAATGTTCTTCAGCTGAATGCAATCCAGGTCTTGCCACATGGAACATTTGCTTTGCTTAATATCAGAATGTGCGTAACATCTGCGCAACGGTATGCGCGAGCGCCAAATGCTACGTACCTGTAATTAATAATTAAGGCTAATTAAGGCTTCACTCTGGAACCAAATGTACTCTCACGGTATATCGCGTGCGCCCTTCATGAATCGATATTTTCAACTAAATCGTCCACATAGCGCACGCTCCGCGTCATTAAAGCGATCCTCCTATCCAATGAGACAAACTGCAACATTATAATTCACTATCACTTATTAAATGTGGATGCAGTCACATATCGTGATGAATAAATATTTTTTACATAATGGGAAAAAATCTAAAATTATGTCAATGTTATTATTCTGTTATGATAATATGACTTGTATGAGAATGATAATTATTCCACAACTCCTCAAATCGAGAAATGTCATTATATCTGATAAATTATATTTTGCAAAAATTTCCTGAATTTTTTTCGAAGTTTCCGAAGAAAGTAAAATTTCATATTTTTGTTGAAAAGTATTCGAGCGATTTTACAATCAGAGAACAGTAAGATAAAAAAATATCATTTCGTAATTAAGTTAAAAATTTTACGTCCAAGTACAAAACGAACGACTAATCATTTCGATGGTTTCGAGCGAAATAGAAATTCATGTTTCTTCGACGTAATTTAAGCGATTTATAAAATGAGATCGTCTCGTCTTTTCCGGCTGAATGAACAACCGTGAAAGTTTTAACCGGCCGCGGTCAATGTTCCGGAAAGAATCTTTATAAGCTTCGGAAGCTTATCCTGTATTATCCTTTATTTTGATCCCAACATTTATTCGACCGGATCATTTATGAATAACCATAATTACACCCTGTAAATAAATAAAGCGATTATTATGAGTAACCGTATATATAAGAAGCATCTGTACGTCACGTCCAGTATCCTCAGCTTTCTACTGTCCGTTTATTATCTGACAATGTTGAGTCAACGAGTGTGACCTATATATATTTAAGTATTATATATGTAGTTGTCTTTTTTTAAATAGTATATATATGTACATAATCCATTAAATTTTTATCATACAGAAAGTGTACTAGAAGAGACAGCCTATAAATATATAGATAACATGTATAAAATAAATAACTAAAAATTAAAAAAATATTACATAAATTATAAAACAAACAGAATTATAAGTATGTGTGAGTGTGTGTAAATAGTTGGTATTTAATATTAACTTAATATACTGTACATTATATCATGTACATGAAATGCACATTATATACAAACAAAATTTTATGTGACAAAACTTAAAAAAAAAAAAAAGGGATTTTCGAAAACGGTTTTGTACATATTTACATCGTTAGTATTTACATGAACGAATTTCATCGTCGCTCCTCATCGTCGTTGCTGATCGTCTTCTTGATCCAGTTCAGGTAATGTTGTATCCTGGTATATACGTCCGGGTAGCCCGGTCTGGCACAACCGGAGCCAAAGGACGTGACACCAGCCAACTGCCAAACACCGTCGGCGCGACGACATTGCAGAGGTCCTCCGGAGTCACCCTGAAAATATAAATAGATAAATGAAACAAAAAGAATCAGACATGTTGATGCCTATTTTCTTTCATATTATTAATTTTTTTTTTTAATTTTGTCGTTTGTATAAGAAGCTTTCGGCGCTCTTCTGATATTGTAGATAAAACTTTTACATTAACAATTTTTTATATCAACCACTATGTTATATTGTCACATTCTTTATAGTTGTCATTTTTTTTAGTAATTTCGATATTAATATCAAAAACTTCATCATCATCAGTCATTTTGGTTCATCAAACACATTTTATGCTTTAAAATGTTTGTTTTATTAATACTATGTTAACAATTTTAACAACTGAAGATTTACGGTATTGAAGTTATTCAGTATTGAGAAATTTAGTATTACAGGAACGCGCTTATACGCGCATATTTGGCATTTGAACATCCTTTCTGACCGAAAATAAATCTTTGAACATCTTTTCTGACCGAAAATAAATTCTGACCGAAAATCATGGACACGCAAGTCTTTGCGACGCGTTTTTCACGTTACTGTCGTTCGACGAGATCTATTTTACTGCGAGAAAGTGTACTTGTAGCGTAATTAACAAATCAGCGCTTTCAGATAATAAAACGTGTTCGCAAATGATCATCAGCCTACGTATGTTAACATATTCGCGCTTATTTCAATGAGTTACACAAGATGAACAGAAATTTCTCGTCTTTCCTTTCAACGGCATCATATTTGATATCGATTGTATGTAGTCTTGAACTAGCGTAAACAAGTTCTTGGCTTAAGGACAAGCTATTTTCCACGAATACACAATTATGAGAAGAATGAAATGTTAAAAAATTTCTATTAAAAAATGACATTTACCACACAGCTTCCAGTGGAACCATCAGTGTGACCCGCACAGAGATGACCCTTCCTGATAGGCACCAAGGTACCATAGACCTGTAGGCATTCTTCGAGATTCAGTAGAGGAACGTTGGCTTCTAGAAGAGCGGTGGAAAGGGAAGGCGAGGGACCATATCGACCCCAGCCGGAAGTTACACACTGCCTTTCCGCAAAATTTTCTTCAGGATCAGGAAGGCAAATTGTGCGAACAACCTTGGACAACGGCGCTGGTCTAGCGAGTTTCATCAAAGCTGCAATAACGATATTCTTTCAGGGTCTTTTTGACACATTGGAGGTTCTTATCATTTTTTTAATTGATTTATATATATAACGAATAGGATAAAAATAAATGTAATGAAGCGGTATATGGAATTTAGGACCTTTAATATAAAGTTTTTTTAGGAATAGACAAAATTTGTAAAGTCAATACAGTCGATGAAATTGGTTTTCACCGATCGATAAACAAACTCACCTATGTCGTGCAGATAATTGTTGAATCTCTCATGGAGGATGACTTTTTCGACAGGTAAACGAGTGGATCCGTGTCCACCTGCGTCTAATTCCCATTCGCCGACCACCGCTGTCCATAGCGCACCAATGGGCAAATTGAACAGTTCACTGAAGTAAATATCCACTTAGGAGGATACGATATATGAAATAAATATATGAAGTGTGAAACGACATCGCTGTCGTACGCAATGCGTATAAGAAAATGATATTTCAGATAAATCATAAAATTCAGATTAAAATTGCAGATAACAGTTGTCTGCCAGTCAAAGTCCGAAAGTCCACGAAAGAAGCAGTTCGCTTACTTGTGAATGCAATGGGCAGCAGTAAGCACCCACTTGGGATCTATCAGCACACCCCCACACCAGTGGCCGATGAAGCCATGTGTCGGATGAAGCAACTGAAGGGACACTTGCCAAGGCCACGAGCCCCTTTTGCTAGGCTTGCCATTGAAGATGCGTCCGGTGGTGGTGGTAGTCGTTGAGGACGCTCCAGTGTCCTTTAGCACCTGTACCTTCGACGACACAATCGAGCGTGGTTGCCTCTGGGACGCTGCCGGACATCCGCACTCTGTTATTTAAAGTCGCTTGTATCCGTTAGTACCTTCACGCGGCCGGCTGAGATTTTATCGTGAGCTACGTGGATATCAACATGCGAAGGTCCAAGGACCCGAAGATCTGAAGTCTAAACGTCTCAAGGATTTAAAGTTTCAAGATTAAAACGTTAAAAGAAACATATCACCTATATGAGTATCAAGAAGATTTACTATAACTCGGAATTAAAAATAGGAATAATATTAAGAAAATATTTTAAAATATTAAAAAGGGGTTGCAACTTCCAAACATTGGAAACAAGCAAGAGAATTATAAAATCAAAAGCAACAAATCACGTTACGACGTTGGTATACGTCAGTTTTCATTGAAAGAACAATCGTGACAGTTAAAAACTAATAAAATTAGAATGAGGATCGTGGAAATACTCACTGGTATGATCCTCCCGGACGATCCTCATCATGGCACACTGAGGCACCTCTGCCAGGACGACTACCAGCAGGACGATCAAGTCGCTGCGAAGACGGCACATCGCCAGCGAAATCGAGAATACCCGCGCGCCGAGGATCACCGCGCCGTGATCACCACGATCTATGAATCTGCATAGCCTGCGACTGGCCTTGGCGACGTCGATCGATCCTCGAGTAGGATTAGTGCGACGCCAACAGCGGATCCTTCAGCACGAGGCTATCTCGAAGAAAGTGATCGTGTCGACGGCATAGGAGGGGGCAAGAGCCAGTGACGATGTGGTCCAGTAGATGCTGAGGAACATGAAGCGCGTTCGAGGGTCGTTCCTTGTGATTTATGGAACGAGACCAGGGATCTCGATGAAGATGAAGATCCTTCTATCTCGAAGATGTTCTATTTGAATAAATAAATGTGAAGAAAACTGAGTTTTCGTTCCGAAGATATACAAAAGCTTTACGACATTCATTTGGTACTCCAGGATCTTCTCCATCTTGTGTTCTGAATTCACCAAACTTTGAGTATTTGAGAATTAAAATTCTTGAGATATCGTCTTCTCTGAATTTTATATCTTTGTATTCAAGATGCGCAAATAACTGTATTATTGGACCTTAACATCATTAAAACCTGACATTTTCGTAAAAGGATCTTGGAATCCTTAGAAACATGAATTCTTTATACTTTAAATTGATTACTAAAGATCTTTGATAAGGAAATTGAGATCCTTTTGCGACAGAAATAAATAGATAAGTGAGATTTCTTTCTTGTGTAAATCCAAATGCAAATTGGCCGAAAGAAATCCTTGCGAAGTTGAGAGTCGCGGCAAAAAATCGGCGAAGCGAATCAAGTAAAAAGGGAGAAGGTGAGAAACTTTCTCCTGTCTCGCCGATGGACAAAGTTTACGCAGGATTATTCGGATTCGGAGGACTTTCTTCCTTAACAAGGATATTTGTCGCCGGAACCATAGATAATTATGCGAGAAGTCGGGCGCACTACGATTAACGATCTGATTGATTGAAGAAAGAAACCCGAAGCAACGGAAACGCGATTCGAATCTTTCTTTCTTTCTCCCTTGCTCACTCGCTTGCTTGCTTGTTTGCTTGCTTACTCGCTCGCTCAATCGTTTGCTCGATCGCTCACACGCTCGAATGAGGCGACGACTTTCGAGAGCGAATCGCTCTCCTCGCACGAGCCGAGAGAAACGCGGCCGATATAATGATATAATCGTTAAGATCGATAATCTTCTGTTCTGATTTGCGTTCTTATCAGTTTGCAGAATTTCGTGTCTATATCCTATAAATTTCTTGATCTTCAAATACCTTGAAACTTTGAATCTGCACAACTTTTTACACAGATCTTCGGATGATTTGTCACCGTTTTCGAATGTTCATAATAAAAAATACATTTTACCAATATATGTCGATATAAGAAAATATGCCGAGAATACTCACATAAATCTTAATGTTTCCCAAAAATGTCTCATTTGTAAGAAATTCGTTAATATTTAGATCTCAATATTTATGCCACGGTTGTTACAAGGATCAATGATAGATGTCCAAAAGTTCTGCAGGAAATATCCTTGAGAACACCCTCGAAATTACACGTCGATACGCATGGTCCTCGAAACATCAGTTAGAACATTTCGCACCGTTAGAAGTGAAAAGAATGCATCTCGCCTCCCGTGGAATGATGGCAGAATGAGAAAGTGAAACCGCATTTGCAATCGGGCCTTGCAGAAGGAAAGGAAAAGCCTGCCTGAGCCTGCTATTTCTCGTTGCACATTGGACACGCTAAAATATGACAGTGAATCTCAGAAGTCTGCGGAAAATAACAAAGTAGGAATAAATAAAAAGATACTTACAGTATAGAAGGAGAAATGAAAACGGCGGAGAAAAAAATATGATAGGTGCAGGTTAGAAAAAAAGAAAAGGAAAAATTCTGTACAAAACAATCTAAATTTGCACAATCAATATAAAGGAGACGAATGTCAAATAACTTTTAAAGTATGAAAAATAATTAAATTAACTATCTTCTATGTACATGGTTAATTTTTTACTCTGCTCCACGAACAAACCTTCGATTTATTTGTACATCTCGCAAATTAACACTTGAATTTGCTGCTGAGAGTATAGATGATCGTTAAAACTACAAAGAAGGTAATTTAGAGGTCGAGAGATGGCGCTTCTCGCGAAGAGCTGCGAATTCATATTTTTATAGAAATTTTTAAAACTCTAATCTCAAAATACGGCCCTGTAATGCAATTTTTATATAAAAGATGTCAAAAGATTCCATAAAAATATATAATCTTGAAGTAAAACAAATTACGAACCCGTGTAAATGTGATTTTATTTTAAAGCGCCTCTATGAAACGTAAGTAGAACTATATAATAGAAGTGCACGAAATTTCTCGATAGGTAATACAAGGGTTTGGTTTTGTTCCGTGCAAAGTCATACAAAGATTAGTTCCATCATAAGCTAGTATCTTTAAGATACACATAACGATGATATTAACATCACTAATAATATAATTTACAGTAATACATGAAAAAACAAAGTTTATTGCAGTATGTTGTACAAGTAAAAATATCAAGCGACAAGGGCACTAGCTGTAGAGCTCTCATACTTCCAATTCGGTGGTAAAGATCCTTTTGTTTTATAGTATCGCGCCAGTCTATGGATTCTCGATTCTACTAGAATCAAACGGAATTTACTATCTTTATCTTTACGATTTCGTTCTAAGTGCTTACGGACAGCAACAGCTTTTTTAATCAAATAATATAAATCTTCAGGCAGGTCTGGTGCCAATCCCATGCTTTTCACAATGCGCAGGATTTTATTTCCTGTTCTGAATCTTACTTGGGCAACTCCATGAGAGTCGCGAAGTATAACACCTAAAATCATGATATTCACTTGAATTCATCTAATCAAAAGTCTACAACAAGTTTAATCACAATAAATGTTAGTGGTAACCTATCGTGAAATGACAATTTATCATATCCACGTCAAACACCACTATCAACTTATATTCTTGCAAGTATATATTGTCAAAGAGATCAGACTGAAGAATCTAAGATCTCTTGAAGTAATTTGCTTCTTTCGTCAAATTTATTAATGTTTTAATGTTTAAAAGAAATCTCTTTAAATTACTTTGATAAATTATTCTTTTAAGAGAACAAATATAACATGTTTCTTTGCTTGTCAAGATTTATCATTTATGATCTTACCAATCTGAGATGGTGTGTGTCCTTTCTTTGCTAGTTTATAAATTAGTTCTTTACAATCTTCCGGTGTCAACTTGAGCCAAGTTGGTACGCTTCGCCGATAGGGAAGTGCAGATTGGGATATACCCTTTCTAAAAAGACAATATATTATTAAATGGATTACTTTTGATTTATTAAATGGATTACTTTTGATTTATTAAATCAAATAACTTTATATATTTTCTCTTAAGATATAATCAGATAAGTAGATAAAACAGAAAGACATAACTATATGCGTATGCTGTCATTAAGTTAAATTTATTAACTATATGAGTTTAAAAGATAAATATGTGTTATTAAAAAAATCATCGAATAGATTTACATCATCATATATATAAAACATTTTTACAGATCTTGAAATAGCATTTATTAGAGAGGTTATGTAGTCCAAATGGTAATGATATTTGTCTCAAAAATTTCATATCTTTAAAGATATCAAAATGTTGGAAAATTCGACTCTTATGTCTGACAAAATAAATAACAATAGATTGTTAAAACGAAAAAGGTAAATAATGCAGCTAACATACGGTTGTTGAGCGTACACGTGTCGGCACGCTTAATGTTGGTCATAAAGTTATGTACGAAGCAATAAAAATGCAAACACCACACGATTGCGAAAACCGTGATCTTAATGCAATACAATAAATTTTCGTTACCCATGCGAATGCATACGACCCATCTTCGCAAATTTTCTTCAGCAAGGATTATAACTTCCAATTACACGCACCTAGTCATCGACGAGATATTAATAAAGACCGTCGATCTCACACGATTTCGCGTACCAAAGAAATCTCGCTATACGCTATCTCCCTCTCAATAATATCGTGGCTGGAATACGAAACTGTAGCTCGAAATAAAGCCAGCGGCATACGGTGCTTGTTTTCGTGCTGGATTGCTTGCTAGATGAAAATACTGCGTTTTGATTGGTGCATTTCCATCCATCTTCGGAAATGTACCAATCACAATGCAATATTTTCATCCAGCACGAAAACAAGTATCGTGTGCCGCTGGCTTTATTAGAGGCAAGTATTTTCGAGTTGGGAACGTCATACTTAGGTGTTATACTTTATGATCGTCCATTATTGAGCGTTTGAAGAGCGCGGCAGCGTACTGTACGCGCCATTATCTGATATTACTTTGGCCGGGTACACATTTATGAGAGAAACAGAGAAGAAGCATTATTGAACAATATACATGGTTTTTATAATGAATTGTGTGACATGAGTGTGGCTTAGTTTATATTCAAGTGATACTTTCTGAATTTTAATTAACAAGACGCAAATGCAGTGTCAGATTGGGAGAAATCGGACAGTTTAGTTCTAAAATCTGAAAAGTTTAACCCAACCTCGTTAAAGTAGTTCAATCGACATGGAAACTATTGAGGAGAACGAACTCAACGTCCTTCGAGAGATTGCGAGCGATGAGGAACTGGCGCAGATACCGAAAGAATTAGCAAAGAAAATTCATGTACATTTCAATGCGAAATACGACGAATTTATAACTGCTAAGGCCGTCTTTGAAAGTAACCGCAAGAACTTAGGTAACTTGTGCATGAGTTTAGACTTTATTTCTCTTAATACGAAAAAGCTACTTTAGTTTTGTTCAAATCTTGCATTTTTTCTCTTAATTTTTCCAGTCCTTTCTTTTTGAAATTAATTTAAATTTTATAAAAACTTGAAATATTAATGCCACGAGAAAGAGTATATTGAAAAATCTATTTGAATAATGTTGTATGGGACCAAAGATTTTATATATATATATATATATGTTAATTTACAGAACAAAATCTGGAAAAAGCACAGAAAGAACTTGCTGAGCAAAAGGTGGATCTTAATGAATACAAAGAAAAGTTGGAGTTAGTACGAAAAGACAGTGCAGAATCAAGTAGCAACCTTGAGGAAGTAAAGAATGAAGTATATAAGTTACAAGAATCTGTTAAACGGTAATATTAATTTCTTTAATAATTATTGTAAACAATAATATGATAATTATACTCCGTAATATAATCGAAGCAACTATGCTTGTTTCTAATATAATCTTATTAATATTTTAGATTTGTAATAATATACTTCGATGTAAATTACAGGTTAGAAAAGGAAAATGGCGAGCTACGGAGGCTTAGAGATACAGCAGTAGATGATAGAAATACGCTGCAGTTACAAGTTGAAAGACGTGACACTGAAATTACAAGAATGCATACTGAATTGACCTCTCTAGGCACTCAGTTGCAAACTGCTATCGCAACAAAGTGTCAAGTCCTGGCTGAAACAGAAGAAATTCACAGTCGAAAAATGACATTAGATTTCAAGGAGAAGCGACTGGAACAAGAACGAGTACTTCTCTCTCAACAAATAGCAGGCCTCGAGGAAGAACTAGCTAAAAGAAATTCTGAACTGCAGACAACAAGGTCTGAAGCCTCTGCTAGAGCTCTTTTAACTGATACTAAGTTATCTCAACGTGAAGAAGAGTTGCGAATAGCCAATGAAGCAAACTCTCAGCTTCGAGAAACGGTTTCCTCTCTTCAAAAGCGTTGTGATGAATTAGCTCAGAAATTGGAAGATCAGCGAGTTCATGAAATCTCCATGCATAGTTCATACCGCGAAGAAATCAATGCACAAACCAGATTAGCTGATTTGTACAAATCTATGGCAGATGAGGCTAATGCCAAAGCTGAAGAGTTCTCCAATGCAGTAAAGGAACTCCAGGAACTTCTAGAACATGCTTCAGAACAATATGGAACTTTGGAGACTAAGTACAATCAGTTGTTGTTGCAACATAAGCAAGATATTAACGACAAGGAGCAAAATATCCAGGAATTGACGAAAGAATTGGAACACGCTAACGAACTGCTGAAAAATGTCCAACAAGAGAGATTGGACCAAGCTGTTGAACAGTTGGCACCTACAGCAGCTATAACCAGTCGAGTGTTACGGAAAGGCTTGAGCCTCACACAGATTTATACTCAATTAGTTGAAGTCACTGACCAGTTAACTCAAGAAAGACAAGAAAACGACCGTCTGAAATCCCAGATGGATGTGATCCTCTGTGAATTACAGCAGAAGGCACCATTACTGCAACAACAACGTCAAGATTACGAAACAGCCATGACAAATATAGAGATGTTGACTTGCAGACAAGATGAAATTCTTACTGAGAATCAACGCCTTCTTGAAAGTTCCAGTGAGGCTAAACGCCTTGCCAGTCACCATAGTAAAGAAAACCAAAAGTTGAAGATTGAACTTAGCGACTTGGCCAGACAAGTATGTTATCTTCTCAAGGAGGTTCAAGAAAGCCGTACTGGCACACATGTAGAAAGCAGAGATCCATCTTCCCGAGATACCTCCTTTGATACAGACAACATCGTATCCTCACAAATTATCAGTAAGAAACTGGTGACTTTTAAGGACATTGAAGAATTGCAAGAGAATAACCAGAAGCTACTAGCTGTTGTCCGTGCGTTATCGTCCAGACAAGAAGAAATCGAACGCGCTACAGACGAGATAAATTCTGGTGAAATGAAAGAGAAACTGGACCGTTATATGGAGCAATTAGCAGATATGCAGGTTGCCCAAGATCGGCAGGCGAAAATGCTAGATAATCTTCTGAAGCAGAGAGATATGTATAAGAACATGTATCAACAAAGTGTCAAGAATTCCAACGAGAAGAAGAAGGAGATGATAGATGTGGAGGACGAAGAGAATAAATCAAAGACGAAGGAAGAGCCGAAGGTGTTGAAAGATGATAAAGATGAAGAAAAGAAGGAATGGTCCAAAAAGCTGAAGGATATGGAGGACAAATTCAAGCAGGTCTCGGACGAATATGACATGTACCGGAAAGAACGGACCGCGCATGAGAAGATGTTGAGCGAGGAAGTGGAAAGACTTAGGAAAGAGGCAGAAGCAAATTCAACGAGATGTTGCAGACTGAAAGCGCAACTAGATTCAGCAAATGAGAGATTTACTCTTCTACAGGGTAATGTTTCGTCATACAAGACTCAAATCAAGGTTCTCGAGGAGAAATGCAACAATTACAATATCACCATAGGTAAGCACGAACAGAGCATTATGATCCTGAAAGACGAAACGCTTGCCGCTCAATCTAATTTATCCCGGGCCGAAGTTCAATTGGAAAACCTTCGCCACGAACGCCAACTTCTCCGAGATTCTGAAGGACGACTACTGAAGGAGCGAGAAGTCTACCAGAGAGAAAGACAAACACAAGCTCTGCTCAAAGCGGATATGGAGTCCATTAAGGCCAGTTTAGAACGAGTTCAAGCCGAAGGACAGCTTAGAGCGGAACAGAGATTCGATGACGCTAACAGAGAGTGTGCTGCTCTTCGACGTCGTCTACAAGAAGAGCAAGATCGTTTCAGAGACTTAACAGCACATCTGGAAAGGAAATTGATGACTAATCAGGAAAGGTTAAAAGAAGAACGTGAACTAAATGAAAGATTAAGAGCGGAAATGGATCAGTCAAAGAAGACTGAATCTGAAAGCAGCCAAAAGATCGAGGAATTAGGAAACAAATTGAAACAGATGGCTGCTCATTATATCGAGAAGCCTTTGACAGGAGATGAAAACCTAGTTAAGAGAGTAAAGGAACTGGAGACGCAACTGGATGCTTGCCAAACCGAAATAAAGTCTCTTTCGGAACAACTGAAGACTGCTAGACAACAAAGTCAGCAGTACTGCGACATTGCCGAGAGCGCTGAAACGCAGCTACGAGAGTTAACAGCCGAGCATACAAAATGCAAGGAGGAGCTGGAGAAAGCTTTGAGTGATTCACGCTTAGAGATCGTCTCGTTGCAGAAGAAAGTGAAAGAACTTAATGCTGATCTGGCGAAAATATCGAATGGCAAACAAGAGACCGATTCGGAATTGAGAGAGAAACTAGCTAATGCTGAGAACAAGATCGAGGAGCTGGATGAGCTAAAAGGTGAATTAGAATTATTGAAAAGTGACCTGAAATCTATAGCAATCGCGGCCAAAGAGGCGGAAGAAAAATATGCAAGGGAGATGGTGCTGCATTCAGCTGATTTGCAGGTTCTGGCTAAGCTGAAGGAAGAAGCTCAGCAAACCCAACAGCAGTTCAATACTTTAACCCAGGAGCGAAATATAGCGATAGAAGCTTTGAATACCGAAAAGTTATCTTTCAAAAAAATGGAACAGAAATTGTTGAGCGAAATCAGCGAGTACCAAAAGAGAATTGATGACTTGGATACACAAAATGCGCTTCTGCATAATCAGATTCAGGAGTTGGGCAATCGAGCAGCCATTTTGCAAAGTCAACAGACCAAGATAAGCGGACGGGAGAGTCCTGATACTAGCTTGGAAGCTATAAATAAGAGTTTCAGTTCTTTGGACGAAGATTCTAACTCGGTCGATCAGTTATTAAGAGTTATGAAGTATCTAAGAAGAGAGAAAGATCTGGCACTAGCAAAATCTGATGTTCTTAAAGCGGAAAATCTTAGGTTGAAGTCACAGACTGATGTGCTAGAGAAGCGGCTTAAAGAGACCGAGACTTTATTGAACTCTGAGCGAGAAAAGTCGGAGATCGACGTGGTGACTATGTCTAAACATTCGGAATTACTGCGCAAGGTAGAGACTTTGAATGCCATTACGGATTCTAATCGAATCCTCAGGGAAGAGAGAGATAGTTTAAGCGCGAAAGTAAACGAACTTACGGCTAAAGTGAATGCTTTATCGGAAGAAGTAGTGCCTCTTCGAGATACGTCTCGAGATCTGACAGCTAAAACCGAAGCTTTGATAGAAGAAAACACAAGCTTGAAGGGCGAAGCGACTAGGTGGAGGCAGAGAGCGAACACGTTGCTGGAGAGAGCGAACAAGGCTAGTCCTGAAGACTGGAGACGATTACAAACAGAGAGAGAGAATCTGAGCAAATTACTGACGTCGGAAAGAGAGACTCACACGAAGAGAACCGACGAATTTAATCAAATGAAGGTAGAGAAGGCGAAACTTGAAGAACAAATAGCGCAGCTACAGAAACAGGTACAAGCGCAAGGCGAAGAGATATCTCGAACATCTGAAGAAGCTCGCAAATTAAGCCAGGACCTAAACGAGGCTCTGGCTGATTCTGCCTCGAAAGTTAAGGACTTGACCTCTGTTAAAAAAGAGTTGAGCGATAAAGAAACAATTCTTAATGATATCAGGAATAAAGAGATCCAGATTCGCAAAATAGCTAAGAAGTATAAAACGCAATATGAGGAGCTCATAAAGAACGTCGAGGAGAAGAATCGCAGTGAGGAAGCTAGGAACGATGAGATTTCTAACGCGAACATGCAAGAGCGCGAAGATCAATTGAGAGAAGAAGGCCGTCAAGAACTTCGTCAGACGAACATTGAACTCACTACGAAAGTCGACGAATTAACTCGCCAAATAACGACTGCTGAGGGCGAAGCTGACAACTTGAGGGCGGAGATCGATGGCTTGAAACGCAACATCGTAGAGAAAGAGGAGAGAGCAAAGCAAGTGCTTAAAGGTGCCAGGACGAAGATCATGCAGCTAACCGAGTCGAAAAAAATATGCGAGAAGGAATTATTAGACTTAAAGTCCAGGGTAGAATCCGCGGGTGGCAATGCAGGTGGTCAAAGCGATGCCGAGGCGGAGCACGACAATCGATTGACGGCACTGAAATCACAAATGGATAGCCGTATTTCTCGATTAGAGCACGAGAAAGCGGAAATACAAGCAGAGAAAGAAGCTCTGTTGCAACGAGTTACTCAACTCCAGAGGCAATTATCGGGTGTGAGTGGAGTTAGCGCGACTACCGAGCCACCCACTGCAAACATCAAACCGATGTCCGCTAGAGCGGAGACTCCTCTAGCTAGTATTAGGCCGATGAGCGTAGTACAATCTAGAACAGCAGCGGTGCTTCCGACTACAGCTAGTGCACCGGTAATGGTCGCACCGCATCAGATGCAGCAACAACAGCAACAACAGGTAACGATCTAGCAATAATTAGGAGATAAGTATCTGCCGTAGGATTTTATAGAATTTGATGGAACTACAAAATCGTGATTTAAAAGCAGCAGGTAGTGCACACTACGGAAACGAGCTCGCCAACTAGCAGTCTGACAGACTTCCAGCCGGCGAGCACCAGTAGTTCCTCACAGGGTGCGCAAACTAGTAGTCTTCGTCAACTAGTGGTACAGCCACAACTTAGCGAATCTGCCGAATCTACGCAAAGAGAAGATCCGGAGAGTGTAGAGACACTAAGCGTGCAGCCGCAGCAGCAGCAATGTCAGCAGCAACAACAACAGCAACAGCAAACGGTGGCATTAGTTAGTCCAAGAGTGGAGCAGCAGCAACAGCAACAACAGCAACAACAAGTCGTTGTCAGCGATCAACAACAAACTGTTGCAAGCAGTTCTACGCAGTCAGTCAGCACGTCACAAGCTACTACAGGACTCAAGAGACCCCGTGTCCTCGACTCGACGGCCTCTGGTTCTGGAATTGTCGAAGGAGTAGATCACGGACGCCAGGAACAAGCGCAAAGTCCGAAGACTAAACGAAGCAGGCAAGATATGAGTGCGACAGCGAGTGCCAGTGCTTCGGAAGTGGAGTACCAGGTAAAAATAGCGAGAGTTAGTAATGAGGAAATGATAAATATATACGAAATATATATAAAAGGGGAAGGTAACAAGACAGAGACAAATTGAGACTAGATAATTAATGGATCAAGTTAAACTGAAAGAAATAAATGCACACACAAGTAAATTTAAATAATAATATTGGTATTACCAGGTGCCTACATCAAGCCAAAGGGATCAAGATGAGGAAGTAGAAGAAGGCTGTGTAGTAGTAGTAGATTGTGATGAAGGCGAAGGTGGCGGTAACCATCAAGCTCAAGAGGAAGAAGAATTCGATAATGATCCTTACGAAGAAATGGAGGAGGAAGAAGAAATGCCTTACGAAGTCGAAGTTGAGGTCGAACGAGACAATAACGAAGTGGAGATCATCATGGAAGAAGATTCCACTAGTGTCGAGGTTCCCAGACAGGCTCAAGCAATCATTCCTACCAATCAGCAACAATCTGAGGCTATCAGTAGTGCCGGACCGACCGGAGAACCTCCGACATCGTTCACAGCAAGGTCATCTAGGGGAATCGCGCCTATGCCTAGACAACAACAACAACAACACCTTCTTCTGGTTAATATTTAAGAATATTTTTATACTAAATGAGAAGATACGTGCAAAGATACTTCTGTATTTAGAAAATTTGGAAATTTTATAAAATTTGTAACTGAATTATTTTTATATTATTTTTTCCAAAAGCCGCAACAGGGCTACGAAGATGGTGGTGATGATTGTATCGTACCAAGTACACCTACTTTGTTCGTTCCGCGTCGTGGCGATGGCTTTGGAGAAGCAGTGAGTTCTCCACAAGTACCTCAAGGTCGTTTCACGTTTGGAGACTCTTCAGCGCCTACTACAGCTTCTTCCACGCCGTCCCTAACGACACCTACAGGTTCTACCACAAGGACTATCTTTGGTTCGTCTAGCTCTACGGTAGCTCAGGTCGTACAAGAAAGTCTTGACGATAGCAGAATGGATCTAACACAGTTAGAGGATGGTGGGACTGGACGTAGCGTACCTACTACGCCATTACAAGTGTCACCAGCTGCTGATTTGCCACCTTCGGTAAAGAAGCTTTTGTTCATAGATTTAAGTCATATTGAAAGTATTTAAAAAGTATTTATAATAATCTATTATTTCTAATAAATTCAGCACATATTTTTATAACATATTCTACCATAATAATCCTTATAACAAGTAGCAGTAGTGTTAATTTGTTTCCTTTAATTATTGCAACAGACTAGTAGTGGTCAATCTGAGGAACAAGAAACCATTGTGACGCCTATTTCCGCAACGGCTACTTCAGGTGACAATGCCGAGGAACCCAACATTCCTAGCATTCGCATCGTCGGTGCTGATGATCAACAACGTGGTTCTACAGAAGCTACAGAATCTAATGTAATGCCAAGCGAAGGTATGCATACTTGGTTATGTTTAATCTACAATTAATTCTTTTCTACTCATTAATTTTCAAAGTTAAATTATTAAAAAAATTTTTAACTTCATTGGTTGTAATGGACGACGACTTTAAATAATCCATATATTTAATTTTATACAATATCCTTTTTCTTTCTCACAGGAGTAAGTTCAGATATTGAAAAGCGATCGGAAGAACCGGTGGCTCTGGCATCCGGGGATGACGATGCCGTAGACACGGCGGAAGTGACAGAAGAAACCGCAAGTGAACTTGTCGAGGATGATGTCGAAGAGGAGAGTCGCGAAGCAGAGGCGTCACCGTCTAGTAATACTCGCCAGAGGACGTTGGCGGCTAGCTTGGCAACAGCGAGCGCTTCTAATGGTAACAGAGGAGTGACTGTGAGAAGATCACCAAGATCATCCTTCAGAGCAGCGAGAGGTGCGAGGCCTACACCGATTGTATGGAGTGAAAGTCAGTCAGGTAGAGGTAAGCAGATTAATCGGTTATGAATGTCAAGATATTTCACCTCAGATTCGCGCAATTAATCAGCTTACTTTTAACTTTCCTCTAATTGAGTGATACTGTATGATAATGAATATTAATGTGTGATATCTCTTTTTGAAGGACAAGCTGTGCTACGTGGGCAACACGCTGCGAGAGGTGGACCTAATGAGGGAGGAGGACGAGGGCGAGGAGCACGAGGACGAAGAATGCGTTCGAAATATCCTTACGCCCGATATTCATAATATCACACTGCGACCTCCTGTATCGTGTATACTCTTTTTATTCAGTACATATTCTGCATAGTTTATATCATCGACTTAAGTTAAATAAGCGAAGAAAAATAAGTAAAGGAAGCTTCAGCCAGATACATAGTTCATTTGTTTATTATATTATGAAATAAGTACTTTAATGTTCTTTTTCTTTTTTTTTCTTTTTGAAAGTTATCAACTACACAATTATTTTTATATTAATTATATTTCACTTTTTTTAAATAAATTCCTGATATAAAAAATTGTAAATTTGGCCGTTAAAATTCTTATAATGTTTATAAAGTTTTAAAATCATATGCTGAAAAGCAAGTAAAAAAGTAAATCCTACCAAATTCTAACTTCGAAAACATTTTTTCCATTTCTTTTTAGTTGTGTGATCATTTAATTAATGAATAAAATACAATTAGCCAATTTATATCGATAGATATAGTAATTATAATTAAGTATAAACATAATTTCGAGAATGTATTGGTTGTAGTAACTGAAGTAATATAAAATCAAGTTTGACAAGAGTTTCATACAATATTTAATAAAATACTTTTGAATCATTTATGAGAGTGTGCGATTTGAGCTCTTACATTTTTTCTTTTTTTGATAATGCTGACAAATATCCATGAGTACCGATATCTCCGTTTTACTGGTTCTCTAATCACTGGACATCGACCCAGTTCCGTTGACATGTATGCTAAATCGAGATTTCGCACCGTTGTGCTATTTCTATTCGGCAAATAGATAAATATTTTTCTAGTAGTAAAAATTATCGTCGTGGATAATTATGATATATTCATAGAGTTTCGCGTATTCATAGAAAAGAGAACTGATGGATTAATAAATTTTTTTTCAAATTAACAAATATTTGTCAAAGTATGTAAAACATTAATAGGGAAATTGAACAAAGATAAATTAATTATCTAATCAAGAAATCATTTAAAAATTAGAAACTGATATTAAACAATAGATGTACAAAAATAAATTGCACTGAATTGGTATAAAAATAGCCAAAGTTGCGATTTATTTTTATAAGTATTTCTGTCACTTTTTTCACACTTAATATAAATTAGTCAATACATAAATTAATTAGTATAAAAATTAGATAACATTTGATTAACTAAACAATGCTAATTTGACACTACGGGAATACTGTTGAGAATTCTTTCGACATCTTGATTGATTTTGATCACATATTGATTTACTTGTAGTAACTTATCCTACTACTTTTCAATGAAAGTTTACTCGTTTAATAAATAAGTTAATTACAGCACACAATGATTACAAAATGCGTTTAATTTATAACTGATATCAGGATACTGCTACGCTAAATCGTAGAATGATCCTTTTCATATCAGCTATAATGTCAAGAAATGTTAATCAACTTAATAAGATGATTATTTTACTTCACTTATATAAGTGTAAGTTCTTTCTAACTTCAAATATAACTGAAAATATACATTTATAACTTTGTGACACTGTATATATAGAGAATCATTTATATGTAATCGCATAGCGCGTTATTTTTACCGCGCCTGGAATTCGTTTAACTACTATAAACTTTATGTTTAACGCACGAACAGCATTCGCATTTACTAGCTAATACAACGGTGATGTTATATTTAGCTCTAAACGTGGCAGTCAGTTTCGCAGTTTGGTGCTATAAGTTTAATATAAAGATCACGTTAGAAATAAACCGCGAATCTGACAAGCGTTTAGCGTTAAATTCGCCGCTTCATATGGATCGCATTTTGAAAAGCGTCGTGTTATAATCACAAATTAATATAATCTCATTATCACAATAGTTTTTGGTAAAAAGATATTCATAAATGCCTTAAAATGTTCACGATCACATTTCATGAGGCAGATAAATTATGATTGCATTTACTGAATGTGCCTTTACGTTATTATGTTTGATTATATTTATTGTAGAATACTTCATTTCCGAAGTATATACGGGGCATAAAGTAGGAAGAGCTGACGTATTTAGTCTCTTTCAACATTTTCCTCTGCGTGGATGCTTCACAAATCTCTCTTTCCTCTATTCTATAATATTACTTTCACATTTTTTCCCTTAAATTTATGATACGTAAAAAAGAATGGCACGATTGAAAAAGCCTATTAAACGTGTTGAAAGATATCACTTATGAGATAAATATATGTACAATAAAAATCTCTCTTTCTCTCTCCCACCCTTTCAATAAAGATATCACGATGAGATATCTTACGACATATTTCCAACGAATGGAAAATCGAGATTATCTCTTAAGAAAGAAGAAATTACCTACACGTATATACAAAGTTAATGTACTTAAATCTTTATCTAGTGGAATATTCTTTTTCACTTTTCATCCGTTATACAAGCAACAACTTCTACTTCACTTTATATTCAGCCTTTGAAGTATTTTCTAGATTATATTTGTTCACAATTATTCATTATCTATTGAACTCTTTCATATCTTAATAATCTATGTTCTCCATTAATTCTTCCCAATTCTGAACATCCAAATATGTAGCGTAGTAATTTGCTAATTAACTTTATATCAACATTTTTTCTTCGTTGCAGTTGCAGTTAAAGACGGGAGATGCCAAGCCAGTATTAACTGACCTGAAAAATTGAATCCCAATCTAGTCAATGTCAATTTTTCGTTAGTTACAACCGGAAAAGTTCCTTCATACTTTGTGTTAAACTATTTTACATCGAAACATTGCCTACAACACTGTCCACTGTTAGAAGTTTAAGGCATTATACCGATTCTAAATTAACTAATGTATCTCGTGTCTATATTTTCCTTGAACGCGTTAATCAATAACATGAGAACAACAAACAGCTTTTGTCCAAGTTAATTAATTTCAATTAACATTCGGTCTTTCACTGAGTCACAGTACTATTCACAGACAATAACTAGAAAAACCAGCTGAGCTCTGGGGATATTGTCGCACTCCTGAATCTTCCATCTTGGTTCAATACTGAATCGAAAGGTCCCAAGGACCTCTGAAAAATCAAAGAATCTCTATACTGGGTGGCTCATTGTCTCTCTGACTGGTATTAAGTTTGCAACTACATTTGCCATGCTGCTCGACTTTAATCCACACTTTCCTTCTACTGTTTGTTATCAAACTCCGCACCTCGATCTCCAGCTCTTCGTAGTAGATCGATGAGTCCACTGGTGCACAACTGAGATCAGGACTAAGGCAACAGCCTGAATGACTGTCACATCTCTTCAACACAATATATACCGGCTGCCTCACGCTTTCGCTTGGTAAATGCTGCATCAGGTCCCTCAGGTTGTAAGCCCTTAACTGAGGTGTCTTACAAGTAAAATTTCTGCTGGCTTCCAAAGCGGTCATTAAATGAATCCTTCTCGCTGCGGAGTGCTGCTGATCGCTAGGATGACTTGCTGGTGCCAGCATCATCTGATTGATCGTCAAGATTAGCATTAAAAACAATCCTCTCGTTAGTCTTCTTCCCATCGTTGGTTCTGTTGATTACTGGCTGGTTCGCCAGTAAAAGAAATTGATAAAAACAAAAATAACTCAAAACTTCGATTGGGAGACTTGTATCGTTGACTCGAAAACTGACCCAAAGTCTTAAGTCTTTCGATGCAACATATTAATCACAATGGGTTATTAATATGCAAAAAGTAAATCGTAATAGATCACTAATGATATTGATCACGAATGACCACTAGCTTGGAAACGATCACTAAATTAAAGTTGTAGCTGTAGCTTGAAATTGCAGTAAGGACGTTAGAAAAATGAAGAATTCTTCTTTTTCTACTTCGTTTTATTTATCCTCCGTAGCTGCTTCTTTCTCTCAACATTTCGTTTTTTTAACATCACAGTCGCTACGCCTCCTCTTTCCGCTTTCCTTTTCTTTTTCTTCTGCTTCTTTCTGCAAAAAGCTATTCTTTCAAGAAAAGAAGATGGTTGATCGCTTTCAAGATGAAGTTCTTTTTCTACTTCTTCTTGTCTTCCTTTATCCGTATTCTAGGCCCTTGTCTTTTTAAGGAAGTAATACGAAGGAATCACGTGGTGAGCCTGGTGGGTTCGCTCTCCTCTGGAGGAAGATGACTTGATGATGAGCGACGAGAACTACAGGCACCACGTATCGGTCGACTGAGATTTTCCTACTGGCACACGAGTATTTATATATGGAAGAGCTTGCACGCATGCCTCACACGAGAGCACGCGTAAAGACCAGATCGTGCATGCCTTCTGCGATGATTCCACTTTGTTGTGCAACCGTTGCCCGCATTTAATGCGTTGTCGCGCCGGTGCTGCTTAACCCCTTGCACTCGGAATAATGATTGTCATAGTTAGCAGCGATGGGAATTAACAAGTATCAATAGTATCGGTGCCGTTGTACTAGAAACTGATGGGAGTTAAGGCGTTGAGGCCGTGACGGGTGACAATAGATTGCCATGTATGAGTAGAACGGTCAAGCTATGTTAAGATGAAATTCTCTTCTATCTTCACGAAGATGTGGTGGAAATTCATCCAATTCGAAATGTTTGCGCATTAACTCGCTTGAACAGTGGTATTATTGTATGAATAGTCACGCTAAAAATCACCTTTCGCTGCCGAACGGTCTTAGCGACGAGAGCGAAGTCATCAACCTGCAAATAATTACTTCGGGTATTCCGCGATCATACTGCGAATTTCCGCGAATCGTAAAGTGTTTGTTGCCCTTAATGCTCGCACGCAAAAAAAGCAATATTACTTTTTCTTTTTTTCGCAGGAATTTTGTTATCATTAACTTCTTTCCCGCTGCTATAAATAATACATACAAAATGTTGGAATAGAACACTAGTAAAATAAGAAAAATGTCATATACTTTGAGTTGTGTGTATGTGTATGTCGCGCGCGCGCGTATGTGTGTGTGTGTGTGTGAGAGAATTAGTATATAAGATTTATATTATATTAAATTTCAAGACTTCAGACTTCATCCAAGTTTTCAGCAGATTCTTAGGTTGTCTACAATTATTATATAATTGTCATGTATATATAGTCACATGTAAATAATGTACAGCTAGTATAGTATAGTATGGTTCATAAAATTGTCATAAGTGACATCCATAATTTCTCCAGCTATATAATTAAAAATTGTGGTTTTTAATCTTATTTCAATAAAGAGTAATTCATGAGGCAGAAACATATTTGATTTTACGATATTCACACATAAATATATAATTCTAGATAGACGAAAATATTTAGATCAAGGAAATCTCCCAATCTTATATTATATCCTTCATGTTAATTATAACTTGAATCATCATTTACGTAGTCATTTCATCGGGGTAACTGGTTTTACTTTATAAGGAAGTTGTGCATTTTAATTCATCATTTTCTTGGTTTCTAGAATCTTGGGATTCAGAAAACGTTGAAATCACTTAAACATCGAGTTCTTATCTTCCTTGATTTCCTTTGATTAATGACGGACTAATGCGTTTCACAAGGAAAACGGAAATTTTCCAAGAAATCGGTAGCTGTTAATAAATTATGTTATATCAGTATGACTACGTGCATATCAGTCGATTAATAGATAAATAACTAAATGCAGAGAGACTGATATCCGGGATAATCATGTCCCTCCTCTTGGTACAGATTAAGCTAACACGCATTAGAACGTGCTGAGTACATTTGCATCTTAAAGATTTTTTTGCACAAACCGGACTATCCACGTATAATTAAATAGTCATTATCAACGACGACGTAGTTTTCGTATTCTCGATTTCGTCAAGGTCACATTGTAGAAGCAGTTTGAATCGTACTGAAATAAGCAAACGTCTTCTACATAAAACATTCAGCTAGGCTCGACTAAATTATTATACAAACATTTTGATCACACACAGACTCACGTAATTACAAAATTTATATCTGCTATCTGATTTGTTATGATAATGACGGCATTCCATTATTGACAGTCGATTATAAAATGATAATTTAAAATATACGAAATATAAGTGAGTCTGATATAAATATAAATATTTCGTACGTACAGTATTTTGTATTGAGAGAGAGAGAGAGAGAGAGAGAGAGAGAGAGAGAGAGAGAGAGAGAGAGAGAGAGAGAGAGAGAGAGAGAGAGAGAGAGACAGACATATTTTATACGTATCTTTATATACAATGCACGTTTATATGTATCGTATAACATTATATATATATATGTATATGTAGATTGAAGTTTTTTTTCTAAACTTCCCTTTCTCTCTTTAATGAGAATCCCTTTTATACTTAATCTTCCGAGTTTATATCAGCATAAAGTGAAAAATTTCTTTTTCTTTTTCTTTCTCTTAGGCACCCACAATTGGCCAGATGATTCAGGCGGAATAAAAAGAATAGCGTATTTTTAGCAAATCCGATATTTCTGGTCAACGCGGTCAAGTTTCTCACTAATCTTCTATTGCTAAGTTAATTATACATACAATATAGTTTGGAAAGTTTCTCTTTGATGAAGCGACCCTTCGTTAGTAATAGAATGTAGAACCACGTGTTCGGCCATGTGCATATCATATCGTAATTGACTATTTTAAGCCCGTAAAACATTCACGATTATTTTTTCAAAAATTTTTGGATAAAATACAAGCCGAATTTTCTCGCTAATCATACATATTTCTCCATCATTAACATTTATGATCGTTCGATTAAAGATAATAAAAGTTTGTTGCAATTTATAACTTGTATTGATATAAAGCACTTGACAATGTTTACACTCTTACAGCTCGCCTACAAATATGCGATCTATTCAAACAAGTTACATCAGTCATAACTGTGTTATCATATATTTTAATTATAATTTTTTATATTATCGATACTGATATCAATCTGTAAAAATTTTTACTTTTTACATAAATTAATGCATGATCAACAATCGCGTGGTAAAATACGATAAATTTTAATAGTAGCGATTTTAACGGTAATTGCAGATCGAATTGAAGATCGAACACTTCGTGTAGTGACGCAATGTGCACACCTAACCAAGGGTATTTCCTTTCTTTTCGCGGGGTTTCCTTATTGCTGACGCATCCTTTTATTATGTATGTATCTACCGGAGATCCCGGTAAACGTACGTAAATAAAATACATTAATTCTCGAAACAACCTGCATCATATCGCTTGTTTGATACTAAAAATAGAAGTCATTTCAACATCAAACAATTTCGAGAAACAACGTTCTGAATTTGATCAAAGCGGTTTTTTCATAAAAATCTTACGTAAATATTTCTTTCCTAAAAATACTGCGAAGTCGTTTCAATAATATTTTAATTTTTCAATGTGTTTTAGACATTTTTTGAATGTCCCATCGCCATATGTTTAGTAATTTTTCCTGTTTAGTAATTTTTTAAATTCTGAGAGAGATATTCACGTTTTTTTGCATTAAGAACGTTACAGTGCCCCGATTTCCCAAGTACCTGAATCATTCTTATGATCACGTAATGAGATAGTTGCTGACGTAGGTACTGGGATATCCTTAATACTCCCACTATTTCCGAACAACACTCACCTTATATACAGGATTGCTTTTCCTGTTTTTATGCAACTCATTGAGGTTTCCGTTTCTAGAAATAGAAGTATGATGTCCGCGAAAATTTACAATTACAATACGATCGTATAATGCAACTCGCAGTTCAATGAACTTATATTATAAATTTACAATTAGTTTTAATAATGGTATCGATAATTCATACTATCCTCGAAATTAATAACACGGTGAGCCTTTCGGATGATGAATGAATAAGAAATAAAAGTGTATCGATTTATATTATAGAGATACGAAACTTTTATTCTATGAGTCATTTGGCGATGACTCAATTGGATGAAATGCTGGACTTTCAAAAAGGTGCGAATTCCGTTATGAATCTCGATGACCCACTCTCACCTCATCTGCGTGAGGAATTTCAATTAGTTTCCTTCATGCAGTACATCACGTAGTCCATGTTGTTAAGATCAATACGTTGTACCGAAATTGTAGGTTTTTAAGCGGCTAATAATTAAAGACACATAACAATATATATGTTAATATAAGTTTTCAAATTGTGTAAGATTTCCAAAATTCCGCTTCTTTTACAACAACGAATTCGTTAATATACTCGTACGTAACTTCGCAATTTCTTATATCTATCACCTGATATTTTTTGTAATAATTATTTATACCTACGTTTATCGTTTATCCGTTATTCTCTAAGGTCTTATGAAACGTACTCGTAATGCGGAAGTGAATAAATTATGATTAGAAGCGCTGTAATTATTTACGAGATATTTTCTTTTGTAGCTATTTATTTGTCATCTATTAAAACAGGTATACAGCAGGATCCATGATTTCTGCAAAAACAAAAAAGAAAAATTAGGATATATACTACGGAATAGTTCCTACGATTAAATTCATCACTATACTAAATCGTATCAACACATCACATTACGCCAGATAATAATAATAATATCCATTTAGATGAATTTCATTCATAGAAGTGCTTATGATTGATAAGTATCTTGAATCATTTCAACTTCGAATTGTATACAATAACTAAGATAAAATTCTTTCTATACAATATAAACAATAATTTAAAATGACTCACATTACTCACTGGAAAATAATCTTCATTTTTATTATATTTTATTTATTTTATACCACGATATATCAACGGCATATGCATCATTTTGTTACGTTAAATAAAACTTATAATTCTGAAAATGCAGATATCAATGTACCAGTTTTGAAGTTGTCAAACTCTTCAACTAACCAGTAGTTTAAAAAGGTGAGATCTTCAATTTGTTTCACCGTGGATTTCGTAGATTCTGAAGCAAGTGGTCAAAGAAATGGATGAGAAAGAGAAAGGAAGAAAACATGCAGAGGACGAAGGAAGCGAAGCGAGAAGAAGAGAAGTCACGCGACGTAACATCGCGCTCTCGCTGCTCTTGATAATTATAGTTATCTTCTCGAGTTTCTTAGAACGGTTAGGCGAACCCCTCCTTGAACCTCCTGCTCTTACTGAGAATCCGTAGGGAAACGCCTCGAGCGAAGAGAAATCGAAGAGCAAGCGAGAACGAGAGAAGAAATCGGAGGGGAAAGAATGAGAATGAGGGAACAGCCTGGATGAAACTTACGTATATACACAGGACGAAAGAATTCTGATCGCAGAAGTTGACGGCATTCACAGCGAGCGTCTTCGGCACGAACTTAAGGAAGATTCCGGAAGACATTAAATGTAACTGGATTTTGGAGGGATCAATTGAAGATCTTCAAAGTTTAACAAAAGAAACTTGTGTGAATGTGAAATCAAACTTTAAGAATCCGATTTTGATTCGTGTTTAACGGAGTAATCGTTGGATTTAGTGCTGTTAAAGAACATTACGGTGATTTCAAAACTTGTAAGAGTTCGCTTCGTGAATAATTTTGAAGATGAAGACATTTTTGCTTATAATCTACATTCAATTTATATTAACCGTCCTTGGCAGGCATCACAGGTAAGAAAATGATGTAATCAGTTGATTTTTAAGTAATTAAATCTATTTCGGCTTCTTTTAAGAGAAAATCATTTATTATGTTTCTTTTCTTTGTTTTCTTTTTATTTCTTCTACTTTTTATTTATTATTTTCTTATCTGTATCTTGTACCTATCGCACTTCTTTTCGTTAATATCTCCCTCATGTCACCTTTTTTCTCTTTATTTTGTTTCTTATAATGATGACATACATATCTGCTTTCTCAGAGACAGTGGTTTCTTAAATCACGTGCAGTTGGTGCATCAGTTCCGATGTTCTCTGCCTCAACTGAGAGCTGTTCCAGTAGAAGATCTTCTCAACATAGGTCCAGAGCCGGACGAGATCTTTTATCCTGCATCCACGGTTCTAACACGTTGCGCCGGGTCAGGATGTTGTCCTGATTCTAGACAAGTTTGCGCTCCGGTCGAGACCAGAAACGTTAGTCTCGTTTTCATGGTTAAGCATCGCATCGATCAGCAACGAGATCGTCATCATGAAATTATTCATGCCCTGGAACATACTAAGTGTGCCTGTATAGATGAAATCCTAGCCGCAAAAAATTCCACGCTTTAAATGTGAATGATAGTCCTGAAAAAAAAATTCGTAACCTAAAATCAGATTAATTGAGATTACTTTTTGAATTTACAAAGATCGAGAACGAAGGCTTTGTTTCTGTGATATTTTCATTGTTTTGTATTTCATTTTTTTCTAATAAACTTATATTACAGCAAACTTATATCGCTTGATATCGAATCACTGGAAAATAGTAAAGAAATCATGATATAAAGTTTACAAATGCTTTGCATATTTTTACACATTAACTATTTGTAAGTATTTTTTAACTACTTTGTGTTCATTGTCTTATATATCGATAATATAAATAAATAAATTAATGATTTCTACTGAGAAAGTCTTGAAATATCAAAATCTAGCCTTTATCATTCTTTTATGTTAAAATATTGTCTAGCAGCACGAAGATCGTATTTAATACTTTCATTATTTGGGTCTAATTTTAAGGCAGTTTCCAGTTCGGGGATTCCATGTTGCGGTGCAGATAATTTGCAAAGAGCTGCACCCCGACGAGCGTGACATTTTGCTCGCGATATTCTGTTACGCTCGCATTTTGGTTCCATCAATTCCAATACCTGTTAATAGATTTTCTTTTTAACCATACTTATTCCTATTTGTTGAACATGAATTAAAAAAATTTTCATTTCACCGTGGAACAGTCATCGATACATCTATAATAATTTCCAAGAGCATAATGTGCAGCGGATCTATTCACGTAGAGTGCAGTCATTTTATTACTGATCTTAATTCCATACGTGTACGCGTTAATAGCAGCTAAGTAATTTCCCACTTTGAAAAAATCACTGCAATATACCAAAAATTAGTTATATTAAATAATACAATAATAATATGTAAATGAGAGCCAGCGCTGTCGTACAAGCGTAAATTAATACAATAATTTGACGACAATAAATTATGTACGTTTAGGTCTTATCGTTTTGGGCCCTTTTCAGTGAGATCACAATATATATTTGATAAATTTTTATCAATGATAAAAATTGTCGAATAATATAAAAAAAAATGGAAATTATAATCTAGAAGTCAAATTAGAGAAGTAATATTTGTTGTTAATATTAGTCATCAAGCTAACATAAGACATAAACACTGATAATTTAGAATCTGCATCAAGAAATGTTAGACATTTTCATAACATTGCAGCAAATGTTGAATTAGATAATATATAACGAAGTAAATTATTCTCAACATACTCTCCCTTATCTTTCAACCACTGAGGATCTTGTTCTTCAGGACGGAGATCTTCTATAACAAATCCAGTCTTTCTTCTAGCTTCTGCTTGCTTAGCAAGCCACTAAAAAATTATATACAAAACACATATATTTCTATATATCTATATATTTAATGGCAAAGGAGGAAAGATTATATTTAATAAAAACTTTGTGTAAAATTCTCATTAAAACTTTTATTACAAAGAAATTAACTTTTATTTATCTGTCGAGAAAACTTTAATACTTTTCGTTATTGCTCTCTTTTTTTAGATATGTACCTCTATCATATTGTAATAGTTGCAGATGCTATTATTTATAATAGCTGCAAATATGTTAACATACCTCTTGTTCTTCAATGTGAGAACTCTCTCTGGCCGGAGTAGGAAAAGCTCTTTCAGAAAAAGTTACGTTAATGATTCCACTTTTTCTAGGAAGTGGAGTTGCCTTGGATGGTTCGTGAAATATGTGGTTCGTGTTGAAATATTGACTTTGCAATATCTTGTCGATTAAATCATGACCTGGTCTTTGTTTTTTCGTTCTTACGTAGAATTTTTGCAAAGACTTTTTGTCCATTTCCTTGACTAAAGGCATTGTTGGCGAAGATTTGAAAGTCGTTATTTTACAATCGTTAGAACTCTCGTCAAAATTAAAATTTTCGCTTAAAGTTGTTGATTTTTTCATTTGTATGTTATCTGTTTCTTTTTTTAAATTTTCACTCGAAATTATTTCTTTTTTCATCTTTGTTTTATTGGTTGATTTTCTTATTTGATTTTCTTCAATAGATAATCCTTCAACAAGTGAATTTCTTTTTAGACATTCTTTAGCAATTGATTCTTTGCTCGTACCTTCTTCAATAATTAGTTTTTCTTTCAATTCTTCTATAATAATAGGTTCGCCTCGCTGTTTCTCTACCATATTTATTTCTTCTTTCGTTTCTTCTTTTTCATTTACTTCTACAAATCGCACAGTATCGAAATCATCTTTAAACCACCGAAGTGGTGGACTTAGGAAAATTAAAATTAAATTAATTAATTAAATTAAATTCTGACATATTTTTAACATTCATATAAAATATTAATATACCTATATTTTTTTCTATTCTTTTGCACTTTGCCAGGAATATTCTGCAGAATTGGTATTTCTGCATTACATCGCCAGTCTTCAAATTCCTGCATCGCAGCTTTCCGATGAGAATTTTTTAAGAATTCTATTTTATTTAACGTTCGAGTATCCAAATTAATCTGCGCTTTAACTGCTTCTTTTTGGAGATATTGACGTTTCTCTGTACGTCAAAAGCGCAAAAATATATTGTTATTAATTAACTGAATAGCAATTAAACAAAAAAAGATTACTTCTTTCTCCTTTTCTCTTTTTAGAAGATTACAATTTGAATAAACATTTATATTTCTTGAAAAATTTGAGAATTAATTTTATGAAAATAAGAACATATTTTCATATGTTAATTTAATTATTTCTTTATGCGTTAAAATTTTGACAAATTATATTTTTATTACAAGGAGCTTACCGCTTTTAGATTTTGCACGACTCTCTGCAATGTTTTGTGCTTTTTCTAAAATTTTACTTCTAAAATCACGTTTTTCTTCTTTGCTGAGATTTTCCAGTTCGAGACACGGCCAAACACGAGCTATGTTTGCTTTTTGTAAAGAAAAAATTGCTCCGTTATCCGTAAAAACGCATTCACTCTCTTGTTCGAGCACATTTTCCCATAAAAATAACTCCAAGATAAAGGGAGGGGAACTAATCTGCAATAAAAATTAGTCATGTTAGCTCAGCAAATAAAAATTTTTCATTTGAAATTGTTTTTATAATATACAAAAATTGTTTTTATAGTATACAAAAAGAAAACAAAGAACAATTTTCGAATTATCTGAGGTAGACAATTTGTTTTAAAAATAGAATTAACAGTACCTTTACATAATTGTCGATAACGAATAAATTCACATTTTTGGGTCGTCTTTTTAGAGACATGTGAATTATTATCTTCTTTTCTGTCTGGCGCCATTGGTAATCCTTGATAATTATTGCCGGCATGACTGATTTTAAATTTTGATGGATAATATATGTGATTCGATATACAATTCCCTTTTCTGTTCGCTCTATAAACGCTATATTGATCAAACAAGTGTATCTAGGCAACTACACAAAGCAAATATGAATTTTATTATAACTAAACATTACAAATGTGTGCTACACGTTAAATATTCAGGTCGAAAAATAACGAAACTCCAGTTTTATCTATTGTATGAATTACTTTTAATTAAAACGTTCAAGAGTATTTGTTGACAGTATTTTTCGTAGACATATTAAAAAGCTGCCGTTTCGCATTAACATCTTCATTATCATTGTCATCATTATCCTCGTCAATGTCATTATCATCATCACCATCATCTTCAAATCATTCCTTCGTCATTCTAATTATCATTCCATTTATGAGCAACAATCTTAAATCAATGGGGGACATATATACAATTCAAATCATACACGATCTAAGCAAAAAAAGGTGCGGCAATATTTCTTGAGAAAAAAAACGTTAAAAGAGAAAGAAACGTTATTAACGCACTCTTACAAAGCCCTCTTACGAAATGTTTGTAATACAAATTCAAATACATTAATTATTAGTAATTAATTTAGTCACACTATGTATTTACAAATCATCAGATTTTAAGGAACATTCCTTTGTTTCTACAAACTTTGTAAATTCATTATCATTACCAAAAAAGAATCATGCAACATGACAGCTGTATCGTTATTTAGTAAACATTTATCAACAAATGTCGGTTCAGTATGTGTTGTTGCACAGTTATTTTATGATATAATTATAGTTGCTAATTATATTAAAGTACCTGCATATAATAAATTTTAAGACATTTTGCTAATCACGTATATTTTGTAATTAGTTAGATCGTGTATGAAGCGTTCCTCGAAATTACGTGATCAAGTAATTCGAAAATGGGCTACAAAACTTATGATAAATCAGTCGGTTTTGCGAAATCTGTTCTTTAAAAAACATAAAAAAATGGAAATAAACGAGGATCCAGAATTTGATAATCTAAAAAGTTAAACAATTTAAAAATCAAACACAAAAAACTAGATCTAGCTGAAAAAAACAATAAATCTATGAAGATAAGAATAAAACAGGTTGATCTGATGTGTGATTGATCGATTAAAATATTCAGTTTTTTGAAAGCACACTACAGAAATCATAAATCTGGAAAATGGAAGCTTCTAATTAGACTTAGTTGAAAACATTCCAGAATCTCAAACCCCAAAACTCTAAAAAATTCTCAATACTCTTAGGTATTCATAAATACTAAGTGAATGTAATCAAGGAAATATCTAGGAAAGTAAAAGCAAAATTTCACTACAGATAATCGAAGTGCAGGAGGATCTGAGTACCTTTGATATTTTGTCAGCAACTAATGTATTACAATTCTCATAAAGAGACGCGGACAACACATTCGTTTTCGCGGTTCGTTGTGAGTATAACAACAAAAACAACAAGTACGCGTCGCAGTTGCTAAATAATGGAGGACTTCAATAAGGACTTACGACCATGAAAATTCAGAATTATGCCTCGTAGAGAGTAGCATTATGACACTAATAGTCGCTATTATTCGCTTTGCGATCTGACGCACATTTCCGCACACTCACGTACACTCTTGCATAATCGCGCATCCATATAACATACATACGTATTAATCGTTTCACCAATTATAATCATCATTATTAATCGTCGCTCAGTATATACGTATATTTACACAATATGCCCAGAATTCAACATTTCTTCTCTGACCACTCACGGTGAAGCGCTTTGAAATGTTCAAGACGGAGCATAAAAACTTGAACGCTACTATAAATAAGTACGCGTACAATGGTACGCTCGTCTCGTCTCTCTCTCTCTCTCTCTCTCTCTCTCTCTCTCTCTCTCTCTTTCTCTCCCTCTTTTTTTCTCTTTTCCTCCAGTGAGGTTCTGCGTCAATAGAGCAACATCCATCTTTAAACAGCCTCTCACTATTATTCGGGAGAACTCCGCACATTAGTAGTCCGGCCGTTTGATTTTGTTCTACTATTTGTCAGAGACTTTCGCGATTCGTGTGGAATGTTCGACACTAAGTGCCCTAGAATTTACAACGACTCTACTCACAGTGGCACGACAACGAAGAAAATCGTTTTGAAGCCTCTCTTGCGAGCATTTGACAAATCTGTGGTGAATAATCGTGCAAAGGATAATATGAATTTGCTGATGACATTTGTCTTAATATGACATAGATTGCCTTGAGCAAATTTGAAACAAATAAATATAAATTAGAAAGACATGTCTTCTCTCTCTCTCTCTCTCTCTCTTTTTCTTCCCCTCTCTCCCCTCTCTCTCTCTCTCTCTCTCTTAGTTACAAAGTAATTACAGAAAAGTCTGTGATGTATATAAAACATCCCTGATCAATTGCTCTTTCAGAAAATGTTTGTATTTTGCAGTGAAATGACAAAATATCGTGACAAAACATTCCTTATGAAAGCTATTAATATTGAGAAGATGACACTGAAAAATAACTATAAAATATATAGTAATTACTCAACTAAAAGTTTTTCATAATTACATTATATTCAAGATAATTATAAAAACTTTAACTCGAAGATTTACAAAGATTTAAAAATCCAACATTGATCAGGAATGCGTCCCTTTAATAAGTAATTAATAGTTAATTAATAATTCGTTGACGACGCATTTGTATAAAATTGAAAATTATGTTTAAACGATTACTTGAAAAATCGATTCTTAGTCATGAAAAAAGCGTCGTTAAACATGATTGTAAAAATAAATACGAGAACAATGTTTACGTGGTTTTATATATATATATGTATGTATGTATGTATATATATATATATATATAACATGTATGTATAGTATATATATATATATATAACATGTATGTATAGTATTATAAAAGAGCGTATTTTTAAGTGACACGATGTTTTGTTACATATTTCCCGCGTTCTAGACGACGCGATTAATGCTGAACGCGACTCGCAATTTATTTTTCTCATAAGAGATTATTTATTAAAGTGTTTATTAAACCGAAGATCGAGCAAGCGCATTTAAAGTTAAACGTGCACGACTAGAACGCGGTAATAATTAACTAAACTATTCAGGTTTTTACACATATTCACACGCATACACGCATACACGCTCGCTTTTAAATAGTATTAAAACTGGAAAAAAATACTTAATAGCGAAAGTTTAGTAAATATGGCGATAACAAGTAAATGCAGAGGCGCAACATGTGGTCCTCGTTAAGGAAACGGATTGTATTTGAATAGAAATAAAGGATCTCGAAAAAAAAAAAACGCTGGAATATATAGGTGTCTCAAAGAGGCAATTGAAATGATTAATAGTAATTAATGATAATGATAATTTCAGCCATCAGGAATTATTTAGGATAATTTCGATCTCGATTACTAGAAAATTATAAAATCAAAGATAAATAAAATCTAATGAAATATATATAATATTTCTATTTGAATTAAAACCAATTTAAATTAAAAAGATTATTGGAAGTTAACAATTAATTTTTAAGATAATCCTTTTAATTAAAATTAATTAAAATTAAATTCTAGTAATAATCAAAATTTAATCACTATGTATTAAAAGGTATGTCATAGTCATCATCAAACTATGAATTATGTCAAATAATTTATATAATAATAATTGGATGTAAATTATTTTTTTCTTAAATTAATACAATACACGATCAATAATTGACTATTATCCTGATATTACTATCTATGGATTATTTGATATAATTACAACTCCAATTATTATTAAACAAATTATTCGAAATTATTATGAGGACTTAATCAATTCTTTTAGGAGATATTAAATGGGAAAATATGATTATATATATAAGAAAAATATGACATATAAAGGGTTAAATATTAATGAATATATAAAACCCTTTCATTATCTTGATGAATATGGCACTCGATTTTTAAAATATATGCAGTTTTTTACGTGACACCCTATACAAAATGGACGGCGTCATTTCTAATTCCACATTCTTAAAAAATTCTTAATTTTAATTGCTTAATTCTAAAACTCGCTATTTCATTGTATTTGATAGATAAAAATGACAGAATTATTTCTATTATTTAATTTTAGTGACATTATATTCTGTAATTATCTATTCCAGAAGATAACTACATTGATGTGTAAATTTCCCGAGGAAAGTTTCTAAATAAAATATTTCTCTCAACATATTATTTTCTAAAGGAAATAATTCCTATATTCAAATTCTGCAAGCAGAAATTAAAAAAAAATTTTTCATTTCCATATTTCCAGGAATATTTCAAATGAGAAACTCTCCCGAAAAATCTTCTAAATAAAAATTGATTTCGTCATATTTTTTATCATATCAAAGGTTGATCTTAATAAATAATAAAAGATTTTTCATGAAAATGTCTGAAAGTTCAAGTTCTTAACACACAAATATATAAATTCAATTTATATTTATTTATCATTTTCCACAGGAAATTCGTTACCTAATTTCTTTCCAATAAAAATATTATTTTTTAATAAAAATTTCGATAGGTTCCCCATTTTTCTCATTCACCTCTTTTGAGACACCTTATATACCTTTCGCTCATAGGTTTCATAATATTCTATCGAATATCTAGTTAATATGAGTCCATTTTATTTGCAAGCTATTTTTTCCGTGCAGCTTTTTCTGCTTTTCGTCGCATTCGTTCGATTTCCTTGCGCTCTTTGCGCTCACGATCAGCCTGAGCTCTCAACTCTTTCAGCTTGCGTTTTAAATGGGCTTTAGCTTCACCATAGATCCCTAGAGCTTTCAACTCTCTCGATTCCAAACGCAACAAGTTGCTTCCGTTGATGCCACTATCTAAAAATTGTGGAGAATAGCGTTCCAAACCGATTCCCGTCAGCCATTGACAAACCTGAATGTACATTTCTCTTTTTAAAAGTACAATATTGAGAATAAGACTGTACAATATGAAAATATGTATACTTTTATAAATGTAAGACAAATTCAAATCATTAAATCATTAAATAAGTAAACATAATAGTATAGCTTATAAATAATTGTAAATTTAAATCAAAATAGGCATAATAGTAATAACCTGTAGACAAAAAGAAAGAGAAAAAAATGTGTTATGTTATCAGAATCTTAGTAAGACATATATATACAGGGTGTTCCGTAAGTCGAGGTCAATCGCTCGAGAGATGAATGGGGAATCACAAACAAAAAAGAAAGTTGATACAAACATAGGTCCAAAAATGCGTTGTTTTCGAGTTATCGCCATTTTTATATTAAAATTTGAAATTGCTTTGCTTTCGAATTTTTTTGGTTTTGAAATTTCGATAATTTTTATGAGTTTCAAAACACAACTAAAGTCAAATAAAAGGTTCTAAGCCTTCTTTCTAAGGAGTCCCGAACTCTTTGTAGCACTTCCGGATTTTCTCTGTTTTCAAATCCAAGGGATGCTAAGCGGGCTGTACCTCCACGCGGTGCATCCTGGGTAGTGCTAAAGCAGCCCGCAACTTTTATTTGACTTTAGTTGTGTTTTGAAACTCATAAAAACCATCGAAATTCCAAAACCAAAAAAATTCGAAAGCAAAGTAATTTCAAATTTTAACATAAAAATGGCGATAACTCGAAAACAACGCATTTTTGGACCTATGTTTGTATCAACTTTCTTTCTTGTTTGTGGTTCCCCATTCATCTCTCGAGCGATTGACCTCGACTTACGGAACACCCTGTGTATATATATATATATAATTTATTCTTTAAATTTATATTTATTGTTTATAAAAATAAATTATCTTATTGCGTCATTATTTTTTTTTTTGAGAAATCAATTGTATACTTACTTGTTCTTTGGACCAATCCGTGACCGGCGCGTTCTGCCAAAAGTGGGATTTCTTGTCACCTAAACCAAAGTCGCTCAGTTGAGCGGGCAACCAAACTGCACTCGAATCTACATTGATAATGCATGCATGATGGAAAGTGCGTGTGGCAAGATCTTATTATGCTAGTCACTCTAGACACTCTATAAACAATTAATCACTACTCAAATTCTGCAATATATTCGCATTTTTTCATTTTATTGACAGCTGTTTTATTATATTTTATTATTAAATGCATTAAATAAAGATAAATTCTTACTAAAAAAATATTACTTGCTTCGAGTCAGAAAAATCGTTTATTTAAAAATATAAGATAAAAATTGCTAAGCCAACACAGCAAAATTATATTTAAATAAAGCGTTATTGATTATGCAGGCGAGAGTTAAAGAAGAGATTAACAAGAATTTAATTTCAAATCTTTCTCATTTTAATTTTAGAAACTTAATTTGAACTCTTTAGTTTCAATGCCTGATTGAGCGATCGAAAAGTTAGTGCTAGGATTACATTAATATACACAGAAGGTTTGAAGTACCTGCAATGCTGCCAGCTTTCGAAGGACTAGGATCAACGGCAGGAGGACTCACGGAGCCGCCAGAGGATAAACTCGAAGGAGAACTTCCTGGGTGGTGCCAAGGAGCTCCCCCACTTCCAATTAAATTTGACGGAGGAATCGACACTTTCTTCACTGAAAGCACAAGTTTAGCTACACTGGATTGATTCCAAATTACTTCAATCGATGAAATAATATTGGTATTTAATTAAAATTCAAAATTTTATTTAGTTTTCACAATTTCTTAATGTTTATTTGATTTTTAAATTTATGCATGAGAAAGAGAGAGAGAGAGAGAGAGAATAATAATATATTTTTATCTACCTCTTTGATTAGCCTCGTTAACAGCTTGTCGTATCTCCTCTACAAGATGATGTGTGACTATAGTTGGATCATTATTATGAGGATTGTTGAGATCACTGAAATCACCGGAGCTTTCTCTCGAAGAGTCATTCCCGCCAAGCCGCTTTTCTCTTTCGGCCAAAACTTGCTTTAGCTGTTCTGCCAATGATGCGGGGGGCCCGGTTAAAGCTATATAGAAGAGAATATTGATTTTTTATTATATACTAAATATTATTTATTATATTTAATTATCTTACTATGTCATACCTTATTTAATATATTTGCTTCTATATACATTGTTGACACATAAATAATGTCCAAAAAAATAAATGTGTGATTTAAAAGAAAAAACAAAGCTGTTCGTCCAATGTTATTTTTATTCCTTGATATTTCTTAACTTTTTATAGTTACTTTATTTATCAAGACCAAGACGAACGTAATATTTTTTATAAAATACTTTTTATTAATTTTTCATCCTAAATTTTATGATCGATGATAGCAGTCAATACGTTAAACAAACGATAAACAAACATGATAACATACTCTTTTGTGATTGAGGCCAGCTCTGCTCAGTCATTGCTCTGACTTGCGAGCTGATGGTGCTGTGCTGTCGAATCGCTGTAGAATGTATGGGATCTATGTGCTTTCCCTTTAGCGAGCTGATAGATGAAGTACTAGAATAGGAACTCAAGTTCGACTGCTTGGACGTCAAATCGTTTGGCGATCTGCTGCTATTATCCTGCGAAGTAAGTTTCGAAGAGGAATCGTCGTCTGTGTTGTCACCCGACTCGTCTAATCCATAATCCTGAAATTATCAAATTCATTAATTATTAACATATGCACACATGTGTGTGTAACACCATTATAAATTAAAAATCTTAGAATATTGAATAATCTACCACTTGTATTTAGTCATTTACTCATTTTTATCTTCGATTTTTTTATATTTTTATTATTAATTTATATAATCGTAATTTATAAATAATAGATTAAGAAATATAACGTACCGAACTACTATTGCTGAGACCTCCAGATCGCTTAGGTAGCTGACGATTAGCCAAGCCACCCCTACTAGCAAGTTCTGCCTTGCTCTTGCCAGCAGAATTATCCAGTAAACGATGTGCCGGCACTGCACGATCCAATTCTTCTTTCACTGGCAACGGTAAAGGCAGCTTTCTCTCCACTGTTGCGGTTTTATCACCATCGTCCGGGCTGCTGAGATCAGAAGTCTCTGTGTCTGAAAGCTGACAACTAGTCGACGAGGGTGGCGGTGGTAGTTGTCTGCGAGAAAGTTGTGGCGTCACTATTCTGGCAGTGGTATTATCATAGGGCAATCGTACTGGCAAACCAAACCGCCTCTGAGTTTCAGTCAGCTCCACTTCCAATGTGATTACCTGAAATAGTTTTCCATTCCATGATTATTATTATAAAACTTCAAAGAATAATTCCTACTTTTTATCTTGACATCAGAAATAAAATTAATTTATGTCTAAATAAACAATTGTATTGTGCAAAAATCTAATTATTTAAATCTTGAATTTGGTTTACATACTCTGTCTTTCAGACTTTTCACCAATGCATTATATTCCGTATCCTTTTCTTGCAACAATTGTTGATAGAACTCATCTCTGGCTGCGATATCCGTTCGCAATTCTCTGGCAGCCCTTCTTGCTCTGGCATATTTCTGCTGTAGAGCTGCATTTTGTGCTGTTGCCTGAGACAACATTTCCCTTGTCGTCGACAAATCTTGGCGCGCAGTACCCAAGGCTCTCTCCGACTCGTGAAGACGTAATCCTGATTCTCGTAATTTTGCTGCATACTCTTCACTGCCTGCACCGCTGTTTTCCAACTCCACTAGCTGTTAGAAACGTAAAGTAAAAAAATTACAAAATTATATAAAATAAGTTAGAATTACGAAATTATATTTATCCGAATTATAAACTTGTCATTATAAAATTGTATATAAACTAGGAATGTAAAAATATTAAGATTTTATATAAATTGAGATTCTTTGATCGAAATAGATACAAATGAAAAATAAGAAATAATCTTCCAATATCAAATAATGAGTGAAATTTTATTCTATACTATACTAATTCTAATTCTATGTCATTTGACCTACGATGATAAATATAAATATATATGCATGCATGTATTCGCACGCACATATATGTATGCATACATACATATCGATATATACATATACAGTTTAAATTATAAATATATATGTTGTATACAGAAAAAAGGATACCATGTGAAAAACGTCTGCAAACATCATATAATAAGCATACAAGAGCAAAAAAAAAAAGATAAGCAAAATTAGGCAAAATTAAGTAAAATCCCACAAATTCTTCAAAAATGTATTTTACACTTTATATTAATTTCTCACTTGGCGTTAATTCGAATTAAAATGTCAATTAATTAAAGCAATTAATTGCTGAAACAACTATGCATCTTTATTATGTAAGAATTTGGTTGAAGAATATTTAAATGATTGTTGTAATATTACCTTTGCTTTGAGATTTTCAACTTCCTCGTCCGCTATTGCAAGTTTATATTGACTCTGCAAGTAACCAATACACACATAGCGCATAAGCAAAACAAAAATAATAGCTACAAATGTACACTGTGTGATGTAGTAAACATACAAACATATAACATATATACGTATATACATGTATACATAAGTGCACGCACGCACGCACGCACGCACGCACGCACGCACGCACGCACGCACGCACGCACGCACGCACGCACGCACGCACGCACGCACGCACGCACACACACACACAACACTCGCAAGTACGTTTACGTGCACTGCATATACTGGATTTCTGATTTACATATACATAAAAAAAAACTATGTATTATTTTTGAACAAACATGGCATAATTCAAGTCATGGCACAATTCAAAATACAATTTGATTGTATTCAAAATACAATCAAATAGACAAAACATATAGTGAATTAAAAAAGTGTTATAAGCAATATTTGCAGATCAAATTCATGTTTCCACTAATATACCACATAATAGAGATACAAAAGTGAATAAAATACCTCCTGCAGGAGTAATCTCAGACTGTCAACATCATTTTGTGTGGTGGTAGTGTGCGGAGGCAGAGACGAGCTGAGTATCGGAGATCGACTGCGACTAGAAGGCGATAGATAATTTTCGATTGGACTGTGAGGCGGTTCTCCTTCCGAACAGGACGACAGCACCGGTGAACCAGGAATTCCGCTCATCCCGCTACCAATAGAAATATCCTCGCTTCCTCGTTGACCGTCGGGGGAAGCATCAGAGAAGTTCAATTTCCTAGTTGTAGATACATAAAGACTTCTTAAACATGTGAATAAACTGTAGAAATTTGTTATGTTATATATGCTTAAAAAATCGTAATTCCCTCAGTACTCCAAGATGCCTCAGGCACTCATTGGAGTGGCCAAAAAGTATCGTCACAGAAGATTTGCGAGCAAGGATATACCATCATTGGGAACGCAGATCTTTTTCTTATTAACTCGTACAAATTGATTACTCACTTAGCAGCATTTGCCTGTTCCCGTTCCCTATCCGCTTGAAGACTTTGCTTGATTAGCATCGCCACTTCCGAATTCTTGGGATCCTTTTCTCTACCGATGACAAATCGTACTAGTCCGGAAGTATTTCTCAACACGCTAGCGGCGTACGCTTGTGTTACACCGACTAAGCTCTTGCCATCTACCTCGACAATTTGGTCATTCACCTGAATACGACCTTCACGCGCAGCTGCACCTTTTTCAGTGATAGTCTTCACGAAGATACCTAGCTTCTCTAAGCCTGCGTCTGCACCTACGCCCATCCCGATTATGCTAAGGCCCAATCCCTCCGGCCCTTTCATTAACTCCACTGGGAATACCTAAGTTACAAAATATTTTTTCTTTAATATTACAACACAGTATCTTTACTGTTAGAACATACTCTGTTGCAATATTGAGTTTAACAAATTCTAATTTAAAAAATCAGATTTATCCTTAAATTATAATTTTTACGTGTCTAAAATTAAATGAAAGCCAAAAGAAAAATCGGAGTATTACTCAAAATTACCTCCATCTTCTCGACGCGCTTTTCCAATTCATACTCAGCGCTTGCCGCCACCGGATCTACGTCTTCGTTGCGGCGATCATATTCGTTAACGGAATGTGTGGAGTAAACGCGCATAGGACCCGTATCGAAAGATACCTTAGACGTTTTCTTGACAGATACGCTGCACGGATAATCCTCGTCATCATCGTCCGATTCCGGAATACCAGCAACTTCCATCCAAAAATGGCCATCTTCGAAATAATGTACGCCATTCTCCACAAGAACCTATATAATTGTGCATTTAAAGTACAATATTAATAATTTAACATCGGTAACCTGCTTCGATTTCTTTGTTCATAAGATGTAATACTGGTAAGACGACAATTTCTACATTCAAGGAAGACTAATATTAAGCAAAGTTATAAAATTGTAATGTTTCTTCTCTAAAAGATAAATTTAAATTTGTTCTCTAACAATACTGTTACAATAATGTTCTTTATCTATACTTTTAACTCAATCAATAACTTAACCAGCAAAAAATTTTACTGCATTATATATTACAATTTTTCCTGGAGTCGGAATGTAATCGTCTTGATGCTCAGTTTCAGTGTCATCGTTAGTTTCGTGAGTGTCGTTCAAGCTGCTTACAGAACCTAGCAGTCCACTCTCACTTCCTGTCACTGATCCCACTTGACTCTCCGTCAACGAATCTATTGTCAGGTCACTACGGGATCTATGAGTTAGACTGAAATAAAAATTTAATCATGATAGATATGATAAATGATAGAATTTAATCGCTTGAGTTCAAAGGTCCTAGCTATAATCCCAACATACATCCTAAAAATTCAAGAATCTTAAGAATTCTAATTGTTTAAAAAATCAACAAAGATTCAAGAATTATATATTTATGTAAGAAAATGTATATTATATAAATATATATTATATTAAAAATACGGTTAAAATTAATAGCATGGATTCTTCGATTCTTATATACTATCTTATCAATCCATAATTAATTGTATAGCTATTAATTGTATAGCTATTATATGAGAAATATGCTTAAGATCGTTAACGAAGGGAGAATAAGAATGAAACAGCATGGTGCAAAAAAGGAACAAGCAACAAAAAGACATTGAAAATAAACTCGTTCACCTATAATCGTGAGTGGCGCTATTGATAAGACTGGAATCAGGAGCAGACAGGACATCGGACAGCCAGTCGGGTGTGTTGTCCTGGTCGTCTCTATCCCTGTCCTGTCCTTCCTTATCCTTGTCATTAGAAACCCCATCACCTACTGCATCATCTGCACCGGTAGGAGACAACAGCCTTGCTATCTCTTGCGCTTCCTCATCCGATAGCAGCGCCGAACCTTGTCTAATTTATGTTTGAAGTCATTCACTTGGTATTGCGAATCGAATTACGTGATCGTTGATAATGAATCAATTTTATTATTAAATGGCAGAAGCAGTTATGTCGATCTAATCAGTTTTTCATGTGTAGAATATATCTCTACGTTAAATATTTTATCGACATCCGACTTATGAAATATTTTCACACTCGACACTCGTAAAGTTTGAATGTTAAAATGAAATTAACGTTAAATTAAATTAAATTATATTAAATTAATGTTAAATTAAAATTACTGTTCGAAATTTATGTGTGTGAAACTCAATTATCAGTTATATATAGGAAAATATTCAATTATATAAAATATAAAATAATTTTTCGTTAAATAAGACTTTGCAAACTCAATATTAAATCTCTTACTTTTAGTATCATTTAATATTCGTGCAATAAATTATTTACTAGTTAAGTAACAAAGTCTATATGTTAATATGTCAATATGATGCTATGTAATAATTGTGAAATGACATATCTGTTTCTGTTATCCACTTGTGCAATTGCAATTGCAAATGTATTCACCTGATCTTCTTCTCCAGGATACTATATGGACCAAGGAAATCAGCAGATTCACATACCGATAAACACAAACGTATTAGAATTGAAAAGAAACAAAAGTTATTAATATTAAGCTTTTAAAATAAGAGCTACAGATATCACATGCTGCGAAGCTGCAGCGAAAGAAATATATCGTGCCATTAGATATCGACACGCTTAAAAATGCAATCAATTTCAAAAGTGCAAAAATTTCAGTCTATACATCCTAGAAGCAGTTTAAAAAATTCCAGCACTATTCTAAAGACACTTCTTACTCGTATAAATATCAATATGAAGGAGATTAATTGTCTCAAGACTGTATTCCCTCGTGAAAAATTTTCTTCGCCTTTTCCTACACAATTTCAGATGTGCGATATTCAAAAGCTAACACATAACAAATTTCTGTATCCTACCGGGATACTCACCGAGAACTCAACAAATTCTCAGCCTCATCCGGAGTCATAGTATCAGGTGTCACAGGAGTAATATGATTGGCGTTAGCCTTCGAAGGAGTTTCCAACGCAGCGGAATTATTTTGTGCTTCTGTTGCCGCATATTCCGTCGAATTGACAACGGTCTTCGTGTCGCTCGAGTCGCTGTCCTCGATCAAACTACTCTCTGACGCGAAGTACTCATTAGATTTTCTGCAGGATTGCCTTTGTGAAAGTATATTAGACGTTGGCAACGGGGATGATGGCTGAATGTAATTCTCCGACAGCCTAAGTTTTGCCAGCTCGGCTTTCTGCTTTTCCTGCTCCCATGTAGTCTGCGGCTGCTCAACGCTTTCCTTCTTGCTCAACAGAACACTGTTCACCACTGCGATGCATTCTTTCCTATTGCTATTGATTTCGGACTTGGACACTTCCGTCGAGTATTTCTCCTCGTCTTTGCTTTCTTTCGCAGTAAATCCTAAATCATTCGTTTCTTGACCACGGTTCGTACTGCCGTGAGTCATCTTTTCCACATTATCAATTTTGTTTTCCGCTTCGACAAAGCTAGAACGCTTGTCAGATACTTCTTCTCTATTTTTCGCGATTTTTTCTCTAACGCTTATTTTGATTTGATCGTTCTTCGCGTTAGACATTGTCTTCTGGCATATTCCGTCGCCGATAGGTTTCACTTTTGCCTCTGATATTGCTTCCGTAACAGGTACGGAATTGATTTTTATTGTTTCCACAGCGTTGCTGCTATGATGTTTTGCTTGCTCCGTGCTCGGTACTTTCGTTGGAGTTTTGCACTCGGCGTTACTTGGTGAAACAGCGTCTTCACTTTGTACTTTTTTCGCGTACGGTGAAGGTACTGGGATATCCTTATGTTCCAGTGGAGGATATTCCTGATCGGAACTAATGACAGAAGGTGGACGTGGGCCCAGACCCGCAGCCTGAAGATCAAGGCGCACGTGAGAACGTCGAATGACTGTGGTTGTATCCGTTTCATTGAATTTGAATTGATCCTTCTCCGAGAGACTATCCATTTCTGAGGTGCAGCTCTGATACGTCGCTGGTTTTTCTTGATCCTCCGTTTCCAAGTCATAGCTGTTACGACCTGAGTTTGGAAAATATAATAAAAATATAATAAAAATATCGAAAAGATTGAAATTAATCTTTTTAATCAATGAATCTAATAACAGAAAGTGATTAAAATATTAAAAAGATTTCGACAAAATGATTATAAATCTATCAATAATTTTAATGAATAAAATATTATTCGCACATATCTCATTTTATTAATGAATAAAACTTTTATATTAATATTATAATATTAATAATGGAGCGTATAGTATATACATATATGTTACAATAGATTTAGTAAAAAAATAAAAAATTTTGTTTTTTGATAATTAAAAGTGCAAAAAGTGATGCAACATTTTCTAAAGTCCGTATTTATTGTAATACAAATAAAAATATCGTGTTTCTCTGAATAGATAATAGAAATAGTATGTTTCAAAAAATCTTAAATAAAATTAACTTATATTATTTTTTCTCAACATTTAATTTTCTTAATTTAAACACTTGAAAGATATTTATTGAATGCATCTCAGCAATACCTCCACAATCAATGCAAAGTAATCGTAGACACATAATTTTAAGTCTTTCTGGAATAGACGGAGCTCCGGCAAAATATAAGAATTTCGTATAAAATAAAAAAAGAATCCATTTCATATACATATACACACACACACACATATATATATATATATATATGTATGAAATGGATTCTTTATATATATATATATATGCACATACATACATACATACACACACACACACACACACACACACACACACACACACACACACACACACACACACACATACATACATATATATATATATATATATATATATATAAACACTATTATAGTTTTTGCTCTTATATTCTATCACAAACGAAGTGCTTACAAAATATAACCATTAATTGAAGTAATTAGATTTAATACTACTAAATTTTTTAACTAAAAGATTTAATACTATTAAATTATTTAATTTGTTACTTTTTGTCGCTTAGTTGTAAATACACATTCAATTTTTTACACAATTGCACAATAAATTATTAATTAATAATAAATTGTTTTATTTAATCTTTTTATTTAATTCCTTTAATAAATTATTTTTGTTTTATTTAAATTTTTAATTTAATTTTTTTAGTTTTTATTAATTTGTTAACTTAAAATATGAAAGAATATATTTAAACTAAAAAAACTGTTGTAAAACTATACATTCCTTTCTCAAGAAACCGTTAATTCATCGAAAAACTTGTTTACTTGTATTAGATTTTATCTATAATAGTGTTTACAAACTTTCTAGTTTCTGTTATCTTTATTTTATTATCAGGAAAGTCACTATAACGATTAGAAATGTGTTCAGAGCACAACATTGATAATTTCCAAATTCCAAAAATTCGTTAAAAGTTTCAGAAACACTTTTGCAAAGTAAACGTGGCGAGGCACGATCGTTTTGGCTGCTGAACAAGCCACACAGTGATTTCTATAAATAATATTGTGGCACACTGGTAGGAGGAACAGCGTGAGAAGGAGAAAAGGGAAGAGAAGGGAGATCGCGTCTTAGTACTTTTACTTTTACTTTTTGGCACTTTGGCACACTGCCAGTCTACGGCAGCGGAAGTCACCTGGCACTGCTAATAGTTCGCAAAAATGCACAAATTTATTTCTAACTGAAGTTAGTTATTAATAAACGTTCCTTTTTACTCTTAGATTTCGAAAATGATATTAGAAGCAAAATTATCTAAAACAAAATAGTCTTGAACTTTTACTGATTGAAATAATTGTTCTCAAATTTAGTTGTTTTATGTTGATTTACTTGTTTTATGGAGAAAATTTTATGATTCTCTTTTCGAAAAATTCAAATCAGAAATTCTATTAAAAAATCAGCATCTGACTGGGAAAACAATGTAAACAACTTTTGTACAGAGCTTTAGGAACTCACCTGTTTGATGCTTTTCCGACATCTCCTTCTCCGCTTTCTCTTCCTTGCTATCTTTGGAGGGTGAACTGGGCGAACTCATGCTAGACGAAGCACTGTCGGTGCCTACAGAGGAGGGCAAGCCTAGTTCGGATTCCGGTGAACGTATCACCTCGGTCTTCTTGTCGTCGCTTGTCGTTTCTTTCCTCTTTGCGTTTGCGCTAGGCCTGGCCCAGTCGGGTCTAGGATCTGGCCTCGTCATCACCTCGCCGCGTATCATTTCCGCTTCCAACGCTTCCCTCGAAGAAGCCTTTAGATCCCTTATGTCCACGGTTCTTTTCAAGATCTCGTCGTTTTTCGCCAGCCACTCGTTCCGCCACTCGGATGTTTTCGCTGGTGAGTGAATAGGACTCGGAGGGCAATTCAGGTACTCCGGTGCTTCCAATAGGTCGCTCTCCCTCCTTGTTAACTGGGCACTGTCCATCGAAGTGCTACTTCGAATCGGACTAGAAAGCTCGTAGTGGAGCATTAACGATGTTTTCGTTTGCTCCGGCAGGTCATTGTATTCTTTCGTGATCGCAATTTTTGTCTCTGCGACCATCTCCGTGGCTATTGGACTTCTCGAAATTTCCATCGAGTAGTCTACAGTCTCTTTTGGGCTTTCCATTGGCCTGGAAATTATAGTCTTCAAACTTGCCGTTTCCTCCACAGTTGCGGAGCCTTTTAAAATATCTTTAGAAACGTCTGCTGATTTCGGAAATGTATTCTTGCATGTTGGAGCTATTTCTGCAGTCGTTGAACTTTTTGAGTTCTGTGCAGTAGATACCTTCGATACATCTTTCGAGCTCTCCGACGACCTCGAAACTATAGGTTTGCACGCTGGAGCTACTTCCGTAGCTAGCGAGGTTTTGAAATTCTGCACGGTCTTGGAAACTTCTTTCTGACCGTCAGCCGATCTGGAGACGGACTTCGAGTTGTTTTTTTGTACCACAGCGTACTCTGGCATAGCGGCATCCTGAATCTTCTCGGAACCACTATCATTTTGGCTTTCTTTTGGACCCTCTTGCAACTTCTTCGTTTTTTGTACGACAGCATATTCCGGAATCGTCGGCGAGATGTCGTCGAATTTCTCTATCGTTGCATATTCTGGACTCTCCGGTAGGTCTGATGGACTGAGCGCAGCGATACTAGCCGGTCGTTCTCTCCTACCGACCGCCGATGAATTTCTAACAGGTGGCAACGGCGGTGGAGGCGATCGTGCAGAACAAAAACTCGCCGATCTAGCCGGACTAACGATATCATTGGCCGCACTTGTCGCACTCGAGCTCTGGTGCACAGTGTCGACAGACGATTGTTGCTGTTGGGTCGCATTATGAGTTGCATTCTGTGAGTTGAGAGATGTCTGCACTAGCGAGCGATTCGGGTCGGAGTTGTAACGGCTCGGTCTAGTTTTAGAGAAGTGGCTGGTCCAGTTGCGCTGCTTCTCAATCAGCTCCTTCGAATTCGGTCGACGCTCCGGTTTCTCAGGTCGCTCGGGACGATCATTTTCCTTGCCCAATGTTCGTTCGATCTTACCGCTTATTAATCCAGTGACCGCAGCGCGCCGCTGATCCGGCATGTTGCAATGACCATTTTCGAAGTGCCGTTCTGTGTTTAAAGCTGGCACGCTGGCGCTCCACGTGCTTAAGTGTTCGCGACTGCCCGGTGGAGACGGCGAGCGCGGACGCGGTGATCTCGCTGGAGAGGTGCAGCCAGAACCTGAGTTTGCTGAGCTGGAGCGAGATCGAAGACCGTGCAAATTGTTCGGTTTCGTGACTCGTTCCACGCTGTGGATTAAAAAATTCGACTTATGAGTATAATTTTTAAATAAATCTAGAACATCGGACAATAAACTGGTATTTTTTTAAACAAATGTATAATTGGCAAAGTTTTAGGTAACATAATGATTGATCAATAGCAAAAAAAGTGATATTATAAAACAATGTAATTGGTAAAATCTTAATTAAAGTAACAATTATTTATAAATTATAAAAAATTCAAAAATATGATATAAATTATAAAATTAAATTCTTACGGTCTGTTCGATTTATTTTCTTCACCAAGCTTCTCAAAGAGAGCGCGCGCATTGTTGAAGCGTGCCACATGACTTTCAGTTCTGACTACCGTCACCTGCGTAGGAGATTCCTTCAATGGAACAGCTGGTTCCTTGAAACTATCTGATAGGATATTATTTGTCCTATGGCCCAGATTATCTAACTGCGGCTTGGATTGGAAAATGTTCGCAATGGCTGACACCTTGGAACCACCTACTCGTTTTTTCTCTTCTACCGTTGCCATGTCTAGCACAAGCTTATGCAAAAAAACAAAACATTTAATATATTTTCAACTATTTTATAATTTATAATGCATCTAATCTTATTTTATAATGTTTTACCTGTGATTGAAAAAAAGTATGTAACAGTTATATGTAGATGCTGATCATTCAGATATTTCAGCCCATTGTCATTTGTATACATTTAACATATTTCATTGCAGCAATCTGTAAAAAAAAGGATAAAATATCAAATAATCCACATACTAAATATTAGCATACTATACTTAAATAATAGAAGTCAAAGACAAAGGAAATTAGAATATCTAAATACATAGATAGAATATTTTGATATTTTAGGCTTCCACAGGAAGCATGGAAAAAAAGCTTTATCTAGCTTTATCTAACTTCCAAATTGGTGTCATGTCTTTCATGACTAAGAAAAAAATAAAAAAGAAAATAAATCAGGTTATTCCTCTCTCTGAAGAAGTCAACTGGAATGTTCATGAAACGTTGCAAAAGATGCAACACCAACCTAGAAACTGGATAAAGAAAATCTAAGTATTTTTAATAGTAACAAATTCTTATATGTTTAGTCACATCTTTTCAAGTTTAAAAATATAATTCAGTTTCTAAAGCAAATAAAGTAATTTATATCATTCAATACAAAATTAACACATGAATTACGTGTTTAAAAAGTAAAATTTCAATTAATAATCTTGTCTAATTATTTTTTTAGAATTTTCCTATTTCTTTTGCACTATACTAAGAACATACATTTTCCACCACTATCCCATCTATAGCTATCCCACATTAGCACAGTCAATTGGATTTCCTGACCTTTACAGAATTTGAATATTTTCCTGCTTAAAGAAATAATGCTGTAAAATTCTTTCCCAATTCTTTATTTACTAAATTATTTAAAAAACCAAAATGGGAATAAAATATACAAAGTAATGTTAAGATTTATAGAAATACTAATTCAAAAATTATAGAAAGCAATATTAAATTAAGTAATTAAATTATAAAAAATAATGATAAAAATCATTGATCATATGCAATATATAATTGTATTTTTAAGACAATAAATTTATAAAACTTGAGTGTTTTAATTTAGAGAGATGTATATACACAAACACATGACAAGATATGAGATAAATATAAATAAAAAAGAATAAAAACAAAAAATACACATGTAAATAAAATATTATATTTATAAAACATTATAAAGTTAATAATTTATAAACCAAAAAAACTAAAAGATTTATAGTATATTTATTTTAATGTTTCATATTATTTTTTTATTCTATTAAAATTTTTATTTTCCCATATTTTCATGTGCATAGTGTAAATATTATTGTTTATATTTTTGGAAAATATTGAATGGGAGCAAAGTTGAATGACAGGCATGAGATATAATGTAATAGGTGGGTCTCCCTTGTCTGGGCTTCAACCCTCCTCCCATAGCACACCATGTTGCTTCAATCAATACTTGAGTGCTGTTTCTATGGTAGAGAGATATGAAAAGAGATGCAATTTTATGCCACTTCTGCAATAGTGGTAATGATTGCTTATGTGATAGTCGACATTAACTTGTGTTTATGCTGAATCAAATAATATTTGCTACAAGGTTCATTCACACAGTCTAGTTATCTAGATATGCTAGGTATCTTTGAAGGCATCTAAAGAAATATTCAAGATGATATGGCTAGAAATATCTGTCTAAAGGTATAAAGTTTTCTATATATCTCTAAAAATAACTTAATTTCAGAAATTCAATTTATTCTTTCTTTAACAACAATGAAAAGCAATAACTTAATTATATGTTCTATTATATGCAAACTCGATATTGTTACAAATTTAATATTTATAAGTTATATAGTACTACTATTAATTTAAATAAAATATTCTAATATGAATATAATTATAAAAATGAACAAAATCAATAAAATATTTTAATATTTATCAAATTTATAACTTCGTTAAACAGAATAATTTACCAGTTGCTTAGAATCAATAAACTATATATTTATAAATTATATTAAACATCTTTTAACAACACCTACTAAATAAAGATTACAGCTTGTGACAATATCATAAAATGTAAATTAATGTAATCGATCAGATGTAATCTTTATCAGTCAATTTTTTCAATTCTATAAAATCATAAATACCTTCCTAAGCACCAATAAACATTTAACTTAATATTTGGAAAAGTATTATTCAATTTTACTGCGGTCTTAATGGAAATATCCGCAACAATATAACAAAATATGTATTATATATAATAATATAAATAGAATACAATCTTCAAACTACCTAAATAGTGACCACCTAAATCAGAATTTCACTAAACTAAGCAACTTTTCTCAAGTATTATCCAACGTTGTGTTTAACATTTACCAATTATGCTACACAATTTTAACTTTTATCTCGTCAAGTTAGCAAAAAAACATGATAAAACCCAAATTAACAGAATCAAATATATTCGGCAAATTTACCAATCCTACAGCATCATTAAACAAAACACCTTCCCAATCGCCATTACACCCCATGAACTACCCACGGAAACGCTGTTTTAACGATCCCACCGGCTTTCTTGAGAAAGCCAAGCTAATCGGTGTCGTCTGAAAATTACGAGCTCGTCTACCGCGGCGCACTTCCTTTCACATCAAAATTACTTTCGGACTGACCCGGAAGACGATGTCACCATGTGCGCGCGAGCATCCCTCGGTCGGGCGAGCTGCAGACTTTCGCCGCGCTCGGACACGTTCGGCTCCGTTCGACCGTGCTCGGTGACGTTCGACGCGGCTTCGGCGGTTTACGATTCGCGTCGCGTTCTCACGGTGTGATGACCGCGACGCGATGACCAAGTTCGTTCAGGCGCACCTGTGTTGTTGTTAATGCACGATCACGTTCACCATGTCGGCGGTAGTGAATTGGCGACACGCTGATCTCAATCCGCGATCCACACGCCTATCGATCACCGCTTTGCAATCCGTCCTCCCACATCGCGATCTGCCGACAGCCACTGCCCGATTATGTCGACAACCTTGTGGAATAAACCAAGATGGCCGACTGCTATGTTTATTTTAATTTGACAGGGTGGAAAGCTAGGGACTCTTTAAGCCTTAAGGCTGTATCAAGCTACATCGCAATTGAGAATAGACGCGAACCAATCAGACCTAGTTAAGATAGAAATTGTTTGATTGATCGAGCAGTAACTTCGAATGGGCTTTGTAGATTTTTATAGATAAGCATTAAGATAACTCTTATTTGAATGAAGCTTGTAAATATTTATGTATGTGAAAAATATAACATTTTTCAATAATTTCCAGAAGATACACTTTTTTTTACTATATAACTGGTACGTCTCGAAGTTTGTAAAAGAAAAGTGGTTGCTATCACTTTGCTTCCATGTTAGTAACATTTTTGAACATATTATCATCAGTAGCTTTTTCCCACAGCTGTCATTTCGTGGGATCTCGCTATTTTCCAAAAATAATATAAATACGATAATAGTAATAATTAACGAACAGCACACAAGGGCAAAATATGATGTGAGTGAATTAAAATATTTGATTTTCTGACTGTCATAATTTCTTAATTTCTTGAAGGAGAAGATTACATGAAGTACATAATCTGGATCGTATGACGCATCAATGTTTATCTAAAGTGGATAATCTTAACGTACATTAAATCTCTTTAAATAGAACAAATGGTAAGAAAAATTAATTCATTCTTACATGCTAACTCATCACTGGTTATAGATAAATTAATAATGTTCTTGAAAAAAACCATGTTATACCTATAGAAGGAATAATTGCTTGTTTGCCTACCACCTACACCTTGCTCTATTATGTTTAAGTTTTGTATTATGTTTTAATAAAATCCCACATGATAAGCTAAATATAATTTTAAAAATATAATCTTTTTCTTGAAAGTAAACTATAATATTGGAATAAATTTATGCTTGCTTTGTATAATAAATATAAGTGAAATATAAGTGAAAAATATTTATTTAATTTATTGTAATTTGTACTTATTTTAGAACAAATTTTGCATTTGTACTAGTCAAATAATTTAAAATTTAATAAAATAATAAGAATAATAAGTAACTCTAAATAAAATTGTATAACTATGTTTATTATGAACTAAACACTAAAAACAATTTTACAGGCTGAACATGTAAAGAAAACTGATTTATTTACTGCAGCCAAACATTTAGCGGAAAGCGAAGTTGAGTTGATAAAAGTGATTGAAAACTCTAGCAAGTGTCAAAAAACTGCTGAGAATATGCCTGCAAATATAAAGAAAATGAAAAAGCCTGGAAAGTCAGGAAATGTATATATCATTAATAATTTATAATATTATACTATTTTATTTATGTATTCCTTTTTTATTAGAAATTTTATGTAGTTAATTTATATACATGTTATATATACACATATATGTGTTATTAATATTGCATCACAATAGTTTATCTTTTTCTGATACAGTGTTCAAATTGCTAAGAATGTTCAATGTTGAGAATTAAAATTATTAATAATTTAAATATGCTAAAATACATAATTAAAAATACAATATTAATAAAATTTATATGTATAATATTCTATTAATAATTTAATTTTAGATCCGTCCATCAGCTGCACTATTGGCTGCTAAACGAGAAGCAGCACAGCGACAACTTCTAGTAGGAAAAAAGTCAAATAACAATTTTGTACAAGATATATACCAGAAGGCTATTGATTCATATGAGATAATACATAAGGACACTGGTCTCGTATTTGATCGAAGTATGGCAGAACATGAATGCCTTTGGGATCTAGATTATGCTGAGTGTCCAGCAAGATTCACACAAGTACTACAGAGATGTGAAGAGTTAGGTTTAGTGCAACGATGTAAACTTATCAAAGCAAGATTAGCAACAGAGAATGAAATTTTGATGAAACATAGTCAGAAACATATTGATATTCTGAAAGCTACTGATGGCTGTATGGACTCTGAGAATTTAGAACTGTTGTCGTCCAAGTACGACTCTATTTATGTTCATCCAGTATGTATATAGATATTTATATTTTAAATTTATATTTTAAATATATGATAAAACAATTCCTGTTTTGTTAAAATCTATAAATTTAATTTTCATTTTCAGTCCACATATAGATTATCTTTATTGGCTACGGGTTCAACAATTAATTTGATAGAAAGTATTTGCAAGGGTAAGGTACAAAATGGCATGGCTATTGTTAGGTAAGCTAACAATATTGAAGGTTTTTAACAATATGAATATATTTTTATTTATATTATTAATATATTTATATTATTTTTATTATTATGTATCTTATTTATTTAATTTTATCTTCATTGATCCAAATATGTCTAATATAATGTAATTTAATTAATCTTACTAATATATATATTTTTACACTTTATCATATTTTGAATGATATACATATTACACATGCCGAATATTATGAATATTTTCAGACCACCAGGCCATCATGCAATGAAATCAGAGTACTGTGGTTACTGCTTCTTCAACAATGTAGCACTTGCAGCAGAGAAAGCTCTAACTTCCAATTGGGCGAGTAAAATTTTAATCGTCGATTGGGATGTTCATCACGGACAAGCAACACAACAAATGTTTTACAATGATCCGCGGTATATATCTTTCTCCCTTTCCCGAATTTTTTTTAAATATTTTAAATTGCGTTAAATTAATACAATAAATAATTCGTACAACAATGTGATTCTAAAAATGTTTTGAATTTTTTTACAGTGTAGTCTATTTTTCGATACATCGCTACGAATATGGTGAATTCTGGCCTAACTTAAGGGAATCTGACTTCCATAATGTTGGAGAGGACCTTGGAGAGGGTTTCAACTTCAATATACCTCTGAATAAAACTGGCATGACTAACGCTGATTATATTGCGGTTTTTCAGCAAATTTTATTGCCAATGGCTTATGAGGTATGTAATCTGATGTTATGTAGTGTATTTAAAAATTATGTATTAAATTCTAATTTTCTTGTTAATATCTATTTTAATTTTGCAACAAATGTAATTTTATATTAAATCGTCGGAATCATTGTTTTTAATATGTTGATAGAATTAAAATTATTGTAGTTTCAACCGGATCTGGTAATAGTGTCAGCTGGTTACGACGCTGCTCTCGGTTGTCCAGAGGTATATTTTTCTAATTATTCATATCTTTTTTTTTCCTTAGCTTTGTCCAGACCTGGTCATTATTTCTGCTGGTTTTGATGCCGCGTTCGGCGATAACAAGGTTAAAATATTTTATTTGATATACCCTATATAAAATGTCATATTTAAAAGTATTGTTTTGCATGCACGAGATTTCGTCGTGAATTCTGCTTTGCGGAAATCTCGGATTGGATCGCGGGCCAATACTTTTCAATGCTACGAATAAAACGTGAAAATCTTGTATGCTTCTGAATCCAAAAACAATTAGGAGAAGAAATTAATACTTTTCACGAAAGTTCGCATTTGAAAATTATCGATTGCTATTGAATGCAAGGCATATTTGAAATGAATTGAATCCTTTTTAATACGAAGCATTCACCACTGCCATCCCGCATTTAGCGCGGTGAAATTTAATGGGAACTAATACTTTTCAATCCCTTTCTTCGGATCAGAAAGCAGAATTCAGACGTATTCAAAATGTCAATACTTTTTAATACGTTTCAATTCGACATTTTATACAGAGTATTTGTCAAATTTGATATTTGTCACAACATACGTTGTGTCTCTGTGTTGATTTTTATTATTAGGCTTATATTTGTTATACCATTATATGTATATTTTTTATTAACATGTGCGTGATATAGTATTTAATAAAATTTTTGTTTTAATCACTTATTTTACTTATTTTATAAAAATTTTTTCTTGTAAAAATATATATAATATTATTTGTTTATCATGTATATTAAATATGTGATAAAATTAATAAAACAATTATTAATGAATTATGTATAACTTAGCAATTATCTATAATAATAATTTAATGTGATTAAAAAGAAATATTTTGTTATGTATTAATTTATAGGGAGAGATGTTAGTGACTCCTGCATGTTATTCACACTTACTTTCATCATTATTAAGCCTGGCGGCTGGAAAAGTTGCCGTCGTTCTAGAGGTATGTAAACAAAAATAATAATAAACTATATATAAATATTTTTCACTCTTTTTAAATGTGTACGTATATATATCATTAATCATGCATGTTTAAAATATTTATTTTAGGGCGGCTATTGCTTGAAATCTTTAGCTGAAGGCGCAGCACTGACTTTAAGGACTTTATTAGGTGATCCATGTCCTATTTTACAAACACTTGATCTATCTTCATTGAGGTAAGCAATAACAAATATATAGTATCTAACTAACATATAATTTATATTTTCATGAGATTTTTTCCAGTATACGTGACACTATTTTAAATGTAATCTACGCACATCGCCCATATTGGAAATGTTATCAGTACCAGGACACACATAGTATTAATATTGTAAATTACAATAAAGAGGAGATAGCTAATCAACATGTAGTTACAGTTATATATAAGTAAGAATTATCTCATAATTAAGATAAAATAGTTTACTAATATGATTGATTAATATAATTTGAAAAAATTAATGTTTAGTAGGAGCAATCAAATTAAACCAGAAAAATATGAGACTCGAAATTGCTATCCTAAACAAAACAAAGAAGATGTTGAAGTTATAGATAAGAAACTGGACGAATTAATGCATTGTAAGTTTTTTGCCTGAAGAAAATTAAGAAGAAAGTTTTTAATAGATTATTTGATGTATTAGTAAACGTTTATATATATAAACAAATGATTTCTTTGGGAATTATATTTAAAAAAATTTATTATTTGACATTGCTGTTTTATGATAGCTTTTATTGTTTAATATATAAAGATTCTTGTTAAATTAAAATAGAGTTTTTTCACAGTTACAAATTTATATAAAGCACCGCACAAAGTATGTATTGTCTACGATGAGAGAATGTTAAAACATTGTAATATTTCCGACAATTCTCATCCAGAGAAGCCAACTCGTATCTCTAGCATCTATAGAAATCACGAAGAGTATAATTTACTAGAACGCTGCTATTTATTACATGTAAGATGATATATAATTATTTTATTTTATTTTTTCATGATTATTATGCGGATTAAAAATATATATTTTATAATTCTTTTTATTTTCTATTTTTAATTTACAGGGAAGGTGTGCAACAATAGAAGAACTATCTTTGGTTCACTCAAAAGATTACATCGACAGTATCAAGAGCATAATGACATTAAAACTTAAAGAATTAGACAAGGAAGCTGCTGGTTACAATTCTGTTTATTTTCACAATGAAACATGGTCAAGTGCCTGCATATCTGTTGGATCCCTACTGCAAATAGTGGATGCGGTTTTAAACGGAGAAAGTCAATCCGGAGTAGCTATTGTAAGACCACCAGGACACCATGCTGAGGAAGATGCTGCATGTGGTTTTTGCATCTTTAATAACGTGGCAGTAGCTGCAAAATATGCCATACAATTTCATCACGTTAAAAAGTATGGCACTTTCTATTATCTATATTAAATCAATCGCATTTTAATTTATAAACACTTCGCAATTTGAAATCCCTTTTATATAATTTTAATTATAATTATATATACAGGGTACTGATAGTCGATTGGGATGTTCATCACGGAAACGGAACACAAGCTATTTTCGAAGAAGATCCGAAAGTTTTATATACATCTGTCCATCGTTATGATAACGGAAGCTTCTTCCCAAGTTCTAAAGATGCTAATTATACGAGTGTTGGTTTAAATGCAGGCGAAGGGTTTAACGTAAATGTACCGTGGAACAAGGTAGACAGCAATAATACTTTATTCATAATACTGTCGTGCTAATCCATTTTAGTATTATTATAACGAAAATTCTTACTCTTCTTTCTTTGCTACATTTATAGAAAGGAATGGGAGATGTAGAGTACATAGCAGCATTCCAGCAAGTTATAATGCCTATTGCTTATCAATTTAATCCAGAGCTAGTTTTAATCTCTGCTGGATTTGATGCTTGTGTAGGTGATCCACTGGGAGGTAATGTATCTTGGTATTAAATTAACCACTATTGTTTATACATATGTATGTGTGTATATGTGTATTCACATATATATATATATATATAACAATTTTATAATATGAATATATATTAATATTAATTTATAATTTATAATTTATAATATAAATATATATTAATATTCATTTTATAATATATATATTCTTATAGTAGAACTGTTGAACTCTTGAAAAAATTAACTAATATTTTCTTTCCTTCATTAGGTTGCCACACAAATCCAGAACTCTATGGTCATTTGACACATTGGCTTTCATCCTTGGCCAACGGTCGCGTAATCCTCAGCCTTGAAGGAGGTTACAACATCAATTCTATTTCTCATGCGATGACTATGTGTACTAAAGCCCTTCTAGGCGATCCTTTGCCAATGTTGGGACCTGGTCAGGTACCCTGTACCAGCGCGATCAATTCCATCAACAACGTTTTGAAAACTCATAAAAAATTTTGGCCCAATTTACAATACGGAATGTCTTTACCAAAGGAAAAGTTACTTCCTAAACTCAAGATGATTTCTAAGAGAGAATCCTCTAAGAGAGATAAAAAGCTCGAAGAGTGCGGAAGAGACTTGGAAAAACCAAAACAAACGGAATCGAAAATTGCCTTAGAGGGAATTCAAAGCGAGAAATTGGAATTAAGTTTGTGTATCGATAAGAATTGCTTAAATTTTGTAACGGATGAAGAGATTCTGAAGCTGAAAAACGAAGTAGAGAATATTAAAATTAAAAATTCTGAAATGGATATAGTGAAAAATGACGCTGACGAGGCGAGGAGAAACGTTGGATCAAAGAAGAACAAAGCGAAAACTTTGGATGGTAATTATTATCAAATTTACAGTTTGAAAATAATTGTGATAATAGACTAAGATAAATTATATTTGATAATGTTCAGTTTCACAGATTATACAAAAATGTGTAAAGGACACAAATCAATCGAGAGATAACCAGCAAGGAAGTTCTGGCACATGTGATGACAATGATGACGAAGGAGCTGGAGCACTACAACGTGAAATACAAACTACAAATCTTCTGGACTATCTTTCTGATCATCTTCAGGTGTATAACTCATGTATTTTATCGTACAAAGTAATCGATACGTGTAAAAATATTTTTTTAAATATCTTTTATTACCATGAGTATTAACATGATGTTTCAAATTAAAGAAAAATATTATTGCTCAGGCTCTGACAGCGGGAGAAATGTTTGCGGTGGTGCCTCTGCGAGACTGTCCACATCTATTCATGGTTAACGAAGTTCCTCCAAGTGGAATCGATATGACTTTACCTTGCACGGAATGTGCTAGTACTGCGGAAAATTGGATCTGCCTGCAATGTTACACCGTGCACTGTGCTCGCAATGTCAATCAGCACGCGATACAGCATGCGGAAGAATACCTGCATCCTATCGCACTCAGTTTCAGCGATATTTCCGTCTGGTGCTATGGTTGCGAAGCATATATCGATAATTCTGTAAGTATTTCTGAAAAGAAACCATACACATGCACACACACACACAATATACTTTTTCTCAGGTAAAGATAATAAAAACGAATAATATACTGTATTTTTAGCAATTATATGCAGCAAGGAATGCAGCTCATCAAAGCAAATTTAATGAAGTGCTTCCCTGGACTTATAGTGAAAGTAGTACACATACATCTTAATTGATTTTAACGCTATTTTAACGCTAGCAATATTTCCCTCAGAAACTTTACAAGTAAAAATTTAAAACAGGGAACTATTTGAAGTTACAATAATTATTAATCTGAAATTATACTAATCAATAATACAATTAGATTAGAAATTTAAAGATAAAAATTAATTTCAAGGATTTTCAACTAAAAATCATGAATTATTAAACAAAAGAGAGAGAGAGAGGGAGAGAAAGAAATAATTCTGTGCTCTATAAAAATCCGCTTATATATGTAATGTAGTAGATCAGGATCAAAAACAAAAAAAAACAGAAATAATCAAAAAAGTGCAAAGTATAAATTTATAATATATGAAATAATTAATGGAATTTTAAGTAAATACGCAATTATATGAAAGCAAAGCTTTTATTATAAATCCAAGAATAATATTTTGTTCTCCAAGGAAACTATAGTCTAGAGATTGCTAAGAAATAACCAAATTATAAAAATGTCAATATATTAAAATAATTGATTTTAATTATTCTAGAAAACATTAATTCTATGTTATCCATTAAAAATACCTCGTAATGACTGATTTGTAGAAATGGAGTCTGGGAAAAGTTCAGATTCAGGAATTTCAGGATTCATTTCAGTAATTTTTAAAAATTATGGGAAAGAAAATTATCTTTCCCTATTTTTTCCATAATTAATTTAATTATTTAGTTTATTGACTAATATTTTCTTCTTACTGCAATTTTTCCAGCATACTATATATTTTTCTATATAGGATAAGTATATTAAAGATATGTAACACACGCGCGCACACATTTATACACACATACACACACACGCATCACACATTTATACACGTCATACACAAAGTAAAAATTATCATGTTTATAATTATATTTTCGCTTTTTCTTTTAATATTTCAAATACCTTAAGTACGTAGAAAATTTTCGAAATAATTTATCTCGATTTCATGTACATTTTAATAATGCAATGCATAAAACTAAAATCTATGTCCGCCATATTGTTTTAACCCGACATTACATTATCATTCATTTTTAAAAACAATCTTATAACAATCATAGCATTTCTCTTAAATACGAAATTAATTAAATGATCTATTTATCTTTGTAAATTATGAAAATTTATTCCTTAAAATTATTTTAAGAAAATTAATCTTTTGGATTAATTAAAAGAAAAATAGTTGCAAGAATACTACTTCTTTGCTTTAATAAATCATATTTACAAAGACTATTTCTAGTCCAGATGCGAAGCGAATAATTTTAGTAAAAATAAAAACAAGAAATATTTGTACTTGTGTCATCAAATTAACTTTTTTTCCCATAATTTACCAAGTCCTTAATTATTTCAATATTTTTTTTTACATGATATATTATTCGTAAATATCATTGATAATAAATTCATTGATAAATTATAAATTTTTCAATTTACTAAAAGTTTAAATATATTTGATAGTAATATCATAATTTAATAATATATCATTTTTAATTTTTATTAACATTTTAATTTCAATATCAATTTTACATTTTACATTTCTGAAATCTCATTTTATTTATTATTCTTATATCTCATAAGTGAGGGCGCATTATTATATTTTATATTAATTTAAAATATATCCCTCATATAGAAATTTGTATTAATATTTATACTTATGCATAAAAAAATTACTATGCTTCCATATATATATAAATATTATAACAGTGCTTCTCTCTTTTCAAATTAAATTGCATATTTCCTCTATTATATTTTCTGTAAATCTTTTAATAAGCCAATAAATAAATCACTTCAAGCTCTTTCTTTTTGCACTGACTAGTTTTTCATTAAAGTTATTTTATCATTACCTTATAAAATAAATAAAATATTGGGAAATATATTCAATTATCTATTTTTTCTCCTGCTCGGTTTTGCTCGGCACATGTCTATTTTGGTTTATGGTAGGGAGTTCAATCTTCAACAACAATAATTTAAATTGTCCAGCGTAGTCGTAAATATTCTTCGCAACTTCGATACAATTGCTAGAAACTCTATCGAGTTGCAAACTTAACAAATTCTCCAATCTTTCGAACGAAGGCAACGACGGCAATCTCTCTGTAGAAATGTGAGGATAAAAAGTCTTGACTACGCGAAAGTCGAATAGATGAGATCTACCGCGCAACAGTTCCGTAAACTCTGCTAACGCAGAAGCCGGTAACGCATAATACATCCTATAAGGGATTTTTTTGAAAATAAATTTGTTCTCGCAGTCCCGGATTCTCCAGACGATGTCATCCAATACTCGTGATAATGGCTTAGAGCCTTGCTCGTACAGATAAAAGACTTGCACGAGCTTGTATTTATGATTGTTGCCACTGCTAAAATTGATGCGGTTAGTGTTGCGTAACTGCAATAACGACGTGGGCAACGGGTAACTATATGACGTATATAGATGTAGATGCGTAAGATGTGGTTTAGCCTTCAACTCGGTCGCGACGTGAGACGTCAGCTGGAAGATACCGCCTTGATGTGCGAAAGCATAAAAAAGCGCCAGCAGGAGATTACTGACATACCAGAACACTAATTTCCTAGGTTTGCTTTCCTGTCTCTTTGATGAAGTAGAACCGCAGGACTTACTGCTATTATCATTCTTATCGATGACAAATCTTGGAACAATATCCAGACTAGGAACTTGACTTAGTTCGGGTGCGTAAAGAAATACTAGCGGAAAAAGCACCGGAATTATGAAACGAGGTTCCTGATGAGGAAAGAGGGACAATAAGACGATCGGAACGATAAATGTGCACGTCATTAGGCCCACAATGCTCTGCAGACGTGGCAGTTGCAGCCACTGTGCCTTCCGTACGCTGAAAATGAATGTTGTTTACGTTTAGTGTGCTTATATATGGAAAATATAAATTATAATTAAACTCATTTAACTTCTTCTACTCCAATTTCACAATTGAAGAAAACTTCTATCTGCATTATTTTACTTTGGATTGTTATCTAAAATATTTTTATCTTCAATTTCTGAATCCATAATTAATTTGGAATGTTATTATTTATTTTATATTTTCTCACCTGTTCACCATTTTCGCAAATTTCCACAGTGCAACAATTCCTAGGACACTGAACAATAGTGGGATGTTCACCAAGACATGTAAGAACTGGGGGTGCAATCCATGTGTTGCAAGATTCTTTGTGTTCATATTGTATCTCAGGAAATTCAACGGTGTTACTACAAAATTATTCATTCCAATTTCCATTTTACCTATCTCCTGCACTGTCAGGTATCCGAAGTAGAAGCTATCAACTATAATGAAGAATAATGCAGCCGGCAATCCACAGAAAATGAAATAGAATATCCTGATATGAAAGTCTATGAAGCCAACAGTCCTAGAACCTAAACCTCTTTGCAGCCAAAAGAAGACGGGCGCGAAAGCAAATGCAATGAAGGTAGGTCTATTGAATATCCCTACTATTGTTATTGTGGCCAGTATGAAGCAATGGTTCAATGAATGTGAAGGCAACAAAGCCTTAAATTTATGATATTTGACTCGCTCCACCCCAGGTTTTGCTTCACTGTGCTTTTTAGCAAGAAAATCACTCTGAAACACCACCTAGAAATATCAGGAAATTGTTAAAGTATTCCTTATTTTGCATAGAATAAAACATACCTTTTCTGAGACAGCCATGCACTGGGAAGTGAAGTACAGCAGAGCAGCGGTTAGTACAAGTTCAATAGCATTGGAAAGAGTACGAGTTGCATAAGTAATCATGATGTAGGAACTGGCATAAGTGACGAGTCTTACTCTATAGTTTTGTCCATAAATGCAGCATATTTTGTACAGAAAATAATCTGACAAAAAGGAGAGCATACACATGAAAAGTCGTGGGAAGAGTACATAGAAGTATGGGGTCCGTAATGACAAATTGAAGTAATAAAATACATAAGGAGATAATATCTTAAGGAATGTATAGGGCAGACCAACGATGAGCTTTGGAACAAATGCAGTACGAATTGGAAATGTGGAATTGAATTCCCAAGGCCTGTTGATGTCAATATCAAAGTGATCTCCTGCAGTAAAAAATAACAATATTTTAGAAAACAACAGACCTAAAAGCATTAAGTTAATAATCCTACCAGAAATAACTTCGATGGACTGAAAGAATTCATCAGGATGAATGTAACCAGTCTGTGGAACAAGAGTAAGAGCTATTCTTAGTACAGCCAGAATCCAGTAGAGACCAATCTTGCGTCTCACAGGTTTTATAGGCAAATAGTTTTCAATAGAGTTGCGGTACTCGTTCTTGTGCTACCAATAAATAAATATAAGTATGAAAAGAAATCATAACTTTATAATATTCAATAAATTGCACATTCATTTATATTAGTTTAAGAATTTTACTATGCTTCTTATCCCATAGTTATATTTAGATCGTTTAAATTATTTGAATTAATAAGATTTAAGGTTGAAATTATATTTATGAATGTATTCTATATGTAACACGCAATATTTTCTACATATAATTAAAATATTAATATTTAAAAAAATATGTAAATGGAGTTACCTTCAACGACATATTCCTCGTAAAATAAGTATATCAAAAATTAACCTCAATAATATTTTTGTCATTTAACCAGTAATGCATCGACATCATTCATTCATTCATTCAATAAATGACTGTGCGCTGGAAAACCCCAGGCTGATGCCAACCCCTAGACCCCATGTAATCTGCGTATCTACGTGAATAAAGTATTTGGAATCTATGACTATTCCAAGAGATTCATTACAGCATTCTTTATGTCCTCAAGATATAACAAATAACTGGTTCAATAAATGGCTCTGGGCAGAGCTGTTACATTCTATCCCCTACGCCAGTCAACGATTATGAGGATAAAAGAAAAACAGGGACAACGTGTACATACGCAGTCCCCACGATCAAAAAATATGTGTAGTTACAGGAACCACATACGACCGCCACGGAAGCGAACAGAAGACTAATGCATCGACATCCTATTTGACAACAGTCGTAAACATATTGTAAAGGAAGATTCACAATGGCCGCGTTCAGCAGAAAAAGCTACTTAGGTCCAGTTCCACAACTTCCTTTAAACGGAGTTTAAAGCTAAACCGATGGTTAAAAGCAATAGTATATGCGCATATACTATTGCCTTTAACCATCGGTTTAGCTTTAAACTCCGTTTAAAGCAAGTTGTGGAATTGGGCCTAAGCGCTTAGTGATTATTATCTATGATTGGAGTATTCTTTTAAATCTTTAACAAATCCAGGGGAATGAACCAGATTAGAAACGATAATCACTAAGCGCTTAAGGCCCGGTTCCACAACTTACTGTAAACGAAATTTAACTCGTTAACCCTAGTTTAGACGAAAAATTGCGTTCCACAACTGCCTTAAACCATGGTTAACGTTGATTTCTCACAGTTAAAGTTAAACCCAAAACTTTGAGTGTTTAATGAATTTAAACGAAGTTTAACACTGCAGTACCATCAATTTGAGAAAAAAATTTATGACTATCCCGGTTTTGGAATTCAGTTGACAAATATTTTGAATGTTTGAACACCAAAGAGATATGGCTTTAGAATACATATTATCTTCGTCTAAAGATGAAGATTTTGAAAACCTAATTTATTGACGGACAAGAAATATAAGAATAAGACGACCATCATATTCGGAAGAATTTGATAATGTCGATTTTTATGCACGATTTAGATTATCAAAAGAATCTGTTGTTGCAGTTTTAGCAGAAATCGAGCATGAAATTTCTCATAAAACAGAACAGTAAGTATATAAATTTAATTTAAAATATTGGGTTTTTTGCTTCGATAGATTATATTCTAAAACAGAGTATAAAACTATATATAAAAGTCAATTATTATATAATAAATGCAATCAAATCAATAATATAAACTAATTGATTATTATTAACACTGGACTTCCACCTTTTAATAAATTAATACTTATATACAAATGCAGCAAATGTTAATGTTGGTTAGTGTTTACTTCATACGAAACAGATATATTGTTCTCTACTAGATGTCATAACATCCAACTTATTTCAATTTTCCCTCTTTTCACTATTAGCAACAACCAATCATACTCTACGTTTGAAAAGAAAGAGAAGTCTTTGACAGTTTCTTCATACAGATTATAGGTTTAAGTAAACTACAGTTAAAAACATGATATGGAACGCGATATAAGTTTAACCATGCCGTTAAATGTAACGTCAGTTCAGATAATCATGGTTTAAACTTGATTTTGTGAAACTGGGCCTAATTGGCCGCGTTCAGTAGAACAAAGTGATCAGAGAGCGCTTAGTGATTATTGTCTGTGATTGGAGCATTCTTTTAGATTCTTCATAGACTCAGAAGTATTTACCAATCAGGAGCGAGATTCAGTGGAAAATCTAGTAATGTTGTCCAACTGTTGAGTCTGCTGAATGCGGCCAGTACTACAACCGCTCACTGAATGCTCAATGAGCTTTTACATCTGATTGGTATATATTTTTAAATCTAAAGGAATATACCAATCAAATGTAAAAGCTCATTGAGCACTCAGTGAGCGGTTGTAGTACTGGCTGCATTCAGCAGACTCAACAGTTGGACAACATTACTAGATTTTCCACTGAATCTCGCTCCTGATTGGTAAATACTTCTGAGTCTATGAAGAATCTAAAAGAATGCTCCAATCACAGACAATAATCACTAAACGCTCTCTGATCACTTTGTTCTACTGAACGCGGCCATTATGGCCCATATTCAGAACACGCTTGTAACTATGTCAGCGCGCTGTTAACCAATGAAAAGCCACGCAATATGCCTTCTGATTAGTTAACAGCGCACTAACATAGTTATAAGCATGTTCTGAATATGGGTCTATGTCCGCTACTGTTCATTACATGCCTTATTGCCAATCTTAAGAAATTAAAATTTTTAGTGCCTTTTTTACCTAATCCGTTAGAGTAGTTGGTATTCTGCTTGTTATTGATTCGAAGGTACGGTCCAGTGACCGCTATAAGTGTTTCGAAGCGTTTCTCTATCTTATTCTATCTCTTTATCTCTCGGATTCGAATGAAGGAAGAGAGAGAAATAAAAACGCTTCGAGGCATTTGTAGCGGTGACTAGACTGCACTCCGAGACACGTCACATGATGGACGCCGTAATCGTGCACAATCCGCCCGTAAATTGTTTACAGTAGTTCATTGTGTTCTTAAGTCGCGTTTTCTTAAGTCGAAATCGACACTTGTGTAAGATTAGAAACGTGCGTATTGTGCCGTGCTGTGCGCAAGATCACATCGGGCGATTTCCGAGGGTGCTTTCGGTGTGAAGTGTCAGTGAAAGGACGAAGGGTGTCACGTAAGTGTGTGCCGAGCCCTCGGGAGGACTCGTTAAAAATTTGCAAGGACTATCGTGAGAAAAAGAGCCAGAGATAAGAGAAAAAGTTTAAATGACAACGAAAAATTCAATATTTTGTGGTCTACTGCTTGTCGACGAACTTCTCTAGATAACCGAAAAACGCGACAAAAGATAAAAAGAAAAAACCAGTTAACAAAGTCCATCGACAGACTGTTAGCATCTTTAGCGAACGAAAGAAAAACATGGTCACACATGCTGTACAGGAAGTCTATCGGTTGTAACTGACCTCTGCTCTCGCAGAAGAAGTGCGTAGAGGTTAAATAAGAAGGACCCGTGGCGCATTCCACAGTCCAAAAAAGCTTCTCCGTGCTTTCAGAGACTTCATACGTGTCATTGTCGCCAGATAATCTATCAAGGACTGATCTCGTAAAGCCTGTAAAGTTTGTTATCGTGGCCAAACATCTGGCTGCACCAGATTTAGCCTGGTTCATGCCGTTGCGATGTGTCCCTGTTGATTTGTGTTAGGTGTAAGAGAAAAAGAAAGAGAGCTGAAAGCCGGCGCCAGGGCGCGTCACTTAGGAGCTTTAATTGAGAGTTCTCGGGACAGTCATGGACATTCCGCTCGACTCGGAATCCCTGAACTATCCTTGCTGTAAACTATATAGTCCCTTGCTACCGCACTGTTGTCGTAAGATGTACGAGAAATGCTATGATATGTCGTGCCTCCTGGTGCAGTATACCCGCGTAATCGCAGGCGACGCGGATAGTAACTGCCTTTTCGTATTTTTTTTGCGTTACAGGCAGATACCTGAATACCTGTATAGGACGAAAAGCGACGATCCAGGCGGCTGACTATGGGCAGCAACACAGACGGAGATAATCCGAATGTCAGCGGTGGTGAAAACGACATCGGTGACGAACTGAAGATAGGCGCGGATGAGACATACGATACTCGTAGCGAAGTCTCCTCAAGCAGCTCTAATTCTGATTCTATCTCCAGTCATCCTAGCATCAGTGCAATCTCAAGCACATCGTCTCGTGGCGACAACAAGCGCAGCAGGAAAAACAGAGGCAAACGGGCAAGATCCAGGGACACAAAGTCGTCTAGTCCAGAGCCGAAGCGAGCTAAATCTAAGGAGAGCAAGGGCACTGCCAAGAGTTACGATTACACCACCAAGTTGAATTACTTATTTAGGGATGCAAGGTTCGACGAGAATAACAATTAATTTTACTATACAGGATGTGTTTGGTAAATCATGGTACAAGTATCAATGAGACGATTCCTCCTGAGAAGTGATTTTAAAATGCAAGCCAAAAATGTTAAACTATAATTTTCAGTTTACTTTTAATTACTTTGCTTAGGAAGAAATCTTTTCATTGACCATTTGTTCCATTATTATTATGACATACTGGGTACTGTGTATAAGTAACAATTATGCTTTGTATTAATAACAAAATATACAAATATTAAATAACATTTAAATTTAGTTTTATCACTTTGTGTTAACATATGTAACATAATACATGAATCTAACAAAAGTTACTTATACTTAATAGTGATTATAATAATTTCTAATTATAATGAAGACTACATAATATTATTTATATTTCATATGATATCTAATTATAAACTTAATCATATATTTTTTTAATAATTGTTTAGATTCAGAGTAAAAATATTATCAGTCTTCCTCTTACTAGATTTTTTATCATCAAGTCCAACAACGCGGAGAATGTAACGTTGTCGAAAGCGAAAGGTGTATGGAGTACATTGCCTCAGAATGAAGCAAATCTGAACCAAGCCTACAAGGAATCGCGGAATGTGTTGCTGATATTTTCTGTGAAGGAATCTGGAAAATTTGCCGGTTTCGCGAGACTTAGTACCGAGTCGAGAAGAGACGGTGCTCCGATCTCTTGGGTGCGTGAATAAAACATTTTTTTAGAATTGAAGGAATTTTACTAAATTATTTTATTAAAATTCTATTATTCTGTTATTTCTATTAATTATTAGAGTTGTATTGAGTATTCTTACACATTTATTCTTTATTTTCTATGGGAAAATGAAGAAAAACTTTGTTATTTTTATCAAAATTTTACATAAACTTCTATGTTATTAATGTTATAAGAATAAGGACTATGCGAGCCGTAATTCAAGTATAGGTGCGTAATATTATGTATTTTTCACATATTTTGTACTACATAAATGAGGAGAAAATATGATTGAATATATTTCAGGTTTTGCCCCCTGGTTTATCAGCAAAGGTCCTCGGCGGTGTATTTAAAGTTGACTGGATCTGCAGAAAAGAATTACCGTTTACAGCTACGTTGCACTTATACAATCCGTGGAATGATGGCAAACAAGTCAAGATCGGTCGAGATGGTCAAGAAATAGAACCCAGAGTCGCTGAAGAATTATGTAGATTATTTCCGGAAGACGAAGGTAGCTGGATTTTACACACACACACACATCACAAGATTTTAAAATTAAAATCCTAAAAGTTTAGTGTAAAATTTTGTTCTTATTATTTAAAAATTGAATTGTCTAGTGAAATATTCATGATTTCTCTGTAATTCTTATTTCTTAGGAATTAAAAATAATAAGATAAGTAAACGTTAAAAATGTCGATTGGTAAAATTTTACAGGAATTGAAATGACACCTATCCTGCGAAAGTCCAAAGAAGCAGGTAAACACGTGACAAAGTCATCGCGTTATCGTGATAACAAGCCTATAAACAATTCGAGATTTCTACGAAGAGGCGGCCGAGGACGTCGATTATTTTTGACTTCGAGATCGCGTTTGGCCTCGCTAGCTAGAAGTTCTCATGGGGTGACAAGTGATCATAGAAGTTCTAGGGATCATCCTCATCGGTACACGCCATGGTTCAGTCGAGGAGATTCTCCTTACACAAAGTATGATTTTGATTTAATCATGGATATAAAGAAAAAATACTAGATCAATCATACATTCCCTAACTTCCGATTTCTTCAGTTGACTCCAATTTGTAATAAATTTTTCAGAGGTTACGGAAGTGGACTAGGTGTCGCCGCAGTTGCAGAGGCTTACGTAGCAGATTATATGCGTACTATGCAACATCAGTTACCTCCGTTACCTCCGTATGGCGCTCCACATCCATATGATACCCTGCCACCACCTCCTCCGCCACCAAGGTATGAATATTTATTAATTATTTGATGCAATGTTTTTATTGTAAATCAATTGTATTAAATTTATTCTAAATGAAGTAATCGTATACATAGGCCCATATTCTGAACTCTCATCAGTAAAAGTGATTCTAAAAGTGGCTTACAACTTATAAGTTACTTTTATAGTCGCTTCTAACGATAAAAAAAAGCAGAATATGAGCCTTAGCGTATGAAGTAAGAAAAAAGAAGAAATTAACTTATTTGAAAATTTGTTCTTATACGTGTTATGATATATTAAATTATACATTATTTCTATTCAAATAAAACGGAAATGTCTTTCTTTCAGATATTACGATGGCTTGCCACTGCCTCCGGATTATAGTGCAACCGCATCAGCGTTGGATAAGCGCTACGAGAGGAGTGTCGATGAATTTCTGTGGAGAACAGCTAGCCATCATCAGCATAGTGATCATCGTTCATCACGCGATCATCATCACAGATACAGAGATCGCAGATAAAACTCTAATCTATAATGTTCTTTTATTAATTCGCCGATTCCCAGATCGCTCTTGGTTATTAACGTTAAATCGACGATAAAATAATTTGTTGTTCGTTAATTGAAATTAAATTTTGGAAAATTTTAAGTTCATCACTGAAATAAGAAAACCAAACCTAAAGTAAAATAAAACTATTCATAATGTGTGTGACTATAAAATATATATTTTATTTGATATGAATCAATTAAAATTGTAGATTAAAGCAAAATGTATTTAAACATGATTGAATTGATATTTCTATTTAAATATTTTTAATCACAAATATCTCCCATGTGTGTGAATATGTACATATGTATACACACACACACGCACATATATATATATATTTTTAGGAATTAAATGAAATATTATTTCAATTAAAGGTATAACTTAGATTTAAGTTGAATTAAATGGAAATATTTAGCTAAAAAATTATATTATAGGATGAAAAATTTATTTAAATTACTTTATCCTCTCTGACAAACATTCATTTCAACTGTAATAAAATGTTGGCATAGAGATATAAAATTTCTTAAGAATAAGTAAATATTCATCTATGTGAAACTGGGAATCGACGAATTTAATTATGTACCTATTCTTATGAGGACAATTATATTCATTACATAATAGCGTTTAGTCGTCATTTAATCATTGAACCGCAATTTCAAATGCATTCTCTCTGTTGTAAAGTAATATAAACTATATTAAGTAAGTTTTATACCATTAAGCATTGAAATTCACCTTTTTATGCGTGAATTTCTAATATTGCATAGGATCAAATGAAATGCAATAATATCGAAACATCTTATTAAGATAAAGGAAAATACCGATCTATCTGGTATAAAGGATATTTCTCCCTTTTTTTACGATTTTTCGATTTTTACGATTTTTTTGAATATTTTGTATATTATACTTTGACTTTTTTTTTTTTTTTTTTTTTTTTTTTTTTTTTTTTATAAAAATGCTTGACAAATCCAGAATAATTCAATTTTGCAAAGTTAAATGTTCAATAAATTAAGCAATTGTAGAACAATGTTCCTTTATTTTCAATTATATTTTATATGTCTATTTTAACGTGCATTTCCTTTAATTCCATTAATATGCCTACATCTAATCTTTAACATTCAGAAATAATTTGAGGAAAAACAGCAAGGATTGAGAAAAAATAGCCAACAATTCTCTAAAATACACATTTTAAGTATTTTCTATATCCGAGTATTATTTTAGAGAAATAAATCTTTAATAGATACGAAAACCGGAAATCACAGAAAGATAAAAGTTATCGTTCATGTCCACACTACTAGAAATCTCGAAAATGGATGCGCTTGTCCTGACAAACAGCACAGATGCCGAAGGGCTCCAACATATCACGTGTTATTTTGACGCGTTAAAATGTAATTGTTGAAAAAATATAAAGAATATTCCGCCAATTGCGTTGTGTACATTAGTATTGTCAAGATAAGATATACAGAAGAGCTACTCGCGGATATTTATGCTCAAAATAATTACTTTCTTACACAAGTCAGAGTGGATTTCTTGAATAAAATATATTTGTAATATTTGTTTTGGCTTCCGACTAGAGTATTGTGTGCATGCGACTGCAATTAATGCTTAATTTTACTAATTATGCTCGTCAAAGTGCAATTAATGAAGAGTGTTCTGTGTGTTGCGTTGTATTTTATTATATATGTTGTTTTTATCAAAGTACGTAAAAATTTTAACTCGAAGGAAATAACAGATATAATGAAGACCAGATATAAGCCAGTAACGTCCCAGTCTTCATTTACAAATAAGATAAATAAGAAGAATGTCGAGTTAGAAATCGACATGTTACGAATAGATGAGCTGAAGGGTGAAGCCATCGATTTGGAGGTATATTTGAAAGTTTCATGTAAAGATGTATATTTATAGATATAATTATCATTCATACACATATACATATAAAGTGTGCAAAGAAACATAAAATATACAAAACTAGACATTTAAAATTGTTGATATTATCAGAATAATATTACTTTTGTTAATAGGAAAACGCGGCTCTACTTCAACAGGTATCAGACACGTGCGCAAGATACAATATAAAGAAGATATCTCTCGTTAAAAGGCATTTTTTACATAACGATAAACACAAGTCGTTATATTGTTGGATCCGTAAAGTTGCATCTACCAGTTTCACAAAGTTATTCTCCGACATGAGTAATCGTCAAGTCAGCCATAATTTTTACAAGTAGTTAATAGATTTTTAAATGGTTAATAGATGTTATATAATTACATGTACATAACGTAAAAGATGATATATAATATCAAATTAATATATAAAATAAGGCAAATAAAATGTGTTTAATTTGCAGAGAAGTGGACTTGTTGTCGCCAAAAACTCTTGAAAGTCTACAGCATTATGTTAACGATAGCACTGTCTTCAAACTGCTCATTGTCCGACATCCATTTCAACGACTAGTCTCATCTTATAGGTGATTAATTTCATCGTTTTGCGAAAGGCATAATTAACATACCTTGAATATAGAACAAAATTACTTTGTAACTTGGAAAAAAGAACCAAAACCAATCCTATAAATATTTTCAAATTATGCAGTATGACATTGGTTACTCCTACATCAGAATTAACGCAAAGTAATGACTCAAATTTATTCCGTAGAGACCGTATCGAGGATAACAGTAAATATACCGCACAATCCTGGCTTCACGCTCATTCGATTCTTTATCATTCGAGACCAAAATTATTTCATGCCAAATCGTCGAATACCAACATTCTAGAAAGGATATTCCTGCCGGATAAAAGGTATACAGAAAGTTCAAAGATTCTTGATGCAGATCTAATCCAATTATATAATCTAATTATTCACGCATACATACATATATATATATATATATATACTTAATTAGATATGTTATATTTATCTATATTTCTGCAGATTAAAGATAATCCCTAGTTTTCGCGAGTTCCTGGAGTGGTTGCTGAAACAACCACCAGAACATGATGATGTTCACTGGGTTCAATATCACACTCATTGCGCAGTCTGTAATGTACATTACAATTTCATTCTGAAATTAGACCATTACACCTTGGGACAGATCAATTACATTTTGTCAAAGCTGAAATTGGACAGAAATAAGATCTACTTGCCGATGTTGCAACGCACTCATAATGGGCTCACTGATTTTAAAATGGCGTGCAAGTACTTTCGCAATCTGACCACCGACATGGTAATGCAATTGTATGAGAGATATAAGATAGACTTTGATATGTATAAGTACAAGCCGGACGATTATTGGCATTGTGCTAAGAGAAAGAATTAAGTCAAATGAGACAAGGTAAATAATAATATTTAGGTCATATTTTGATGAGAGTATTTTTAAAGGAAAGGCACATAAAATGTTGTTCTTAATGGAAATTATAAATTACGACAGTCATTTCAATCAATATTTTTAATGTAAAAAGGTCGATCGATTTTTTACATAATCACGATGATATTAATAGCAATGATAATATAATGACACATATATTTTATGATATACAAAATTAAATTAATTATTACATTAGACATATGTTTTATCAATAGAAAAAAAGGAACAAAAATTCTTCACTCTTAAGATATCTGCAGTTTGTATTCTCATTTATCATCCTGGAATAAGCTTTAAACTAATTTTTTCTTTATTATTCTTTATCTTAGACTTAAAGATCACTAATCTTCCTCTCATTCTCTGGTTTATGCAGAGTTATGTATTTTTATTTTTTTTAATCCCCAAAGCTTTCCAATTTAAAATCTTTCGTTCTTTGTCCTATACTTAATTATATCTATCATGTGCAGGACATCCGCTTTGTATATATCTCTTTTTTTTATCTTGATCTTATTTTATTTTTATACATTTTTGTGATCTCTTTCTGTTTTTTTATTCTTTATGCTTGCACTTTGAATTTGTCCTTGGATTTACTGTTCTTTATTAGTGAAAGTAGATTTACTTATTCTCAAAATTAATCATTCTTATCATCATATACTATCAAACAATCTAGATCTTCGGAAGACTTCATTTTCTTCGGAATTGATTGTTTCAATTCGGATGAAATTCGGTGCACATCATTACTCTCGATAATGCAAATATCATCATCATCCGCATTATTGATTTCTACCTTACGTTTTTTGGGCACCACTTCATCTTCAGTTGCATCATTTTTGCGTTTCTTCGTATCTGATACTTCGATTGCCTGCAAAAGGTTTTTTTTATTAATCTCTCATGACTTTTTGAAAATAAAGACTGATTATATTTATGGAAAAGTTGTTCCTTATTGTGATTGGAAACAAATTTAAATAAATCTAATTTAAATGAAATAATCACATATATCTGATCTTCCTAAATAAACACATAGCAATCTAGATGAAATAACAATATTTTGCAAAGTAGTCATTCTTACCTGGCCATTGGAGGGTTTCTCTATCTCTATATCTTTTTCTTCCTTTTCTTGAACTTTCGGCTCAAGTGCATTCTTATCAGAGAGTATCAAAAATGGTGGACTATCATCTTTTAGACCGGGTCTTTCTCTATGTACAATAAAAACAGTCAACGAATAATTCTGTTGAAAGTCATCAACCTTAAGAATCGTCCCATCTTTAATGCCCAACTCTTCTAATCTCTTGTCATTATTCCCTTCCGTTTCACCTTCTTCGCTGCTAATAACGACAGCACCAGTACCGTCAATCATGACATCTGGGGCGATCATATTGAGTCGATTTTTCAGTACCAGCTCTTCTAATTCTTTAATAATCATAGTGGAAGTATCAACTGCTAATATGGCCTGCGGAGTAGGCGCACAAACATAGCACTGAGGGTTAGGTGGATTTACTGCTTTTTCTGGCACTAGTAACTGGTTACGATGATTCATTTTCAAGCGCAGATAGACAGATCTGCAGGCTCGCAAATTGTTCTCCAAAACTCGAAATGCATGAAGGACCACTAGGCCCGCAATTATAGCATTAGTAGTAGCAATCGCTGGTATTATATTTCCCGCCATTGCTAAAAAGAAAAATAGAAAGCAAAATAAATGAAGATTAAATATTTAGTGAGAGAAAATTAGAAATGTGACCATTAAATAAATAAACTTATTGTTGTTACTAACATTTGATGTCAAATCTAGTTTTCTGAGCAATTCCGAAAATGTGACCATTAAATAAATAAACTTATTGTTACTAACATTTGATGTCAAATCTAGTTTTCTGAGCAATTCCGAAAATGTGCGCACGAATGTTGGCACACGCTGCGACGAAATCCATGGCGTATTGATCATCTTTATCCCAAATAAGATGATTATTAGGCGAAGTTTCTTGAGAAGCCTTTAATGCTTGACTCAGATTTTTCACTGATTCTGCAAAAATTGTGCCACATCTAGAAACACTCCAGCGTTGTTGATCTTTCAAGCCTGGCTGGGTAATGTCTTTGCTACAACCAGCAACTATAAAACAGAGAACACTATCAATAACTCGATAAGATAAAAAAGAATAAGATTGGGATTTGAGAAAGATTAAGAATATGAAATATAAGGATATGTATAGGCATTCTGTGAAAAGGTAACAAACCTCCATCTGGTAATTCTTTCCAATTCAATGGCATCGGTGGTCTACGCTTTTTCCATAAATTATCCATGCTTAGTAAATATTTTATATCATCATGAAATAATTTTGTAAATAGTTTCTCTGGATCGTAATTGCAAGACTGGGCCCAAACTCTTGTAGAAACTCTATCTATGTTGCCCTTATCATTTGATTCTGCCTGTAAAGCTACTTCACCTGCTGTATCTATAATTATCAAAATAATTTTCTCATTTAATTGCACTTATTTTAGACAAATTTTTCATAACAAATGTATAAATGTAAAATAAAATAAAATAAAAAGTCAATATATCAATTCAAAATTGATATTAGAATTTGAAATAATTTATACTACCAGTAGCTTCAGGATCTGCTGTATCTGGAGAAACGTCTTCATCAGGATCTTCTTCTCCAAATAATTGACTGTAATATATATTAACTATGAAATAGTTTGAAAATAGTTATATAAAATCAATTTTTTTCTCATTTTATTTAACATTGATATTAAAAGAGTAAAATCAAAACTAAAGATAAAATAAACCATGTGGCAATTTTAAAAAAAGAAATAAAATGAAATTTAAAATGTAAAAATGTGAAATCAAATGCTACTACAGATCGTGTAGTTGCTACAGATCATTTATGTTGCTTACTTGAAAAGATGCTTAGCCCATACTATGCAGTGAATGGGTTCACTGGGTGTATTGCGAATAGTACAACCAGGATAGGTTTTTTGTGCAGCTTTAGGTGTGCATTCATAACATTGACTTAGGCCTTTCTTGATAAGTTCAACTTGGCCTTCGTAACCTGCAGTACCAGATTCAATCAATGGTATGTCTGCTGCTAAGCACATTCTGTTTACATGATTCCTGGCTGCTCTGTTGTCAAGAGCATTCAAAACCACTGTGAATTTCTTAAAAAAGGATAAGCCAAAATCTGGTCTGCAAATATTTAGAATGTTGAATAAATATGATATCTCATTGATTTATAACATGATAAAAGTAAAGATAAACTTACGATGTAATACTGTCATGATAGTAAATAACTTTAGCATCTGAATTGAATGTCAGTGCTGTTTCACATGCTACACTAGCTTTTGACTTTCCCACATGTTTCTTTTGGAAAAGAAATTGCCTGTTCAAGTTGCTCACATCAATTGTGTCTAAATCAATCTAAAACAAAGAGATTAAATTTAATAGAAAAATGAATTTTAAAAAATTAATAAAATAAAAGTGAGACAAGGTATCTCATAAATTAATTAATGATGAATATTATAAATTAGTTATATCATGATAAGTAGAGGCTATAGAGTATAAATTCTTTTATAAAGAAGCCAACTTCAACCAATAAATTTCTGAATAACAGAACTTAATATGTGCAAACAACTGAATTTTAATATCGCCCTTATTTTATTTGCAGCAATAAACAAATATTTATTATTTGTGTAACAATAAAAAAGCTAAAGTATCTTAACAGACACAAATTGTAAAGTGAGGTTAGTTGTTATAATGCTGATTGTTGTAATAATTGTAGACTTACGATTTCGATATCGGCAAATCCAGACATTACGAGATTTTTTAAGATTTCGCAGCCGATGCCGCCGGCACCCACAACAAGTACTTTACTGCGTAAAATTGCATCACGCAATTCTTCACGAAACATTCCGTTAACAGCGGCGGCCATCTTGCCAAATGAATTATTTTCTTCTTCTTCTTCGTATCAATAGTTAGTTGTTGTTTGCTCTTCCTTTAACACGTCACAAAAGCAACTTACTCTCACAGTTCGAGGCTACCGGCATCCACCGACATTAATTTTAAATTTAAAGTGTTACAAATCAACAGTGACTGCGTTCCGATATTCACTGCCAGCACTGAAAATCTATAGTATACGTGACACAAACTGTGTATTTTCAGTACTGGCAGTGAATTTCGGAACGCAGCCATAATATCAGACGCATTTTTAAGCCCATATCAGACTACGGATTGGAATTGAGTATTGGATTGAATTTAACCAATCAGGGCTAAGTTTACTATATTTGAGATTATTTTCTTTATTCCAATTGGTCAAATTTCAATTCAATCTCAATTCTAATCCATAGTCTGATACGGGCTTTAATATTAGTTTATTTTGCGTATGCACGTCATCGGCAAGATAACGTGCCATCGTAATTACGAGTTTCTATGTGCAAAGGACTTTATCCAACTTTGACTGAGACTTCCTGATTTGAGTGTCGTCTAAATATGATTTAAGTCTTGACTAAATGTAGTTTGAATCTTAGCTAATATTAGTTTAGATAGTTTAATTCTTGATTAAATAAGAGATAAAATGTTTGCGACAGAGATGAATTGCATTGTCTTGTTACTATTTTTATTTAAAATTATGTTAATTAATAAATAAACTGTATATATGAATATATACAGTTATAGGAATTTTTGAAGATTAATTTTTATAAGTTCCATAATTAATAATTACCGTATAAAGGCATATAACTATATTTACAAATAATTTTTACAGATATACGGTCTGTACATTATTAAAAAAAAAATATAATAGCAGAATGCGAATATACGAAGACTCGTTACAAAACAAAATTATAGAGAGAGAGAGAGAGAAAGAGAAGGAGAGAGAAGGGAGGAGAAAGAGAGAGAGTTTATGTTTCAGAGACCAGAGTTGATAAATATTTTTATAACATAACTTTTGATTCATTCCCATAGTCTGAAATTAATGTAATCGATTTCATTAGACAATTAAATATTTAACATTATATTAATACAAAATATAATATCAGCAGTCTATAAAACATAATCGTACTAATGATACTTTTATCTATGATATAATCGTAATATATCTTTTTTGGGCAGTTACATGCAACAAAATAGTGAAAAAGAAATCTCAACACGTTGCAGATAGTACCTGGAAAATATTTAATCTTTAGCTCTGGATATTTACAAACTCTGATTCTCCAAAACATTTTAAAAAATACGATAAAATTAACTTGTCAGTGGCACATTCCAATCAGTACTGAATTAACGGAAACACTATGACTTTTTCGAAAATAACATTATGATAAACCAGGATTATTGTGTTATATGTTCAATTTGAACTGCTTCTTCATGTTTTGATGTTTTATTTTCTTTTGCTGAAACAATAACAAATTTACACATGAGAATTATACTTTATATATCAATATCGATAAAATTTTATCTATTTACCTTTGGTTGCTGAAACTGTGTTTGTGTAATATTATTCTGCATACTGCCACCTTGAAAGCTACTAAAGTCAACCTCCTTGTAATTGAATTTTTGTGATGGTAACATACCCTGTTCCTTTAATAACTTTTTATTCGCTTTCTTTTCAGCTTTTTTTTTTGCTTTGGAACTATTGTATAAAAATTAACAGCATTATAATCAACTCTTATATATCACGTGTGTTGTTACTTTTTTAAATTGTACAATTCTTACCTTATCGAATTACTCGGGACATTTGTAACACCTCGAAATTGCGCGAAATTCTCCTGTACTTTTCGCTCTTCGATTGTACGTTGCATTTCCCGCTTTGCTTTTTTAGATATGTGTATGATTCTAGTATCCAAAGATGGCATAGGTGTACAAAAGTTATCATTTTGCTTTTGACTCGTATTTTCCCTTGTAATGTCGGATTCTCTCTTTCTTTTCTTACCGTGCATCTCACCTAATATTACCATCGATTTTTTCTTCTTGTTTTTCTTATTTTTCTTAGATGTATTTTGAACTCCACTCTGAACTCCACCTTGAATTTCACCCTGAACTTCATCCTGAACTTCGCTTGATGAGTGAGATACGTGCTTAAAATGTTCGTATACTCTACTTTTACTTTCGTCAATCTCGGTTTGTTTCAAGTTCTTTTTTGTAACTGTTTCATTTAGACGTTTCGCTTCTTCTTCTTTCTGTCTTTCTCGCTCCTTCGCTTCTAACTCAACTATCATTGGTATTACGCATTTATATCTCTGGAAGGGACTCATGAATTTGGGTTTCTTGACAGTTTCTACTTCTTCATCCTGAAATAAGAACTTCATCACTGAGAAAAAAAATAACAATTACATCATTGGATTATTTTATCTATAACTGATACTATGATCTTACTTCTGACGTGTCAAATACTGTCACAGCATGTTTTACTGCGATTTTCGTGTTTAACGCAAGCTGCGCCGAGTCAATCTTATCTAAAAGACACGGTAAGTCTGCCCTCGTTTCAGTGTCTTTTGGTATATCGTGTGATAAATGTATCCAGACGTCCGAATCTACTATTTGAGTTCGTTGCGTCAGCCTTTGCCGGAAATCCTCTTGTGGAATAGTCTTCACAAGTGGCTGCTCCCTAGCTTTTAGTACTATCTTGTGCAACATTAATAGATTCTTTCGCACAAGCGGCGGTATAGGATTGCAACACGCCAAAATACCTTGCATCTCACGCGGCAGTGTCTCCGCTATATTGAGCAACATGTGATTCGGTAATACGTAATTGATACTATCGTCCTCCTCTCTCGCAGTGAGGTCTCTCCATTTGTGTAACTCTTTGAACGCATACAATTGCTTGTTATTGAACATCTTCTGGCTCTTCCTGTACGTGTTCATACAACTCTCCTCCGTCCAAATTGGTTTAACGTACGTTCGTTTACAGATGTCTGTGGACATATCGTATACAGCTTTCAGGATGTTACTCTGTCCATTAGCCAACTCAATCAGTTCATTCTTCAACATATCCTTTATATGAAGCAGATAATGGGTATCTTCTCTTGCATATTTCATCAATTCTTCCGGTAATGGTCGTATACGCCAATCGGCCAACTGAAAGTGCTTGTTAGGATTTATATTACAATATTTCTTCAGCAGGAAAGCTAAACTGAGATAAGGAAAGTTCAGTTGTTTTGCTGCTTGATGAGTGTCAAACATGTTTACTACATATAGTGACAGATCTCTCTGAAGCCATTGAATGTCAAAGTCAGCACCATGAAACACTTTCAAGATTGTAGGCTTGGTGAAGATTTCATTGAGTTGATGCAATTCTGATCGCAGGATTAAAGTATCAATCAAATAATCAGTATCCACTGTTGATATTTGCATCAAGCAAGTTACGCCTTGAAATGATCTGTAAGAATGATGTTCCAAGTCCACAGCTATTTCATTATAACGCTTCAAATCATCCAAAATAATCTTGATGTCAGATGGTGTACTGATATATATAAATTGTGTATTGTCCAAAGATTTGTATTTCACTGGTATACTTTTTTTCAACTGACATTCTGGCATCTCAAATTTATTCAGCTCAAATCCATAAGGATGACTGAAGATCTCACCATTCTCTCCTTCTTCTAAGTAGAGAGCAAGTGGTTTCAAAGAGTTTGGTTTTTCTTTAATCCGTGGCATCCAAGGTTTAAAGCTATTGTTAATTTTGTCTTTGAACATTAATTGTGGTTTTCTTACATTTTTTCCACCCAGCAAACGTATACTTTGAGAATTATCTGAAATGTTACTGTCCTTCTTTATATTCCAACTGCCATTTACAGTTGGTTTCTGTACTTTTGACACAAGTAATTGTACCTCTGGATTCTGTAGAATACCACTTTCTTCATCCATCCATACATTCTGTAATGTACAATAATATTAATTAAAAAATTAAATATACACAAGGAAATCAGTTTAATACTGATATAAATAAAACTGAATTACTTACTGCTTGATCAAGTAGTAAATCATTGGTCTCCATCAAGAAATCAAACTTTTCTTCGATATCTCGATGTTTAATATTGTGGGAGCCACCTGCTAATTTCATGATGGTCTGCATTGTAGTCATTATTCTTTTTACATCATTGTCCTTAGTATTTTTGAAACTTGGGAAGAATGCATAATAGTTGTAATTTTCTCCAGTAGGCAGATTATTAGCTGCCTTAATTCCAGCTTTTATTGCATCATGTGCTTCCTAAAATATTTTGTATTTAACTGTGCCTTAATGAAAGATTATATTTTAAGCATTCTTTTAATAAATTTCTTAATAACTTAAAACTATAAATTATATATACATATATACATATATATATATATAATTTATATAAACTACATATATACACATATGTATATAGTTTTAAATAACTTATAAATATTTATTATTAATATGCGAGTGAATATACTTGAAGATATTCATCAAATGTGTCAAATCCAGTTATAAGTCTTGATGGTAGTGGTGGTGATACATTGTCTTCTGTTTCTTCAATATTGTCTTCTCGTGAAGCATTTGACTTGTTATTACAATTTTCGATAGATTCCATTTTTGTCATGAAAATTGCAGAATTCCACGAAAAATGTGTTCCGTTTTGAATGTTTAATATTTTAAAACATGTTTAATAAATGTTACTTGTTAGGTTAACAAGCTCTATTTCTTCCTCTTTTATCTCTTGGCTTCGGTAGATCTCAATAATTTCGATGTGTATCATTTATTGAATGCATTCAGTACTACAACCGCTCACTGAGCGCTCAATGAGCTTTTACATTTGATTATATTCTTATAGATTTAAAAATATACACCAATCAGATGCAAGAGCTCACTTAGCGCTCAGTGAGCGGTTGTAGTACTGAATGCACCCATTCTGGCTAGAGTCCCTATAGTAAGAGTCTGGCCAATGTGGTCCAATTTTTGATTGGCTGGATACGAAATGGTGCCACCAATTAGTGATAGCAAAGTATGCGGGATATTTGAATAGCAGTAACAGGAAAAGGAAAATTAAAATACATTTTTGCAATTTTTTTATTATTAAATTTTGATATTACATAAAGTTAAAAAAATATTATATATGTAATAACATGATTATTAAATTTTATCTAATAACGGAATGCATAGCCATGGTTTTACTATTAAAAACAGGTTTTTCTAATTTTCCAGTGTAACAACTTTTTCTTATTTTTAAATTAAAATTAATGAAACGAATTTTAATTTTGTGGGATAAATTGTGACATGTTTTTAATGTAGCACATTCAATATCTTTCACTTTTTCAATAAGGAAATTAACAATGTTATAATTGCTTTGCTTAATATAAGACAAATAATGTACAATTACATAATTCATTTCTAAGAAATAATTAAACGTCGTATCGTTAACAAAAAATAATGTTTTTACGCGATAACATTTTAATAATAATATTTATTAATAATAATTTAATTATTTTCATCGTTGTTTTTATTATATTTTAACTTCTTTATTTTTCCATCAAAAGATTCCGGCATTACTTTTATATGAGGAAAACTTGTTGGCACTGCTTGTGCTTTTAATTTTTTGGAACCATCCTATCGCGGTTTTTCCCACATTTCTTTAGTAAAATGAACCTACAAATACAATTAGATGAGAAACATGTTTTGTTTATTATTTGATATAATTACATGCTTACCTCACAAATTGCTGAATATTGTTTCGGTTTCCAGTTTTCTCTTCCAATTTGTTTCAACCATATAATTTTTTGTTTTTTACTTATTGGAAAACGTTTCATATAGAAGCCATTTTCGCTTCCATTTCTGCATCCCGGTATGCAACAACTAGTCATTTTTTAAATATTTTTATAAATATTTTTATATATAGTCCTCTTATTGTGTTGGAAGTTTTTTCCAAGATGAAATGATGTTATGTTATCACTTGCATGTGCACGCGTAAAAACCGAGATTACAGTAGGTGCAGTACAGGTGTAGTAGCCATTTTGTATCCAACTAGAACATTGGCCAGACTCTTACTATAGGGATTCTAAAACCAGCGGCACACAGTGTTTGTTTTCGTGCTGGATTGCTTGCTGGATGGAAATACTGTGTTCTGATTGGTCAATTTCCGAAGATGGATGGAAATGCACCAATCAGAACGCAGTATTTTTATCCAGCAAGCAATCCAGCACGAAACAAGCACCGTGTGCCGTTGGCTTTATTCTGGCTGCGTTCCGATATTCACTGCCAGCATTAAAATTCTATAGTATACGTGACACAAACTATGTATTTTCAGTACTGGCAGTGAATTTCGGAACACAGCCTCTGAGTGCATGATTGCATTCAGAAAACAAAGCGCTCAGTAAAGGTCATTCTACAATGAGGTTGTAATAGTATGCAATAGGCAAATTGACCAATCACAGTCGATTATTCTTCGATCGTAAGGAGAACAATCGATCGTGATTGGTCAATTTGCCTACTGCATACTACTACACCTCATTGTAGAATGACCTTTACGTGAGCGATTAGTAACTATTGGTCTTTGGTAGACCCTTAAGGCCCATCTACAATGGCTACAAGAATAAGGTTGGAAGCGTAAGCAGACCAATCATAATCGATTATTCTTATAATAATCGATTGTGGTTGGTCTATTTCTTAAGCCAACGGCACACGGTGCTTGTTTTCGTGCTGGATTGCTTGCTGGATGAAAATATTGCGTTGTGATTGGTACATTTCCGAAGATGGATGGAAATACACCAATCAGAACGCAGTATTTTCATCCAGCAAGCAATCCAGCACGAAAAGAACAAGCACCGTGTGCCGCTGGCTTTATTCTTGCAGCCAATGGGTGCATTCAGTACTACAACCGCTCACTGAGCGCTAAGTGAGCTCTTGCATCTGATTAGTATTAGTATATTTTTAAATCTAAAGGAATATATCAATCAAATGTAAAAGCTCATTGAGAAGAAATATGGCCTTTACAATGGCTGCGTTCAGCAGAACAAAGTGATCAGTGAGCGCTTAGTGATTCTTGCTCCTGATTGGTAAATATTTCTGGGTCTATGAAGAATCTAAAAGAATGCTCCAATCACAGACAATAATCACTAAGCGCTCACTGATCATTTTGTTCTACTGAACGCAGCCATTCAGACCAATAACGTTGATGAATAAAGCCAGCGGCACACGGTGCTTGTTTTTGTGCTGGATTGCTTGCTGGATGAAAATATTGCGTTATGATTGGTACATTTCCGAAGATGGATGGACGCTGGCTTTACTCAACCGTAGTGCAACTGTATGTTTTCTGAACACAGACTACGGCATATGTTAGTTTCGTACTGTATTTAGGCTGCGTTCCGATATTCATTGCCAGCACTGAAAATATATAGTATACGTGACACAAACTATTTTCATTACTCGCAGTAAATATCGAAATGCAACCTTAGTAAAGTCTAGTTACATATTAGAAATGCTAAGTTCTAATTGGGGCATTACTAATATATTACCAGATTTTACTAGATTCAGTATAAAAAAGTACTTTGTGCTGCTGGCTTGAATTAAAATCATCATATATATTTTTCATAGAAAATAACAGTGAGATTTTGACCAATCATATTGCTCGTTTCAAATAGTTACTTTTATGAGCAGCAATGCAATTGGTCGAAAACTTACTGTTGTTGCTCTTCTGCCCAGATGTGAATCTTCCTTTATTCTAACTTATTGCACCAGTTCAACAGCGCAGCTAAAGGCTGTTCCAAAATTCACTCCCAATACTGAAAATATATAGTTTGTGTCACGTATATTATAGATTTTCAGTGCTGGCAATGAATATTGGATGGCACAATCAAAGAGAACAGACCCTCCCATTAGCAATTTTTATAGGTATATTAATGTGTAGCAGCGTCAAAAATTTGTATTATTGGGAAAATTAATAAAAAATATATAAGTTTTTCTTAGTAACATAACAATGTCAACACGATGGTAAGCATAATAACGAGTCATGACATATGAAATTTAGAAAGAGTATCGAATAACCTAATTTCTAACCTTGATTTATTAATCAAGAACTATACACATGTTATTGAAGTTTTATTAAACTTTTTCATTTTCTTTGATAAATTTTAGAAAACATTTTAGTACATACATTAATGAAAGTCTCTTAACCACCCAAACAATTATATTTACTATACAATATCTAAATATATATTGTTTCAAATTATACACAATTTAACATAGGTATCCACTATATCAGAAAGGTAATCCACAATTGAGAATATTTCTGCCTAATTTTTGGATGAAACTGATTGCCGCTAAAGAAAAGCAGCCACCAAATGTTGTGCAGTTCCATTGTTCTATGGAAATGACAAAATATGATATAAAAAATTATTTAGAAAAAATTTATAATGTTAAAGTTATGCATGTGAGAACAAGAATAGCTCTTGGAAAAACTAGGAAAAATCATAATCAGAGTGGTGCTATTATTAAAGAAGATGACATGAAATTAGCCTATGTTATACTGGTTAGTTTATTAATTATTCTAACTTATTTTCAAAGAAAGCTTAAGCTTTTGATTAATTCTTTTATTTTTTCAGCCAAAAGATCAGTCTTTTGTATTCCCTAAGTTATTCCAAGATGTAAAAAGTGATGTTGACGACAAGAGTATAAATGAAGCTCAGAAGGACTTAAAGGACTTTTTAGAAACTAGTAAGGCACCTGGTATGCCTGCTTGGTTTAGAATTTAAAATATATTGTTATAAAATATTTAAAGATCTAATGTTAAAGATATAAAAGATTAGATATAAAATAAGATTAAAGATATAAAAATTGGAGTATTCATTAATATCCCTTTATTTTTAATATTTCTTCTTTCATTAATTTTAATTGAACAGTTGTTTATCTTTTGTTTGAAGAAATATGTTGATGTTAAATTTTGGCAATGTTTATTTTATATAATATTTATATTATATATTAATGATATGATATGCTATATATGAATGTTATGTGTTATTTAACAATATTAAATATATAAGGGTGAATTAGAGCTTCGTTTAAATTATATGTATGTACATACATTTGTATACATATGTATGTACATATACACTTGAATTTGAAATCGATATCTCGATTGACGATTATCAAACGATCGATCAAACATGATTCGAGAATTTTCTTGATTTACAACTGTATCGACCAAACGAATAATTTGAGAACATGGCGGCGAATACGATCGCGGAAAGCAAACGGATTGCAAATCCAAATCTTTGTGCTATTTATGGCAGGTAAGCGAATAAATTTACAACAATTATGCTGTTCGAAATAGTTAGAAGATCTTTCTTTTGAGTACTTACTCTCATACTTTTGAGCTACGAATTTAACGATGATCTTCTGATCGTTTCAAGCAGCGTATTAACGTTCATTGATTTGCACAGCATTCAAGAAAATCGAATGATGACAGAGTGCCATCAATCGGGATGGATCGGACAAAAATTACGTTTTGCACAGACGTGGACAAATCTGTGATCGTGCATAATTTTGAGAAACGCGGTTGGACGCAAGTCGGTCCGGAAGACGATTGGAATTTCTACTGGTAACGGAATCGCACATCATCATCACCGTTGTTACGTACAAATTATTTATGTTATATATTAGTTGTTTATGTTTATTATCAATCATATAATTTCCGGAAATATATTAATTATTATAATAATCAATCACATATTTTAATTAAGGGAATAAAATATAAAATACAAAGCATTTTTTTTTTAATAATGTTATTTTCATGTGATACATAATTCATTGGAAAACATTTATAGAAATGCACATAAAGTTAAATCTTTCGGAATTCGACATTTCGCATGAGTTCAATAATTTTACGTTTATTACAATGTTACATTTGTGTCGTAGGGCTGCCATACAGTCTTGTAGAAATATCTTTAGCATTGAAACCGGGTACAGAATGGATGACAATCAGTAAGATTTATTTTATTAATTATTTTATTTTATTTTATTAATAATGAAAATAAAATCGAGAAATTCATTTGTCTCAAAAATGTCTCGAAGAAAATATTCGAATTATTTTGTTAAACTGAGTTTTGCGATTGTATCAGAATCATCAATCATTTTCCAAACCACTATGAGCTCACACGGAAAGATTTGTTGGTGAAAAATATAAAACGATATCGAAAGGACTTGGAACGCGAAGGAAATCCTTTAGCGGAGCGCGTGGATGGTCCGGGAAAATACTTGTATCTCGATTTTATACCAGTCACCTTCGTTTTACCCGCAGGTGAGTTCTTCGTTTGATTGTTGCAATTTTTTCGATTTTCGTGCGTTTATTGAATAATGTCATACTCATTTATTTCGTAGAAAGCAAAACTAAGTATGCAGTAAATTTAACTTGGATTTTGGAGCCAGTTCTGAATTCTCCAATCTTCAATTATCACAAATTTAATATCTTGTTTTTATTACAACGTTTAGATTACAACATGTTCGTAGAAGAGTATCGCAAGTCTCCACAAAGCACATGGATAATGAAGCCGTGCGGAAAGTCGCAAGGCGCTGGAATATTTCTCATCAATAAACTGAGCAAACTGAAAAAGTGGTCGCGTGAAGCGAAAACCCCGTTTAATCCAAACTTGACGAAAGATTCATACGTTATATCCAGGTATACAGTTTCAAGGGAATTTCAATTGTAATTTCTTGCAATAGTCTATTATCTTTTTCTACCATTTTTTTTTATATAAAATTCATGATTTATGCAAAAATATACGCAGTCTTGTATCCTAAGCATCAGTCAGCCACTAATTTTAATTATTTATAACTTTGTAAGAAACAAAGAGCAACTATTTTGCGAAAGAAAACTTTTTGCAAGTTAGTCAGAGTTATATCCTTGGTACATATATCAAAGTCATTGAAATGATTAAAGTTGCCATTAATATTAATAGTTACCGTAATCCCTAATGAATATCCGATAATTCTATTTTATGCGATTCTTTTGTAACGATTTTCTGTGACAGATACATCGACAATCCGCTGTTAATTGGCAGTAAAAAATTTGATCTACGATTATATGTGCTTATCACTTCCTTCCGACCGCTCAAAGCTTATCTCTTCAAGTTAGGATTCTGTCGCTTCTGTACTGTTAAATATGACACCAGCGTGCAAGAGCTTGACAACATGTATGTGCACCTTACGAACGTATCCGTGCAAAAGCATGGTGTATGTATATCTTACGTATACTTATTATATTGTACAGTAACTTTTTCGACAAATATATTTTTCGACTTCATGAATTTTGCAAGTGTAAGTTTTCCGAGTTATGGAATTACGTAGCGTAGCATTTGCTAAATAAATTCATGAAATGAGAGAGTACTTTTCGTGTTTAAATCGCCAATTATGATAATTTCAGGACGAGTATAATAGTAAACACGGCGGCAAATTGAGCGTGCAAAATCTACGTTTGTATCTGGAGAGCACACGCGGCAAAGCGGTTACAGAGAAATTGTTCGCGAATATTTCATGGTGTATCGTACATTCGCTGAAAGCGGTAGCACCGGTAATGGCGAATGATAGACATTGCTTTGAATGTTACGGATACGATATCATTATTGATAACAAGTTAAAACCATGGCTAATAGAGGTACGTTTCTTTTGCGTTTATCTTATTGTTTCGTTCAAATCTTTTCCTATGTCGTAAACAAAATAAACTTATATTTTACCATTTTGTAACTATATCAAAAATATTGTCGCTGATGTTCCTAATTTTTATAACTCAGTCTCTTTGCCAATTTCAAGATAATATTTCTGTAGGGGGTACTCAATATATTTTTATTCTAAAATAGTAATTTTTTTAATATAACGAATAGTGCAGAGCAGAGTTGAAGTAATCTGTTAAAATTAATCGTTAATATGTAAGAGAATGTATATTGTATTTGATTTCCAGGTGAATGCCTCACCATCTTTGACGTCTACTACAGTGAATGATAGGATCTTGAAGTATAAATTAATCGACAATATTGTATCGGTAGTTCTGCCTCCAGACGGTATGCCCGAGTAAGTATATGATGTTTTCACTAAATTCAAGTGAATTTACAAGATTCTACGGGCCATTTTTTTAATCAGCGTAAAATGGAACAAGTCACCTTCTCCGGAAGCTTTAGGGAACTTCGAGTTGCTGCTGGACGAAGAATTGGCGGCTCAAGATGAGAGAGAGGGTTCATCGTGCAAGTATCGTAGTTCTCTTAATAAGTGGAAATAAATCATATGTCTATATTATCGTCTAATTTGATTTCCTACTGGATTATTGCAAAATTTCACGGAGTTTTATTTATAATGTTTCGTTAGTATCTCGAATCCTTATAAGTGAAGATTAACATTATCTGCGTATTAAAAGCTTCACCTACGAAATTTTAAATGAGCTAAGTTTAAGTATTTGTTCTATAAAACAAAAACTGATTACTAGAATTTTTTAACTATTAAATATGATACACTAATCTTATCGTGAGAAATAATTTATTCGATTTCATTGTTATCAGATATCAATTATATAAAATCTAATACAATTTTTAATCTCATAAACTCATACTGATTGTCGAAACTATTGTCAGGAATTAGAAGAAAATTGCTTGAAGAAATTTATATTAACAACAATTTTTATTCACTGTACAAATATACTACAGACGTAAGACAACGTACGCTAGCTGTAAAAATGTAAAAATAATACAGACGGTAATTTCAGTCTTTCGTGTGAAATAAGAATAATAATTTATTGATATATTTGTTCTCAAGGCTGTTCAAAATGGCAGTGCGAGGTAAAAGTCCTTGCAATTTATTTTGTACAATACGTTAATTTGCAATACATTTTGTATAAGCGTAGCCAGTGTTGGGCGAACTATATTCGCGAATAATGAATTAATGAGAATACGAAACAAAATAATTTAGAAAAAATATAATCTAAATTATTTTAATCATTAGTAAATATATTTTACACATTCTCACGAGATCTACATTTTTTATTTGTGTATATTTTATATATAAGACATATTTTATATATAAATATATCATATTGACATTTTTTACACATATATTTTATGTACGTTATATATACAGGGTCTTCAAAAAGTCCGGGAACGTTAAAATATTTCGAAAAATATGAAAGATACGAAAAAATGTTTGATACAAAAGTTATAAGGCTTAAAAAGATCTGTTTAGTAGTCATATCAGTTTGACCATAGGTGGCGTTGCTAAGGGTATATGAAGGTCAACTTTGTTTTTTTAAATGGAACCCTCTATTTTTTATTGAAAATTCTTGTAGCTTATCTCGGGAGCTTTTCAAAACACTATAATGAAGTCATTTTTTATTAAGTTCTTTCCGAGTTATGACGCTTGAAAGTTACAGTACCGCCGGCATTAGCATTACCCAAAGTGTACCGCGCGGAGGTGCGATCAGAGATACTTCTCGGTCCACATATTCTAAAAACGAGTTGCGCTCGCTCGTATCTCGCTCTTTGTCTCTTTTGTTTCTTTTTCCGATTATAATATCACATTTTTCTCTGAAAAATGTTAACCGAAAAAGAAAGAACATTGCTACTTATTTATCGAGGATTTGGTGATCGTGTTAGATCATATCAAGAAGTAGCTGATCTATTCAATGTTACACATTCTGATCTCGATCCTATTTCTAAATTTACCATTTGCAGAACAATGACTCGTTTTTTTGAAACGGGAACAGTTAAGGACCGATCTCGCAGCGGAAGGTCAAAATCCGCAACTAATGATGATAAGACTTTGGATATTCTCCAATCATTTCAGGAAAATCCTCATTTGTCCGTATCAAAAACAGCACAAGCCCATGATATCAGTGAAGGCAGCGTTTCTAACATTTTAAAAAAGCATAAATATTATCCGTATAAAATTGTTATCGCTCAAGAACTTATGGAAGATGATTTTGATAGAAGAATTCAGTTTTGTGAAGAACTGATGCATCGGTGTGATGATAATGCTAACTTTTTGAATTTTGTTACTTTTTCTGATCGCGGTATTATAGGCCCATTTTTCATAGATGGTGATTTAAATGCTGAAAAATATGAAAATTTATTGCGAGATCATATCATTTCTGAAATTGAAAATTTATTTGACGCAAACATGTAAAACGTTTGGTTCCAGCAAGATGGAGCAGGACCTCATTTTGCGGTATAAGTTCGAGAATTTTTAAACCGTTCTTTTCCTAATCGATGGATAGGTAGGAGAGGTGCCATTGAGTGGCCTGCTAGATCACCTGATCTATCTCCTCTTGATTTCTTTTTTTGGGGACACATCAAAAGTAAGGTTTATGCAACGAAACCATGTAATTTGGAAGACCTGAAGAATCGAATAATGCAGGAAGCATCTCTGATCACTTTAGAACAAATAAGCCATGTGATTAATAGTTTCTATGAACGTTTAGCTCATTGCCAAACAGTAGAAAGAAGACATTATGAACATTTGATTAATTGAAAAAGTAAAAAACAATAGCTTGAAAAATGTTACCTACACACACACACGCGCGCGCGCGCGCGCGCGCGAGGTATAAATTTGACCGTGCAACCTCCGCGCGGTACACTTTGGATAATGCTAATGCCGGCGGTACTTTCAAGCGTCATAACTCGGGAAGAATTTAATAAAAAATGACTTCATTATAATGTTTTGGGAAGCTCTCGAGATAAGCTACAAGAATTTCCAATAAAAAATAGGGGATTCTATTTAAAAAAACAAAGTTGACCTTCATATGACCTTAGCAACGCCACCTATGATCAAACTGATATGACTACTAAATAGATCTTTTTAAGCCCTACAACTTTTGTATGAAACATTTTTTCGTATCTTTCATATTTTTCGAAATATTTTAGCGTTCCCGGACTTTTTGAGGACCCTGTATATATATATATATACGTATATATTTAAAATATACACATATATGCACTTGCAAACATATTAAAGTTATTTGCAAACGTACATTCAGAATCTTCATGCGTTAATCGCGAATAAATTTTGCTCAACAAAACTGGCAAGTATACGGTATTATGCATATAATTGGACTGTCGAGTATGATTATGGCACAGTTTCCTGAAACTGACATTACACTCACAGGAACGGACGTGTGCATTAAAGATATAATGCTGCTGTTATTTTAACACGATATGTACATTGCACGGTGCGCCTTAATTATAAGTGTATACAGTGTAAGTTGTATGTTGCAGTTATTGCTAAATTCTTCATTAATTTTCTCTGCATTTTATATTATGTTCAGTTTACGTGCACGCTCAGAGTTTATATGTTATATTGATAAATAATATGTCATCGAATCTGTAAAAACGTACAGTTGAACAAAAAAATAATTCGATCGAATTAAAATATTAATGCGAAAAATTATAAGTATAATAAAACTTTGAAAGGCCGTTTTTTATATCGCGCCCAAGTCATTAGAAAGCTTATAAAAAACTAAGTTTTTCGCCTAGAATAAAGAGTAAAAAAGTCTTATTATATTAAGTTAAAAGTCTTATTGTTAAGTCTTATTGTGAAATCAAGTAAAAAAGATAACATATACGTATCATTAACTGTAACATAATAATAACCATGTCATTACTGATAATTACTAATAATAATATACTTTGAAATTACAATGAATAAACTACAGATAAATGTGCTCGTATAAAGTATGCGCAGAATCAAAACGGATATTTCTCTCTTTCAAACTATAATCATATATACATTTTTTACAATATAATATCGTATAATTTCATGGAAATTACATGTGTTCGTGCTAGATATTTACAAAATCTACGCATGGTAGGAGAATCTTTTCTCTGTACATTACAAACTATTCAAATGCAAATAGTAGGCACGATGGTATGATTATATAGGATGATCCGTTATATATCGATGATACTATATAGAAAAGAGAGAACTGTAAAACATATGAAAAAAGTAGAATGAATTCCTTTTTACATAAATTGTTCCTGAGAAAGTTAATAAGAATTACAAAATTAGTAACGCCTAATAGCAGCTTTGGAAAGATATAAATAAAAATATAACTGGATAAAAATTGAACAAATTCAAAGCTGACAACAGAGATGTTAGCTTCTCTATTTCCAGATGTTGAATTCTATGCTTTTGATTTTTTCATATAGATAATTATTCTCTTGTCTGTTGTACCAGGATAATAACGAACTACCATACAGGTAACTTATATGAATAACTGAGAGCCATGTGGACGAAGGCCGCGCGCTGAGTTGGGGAGATTCCAGGACGAGAAAGCATCTCTCTAACGGATTATATCGTTTTGTATTTATTGGTACATGTCGTTCCTAATACAAAACATATCTTGATCTCTCACAAGCATTTATTTAGGAAATTCTATATTCGAGTTTCGCACTTACGTTACCGTTAAAGAGCTTTCTCGCCCACAGAATTTTCGATGATCACTCCAAATAAAAATGGTAAAATATTGCGTAGAACGTATCTTTTTTATCGTGATAATTGACAGGGGCCGATAAGGATGCAAGTATCGTATTCTCACACTATTCACTGAATTTGGTGGTTGACAAGTTGTTTTGTGAATTCATAAAATCGATAACCTTGAGATTCTCTTCCTAAGAATAAGGAATCTACGTTTGATATTAATTTACGATGCTCTACGTTCGCACAAAATGTGAATAATGCTTCGACCCCTTGTTGCCAACACCACCGTCGTTGTTGTTATAATACTTTAACGAATTGCGGTTGTCAAATTGATTATGGTGTGACGGAAGACTTGGCAAATATTTTTGATTATGTAGATAAACAATAGTTGAAAATATAATGGTAGTTTACGGATTTTTCTTGTTTAAGTGCGAATATTCAACGACAATAATTAGCGAAGAAACCCGTTTCTTAAACTGTTAAAATTTTTTTAAGTTTTCATTAATCCATTAACGGTCCACTGTGTCGGGACAAAAGTATTTGATTAAAAGTAAGTTTTATATTAAGGGGCTTACCTAGTGTGACGGTTTGAAAAAATCGAATTTTTTTTGCATTTTTTGACAGTTTAACATCTGTAGAATAATATCCTGAAGTGTTATGGTCGTATCTGAAATATTTTAGAAACGGCAAGGATGAAACGACAGCTCGCAGACACTCGGGGGCCATAAACTCGATTCTCGCCGGCGAGGCAGGACTCCGGGCAGTTGCGATAGTTCTTAGGCTCTGACGTAATCGTTTATATTTCAAAGATAGAAAAGAGAGCCTGGTAGTTCGACGTAGGACGAAGGACTCACAATAATCCCTTTATGTTTGTACGAAAGCGTTGTTACCAGCTCAAAAGGTTTCGAAGCCGCTCGACGCAGGTATACGTAAGCGGCCCGTCTAGTTCATTTTTAGCCACTGTGCAGAGCACATCGCAGCGCGAATTTCATTCAAAATGAGTGGGAAAAGTCAATCTAGTGTTCAAAAAGGCACACACGATACTCCAGCGCGTAGAAGTACCAATAAGAAAAGAAAGTTCCAGGGAAATCGACACACGCTGGAGCAGTCGACCGAGTACACCAGTACGACATGACGAAATTTACACATGACTATCTCCCTCTGGACCTACAAATTCAAGAAGTTCTAGAACCAATTTATAGTGATTTAAGTAGGCCTGAATTATTAAACAGATGCAAGGATAGTAGTACACAAAATAATAACGAAAGTTATAATGGTTTGTTGTGGCACTTTGCTCCTAAACACCTTCACAGTGGTTTAAAAACAATAAAACTGGCCAATTTCTTTGCTGTTGCAATTTTTAATGAAGGTTTCCAAGCTATTTTGCATTTGAAACAATGGGAGTGATTATTGGGCCCTCTGCCAAAGATTATGCAGAAAAACGAGACATGAAGGTAGCAGAAAAACGGCACCGCGAGGCTTCAAAGGAGGCTCGGACAGCTCGCAGGACAGCTGCAGCGGCCCAGTAACAATTTTTCGAACAAGAAGAAGGCGAATTATATGGGCCTAGAATAGCTGAATAGCTGTAAGTATGATAAATTTCTTTTATAACAAAAAAATCAATAGTTAAAACTTGAAACGCGTTTTTCTCGAAACAACGTTTTCGAAATTTGCTGCAGTCATAACTCGCGAACAAATTAATGAATCAACTTCAAATTTGATAGGCATACTCAGTACATGTTTTGTCATACAGTAAACTAGGATTTTTTCAATCCGTCAACAAATGTCAATTTGCCACGCAAAAAACGGACACTTTTTTTGCTAAATTCGAACTTTTTCTTTTACAACATCGTAATTTTTTTAATTTTCAATATTTTTTCATAATCCTAGTTCACTGTATAGGAAAACTTATCTAGTTTAACGCCTTTTTTGTCTTTTTTTATTTCAGGCACTCTGACATCACTTATCGCTGCAGCAGTTGGGCTACTTTTTTTTTTTACCTCCGAGAAATTACTAATATTTCCAATACATGTCAATATTTTTTCGTAATAAAATTTTTATAACTTCTTCAAATGTTATTTAATATTGCCTCAAACTTTTAAAATATATGGTAGAATAGTTTTTTTTAAATCCTCGAAAATCGCCCTCATTTTCATGTGATCACACTAGGTAAGCCCCTTAAAGTAAAATAAAATATAAGTATAATCCCTTTCTCTAAACTTTATATTAACTTAGTTTTCATGCATATCAAATTAAAAAAAATAAAAGTAATCTATAATCAGATAATTAGATATTAAATTGTGCGACGAAAAATATTAATCTTTAGAAAATAATTTTCAGTTAACTAACATTTATTTTATTCTTTAAAATGATTAGCTTAATCTCTAATGTTTCTTAGCAGAAGAGTGGCCTTTAATAGGTTAAAATGTCTCAAATGCGCGTAACGAGTGGCAACTTTTAGACTAATAGAAAAAAACTCATCTTCACTCACTCACTTACTTTCTCCTTCTTTCCCCCTTTTTCTCAGTTTAAGGCACTGGTGACGGCGGTGGTGGTAACGGGTTGAAATACGTCGATGATCTGGAGCTGGGTGACGGCGGGCAACTGATTGCCGCATCGCTATGGTAGACGGAACGTGGCGTCGGTGGCGGTGGAAACGGTTCGCTCTCGTAACGATAGCGTGCCGGGTAATTGCTGTCTGACTCATCGCAGACGTCAGTGCTGCAAGGAGTCGGTGGCGGTGGTTGATTAATGCTCCGATAATGCCGGTAAGGTTTATAACGAGAGGCGTTGCTACTCGAGCAACGCGTAGAGCTAGCAATTGTCGCCGGGCTTGGCGGTGGGTTCAATGTTTCTTGAGGATAGCCACCAGCGGAACTGCCTCTGGTCGAACTCGACGCGCCTAAAACACACAGTAATTTGTCTAATGTCTAAGCATAATCTTTATAAGTGTCTAGCTTACTGTTTGTTACTTTCACTTATTCAGCTTCGATGGTCGAGCTTATTAATTTGAACTTCACATTCAGCTTTATTACAATTACTTTTATCTTTACACTTCTTCCAGATTCCTGATTTTTAAAACTTTTAAAAGTTTTAAAAACCTGTACGTACCTGTAATATGACTGCGGTCGTAACTAGATCCAAGACTACTTCCATTGAGCATAGACATCCTCACAGCCTCCATACCAGCTTTAAGATCTTTCCTATTATTCTTGTGCGCGAACATCGGTTTAACAACTCTGTTTGATTTTGGAGACAACGGGTCGCCCGCCGAATCGTGTAAGATATCGGGCAAACCTTCGTTTCCAGTAAATTTCCTGCGACAGTAGTAATAACCCAAGATTGTCACGCTAGTCAGAACTACAACCACCAATATAATGATAACGTAGGTCACTTTGCTGGACTCAGCCGATGGCACGTTATCTTGCCGATGACGTGCGGTCTCGCAATTTTGCGGTATCTCGTCGCTAGCGTCAGCACAATCTTCCCATTTGTCACAAAGGGCTGAGGCGGATATGCACACCCCGCTTGCGGCACACGGAAACTGATCTGCGCGGCAGCAATGGGCTTCGTCCGATCCGTCGTGACATTGTGGTGTTCCATCGCATACCAAACTCATATCTGAAAAGCGTATCGTAATCAAATTAATAATCAAATAATAATTACAAGGACTGTAGCAATAATCTCGCATATCTTGTACTAAAAAGTAAATTACGAAATAAACGGATGTTAAATATAAAAAAAGGGAGAGAGAGAAAATGCACACAAAAGGCAAACAGATGGCAGAGAAATGTTTCTAATTGTACAATATTGCAAAAAACTTAAAGAAGACTCAAAGACTCACATACCGATACAAAGAGAATCGCACTTGAATTGCTCGCGATTGCAGGCCGGGCAGCCCAGTTCGTCGCTGCCGTCCAAGCAGTCCGTTTGACCGTCGCATTTCCACGCGGCTGGTATACATTCTTTAAGCCCTGTTGAGCTCGGCGCGGCACAGGTGAAATGATCGTTACCACAGGCTGGTGCTGCTCGACAAGTACGACCGTCCTCTGAGAGTACTAGCGAACGCGGACAAGAGCAGCGCGGCGAGTTGGTACCGATGCAAAAATGCGAACAGTCGCCGTAGTCGTTAAAGGGGCTACACACATGTGCCTCTATATTGTCCAGCACACTGACAGTTACGAGGTCGGTGATGAGCACGTGGTTCATGAGCGTTCGCCTACCGAAGCCGGACGATTTGTTGACTCTCTCGAGTGTTTGACTCTCACGATCAAACCAGTATAGATAGTTCAAGAACACGGACATGTGCGCGACCATACCTGGCGTCGAAATAGTCACTAGGGTTCTGCGATTGTTGCCCATGAAGTCGGCGCATTCGATCAGCTTGCCATGCGCCCAGTATACGATGTTCGCTTCAGTGTCGACGGCTAGACCAGTCGGTTGTGACTCCAGGTTTGTCGCGATCTCCAAGCGTTCTTGGCCGTCCATCTTGCTCTGCATCACTCTTATCTTCTTGCCCACATCCGTCCAGAATAGCAGCCGCTGTTGTGAATGTATCGCGATATTGCGTGGTTTTTCACCGTCACCTTTCACCACGATTCCGAGCATGGAACCGTTGTCAAGGCGCGTCACATTGATCACATCATTCACTATGCACGACCAGAAAAGAAGTCTGCTCAATGGATCCAATGCTAAGTCGAATGGATGACCCGACCCTGCGGATACCAGCACTGAGCTACTGTGCTGCGTCTTGTTCTCTAAAGTGCGGCGAATAAGAAAATTGCGACCGTCAACCCAATACACGTGCTGTGTCACCGGATCGTATTCAATCGCACGTACGTTCTTCAAGTTCTGCAGACGTAGCACAACATCCGCGCAATCGTCGGGTAAGTCGGGTAAATAGCGTGCTATAGTATTGCGCAGACTGTAGATCATATAGCGCTTTGGCGGCATGCACGTGCGATTGTCTCGCGCGAGGCTGTAATGCGTGGGACAGGTACACTTTCGTGAAACAGATATACTGCCATTTGCGTTCGATAGAGCGATACACAGGTGACTGCAGTTCCCATTCGCCACAGCGCACGGGTTCCAGCCGGGCTGGCGAGAAGCGTGGAACACCAGCAGAGCAGTCACCGATTCCAATTGATCGTGAATCCTCGTGCGATTCACGCCTGTCGTCTTGTCCGCGCGCTCGATATCGCCGGTGTTCCAGTCCGTCCAATAGATGTAATCGCGATATTGCGTTATGCTGAATGGATACACTATATTCTGCGTGATAATGACAACCTTTTGCCGCGTACGTAGATCAAAGCAATCGATCGCGGGAGTCTGCAGATCGGCCCAGTAGAGTTTGCGAGCGGCATGGTCGATAGTGAGACCATTCGCTCGACCGATACCTGAGATGATCGTCTGCCGCTGTGCGCCATCCAGATCCGCCCTTTCAATACTCCCCGAACCGCCCCACTCTGTCCAGTATATGTGACTAATGACAAGTGAACAATAAAGTCGTAAAGAAACTAGTCTCGTACCAAGTATCTTGAATGTTTAATATAGTTTATATATTTAAATGTTTAAGTAATCTTTAAGTATTTGCCATAAACAATGTACAGGAGCAGAACTCACCCCCTCTCAGGATCTAAAGCCAAACATTTAGGCTCGATAAGATTTTGCCACACAAGAACTCGTCTGATACTACCCTCTAATCTTATCATTTCTATGCGACGTGTGTTGATGTCACTCCAGTAAAGATTGTGCGCAATCCAATCGAGCGCGAGAGCCTCCGGAGATTCTAGGCCGAGATCGATCACTTTTTCTATTTCTGATCCGTTTATAAAGGCACGAGTGATAGCTTTTTGTTTAATGTCCGTCCAATAAATGCGATTCTCACCGAAGTCAAAATCCAAGGCGCTAGAAAGTGAAACGAACGTTTTACAAGCACAACGTTTGTCAAGCACAAATTAAAAAGATAGCATGTACATGAAAAAAATCTCGGTTTATGCAACAAAAAATAGATCAATCGAGAATTCTTCATTGATGATAAACGATATTTGTTATTGCAACCAAAATTATTCCTGTCTAACTATTCAGCTATATTGAAATTCAGTTAAGATAATTGAGAACAATTGACTGAATAAAAATCACTTACGAGAATCTCTTCTGTAACGATGAGTTTTCGTCTAATCCTTAGATAATAGAAATTTAGTCACACAAACCGAATTTCTTCTTCCGTATGTTTATCCTTAATACTATATTTAATAATATTGTTAACACTTGATTGTATTAACATTGTTGTTGTTAAAATTTGGAAATATTGATGTCAAGTTTAAATATTTGAAAGAGTCAAAATTGATCTTGGAAACCATTATTATTCAGATATGATCTACACCGTTTTATTTTCATATTCGTTACAATTATAAATTATATAAACTCAATTTTTTCAATAATTGATCTTTACAGTAACAGATTAATGCAACGTTTTACGAACCTAGCATCCTTTAAGCCAGTGATTGGTATAATATTGTCATTGTTGACATTCTCAATGCTGATACGCCCAATATTATCTTTCCTGGCAAACAGCAGGAATGCATCCGGTACGACGCATGTGCGTTTATCTTTAGTAAGCTCATAGCCGATCTGACAAGCACACACATACTTGTTGCGAGGTCGATTAAGACATAAATGACCGCAGCCACCGTTGTCACGTCCACACGGGTTAGTACTGGTGTTTACTCGACCGAGGTGCACAGCCTTCAGACCCATCACGTTCGGTACTTGATCGACGATCACTTCGCGATCACCACCAGTGAGCTTATGCGCTCGGTCGATGCTACGTCGTTGCCAGTCGGTCCAGTACAAATAGTCACCCAGAAGACTAAGACCGAACAGATGCGGTAGATTGTCAGTGATGACCTCACGGCGATCGGTACCGTCCATATTAGACACCTCGATCTTGTCGGTTTTAGCATCGCACCAGTAAATCTTCAGACGTTCAAGGTCTAAGGCGATACCGTTTGGCCATGATATGTCCTTGGTAACAAGCAAAATTCTGTCTGTAGCGTCCAAGTTACTACGTTCGATTTTCGGTCGCTTTTCATTCCAGTCAGTCCAAAACATCCAACCCAGATCGGGCGCGACCGCAATCGCTCGTGGTTCCACCAGATCTTCGTTTACTAAGACCTTACGTCTCGTACCGTTCAGTCGCGCCACTTCAATGCGATCGGTGCCGGTGTCAGTCCAGTACATATTTCGGGCGACCCAGTCGATCGCAATGCCATCAGGATTCATCACCTCCGTCACGATCACATTCTGCTGTCCTGAGCCATCAAGATACGCTCTCCGAATTGCAAAGGCCTGCTCGTCGGTCCAGTATAGCATCTCGTCGACTGGATCGAAATCAATCGCGATGGCATGCTTGATACCGGTGAGCGGCAATACAAAGTTGGTGTAGTCAGGCGAGTCTAAAGATATCCGACAGATTTCGCTCCTCTGGACGATCAACAACAATTCTTCTGGGCCTTTGGCGCACGTGAAATTGTCAACTAGTTTCACGCCCGTGGGACAAGCACAGCTATAGCCGCGCTTCGACGTGCTCAAAAGACACAAATGAGAACAATTGCCATTGTTCTGCCGACAAGGATTATTTCCTTGAGGCTGCCTCTTTGCGTCCCACACCTCGATGTCGCCTAATTTACAGAAAAAAGATAATATTGTTAGAAAATCTGGTGGATGTTTTCCTGTGGGCACATTAATAAGATACAAAAGATACAAAGTACATACTCCATGTAAATTTATTCAGCATTTTACAAAATTTGTATACCGTACCAGGTATAAATTCGCCGTGAAACAATTCACGTGGATTTGCCTGCGACTGACGCATGTCGTATGAATGTATGCACCAAGTCTTCCAGTCTGTCCAGTACAGTCGTTGGTCAAAGTATGTAAGGGCAAAGGGATAATCTAGACCACGATTGACAATCGTACGTCGATTTCCACCATAGAAGTCGATCACAGCTATAAACCATAGTCTGCCATCTGCCCAGTAGATTAGCTCATTCTCATAGTCCACAGTTAAGCCATTTGGCCAGAATATATTATCGGACACAATTACTATACGTGTACTTGGATCACCATCCATGCTAGCACGTTCTATCTTGGGTACATCACCCCAATCAGTCCAGAAAAGGAAGCTTTTCATAGGCGCCAGCGCTATTGCACGTGGCTGATAGATATCCGTCCAGAAAAGAACTTTCCTATGACGGCCATCAATGCTAGTCAGCTCTATTCTATTTTTTTCCCCATCTGTCCAATATAATTTGCCTGTATACCAGTCACATGCTAGACCATCAGGAGATATCAGACTGGAATTGACCACAGTCATACGTTCACCTGTGTGTGTGCCATTAGCACGTATACATTGTATCATTTCCAGGCCACTGTCAGACCAGCAAATCAACCCTCGTTCATAATAAAAGTCTAGAGCTGCGCCTTCTGATAGATCTTTGACAATAACATTAACCTTGTTGCTCCGAGACACATTGGTCATCCGAATATCTTTGTTAGTGGCGAATAGGAGAACAGGGGAGCCTAAAAATAATGCAGATGTAACAAAACGAAATAAAAGAGAAATATTAGTGAAAAAAATTGAGAAGTAGAGAAAGAGGGAACCCCGTAACTTAAAATCATATTAACTTACCGCAACAAGAAAAAAAGAGGCAGCAGAGAACGCAAACAATTAACATGCTCCTCTTGTACATAACAGCCATTCTAATTGCAAGGTTCATGCATTCTGACCCGGTAGATCGCATTTACAAAGTGCGATCAACGCTACGGATCATCTCGTTACTTTACAGACGAAAAAATCGCCTTTGTGTTGCGTCAGATCTCTTCTCGCGTCACCGGCCATTCACGTAACAACAAATCAAACATTCGCACGCCATGCCATTCAACGTTCAGTATGAAACATGGCGAATATAGACAATAGAGTTGAAACTCGATACCTGCGGCATCAAACGCATAGGACATAGGGCGGTATTCATAAGAGTTAATTTCATTGCTGAAATAATTGTTCTTTTTAGCTGCACTAGTGCAATAAGTTAAAGTGAGAAAAAATACAGTTATTTCATTAGGCTTGTTCCTTTTGTCTGCACTGCTGAACTGGTGCAACAAGTTGAAGTGAGAAAACCTACATTTGTCTCACTTTAACTTAATGCACCAGTTCAGCAGTGCAGACGAAACGAACAGGCCTATTCTAAAGCCAGTGGTACACGGTGCTTGTTTTCGTGCTGGATTGCTTGCTGGATGAAAATACTGCGTTCTGATTGGTGCATTTCCATTCATCTTCGGAAATGCACTAATCAGAACGCAGTATTTTCATCCAGCAAGCAATCCAGCACGAAAACAAATACCGTGTGCCGCTGGCTTTATATACTCTGTCTGTAGAAAGTATATACTACAGTAGTCCCCTTAGGAATGTGATTGTCGATATTATCGATATATCGATATAGTAATAGTCGATACAACACGTTGAAGTCATGTATGTACGATATCAGGGGTTCGATTCCTGACGGCGTGCGAATAAGAAAATGCGTATGCGAAAATGTACGGCGAGCATAAAGGTTTGTGACCGTTTTTTTGCAACTTTCGGAACGCATCCCGACTCGAGAAGAATGAGAGTCACTGCTCCGCCTGTGGAGCACGCCTGCGCATTGACTCACGACGAAAGGCGAGAAATGAAATATACGCGGTGGGACATATTATAATAATACAGACTCAGATGAAATGAATACTCTAGTATTAAATGGAAATGAGGGAACAGACAAGACAAGACAGACAGAACAGACAAGAATCATCCGATGTAAGTCTTATACTCCGAAGGACATCCGAAAAAGGTAAAATACGAACTTAATTAAGAGAATTAAGCTGCATTACGATAGTTACGATTCTGTTATACATTTATATATAATTTATTGTTCCAGCAACAGCCACCTTCTATAGCAGAAGCAATGATATTAGATACAGAAACAGCTGTTATAGCGAATTTTGAATTTTTGGGACATACAGACATGGACATGGAAGAGGAAGAAAGAGATGGAGACGATGAAATTTATGATGCAAACACAGATACCAAACCAAATAAAGTAACGCTTACTATCATCTTGCGTTTTAATGATATTGTTCACGCTATTTGTTAACATAATTTCTTATTTTTCAGGCATATATCCCCCTTCTAGCGGAAGATGTTGATACAGATGCAGAGGCAGAAGTATTAAATGAATTAAATCTTCTCACAGAAATTGAAGAATCGCTACCTGGTTCTGTCCACCTGGAAATTAATTCTTTAAAGGGGTTAGTAAATCCCTTTTTATTCGTATACTTTAAGATAAAATATAAACCTATCACAATAATAGATATTTCGTAATATTGTCACATATAATCACATAATCTAATGATGCCTGTAGGTTTATCACATAGAGGATTACAACAAGATCCAAGACGCCCAAATAATAAAGAAGGCAGTGACTCCACGCTGGAATTCGGAGAATTACAATTATGTGTTAACAATGATGCAGAAATATCGTACGATGTAAGTTCCAAGAATTTTCCCCTATATTTCAGTCGAGTCGTTTTTTCAGCTATGTAAGTTACAGTTTGAATGAATACAGTTTGATCTCTTCGGACATTTCGATAATCTTTGCGAGCATCACGGATGTGAGAAGATATCTACATTGGGCGACTGCTACTTTTGCGTAAACGGATGTCCCGAGCCGAGGTACGATCACACAAAGTGCTACATAGAAATGGGTCTAGGTGAGTGGAATAAAAAAATTACATCGTAAAAATAATAAAAAATAAAACTTACATCGTACGATATTTCTGCATCATTGTTAACACATAATTGTAATTCTCCTAATTCCAGCGTGGAGTCACCGCCTTCTTTATTATTTGAGCGTCTTGGATCTTGTTGTAATCTTCTATGTAATAAACCTATAGGCATCATTAGATTATGTGATTATATGTGACAATATTACGAAATATCTATTATTGTGATAGGTTTATATTTTATCTTAAAGTATACGAATAAAAAGGGATTTACTAACCCCTTTGAAGAATTCATTTCCAGGTGGACAGAACCACGTGGCGATTCTTCAATTTCTGTGAGAAGATTTAATTCATTTAATACTTCTGCCTCTGCATCTGTATCAACATCTTCCGCTAGAAGGGGGATATATGCCTGAAAAATAAAAAATTATGTTAACAAATAGCGTGAACAATATCATTAAAACGCAAGATGATAGTAAGCGTTACTTTATTTGGTTTGGTATCTGTGTTTGCATCATAAATTTCATCGTCTCCATCTCTTTCTTCCTCTTCCATGTCCATGTCTGTATGTCCCAAAAATTCAAAATTCGCTATAACAGCTGTTTCTGTATCTAATATCATTGCTTCTGCTATAGAAGGTGGCTGTTGCTGGAACAATAAATTATATATAAATGTATAACAGAATCGTAACTATCGTAATGCAGCTTAATTCTCTTAATTAAGTTCGTATTTTACCTTTTTCGGATGTCTTTCGGAGTATAAGACTTACATCGGATGATTCTTGTCTGTTCTGTCTGTCTTGTCTTGTCTGTTCCCTCATTTCCATTTAATACTAGAGTATTCATTTCATCTGAGTCTGTATTATTATAATATGTCCCACCGCGTATATTTCATTTCTCGCCTTTCGTCGTGAGTCAATGCGCAGGCGTGCTCCACAGGCGGAGCAGTGACTCTCATTCTTCTCGAGTCGGGATGCGTTCCGAAAGTTGCAAAAAAACGGTCACAAACCTTTATGCTCGCGACCGTACAGCTCACGTTACATATAGGCTGCGTTCGCTTTGAGCGCTCACGCCAAGGCCTCAATTCTGTACACGCTTACCGACAACTATCGATATCGTTAACGGAGTTGCGCAGGTTTTCTACGATATACAAAAGCTGCGCAATACAGTTAACGACATCGATAGTTGTCGGTAAGCGTGTACAGAATTGAGGCCCAGTACCGCGATTCTGTAACTCGTTATTGGAGTTAATGACAGTTTCGTTATTGTTGCGCAGCTTTTCTACGGTATACAAAAGCTGCGCAACGATAACGAAAGTGTCGTTAACTCCAATAACGAGTTACAGAATCGCGGTACAGGGCGTGCAAATCAGTGCTGGGGGACCCAAAGAATTTCCCACGCTTACGGCGCATGCCTGAAGTGACGTAGAGCTACATATATGTCAAAAACCACTGACGGTTTAAAACGCATGACAGAGGAGGCATGGAGAGGCCCGCGCAAAATATCTGTGTTTTCCGGAGTTGTTTTCTCGTGTTTCTTCCGCGAGTGCGTGGTTTAAGGTTAGATTACCCAGTAAACATTAAATATGTTATATTTATGTTATGTTACATCAACATTATATTTTCTTAATATCATTAATTAATGTAATGTAAGTGTTACTTAGTGTTTATATGTAGTGTATAAGAATAGTGATAGTGCAATCATAGTGTTCATTTTTTGTTAAATAAAATATTAAGTGCTGTGAAAATGGATGACCAACCTTCAACCAGTGGCATCGAGAAGAGGAAAGTTGGAGCACAAAAATTTAGAATAGCGTTATGTATGAATATTTTTAAAGATTGGTTTACATGGCATCAGGTACGTTCAATAACAGTGAAAGTGTGTGATATTAAACATTTACATATCATTAATGATAGTATTAAGTATTGTGTTCAACATTAACATAAGTATTCTTTTTAACGTTTATTTGTTTTGTACAATTTTATTGTAAGAATATTAGTAAGGTTTTTCCGCAGTTTCCCTTGCTATTACAACAAATGTTGGTATTCATATATTATTTTTCTGCAGTTATTAAAAAATAAAATTATATGTTTATTATTAATTATGAACAATATTCTGTTTTTTTCACAGACTTTTCTATTCTCTCTATAATTCCTTCATATTTTCTTTCAAACGAGGGATCTTACGCCCGTATTAGACTATAGATTGAAAATTACAGCTGAACCAACTTAAATAACCAAGATTTAGATTACCTATTTAAGCTAAGACTCCATGCATGCGGTGAGCTCCGGCAAACGGTTGCGGTGACCAATCAGGAGGGAGGCGCAAGTCCGGTTGCGGCAAGCTCCGGCATGCGTCTGTCTCCTGATTGGTCACCGCAACCGTTTGCCGCAGCTCACCGCATGCATGGAGTCTTAGCTTTAGCTTTAGCTTTATGCGATTGCAATTTTCAATCCATAGTATCTTACGAGCGATGAAATATCTTTAAATTAATACGGTACTGAGGCTCCCACAGCGTTTGCTCAATGCGCACGCCCGGAAATTCTCTGGATCTCCCAGCACTGATGCTACCCTCGGTCTACGTACCGAAAGAATAAGCGAACTAATCACTTTCGTCACCACTAAAATACGAGGAGTTTGTAACCCCTGTTCAGTGACTATTTCACGTGGCACGTGTGTTTTGAGACAAGAATTTGCCAAAGAAACTTAAAACACAAGAGCGAGTAATGTCATTACGATTCTGTCCAAAATGTAGTGATCTTCTTTCAGTAGAACAAGGTCCTACAGGGTTGCGGTTTGCATGTTCTACGTGTCCTTTTATTCATAATATCACACACAAGATCACCACGCGCACTTACTACAAGCGCAAGGAACAAGTTGATGTGTATAGCTCTGATTCAGCATGGGAAGGTGTTGATGCTACTGATGAGCGTTGTCCACGGTGTTCGCATCCCCGCGCTTACTATACGCAACTTCAGACTCGTTCTGCTGATGAACCTATGACTATTTTCTATAAATGTTGCGACCCCAAGTGTATGCATTCCTGGCGGGAAGGTTAACCTCTCAGGTATGTCTCACACGATCGCTTAATTTTGACCAATAAAACTAATACTATATATTTGAATTTGGGATAAGTAAATAATGTGTTGGCTAGAAAATATATGTCAAGTTGGATTCAATAAATTAGCTGAGGTTGGAAAGTCGGTGCATCGATTATATGTAACATCTTCAACATTTCGGAAACATTCGAGCTTTGTTATAAAACTATTCTAGTTTTAGTGTTACCACATGTAGCAGTAAAATATTCATTTTACTTGTTTATTTTCCTTTTTTGTTTTTTCATCATCTGTTTTATTTTAAATATAAAAAGTATGGACAATAGCATGTGAACATACATGATGAAAATTATTTATACAATTGCATAATATATCCTTATGATCATTTTTTAGTTTGATATAAAATAATTTAGTCAGAGTTTTATAACATGTTACTTTCAATATATTATAGATTTATTGTTTCTATGAAATATCATTATATTTAAAATTAGCATTATTACAGAGTTTTATAACAAAACTATAAAGTTTAGTAATATAGAAATCAATATAACATTGTTATATAGTACATTGCCAATGTAACAATGTTACATAGTATATTGCTAATATTTTAAATAGTAATTTCGTTTAAAATAAAATAAAAATTAACCTGTCACATAATTTTTTTACAGTATTTTTTTACAGCAAATAGATTTACTTACATCCGAAGTATCATGAATCCTACCACAATGGGCCCTGTAAAAGAACATATGGATAATGCCAAAGCAGAACTAAAATTAATTCCTGAAACAGAAAAACATTGGCTGTGTGGTGGTAATAGAAGTATTGGCATAGCAGCAACTCTCTTGCAACAAAATAAAGTGATTGCAGTGCCAACAGATACTATCTATGGGTTGGCTTGTTTAGCATCCAGCACAGAAGCTATTGAGCGACTGTACCAGATCAAAAAACGGGACGAAAGAAAACCAGTAGCGATCTGTTTGAGCAATGTAAAAGATGTGACACAATGGGCAGTCACCGACAACCTACCTTCCTGTTTATTGGAGAAGTTACTTCCTGGACCTTATACCATAATTCTAAAACACAAATCTAACCTGAATCCTGCACTCAACCCTGACATTGATAATATAGGTATCCGTGTACCGAGCTCCAGGTTCATGCGCAGTATAGCAAAAATTGTAGGCCCGATTGCACTCACTAGTGCAAACATTAGCAATAAACCGAGCACTTTATACCCTGATGAGTTCTCGATGTTGTGGCCCGAGCTTGATGGCATCTTTTACGATTTGACATGTATGAAGAGGACCAATGCACATAGAGTTGGTTCTACTGTGGTGGATTTGTCGCAACCAGGTTTTTACAAAATTGTGCGCCATGGTATTGCTGCACATATCATCCTAGGCATAATGCAGAAGGCTGGTTTGATAAGTATTACAGATGAGTGATTGACAGTGTCACATATGATATGTCAATCATGCTTTTGAATGTATGTTGTCTCATATATGCATATATAAACAATTATGCGCGTGCATATACCTGTAATATAAAAAAATTATATGTTATTTGTACCTTTATATTTAAATTACAAGAAGTAAAAAGTAGTCTCTTAAAATCTCATTTTATTGCAGCTCATTTGTTCTAAGAACTCTTCTGGCACATTTCATCCCCCCTTTCGCAATTTATCAAACAAGTTTTTAATAAATTATTCATTAAAAGTTATTTAAATTAAAATATATATATATTTCTACTTAATCGTAACGAGACCAAAAATCGTAAAATTTGATAAACCGAGTTCAAATATCCGTCTACCGACGACGATTCTCCACGTAGAGTCGTTCACATCGGTATTTCAATTTCTTTGGTGAGCATCCCGCATATGCTTATTAGACATGTATTCAAAATCGCGCATACGTACTTAAAGTTTCCTACAGTATATGAACTGATACTTCATTACAATTCTATTACATCCGCTCTACGATGAGCTGATTACACAGCTCGGTTCAGTATATACTTACAACTAATAAAAGTAATATAATGTAATAAATAAAAAATAATTTATATCAAGGCTACAAATATGACCCCTGTCATTCTTGTCGGACGTATCCTAACTGGCCTCATATCTCATAACGACCAAAAAATTACTATAACATTCGCTCAATCGTTTTTAACGATAAACTTTAGGCTCTTACGAAAGTTTCGTTGGCTGTCGAGTGTAATAATAACTTCTTGGACTTCCGAATTTAAATGTATGGGAGTCCAAATTTAAAAAAAAAAGGGATTCGCAGACATAATAAATCGTAAATCTGATGAAGCTTCTTAGTCGCAAGATTCTGAATTTCAAAATTCAAAAAAAAAATTAGATTTATATGACAAATACAAAAATGGGAAATCCAAAGTTAAACGATTTAATCATATGAGAATTAACGACAAGACTGAACATAATGTATTTCACTATAGATAAGCGAACTAGTTGAGACGTAATATGATCAAACTGAATGTAATCAATAGCATTATGTAAAATATTAAAAATCCCAGAACTTATACAGATGATCGGCTGTCATCTTGTCACGATTAATGCTATATCTATAAGACAAAAAATTACTATAACATTCGCTCAATCGTTTTTAACGATAAACTTTAGGCTCTTACGAAAGTTTCGTTGGCTGTCGAGTGTAATAATAACTTCTTGGACTTCCGAATTTAAATGTATGGGAGTCCAAATTTAAAAAAAAAAGGGATTCGCAGACATAATAAATCGTAAATCTGATGAAGCTTCTTAGTCGCAAGATTCTGAATTTCAAAATTCAAAAAAAAAATTAGATTTATATGACCAAATACAAATCAATGTGGGAATATCCAACAGTTTAAACGATTTAATCATATGAGAATTTAACCGACCAAGACTGATACATAATTGTATTTCTACCTATAGATATAGCTGAAACTAGTTTCGAGACGTAATATGATTCAAGAACTGAATCTGTAAGTCAATCAGCATTCCTGATGTCATAATTATCTCATTAAAGAATTCGCGCGCGCGGACAAAGAATTTTCTTACAAATATATTTCCAGAAATGATAAATATTATTCAAGAAATTATCAAGCAAAATGAAAGACTGAGCATCCGATGATCCACGATTCGAAGTTGCTTATGATTACTATTCTAGATACAACAAGAGCTTTCTGACTCGAATTAAGAAATATCTTGTAATTTTCTACAAGTATCTTTCAAAAACCAGGAAAACTTTCGCAAGGTCCCGGCGTCTCATTTCTCTCTGCTTATAATTACAATCTAAATCAGTCTAATCTTCCTTTGTAGAAAACATCCCTGACAAGCCTTTCTTCGCGTCTGTCTTGAAGATGCCTAACAGGCTACTCTTCAAGCGGACGTAGATCTCCTTGCGCACGGTTGCGCTAAACTTGGTGGCCAGGCAGCCGATTGCCGCTGTTGCGAAGATCAGATTGTAGAGAAACACAAGCTTGAAGTTACCTAGCCACTCAATGCGTCCAAAATCACCAAGTAGATCGAAATTTGTCATTCCTGAAAGCACAAAAATGCAGACGAAAATCATCCACAACGAATCGAGAAGGACTTTAGTGATCATAATATACTACTTACCTAATATTCGTGATAACAATGGTAATGCTGAGCTGAGTACGAGCAGGAGGGCACAATTCGCGATGAGATGAGTGAGCTGCGTTGAATGCAACTTTGGTTGAACTCTCCTCACGCCTGGCAGCGCATATAGACCGATCGCACTGGTCACGGCCAAATACAAGATTACTGCCACTTCAATCGTCGCTCCGATGGGCCCAAGCTTTGACAATGAACTGATCCCGAGTGTAAATTGCTATCAATCCAACGATTGCTCAATTATTATCATTTCACATGTTCGACATATGTTTGATTATATCTAAACGTTGCGCGTAAAACATCTCGGCTTTATATCAAGAATTATCAGGTAATTATCAAGTGAACCATTGAAAAAATGAAACATATATACGTAATTGAAAGAATTCAGTCTTTATTAGAATGACATGTCATAATTTCATTTCGATAGAATGTAGAAAGGGAAGTATAATGGAATGGAAAATTTAAATGTTAACTATTGTAAATCTCCTTTTACCTTTTTGTGTTTCAGATTAAATTCTTTCTTCGTTTTCCAATAAAATTTTGCTTTATAGGCAAGCACTTCGTTGAACTAAAGTTTTTGGAACTCAATATTTCATTCCATATATACATACTCTAGTGCTTAAAGGCAGTGCTTTGATGCCTATCAGCAGCTCCAGTGTATTCTGTACTGCTAACAGAGCGGTGGCGGTGGACAAGACAAGCAGAGTCAACATCGCCAGCGGATAGAACAGCGTACGCCTGACCCACCACGTGCTCCTCTGTCGATCCAACAGCTGTCGCTGTCTCTGAATGTCTTCTAGCCTCTCGGCAAGGCCTTTTTGTAAAGCACCATTTCTGAGGCACATCAGACTTGGATTCACGCTCAGCAACGGCTCATCTTCCTCCATTAATGAGCTACAACCTGGTAGAGACATCGGCACCGGTGACACGTACGACTTACCCGTCGCTTTTACATGCTGCAATCTGAATATATACGCTGAATTGTTATATTGAAACTAAGCCAACGCAATCGACGAGATTTACGCGAAAAAGAGAGGACACATTTACCGTCGGCGGATGCAATCTTCCTCCAATCTGTAAGCATAGAACTCCTCGTCCAAATTCTTTAGAAATTGAGGCTTAACCAGAAAGGATCCCACGACACCAAATAGTCGCACAAATCCCACAGGAGTACATACTGCGTAAAGAAACACCAGTAAATCAATTAATTCTCGAAACATGTATATTATTCCATACTAAGTATATGAGACTTTGTACAAGTGACAGTGAAAATACTCACATAACAACATCACAACGCCAACGAACGAGACGCAGGAGTACAAGAAAGGCAAATAGTAACTCCATAAATCTACAAAGTAGTGTTGATTAAAATTTCCACTTGCGCAGTTATAGTTCCTTGCAACATTCGCAAATTCAATCCTTCTTAAAAGAGAAAATCTAGCCTTTTTGTTTTTGTGTCAATCGTGAAATGATTCGACTCAAAATCCAGATTATGCGGTTATTGTTACTGTTATTCTTTATCATTTTCTTTATCACAGCAAGAATTTGAGAATCTTAAAATAATTTTAGATATTTACACGTGCATGTACATGCCTTTACTTACTGAGCAATGTGTGCAAACTTGAGTTTTGATGATCTAGCAGGGCAGACAGCACGTACGTCATTCCCAATACGAGAGTGCCCAGCAGAAAAAGAACAGTCAGTGTCTCGTACACCCTCGCCATCACGCCCTATGATTAGAATTATTTCAATAAGGCGAAACGGAAGAGGCGCAGTTATGCATCACTGCACTGAATTATTGAGTGGCCCCGCCTTACCCTTTTATGGCCCATGAAACCCTCCGACTCTGTGAAAAGGTAGGCGAAAGGTAGAAACACGAAGAGTGATACATTGGAAAACAAGAATACAAGGTTCCATAGACCTGTCAGTGATAAAAAAAAAAAAAGGATAAGATGGTTGGTACGATAATCTCTCAACAAGGAAAAAGCATTTTTATCCTTAATTATATTTTTTTTCCTTTTAACACAAATCATTCGACTTAATCGGATTTGCGCGTCTCTCTACCTTGGATGAGAGAGCTGTTGAGCCACTTAACGTAGTAGCTGTTTGGATAGAGGATGAGCACCTCATTGCTGGCGATCGACACCGGAAGAAGGAGTGTAGCACCGATAGACACCGCCAGTGCGACCGTGCACAAACTGTGGCTGATTTTGTACACAGTAGCTTCATCCTCGTCCACTGAGAGATAGTCTTCGCGATCGCGACGTCTGAAACGTTCGATCAGCGTGTGACTCGTGATGTACAGTAGCAGGGAGAGCAGCAAAAATATCTGTAAACATACACTACACGTTAATGGCACGCGCGAATGGCAATTACGTGTCAACAATGAGAATGAGCGCGTGCATCATCCGTCAATACTCCTCGCTTAATCACGTCGATTTTTATAGGAAGCTCGAGGGTACTTTTCAAAATGTTTCTGGTACATTTACAGTTAGAACATAATTTCCCGATCTATGCGATGATCAGCAGCTAGACCGACGCTAGAATAAACCTTCATCGAGATATCGTCGCACTTGCGTTACGTAAACGTCGTTAATTCCATTTACGACTTGTTAACCGAATACTTACAATTCCGGAAAACACAAGCGTGTCGCATAAACGAAGCCTCATGCAAGCGATAAATATGTAATCCCCAAATCTGTCTCGCTGACAAGAGACGAATGCCTTTTGTCCTTCTTTTCGTTTGTGCCGGATTTACCAAGGATCGCGAAATTTCTTTTTGCGACAATAGTTCGCAGCGAACCAAACGAATGCCAGATGTTTGTGCGATTGACCTCGCGAGTCGTGACAATAGCTCTTATGAATAAATGAAGGATCGCGAATTGCTAAACAACTGCAAGCTCTATCCGTTAGCCTGACTGCGTTTTAGTTTTCATTTATTAATTCACCTATTTTCGATCGATATTTCGCGCTTATTCAGCCGTTTCATTATTCATTCATTCGTTCTTCCCTACCTCGCGTTTACACACGTGTGATATATTCCTCGTCGTCGCCGTGGACGTGTAATCGACATGTTAATTCACCTACAGCGTTATAATGGAGCGCATATAATTACAGATAAATAGCCGGGTGTGCCTGGCGCGACATTCTCGGCCACGCGACTGGCAAGTTTCCCGGCTGAAAGCTGAGAATAGGACTGATGGAAGCAGGATAGATACGAACGTCTGAGGCGAGAACAATGTACGAAAGCTCCGGTTGTATACAGAGCAAATCTAAAAAAAGAGCCGAAGAATTTGGGAGCACCTAAAAAAAAGTATTCTATTTGTAGAGTGATTTTTCCCTGATAGTCTTATATTCTGAACGAAGCCTTTTACAGAAAAAGGATTCCTCTTTCGATAAAGCGATTAAAGTGAACCATTCATTTAAAATTTATTAGATATTATTCTAATTGTTTTCCTCTTATTTCAAGAGGATTTCCTCTATATCAATTAATCTTCCTCTTATATGAAGAAGAATATGATGATTTGAATGTCAGTTTCTTTTGTTTAATCATGTTCTACTTTCAGACACGAACGAAAAAATAATCATATGCTCATGGGTCAGAATATTTGGAACGCTTTTTAAAAAAGGTATGTGTGTTGCTGTGGCATATAATTTACCCATCTTTGGTCAAATACAGTTTATAATCTGTTGCAAGAAGTTGAATAATATATTCTTTCTTTGAACCATGTTTCATACAATTGATTGTGATGAACATCTTTGCAGCTATGAAGTCCATAACAAAACTGATTGGAAATTTATTTGTGATGATCTTATTTCATTCGTGCCTACTTATTGTAGAACTGGAACCAGAAGTACATATATATATATATATATATATTACTTTTTGCTATATATTATAACAATTTTTTCAAATTAATTAGTGTAACCAATAAGAATAAAGTACAGTATAAATAATAATCCTCTTAAAAAAAGATTAAATAATCTGTGTATAAGACGAAATTTATCTTAAAATCAATAAGATTTGCATTATACATATAACATATAATCCCTCTAACTTTAAGAATAATGTGCTTATAATATTTTTCTCTTAATCTTAGGAGGAATCTTCTCGAGGCCATATATAAGAATAAAATTTTCTAAAATTTAGATGATTCCACTTGTTCCGAAATTACTTTTTTTGGGTGTAATATTCGCGGAAATAAGCAAGATATTTAGTTGATACACCGAATCAAAAGATCAATTGGATTTGGAGACATAGCAATTTTCCATCTTGTATAAGTAATTCGCTGACGTTTCTTCTATGTGGCGACCTGTACATACGCACACATACAATCTTGTTTTATATAAATCGGCTCTTTTAGAATATTACATGCTGTGCAAAAGTATCGAGGTAAGACGATCGAAAAATAAATCATGTCGGAGAAAAATATGCAGTAGCTTACAGAAAATTGTTACCTCTTGATCGCGTTGTGTTTTAAAATCTTGCGCAGAGAAATCGACCGGGATCACTGAATATTAAAGAGATAAAAAGAGTCGCAGGCTGATTACGATATTTTTTTTCAGTTACCCTCCAACCAAAAAAGTCGGCGTTGAAGAGCGACAATAACTGAAAATAATTGTAACCGCAGGCATAGTTACGATACTTCTCTCTTCGCTCGTTGTCCAATTGTCGAATGATCTTGCAAAGTCTCCGATCGACAAGCGACGCCACGCTCTGCAGCGGATAAAAGAGGAAGATAGCGATTACCGTTATCGTTCATCATTTTTGATCATTGACCCCGGTCGAAGACTTGCCGAGCACGTTGCCGCAGTTTCTTATTTCGCGTCACCTTCTCGCATCTATTATCGATCAAACCGCCTGCGGCACAACTGGCCGAATGACACGTCACTTCTTCAGAATCTTGACTTCTCTCAATCTCGCTTTTGCAGTCAGCTTTGTGAAGCTCTCAGTTGTAACGGTATCTTTTTGATAACGTATCAATGCCGACGCGATGACGAGGCGCGGGACAGTCTAGCTTATGCGTTTTATAGTTACATTAGTTTGTGCTTTAATTTCCGAACTTGTGAATACCTTGCTCGTTTTCTCAAGTTACCGCACGTAACCTTCTCGGTGCGCGAAGGACGCAAGTACTTTCCGTATAGAGTTTGTAATTATCGTGACGAGAGGTGTGCGAACTTCATCCGAGTCATTTTTTTTTGAGGAAACTGATATTTTTGGTACTTAGTATAATAAGATTAATACAACGTAGTTAAAATTGACATATTTTATCTTTGCAACAGAGGAAGATAAATTTAAGTTTGAACATTGCGATCCGTCATTTTTTATTTCCTTTGCGTGTTTGCGTATAACTCAACAATTTTTAAACAACTTTCTTTGATACACGCGCATAATTTCTCCCGTGCATTTCAATAGGAGATTGCTCATAATGAACATCTCTTTCTTCCCTCGTGTATTAAGCGTGATAATAGCCTCTTCGTGCGTGTACCGATTAAAAGAATTAAACGGAACGTAAGCCGTACGGGACAATTAAATCATGATGGATTACTAGTCAAGTCATGGAAACAAGTGGAACGTGCTTTCACGGTACTTTCCAAAGAGGTAAAAGTCCACAGACCCAGGATTAACTTATACCAAAAAAAAGAAAAAGAGAAAGAATGAGATGGGAAGAAAAGAAACCGACATAGAAGCTAATAAACGTATGTTCTTGACCGATATTGCAAATCACAATTAGATTAGACTAATATATAATAGTCTAACTATAGGAACGTCAATAATGGACATCTGATTGTAATCCTAGGTAACTACATTCTTGCGCTTCTCTGATGTGTTTTCCACAAAATTTCATAAGAAATGCCCTGTCCTGTAGGAACGTTTCTACGTGGGGAAATATATTCGTAATGTTGTATACAACCTTTGTAGCATGTAATGTGTGCGCTATCTGCATGTATTCTCTATTTATAAATAGCAAAAGGGCGAGAATGAAAACTGCGAAAACTTTTGAGCTCGATGAATCGGTTGATCCTCTCTCTCTCGTGTCCCTAACATCTCTTCGATATTTCGTTCGAGGCTGTTGGATGGAAGTCGTCGGCAACAACTCGCCGACGACGACCGGTTCTCCCAGCGCGGCGTCGAGAAATTCGCAAAACGAAGACCGCGTCTGCCGCTAATAAAAACGCATCCTACGTCGACGCGGTTGCATTTGCGAAACGCAAGGTGAACGTACTCGAGGCGTGTCACGGTGTCTCGCGCGTTTGAAATTCCTGCGGATATTTTCCAAGTTGTGGAAGACAACGAGGAAAGGAAACAAGGATATCCCGCAAATATGGAAATACCCAATTTCCAAGAATTTAATTGCAGGAAGCCCAGTAGGCGAAAAATGTGGAAATTTTGGCTCTTCTAAAAATAAGGAAAATAAACTCGAAATAGTCCTGCTATGTCCTCGAACTTCGTGGGATTTTTCATCTGTGAAAATTCTTTGGCTACTCCAATTTTTCTAGAAATATCGACCTACCGACTTTTTAGTCGGTGTACGAAGTAACGTGCAATTAAAAATAAACAACTGTTGTTGGAAATGATAAAAGCGTAGACATAAACGATAAGACCTTGTTCTTCTTTCAACTTTATTGCGTTTGCGAGTACTTGCGTTTGCTTTGATATTGCTTGCAGAAATATTTAACATTGGATGTTGTCTATTTGTAACGAATATAATGAACTTTCACAACATTTTTGTCATGGAAAAATCAAAATTAATGCGTAACATTTAGCATTTGTGTATGTAATATATATCTGCTAGATTTATCTGTTGTTCCAAATTGAATGTTTGAAGTCAATATTTAATAGCACTTAATTTTGACAACAAATTCAGCATAGTTACGCTACTAATATATTATATAAATTACTGATTTATTATATATCGATCCCTGCAAAATTTTTTATCGCCTTTCTAGCAGAGTCTTACATTTCGTAATCACGATTAATCTTCCGATCCAAGTATATTATACGTAGATAAACTGAACAAAAGTAAGGACGGTATGACAAATTATAAATTAACAACCGCTCGTATAAACAAAACTCGAAAGCTTCGGAATTTGCCCTATTATTTGCGCACGTCGTCTCATATCTCTTGTCACGAGAAGACCACACCGACTACGACGAGGACACAACATATGTTCGACTTATCTCTCTTTCTCTCCCTCTTTCAACAATTACGTTAAATCGCCTTGCAAATTATCAAACATACAAAATTATATGTCGCGAAATTAAAGCGCACGTAAGGTTGCATTGAGACATCGCAAACACAGAATCTCAACGCTTTGTATCCAACAATTGACAGAGGACGAACACTTATTCGTTTCTCGTTAAAATAAATAAACATGCTGATTAAATCCACGTCGACACTCGTCAGATTTTCCGCAACGACGAGGCGTTACCGCTCACAGCGCGTGATTAGGTTCGTTTTCGCGAGCGAATGGCGCTGGGAAACTCGACCGTACGTCAGATCTTCGATGTCCTGAATCTTACATTTTACAACTTACCTTCGCGCGATTCGGTACAGAATATTCATAATTTTATCACGGGCAAGCATTTGGCACTCAACTTTCAAATCTCAATGTTCGTTTTTACTCGATTATTACGCAAGAAATCAAATTTCTTGCGTATGACAATACTACAGGTTACAACCTCAGGCATGAGACTTACGTCGCGAGACAGTGGGATCTATACCATGTTCGTTATGATCAAAAATACTCACGATACTCTCTCGCACGGTGTTGTGAAACAATTGTTCCCTTAGGTCAGCATCATCTTCCATCTTCACCTGTTTGTCAGCAGATCTCGGTCAGCCTGCGACATTTTAATCTTCTCGCCGACTTCACGCGCACGGCATATCCGAACGTGAAAGCGCACTACGAAGCGAGATGCGACGCCGCGTTGTATCCAGGTTGAGAGAGAGAGAATTGCGTTTGTGACGCTGTGACGCTGTGTTTACGCGATGGTAGGCATGGCACGCAAAATTAAATAAACGATCAACCACCACCACGGCTGTTAACGTACTGACCACCACGAATAACTACGAAGAGGCGTTAGTGTAGTGCACATAGCGCATGCGCGGCGTTTGAAACGTAGTCACCACACACGATTACGTTCTTTTCGTTTGTTCTTGAAACCCAATGTTATCTGTCAACAATATTTGTTACTCTTTATATTAATAAGAGACTTCTAATAATATGTAATATTTGTTTATTTATTAACTAGAAAAGTATCTCGCGGGCCATGAAACGATTTCGATTGACGTATCGATGAATATGATAAGATAGCAAACCGTGATATATCGATATTATTGAGACTTCGATTTCTCGATTTATCTTAAACATATATCGATATCGATAAATTTCGAATTAGCGTAACTTATGAAATATATAATCAATATACTTATGTATTTTTATTTTATTTAAATATACAAAAAAATGACTATGTACAATATAAATTAAACTACATACATGATACAAATAAATGATACAAAATAAAAATACACAGAATATTTACAAATATGGTTGCCAACCGCAATAAAGACGACACAAATTTGCAGGATCCCGCGCTTCTTGCAGAAGCCTTTCCACCTGTCCTGAGACACTGGACACTAAACCGTCCTCCGTCCCCTGTAACTTCTGCTCAATTCTCAAAAGAGCTCTTTTGGCGATTTTATTAGTCTCCACGGGCGCTTAAGAGAGTAATAATTAGTCATCAATTTCTCTCCATTAGAAGTAATATCAGCTACACAATCAGCTATAAAATATCAATAACTCTATTCTAAAATTCAGAAATTAATTTCGCTTACCACGTCCGCGCTCAGAGAAACCTTTGACGACATCACTCTGCATCTTGCAAGCTTTCTCCGGCGTGATGGCCCATGTGAACAACGGGTCGTAAAGTAGAACTTGCAGAAGAGTGATGATAATTTGTCTTTGATCGCGCAACATCGTCATGGTCACCTCGCAACTGCGTCTCATAGTACCCTCAATGCCGGATGCGCCCATGGCAACCTCGATATCTCTAGTCAGTCTACAACAAAGTGAACAAATGATGTTTCTGATTACGTTATGCTGGCGAATACAAATAAAATATTTGGATTAATTTAAAACATAAAAGGTTTCGCAGTCAACATGTTAAAAAAATTTGGAATTAACAATTTCAAAAATATTTTACAACTGTAATACATGATGCTCTTCTATGCAGACTTACGACTGACATATAATAGTAATTCTACCTGAAAGGAATAGTTTCCGGAATAGGCAAGACTTTGCCCTGCTCAAAGGCTACACCGAAGTCAATATGCACTACTTCGGCGGTCTGTTCGTCGATAAGAATATTACTCAAGTGTCTATCCCCCAAACCCAAAATATAGCCTGCGATGGATGTAGTGGCGACGCTGCGTGTATACGTGAGGGTTCTCTCAACCCATGTCTTAGGTGACAGATATTTCTCTTCGAAAAAATGCTGGAACGCTGGTCTCATACGTTTGCAGCAATCGAGGAATACTTTCAACTTTATCTAAACATCGAGAGACAATATAAAATACATAATCCAAGAGCTTAAAACTTGTAAAAATTATCTAGACGTAACTTGTATAACTAAAACTGTAAAACTTAAACGCCAAAAAATATCATTTTTGGCTCAGCATTAAAGAGGACGATGATAGAACAAATTATAATTAAGGTGTTATTGTTCTTTCCTAAGAATATTGTTCTTTGGTCACCTCGTTCGATTCTTGTGCAACGTTTTTCAATTTGTTCCTCGCCGTTTCCGCGGTCATGTCGTGCGGATAATACTTCTTGTGCAAGCCGGGCATGTTTATACTGCCTACTAAGGTCGTCGTGATCGGTACTGTATTGTCGCACCATTCCAATACGCCGGATCTTTGCGTTAGAGGTATCACTTTGTACGTTCTAATCCGCAGATTTCGCCGTTTCGTTTCCTTGCATGTTCTCAACAGCGTATTTATCACAGTGAATACCTGTTGCATCACTGCGTCTTGTCTGAGGTCATCTTTGCCCTTAACTAGCTGTCGGCGTTTTATGCCGTCGGTGCCAACGCAGATCATTTTTTTCGGAGCAGTAACGCCACCGACAAACTCGCAGGTCTCGTGATATGATTTCACACCGACTACGTTGGTATAATTACCGGATGGTTTTACGAGTAAGCTCAGAGTAGGTAAGAGAACGTTATTCAAGTTCTTAATCTAGAAAATAGTTATTTAATATCAGAGATCAATTCATTCTATTTTTTTAGGCAATTTTTAAAATTATAAATACCTTAACAATATTAAAATTAAAAATACCTTGAATATCGGCTGGTCCCGCGGTATCTGGTAGGGCTTTCCAGGGTGAGCATTACCCTTGTTGGGTTGCCAATATGCCAAACTCACCAAGGCCCTCGACAAATTCTCCATTTCGTGAATAATTTTCGATACAGTGGAGTCAGTGGAGTCAGTCAATTGTTTGAGAAGCTTTTTAGCACCTAACACACGGCGTTCTTCCTTCTTCGCAGCTGTATTCGAGTCAAATTCACTATCGCTGTGTAAGTTTTTCAGAGCCAACACCACCGGTAGTGTATGATACGGGTGTTCCTGAGCACAACGCAGGAGAATGTTGAAAATCTTTGCGGAAAAGCCACTCTTTAGATCGTTGCTGATGTGAGCGGCTAATTGCGGCACTAGCGGAACAAATTTGAAGGATGGCACAGTGTCGAGCTCGTTTAGGAATTCGTTCACTTCCTCGTCGAACATGTTATCTAGCCATAGTGATACCAGACGAAAGATGAGAAGATTATGCTCTTCGCTACGTTGCAGAGTCCTAAGATAATACTTTAACGCCTGCGACAGATAGTTGCGCTTTTCCTGCTCGATACTCTCCAACTCCGCCGCGTCGTTTGTCGACTGTTTCTGGTTGATCATCACAGCGCGCTTGAGATCTTGGTTCTTTGTCATCTGTGTTGTATCCACTTTAATTGCAGTGCGAGCGTATTCCTTAAGAGATTCGTAGGTCGAAGACTTCATGTATTCGCTGATCTGCTCATATTGCGCGTCTGCAAAACGCGCTAGCGCAACCTGCAATAAAATACATATTAATGTTATGTATTTTATTGCAGATTCACATCAATTAAATATTTATTTATATATTATTTGTATATTTATCTATAAGAACTAAAAGGACTAAAAGAATAACTATACTTTATGTTATTATAATTATATTTTATATTATAATATATATATTATATTATAATATAATATATATCATCATTAATATATAATTCGTCAGAAGTATATAGCTTCACTATATTATTATGTTTCTTCATGTTCTCTACATGTATCATCAATGTAATTATAAAGTTCATACATTGTACATTAGTTTTTACCTGTGTGTCGTTCAAGTTTTTAATAACATCAGGCGTCTGTTCATCGATAGCCTTGCTAGTTTTAATTGACTCTAGGTAATATTTCTGTATCACTGCCTGCGGGTTCTCCGACTTGGTTTCCGCCATCCAATCGCCGTAAACCCGAAGAGCTTTCGCCTTTAAATTAAGATTCATATTCCTCTTCTCGATCAGATTACGTAACAAACGACGTGCTATTTTCTGGTCGCGCGTCATCCATGCTAGGAGAGATTCCTGAAAGAGTAATTGGTTTTGGAGATCTTCAGACAGATCTTGGTATTTCGCTAAGGTGCCGAGCGCTCTCGCAGCTACCGGAAAATTTCCCTGACTTTTGGCGACCATCGCCAAGCTCAGACAGGTCGTGAAGAACGCCTCCTGCATGTTCATATCCGTTTTCAGAGATTCCTTGATTCGAAACATGATAATACGCTGTTGCAAAATTGGTTCCATGTATTCGAATTGACCGGTCGGGATTTCGTGCTCATCCCAGCGTTGTAGTACTTCCGGATATTTCTGCGAATCCGTCAAACTCAGCTGCTCAATCTCGCGCAATAAACGCAGCTGGGATAGTTTCTCGTTGACAGTTCTACTGCTTTCTAAACTGATGATTCTGAGGAAACTTATGACACTTTTACGAGCGTTTTCGAGTGCTTTCTCTATTCCCCTTTGGTCATTCTCATGGAAGCATTTCAAGGCATGATAATGTTGCTGGTGAAATGAGTTCTCCAAGGACTCCAGTCGTGGTAGTGGCGAATCATTGTAATTCATGGCAGTGTCGTTGACAACTAGATCCCAGTTGCTGAGCCTCCAGGCGCATTCATAACCGTATTTCTCGTCGAGATCTTTGTTCAGAAATTGCCACTGAAGAAATTGCAGTCCAGAACGATGCAATGCATTCGACATCTCTCTGGCGGCCAATGGATTGTCGTAAGACAACTCAATGTCCTGTGCCAGCATGACTTTGTCCCAGCTGTCTGTGCGCGCATAGTACTGTACCCTGGAGTTATGGTCGACTAGATATGACGAACCGGCACAAATCGCATCGGGGTCGCTTATATTCAGATACGTGTCCTGCATAATATCCTGCAACACTCGACCGAATTGCGGCTGATGTTCATAAATGTAATCAATCTTTGGGTCGCTGCTGAAGTTGGGGTAATCCGTGGAAAATGATTCGCAAGCTAACTGCGCGAACAACAATGCCGTGTAGTATGCGGAGCATTCATGCGCCGCGCGTGCAAGGTAGATATAGTCGATCTTCAGAGCCATATCCGGCAATTGCGTTCGCACGTAGTTCATCACGTCCAACATACGGCGCACGATGTTGCGATCGCAGTTGCCACGAGCGAACGACGGCGACGACGTCGCGCCTTGGGCTTCGTGATCGATCGCGAAGTGATACCTGGCAATATTAAGCTCATTTTTATATCTCTAAAATATATTTAAATCATTAAATTTAGAAAATAACATTGTATGTACTATTGTAGATATTAACATTTAACTAATTTAGATATTAACATTTCACAACTAACATAACAACTATACAATACCTAAAAAACTGATTAATACAGTCGCACAAGGCGTCGATGGAACTCTCACATCGTTGGATAATGAGGAAGATGATCCTTGGCAGGATAAGCTCACAGAATTTGATGCTAAGCCAACAGACTGACAGGAAACTCTCCAGATAAGAATCCGTAAAGCATTCAGCGACACTGCAAGTAATCTTGACAATCCATTCGGCATAATTATCATTATTCTTGATGGTCCACAGTATGTTCTTCGGATTCATAATAGTTCGAAATTTCGCAATGTTCACGGAGAAGGATTTCTTCGCGACGGCACGTTTCTCTTGAATGAACGGACGGATATAGTCTATTTTTAGAGAAGCGTACTTGTCATGAATGTACGACAGATTTTGTATGTACTTAGGATCAGATAGTTTTTGACCATAGACGGTTGAGAATACTATATAAAGAGCATCGGCGCTGACCTGAAATAAGTATAGTTTATTGATGTAATGATAATTTATTCCTTGCATTTCAATTAAAGAGAAACCTTGCGTAAGTTTACTGCATTCTCCACTAAAAAGCTCGTTAACATTGTGACAGATCGATATGTCAAAACTTCTATCACATGGTCCACTTCGCGCACCAGACTTTCAGATGGGCGTAAAGCCACTGTGGAATCCATAGGGCCGAATTCGCCGAGACACTTCGTGGCTTCGATCGAAATGCGCATATTAGATGATTCTGTCAACTTTATTAGTCTGAAAAATAAATTTTTTATATGTTTTATGGATGTTTGTAAAGAGAGAATTACAAAAAATAAAATGAAATACAAAATCAAAGACAAATGCCCTGAGATGATTTTTAAATTCATTTTTCAACTTCTGTCAAATTTAATAATACCAATCTACGAAAAATTAGTTTATATAAAATAAATCTTAAAGAAATAATTATAGCATTATATTCGTGTAGATTTTTACTTACTTCCGTCATTCTTCCCGCGTTTTTACGATTACTAAATTTCAAATAGATACAATGTCAGATAAGGATACAAGATAAAGAAAATTAAATGGCAGTTGAAATAAAATGCTTACTTAAATATTATTTGGTGCAAGATATTGACACCATCCTCAGGATATGGTCTCTCCAGCTTCCGATGCAGTTCTTTCAGTTCTTTCTTCCGTGTCGACAGCTGTTGTGTCAAATTCGCGAGATCTTCCAGCGTGCATTCGGCGTTTTCATCACTCATAGCATCAAGAAAACGCTCTAATTCTTCCTCAAGACACACCGCCCCATCCGCGTACTTGACAGCTTTGTGAGCTTCTCTCACCTTCCGGAAAATCTCAAGATTTGGGAAGGAACTGAGTTTTGCGATGGACTCGTGTAAAATATCCTTCTGCTCCATTATAAGAAACTGGAGCAAATTCAGAGCGACCTCGGCGCTGCTCGCATTCTGTGCTAGGCCGATTAGATTCGCTATAATGAACCTGAGAACATCCTGGACTTCTATGGCCCTTGTTGGCAATGCTTGTCTCAGAAACAAGTCAAGGAATATACAACACATCGCAGATAAGGTCTCGTTGATCCTCGTAAAGTGTAACAGACTGTAACATACGTCCCTGACCAAGAATGCGGCCATATCGTCGAAATATGGTTCTCGGAGATCTTGCATCAACCTGTGGCAGAAATATGCGTACTGATGCAACCTTTTCAGCCTACTCTCGTTGGAACATGCTGAATGTACGGCGCTTGCCAGCTGCAACAATATTCTCTGCAGCGCTGCTGGTTGCTTCTCTATCAACACGCGCGTCAAAGGCTTCATCAGATAATTTTGCTCAAGGTGGCTGAAGCACTGATCCACCATAGCCGTGGAGAAATGTGGCGGATCATTCTCTGGCAAGGATGCTACGTTCAATGAGAACATACGTTCAAAGTGTGTTTCGTCATGCAACCGTTGCACCAGCTCCACGAGAACGTCCTTCAGTCGGTCGGTTAATAGTTGAGTGAAATTGCATATCGACGCAAATTCATCCGTATTTTTCTCCAGTTTCTTTAGCGTCTGGGTAATAATTCTATCGACTGAGGTTTGATTGTACACGCGAGATATCATCCAAACGAAACAGGACGGAAAAACATCCACGAAAACGTCAGCGAATGCTATGTCAGCGTTGATACAAAAAGACACAGCTTCGCTGAGACCCGAAGTACGGAAAACAAGTGGAACTATATGGTTGATGTGTTTCTTGAAGAACTCAGCTGAAGTCTCACATCCTGTTGAAAACCATGCTTCGTTTGCAATATTATGCTTGGCTTTTGGTTACTTGATTTGAGATCGTTACCTGTGAGCATCCACGGAAACTTCTGTAATGAATACTTTGCATCGAGCCAAGATGTTAACAAGTAGTTTAGATTATTTTCGATCAGTGAGTCGTACATAGTTTGTTGAGTAGCTGTCAGAAGGACTTTCTGCACTTTTTGCGGCTTCACTTCTCTATTCACCGTTAACTGTAGCATGGTGTTTAAGGCACGGCTCTGGAGAACTCCGCTAGCGCACACCATAGAGGCCAAAGCTATCAATGAAGTAGCCATTCTGGTTTCCTTCTCGTCTTCTTGCTGACACATCTTTAAGTAGCTATTCAATAAAAATGCGAATCAAGCAATAAACGAACACTTAATGAATAAATATTTACGAGTGTCAACGTTCGCATTCATATTATATTCATATTCATACCTTTGTGAATTCGAGCTCGAATCTTCGTCCATGTTAAGCAACTTGAGTATCGTTTCCTCCACCTTCACAAACATCCACTTTTTCCACGTGTATGCGATGTTTTTAAAGGACAAGAGCTCTTGCAAGCATCGTACTGCCTGCGTTCGTAATACAAATAACGAGTGGCCGATATAGTCAAGAACGCTATCCAGCATCAATGTGATGTCCTCGGAAGAGTCCGCGCTCCACAAGAAGTCCGGATCGATACGTATGACGCTGCAGACACATTTCATGTAGTCGACATGCACTGGTATGCCGCAGTTTTGCTTATGAATGTATTTGTAGAACGTCGACAATGTCTCGATAAACCTCCTCGGCGAGTAACGATACTTCATCGCGTATTCAAAGAAGAACGGCAGAAGGTTCAGTAGCCTGCGCAACGATTCCTCATCTTTAGGATTCTTCTGACAGACCTTCAGCAGAAAGTCCAACGGCGCATCCGCGTATTCCTGCTGGATATCGCTCTGGTTATGTCCGGCAAGCGACTCCAAGATTGTCAAGGACATTCTAAGTTCCACGGGGCTCGTGCAGTCTTGTTGTGCGAATAGCAACTTCATCATCTTCGTTTGTAGTGCGGATCTATCCTTACCGACATGCAACGTGCAGAAAGACGTTAAAGCCTCGATTACTCGCAGGCGGATCATTCCCTCGCGAGGAAGGCCAAACGAAATCAACGGCGACGAGATCTCCGAATTAGAACGTCTACGTCTCTCGTGGTACGTGCCAGGTTCCTCATAATAATCAGAGCCACGTTGATAATCGGTTATGTCGGTGTCATTAACATTCAACAAGTCGAATATATTCTTCAACACGTCAACTGTAGATGCCGAGACGATTATCTTAGCGATGTTCGCATCGTAAGCGCCTCCATAAAGTACGCTTAACGCCTTAATCACGTTCAGTAAGTACATGGATTTGCACTTGCAATTGACATTTGCTAAGACTGCTAAACTGTTCGTTAGATATTTCTCCAGCGTATCAATTAGTGGGCAATCAGTGATGTCCTCTGTCAAAACGCCCAATTGTATCAAAATAGATAATAATTTGGATAAGAAGGCGAGCTTCATCAGCATGACGTAGACCTCGTCATTGGAACCTTCTTCTTGGAGAAAATTATTCAATCGCTGCTTCAAGAAACTGAGTGTCTCTTGCACGTAAGAGATAGGGCCGGAACTCGTTCTGGAATCTGCTTCAACGTGTTTGTTTTTCGTACATGCTACCAACTCTGCTTTGAAAGCCAAAGATGAATAGCAAAGTCGTGAAAGATCCGTCAAATGAAAGTCCCCCGGCATGGCTCTACATGCTTCTTCCTGATTTTGCAGACATTTCGGGTTTCCCCAGTTCGGTATGAGATCTATCCTGATATTCTGTCGACAACGAGAACTCAAGACGAGGTTCACAGAGAGAACACAAATATCATCAACGGGCAATCGGCCTGCTAGCCTCTGCCAGGGTGCATTTAATAACCATTCTAGCAGGCGAGTTCTGTCGCAAACCGGCGTTGACGAAGGCGACGGATCAAGAACTGACGCAGATGCACCCTCCGGCAACGAGACGCGCTTGCACAGTAGCAGCAATGTATGCACGCTCTTCGGTGACCAGCGAATCGCTTTAGTCAGATATAATCTGAGGAGGGCATTTGCGTTCGACATTTTGTTATGCTTTATGAAACAGCGAACTAACGCGTGACCCGATTCTTCATTCTGGTTCGCCCCCAAAGATCTGAAATAATGGCCTTCCTATAAATTTCTATTCAGACTTGGCAACGTTATTGTTGGTTGTTAAAGAAAACGAATAGAATAAAAAAACTTAATACTAAATTTATTGGAAACAATAAATATAAGAAATTGCAATAGAAAACTTGTCGTTAACGAAACAGGAAGCCTATATACCTTAATAACATGTCCCAAATCTTGCTCCAATGTAGCATAGCATCCTGTATCTCTCCAATAAACATTTCATTTTCCATAAGCACAGCAGCTAATCTATATAAGTTATCCATAACGGACTCGATTGCATCGGTTGTTCGTGATAAGGATTGAGCAAGCTCCGTCAAATATTGCAATAAAGGCGCGAGATCCTGCAGTTTTAAGCACTGTGGGTATTTCTTCAAAGTTTCCATTGAAATTTTTATCCAGGACCATACTTCCTCGGGACTACTTTCCGTTATTAACTCAACAATATTGTCTATCTTCTTAAGTATTCGCCTACGTTTGGTCGGTTGAAAATGCGAATCATTATAATTCGCATCAGGGGAAAAAGCGACACTACCCACATTGTCTATCATCTGTTTCACAACTGAGGATTACATATGTTTATGGTATTGATGACGATGATACGAATATATGCAAATAAAATATTGTTATATTGTTATATATATTATAATAATATATTGTTTTGCTGCAAATACCTTCACTGGCAAACTGGATGAAAACACGCCACTGTACATCCAATTTACAATTTTCTTGGATGAGCAGGCACATACTTCCCAGTAAATTCTTCCATTTACTCCAATCGTAAGCATAAGCACCATCATTGCATTTGGAAATACCCTCTGGGTGATGAATCTGCATGAAAATCAGCAGCAATCTATATTTCTCTTCAGAGCTGTTCAAATGTATCACATCCATTAATATAGTCTCACTAAACTTGCATAATGTAATTCTGGATTCTGTTGCAATTTGTCTACATATGCTATTAGCAAGTTTGTAAAAAGATTCAATCAACTGCTCATTATTTGTTTTTATATCCTCCAGGATGTCCTCTAAAAGATTAAATATTATTTCCTATCAAATTATATTAATATAAAAATAAGAAACTCCTCAGAGAAAAATTATTATACCTAGAAACAACAGAGAATTCTTTACATCAGGAAGCAAGTTAGCATGTGAGAAAGAATACTCCACAATCATCCGCAACGCATCCAACACAATATGTTTCTTCAGATATATCTTTTTATACAGTTTTCCACAAACCATAAATAATTCTCTCCATTGTTTTGCTGTGATATCACTATGTTTTATATTCTTAGGCAATATATATTTGACCAATATTCCTAAATATGTGTCCTGATAGTGTATATATAGGTCAGAATCTAATATTTGCAGTATCAAAGGAACTATCTCACTACTTTTCAAAAATTTGGTAGATTTCTCATAAGATTGCCGTACAGTATTGATGATTAGTCTACTGATAGATTGTCTCTCATTGCTTTTGGAAACTGTCTCCTTACCAGGTCTCTCAGCTTCCTTTATTTTATATTCAAAAGTTATTCATTTTATGATATTAAATCAATCATTTAAATTGCAAATAGATATACATACTATTTCTTAAATACTTTAACTTACATTAAGAGCCAGCTTATGAGCAGTATGTATAATATAACACCAATTGACAAATTTACAAGTTCCTTGTTCTGTATGTTGACATATCTCTTTAAGAGCATCTTCATTCTGATATAGATCCAACAGTTGGGTTACACATTTCTAAAAAAGTTTCCATGAAAAAATAATTACAATTAACTTAATAAAATATTATAAGAATATGCAACATTTTAATATACAGAATAGATCTAGATCAACTATATTCTCTAAGAACTATACAACTTTTAATAAATTTCAAGTGGTCTTCTTTAATAAAAATTTAACATATCATTTTCACAATTTTTTGATTGTAACGTAAACATTTTAATAATAATTCATCACTATACGATCACATAATGACAATAATTACCTTTTGGTCAGTCACTTTCGTACTGTCACGAGAGCTTAAAATCTGACGTATTCTCTCCGAAATTCGCGACATATTCGCAATTATATCTCAACAGACATCGATATTAACACATTCGCAGAAAAACGTAATTTCAATAATTTATCGAACAAGGAGACACAAAATATTGTACACAATATATAATAATTATTCGCGAGATTCGGAAAATTCCATCAAAATCTAACCAACATTTGATCATTCTATGAATGCCGCCAAACGCAAAAACTCACCATCAGTGCTGCGAGACCGGAGAATTTCCAGGCATGCGCATTGAGCAAACGCTGTGGGAGTCCCAGTACCGTATTAATTTAAAGGTATTTAACGATATGGTGATGATACTATGGATTGAAAATTGCAATCGGATAAATCAGGTAATCTAAATCTTGGTTATTTAAGTTGGTCCACTTGTAATTTTCAATCTATAGTCTAAGCGTAAGACTCCATGCATGCGGTGAGCTCCGGCAAACGGCTGCGGTGACCAATCAGGAGACAGACGCATGCCGGAGCTTGCCGCAACCGGACTTGCGCCTCCTTCCTGATTGGTCATCGCAGCATTTGCCGCAGCTCACCGCATGTATGGAGTCTTAGCTTAATACGGGCGTAAGATCCCTCGCCTGAAAGAAAATATGAAGGAATTGTAAGGAGAATAGAAAGGATCCGCCGTGGAACTTCTGTCACGCGCTTTAAACCGTCAGTAAGTTTTGACATATGTGTAGCCAGGCTTGATAAACTCTTATGGGAAAACTCTGACCAGTGTTTTAACGCCATCTAAAAGATAGCCCCCAGGAAATGTGAACTACGATGCCAAAAATTCAATATGGCGTCTGTTATAAGACTGGTGCGTGTATATGTTACTTATGTTCGCTGAACGCAGCCAACTATATTTCTACAATAAATATTTGAACGTTGTTTAACACTTCTTGTAATTAAAGGAATTTTTTTTGTGTGGTCATCGTCGCTCGCTCCAAACTACCATATATACGGAAGGTAAAGACATATTAACACGCTTGTTATTTAGACGTAAGTATTTGTTACGTTACTTTTTATTTGTAGCATCGAAAATGTTTTCAGCGTACGTTGCGTCATAGATTTTAAAAGAACGTCCCTCTAAGATATTTGAGCATAGATATGGGGAGGACATGTTGTGTTCCTGGATGCAAGTCTGGGAAAGAAGTGCCTTCACATCGATTTCCCAAAGATCCTGAAAGATGCTCAAAATGAGTACAAAGTTTGAAATTGAAACATTTAGAAAATTATCCAAGCAATGAGATACAAAAAAATAAAGTGTGCCATAAACATTTTCGTCTAGAAGACTATAGTCCATGTTTGCATAAACGTGTTTTATTAAATGTTGCGGTTCCTGTATTGTTTATACATAATACAAGTATAGATGCTTGGTGTACACATATCAACAACATTTTATGTAAAAAGATAACAACAGATAGCGATAATTATATGTATAAAGCAGCAATGCGAATATCAACAAAATATGCAAAAAAAAACAGTGAAAAAGAATAAAATAAAGATTGAGTATACATTGTTTTAAATTGTTTATTTTTTTAAAATTGCTTTTTAGTTATTCATTTTGTTCCAAATCCAATAAATTGATTGAAATTTAAATATAAAATTAAATATACTAAAACGAATAAGAGCTCATCTTTATCGATCGGTAAGTTACTTTGCTACGTAGTTCATATATTATTCGGGGTCATCTTTTAGATGGCGTTAAAACACTGGTCAGAAATTTTACATGGAAGTTTAACAACCCTGTGTGTAGCTCTACGTTACTTCAGGCATGCGCTGTAGCGTGGGAAATTCTCCCGATCTTGCAGCACTGGGCTGCATTCCGATATTCATTGCCAGTACTGAAAATCTATAATATATGTGACATAAAGTATATATTTTCAGTACTGGCAGTGAATATCGGAACGCAGCACTGCTCACCATTGCGAATATTAGCTAAAGCCCCGTTTACACATATAGGCTGCGTTCCGAAATTTACTGCCAGTACTGAAAATCTATACAGCGAACAGCACACGGTACACTCGCGGACATAATAGTATGTGCCCGTTTTCTTGCAATTTTCGGAACGCATCTCGACTCGAGAAGAATGAAAGTCATTCTACAATACGTGTCGTAAGTTGTAAGCCGCAAGAATTGGCGAATCACAGTCGATTATTACAAAAATAATCGGCTGTAATTGGTCAGTTCTTATGGCTTACAACTTACGACACGTATTGTAGAATGACCTTGAGCAGAGAGGAAGATGAGAGCGGCCAACACGGCGTTTTCGGCGACACCGATTTTTAGCACTGGGAATGGGCGCTATCTGCATCCAATTTGAGAGGGGAACTACGATGCTACATCCACTTTTAGGTCTCGACGGTAAAACCTGCATCTGGTGGCTGTCCGTGCTACATCCACTTTCAGACAGTTTATGTCCGTGCTACAACCATAATAGCGTACTTGACAAGCACGGTCTCGCGCATTGTTATGCATTTGTAACATGAATTAACATGTTAACATGCACAAAAAAAATAAGAATTGAGATTGTATATGATTAATATCATGAAGATTATATTTTATATTTTTTATCTCCGCTTCTACTGGGAGTAGAGAGTCGTCACTTACGGCAAAATGTAGGGTTTTGGGAGGACTTTAATTTGGTGCCAGAACCAGGCCTGTATCTCTAACCGTTTAGGAGATATCGAAGGTTAAAGTTTTCCAAGCTTTCTCCGTTGATATCTCCGCTTCTACTGGGAGTAGAGAGTTGTCACTTACGGCAAAATGTAGGGTTTTGAGAGGACTTTAATTTGGTGCCAGAACCAGGTCTGTATCTCTAACCGTTTAGGAGATATCGAAGGTTAAAGTTTTCCAAGCTTTCTCCGACGATATCTCCGCTTCTACTGGGAGTAGAGAGTCGTCCATGTAGTCCAAAATGTAGGGTTTTGAAAGGGCTTTAATTTGGTACCTGTCCGAAGCCTGTATCTCTAACCGTTTAGGAGATATCGAAGGTTAAAGTTTTCCAACCTTTCTCCGTCGATATCCAGCCTTCATCCGTCGATATCTCCGCTTCTATTGGGAGTAGAGGGTCGTCCATGTAGTCCAAATGTAGGGTTTTGAAAGGGCTTTAATTTGGTACCTGTCCGAAGCCTGTATCTCTAACCGTTTAGGAGATATCGAAGGTTAAAGTTTTCCAACCTTTCTCCGTCGATATCCAGCCTTCATCCGTCGATATCTCCGCTTCTACTGGGAGTAGAGAGTCGTACATGTAGTCAAAATGTAGGGTTTTGAAAGGGCTTTAATTTGGTACCTGTCCGAAGCCTGTATCTCTAACCGTTTAGGAGATATCGAAGTTTAAAGTTTTCCAACATTTCTCCGACGATATCTCCGCTTCTATGGGAGTAGAGGTCGTCATGTAGTCCAAAATGTAGGGTTTTGAAAGGGCTTTAATTTGGTACCTGTCCGAAGCCTGTATCTCTAACCGTTTAGGAGATATCGAAGGTTAAAGTTTTCCAACCTTTCTCCGTCGATATCAGCCTTCATCCGTCGATATCTCTGCTTCTACTGGGAGTAGAGAGTCGTCCATGTAGTCCAAAATGTAGGGTTTTGAAAGGGCTTTAATTTGGTACCTGTCCGAAGCCTGTATCTCTAACCGTTTAGGAGATATCGAAGGTTAAAGTTTTCCAACCTTTCTCCGTCGATATCCAGCCTTCATCCGTCGATATCTCCGCTTCTATTGGGAGTAGAGGGTCGTCATTGTAGTCCAAAATGTAGGGTTTTGAAAGGGCTTTAATTTGGTACCTGTCCGAAGCCTGTATCTCTAACCGTTTAGGAGATATCGAAGGTTAAAATTTTCCAACCTTTCTCCGTCAATATCTCGGCTTCTACTGGGAGTAGAGAGTCGTCCATGTAGTCCAAAATGTAGGGTTTTGAAAGGGCTTTAATTTGGTACCAGTCCGAAGCCTGTATCTCTAACCGTTTAGGAGATATCGAAGGTTAAAGTTTTCCAACGTTTCTCCGTCGATTTCCAGCCTTCATCCGTCGATATCTCCGCTTCTACTGGGAGTAGAGAGTCGTCCATGTAGTCCAAAATGTAGGGTTTTGAAAGGGCTTTAATTTGGTACCTGTCCGAAGCCTGTATCTCTAACCGTTTAGGAGATATCGAAGGTTAAAGTTTTCAACCTTTCTCCGTCGATATCCTCATCGTCTTCCGCTTCTATGGGAGTAGAGGGTCGTCATTGTAGTCCAAAATGTAGGGTTTTGAAAGGGCTTTAATTTGGTACCTGTCCGAAGCCTGTATCTCTAACCGTTTAGGAGATATCGAAGGTTAAAGTTTTCCAACCTTTCTCCGTCGATATCCAGCCTTCATCCGTCGATATCTCGCTTCTATGGGAGTAGAGGTCGTCATGTAGTCCAAAATGTAGGGTTTTGAAAGGGCTTTAATTTGGTACCTGTCCGAAGCCTGTATCTCTAACCGTTTAGGAGATATCGAAGGTTAAAGTTTTCCAACCTTTCTCCGTCGATATCTCCGCTTCTACTGGGAGTAGAGAGTCGTCCATGTAGTCCAAAATGTAGGGTTTTGAAAGGGCTTTAATTTGGTACCAGTCCGAAGCCTGTATCTCTAACCGTTTAGGAGATATCGAAGGTTAAAGTTTTCCAACCTTTCTCCGTCGATATCCAGCCTTCATCCGTCGATATCTCCGCTTCTACTGGGAGTAGAGGAGTCGTCCATGTAGTCCAAAATGTAGGGTTTTGAAAGGGCTTTAATTTGGTACCTGTCCGAAGCCTGTATCTCTAACCGTTTAGGAGATATCGAAGTTTAAAGTTTTCCAACCTTTCTCCGACGATATCTCCGCTTCTACTGGGAGTAGAGAGTCGTCATTGTAGTCCAAAATGTAGGGTTTTGAAAGGGCTTTAATTTGGTACCTGTCCGAAGCCTGTATCTCTAACCGTTTAGGAGATATCGAAGGTTAAAGTTTTCCAACCTTTCTCCTCGATATCCAGCCTTCATCCGTCGATATCTCCGCTTCTACTGGGAGTAGAGAGTCGTCCATGTAGTCCAAAATGTAGGGTTTTGAAAGGGCTTTAATTTGGTACCAGTCCGAAGCCTGTATCTCTAACCGTTTAGGAGATATCGAAGGTTAAAGTTTTGCAACCTTTCTCCGTCGATATCCAGCCTTCATCCGTCGATATCTCCGCTTCTATTGGGAGTAGAGAGTCGTACATGTAGTCCAAAATGTAGGGTTTTGAAAGGGCTTTAATTTGGTACCTGTCCGAAGCCTGTATCTCTAACCGTTTAGGAGATATCGAAGTTAAAGTTTTCCAACCTTTCTCCGACGATATCTCCGCTTCTACTGGGAGTAGAGAGTCGTCCATGTAGTCCAAAATGTAGGGTTTTGAAAGGGCTTTATTTGGTACCTGTCCGAAGCCTGTATCTCTAACCGTTTAGGAGATATCGAAGGTTAAAGTTTTCCAACCTTTCTCCGTCGATATCCAGCCTTCATCCGTCGATATCTCCGCTTCTACTGGGAGTAGAGAGTCGTACATGTAGTCCAAAATGTAGGGTTTTGAAAGGGCTTTAATTTGGTACCAGTCCGAAGCCTGTATCTCTAACCGTTTAGGAGATATAGAAGGTTAAAGTTTTCCAACGTTTCTCCGTCGATTTCCAGCATTCATCCGTCGATATCTCCGCTTCTACTGGGAGTAGAGAGTCGTCCATGTAGTCCAAAATGTAGGGTTTTGAAAGGGCTTTAATTTGGTACCTGTCCGAAGCCTGTATCTCTAACCGTTTAGGAGATATCGAAGGTTAAAATTTTCCAACCATTCTCCGTCAATATCTCCGCTTCTACTGGGAGTAGAGAGTCGTCCATGTAGTCCAAAATGTAGGTTTTGAAGGGCTTTAATTTGGTACCTGTCCGAAGCCTGTATCTCTAACCGTTTAGGAGATATCGAAGGTTAAAGTTTTCCAACGTTTCTCCGTCGAATTCAGCCTTCATCCGTCGATATCTCCGCTTCTACTGGGAGTAGAGGGTCGTCCATGTAGTCCAAAATGTAGGGTTTTGAAAGGGCTTTAATTTGGTACCTGTCCGAAGCCTGTATCTCTAACCGTTTAAGAGATATCGAAGGTTAAAGTTTTCCAACCTTTCTCCGTCGATATCTCCGCTTCTACTGGGAGTAGAGGTCGTCCATGTAGTCCAAAATGTAGGGTTNTTAACTCGGTTAAACGAACGGTCCGTATCATTTTTCTTTTCTATATAAAGAAATGAAGAGAAATGAGAGAATATAATCAGTACCGAAAACCGAAGACTGATCAATACGTAATTTTCCATCGAATTAACGCGGATAAATGAACGATTCGTATTAATTTTCTGTTTTCTTATAGAGCAATGAAATAGTAAATCAGTACCGAAAATCGAATATCGATTAATACCGTAAATCAGTGTCAGAGAATTGTCCAAGTGCAATGACAATTTGTTCTTATTTTTCAGGTACTTACCCC